ACGATCATGCACTCCCGCCCCGATATTCTACCGATACCTGTGATCATTCCAGCACCGGGAATATGCTCTGGGTAAACTTCATGAGCTGCTAGTGGTGACAACTCCAAGAATGGGGTATGTGGGTCCAGTAGCAGCGATAAACTAATGGAGTAGTTCAGCGACGATTACCGACATTTTCGGAATCTCTCAGATTCCAAGAAATGTAATTAATGATAATGTGGAGTGAGCTCACTAACCGTTCCCGGGGTAGTTTCTTTCCCCTGCTTCGCATGCGCTCTGCAGCCTTCGGACCTCCGCCCTGTCTCGCATGCTCTAATTTGGCCTCCAAATCCGTAACCAATACGTCCATGGCATTCGCTTTCTCCCGAAACTCGGGCGAGGCAGGTGAAATCAGCGAAGGGAGTACCGAAGCATGATACCTCCGGGAGCATCGTGCAAATACGGTCGATGACCAGTGTTGTACGCTTAAAGGCAGACTGCATGACGAGTAAACGATTCAGCCTCGACAGATAGTAAGAAATAAACGGTTCGCAGAAGAATAAGAACGCTCGTCAGCTGTTTCAATGTTCGCGGCCGGAACTAGGGTGCCGCCATTGACGTTATTCGGGGACCCACACTTACATGTAAATATATATGGATTGCAGCACCTGACAACGTCGATCACCACCACCAGCGTCCATTGCACATACTAGCATTACAGTCACTACAGATGCGCACAGCGTATCCTTCAAGAAGCTGAATCTACATCCACCAAACCCCATAATGCCTATCAGAAATCCTTCCACTCATCCCAGTCGTCGTCCTTAGATTTCGAAACAGGTCCAGGGGTCTTTGACGTACCTGAAGTGGGGTGAACAGCCGACTGACCTAGGCTTGTGCGGCCATCGGAATACTCGTTGAAAAAATCCTCTGTGTCATCGTGATATAAAGCTGACGTCTCCCCATCATTATGCATCGACAGGGCTCCATACCCAGAACCTTGTGGCCCTGACCCCAACGTGTCTTTCACCGTCCCCACAACGCCTCCTACTTGGTCAGCAACATCGATGCCCAACTGAGTTTTAGACCATTCATTTGCCGAACGACCTGCATCTTGTGCGCGGCGTTGCGCTTCTGACATGTACCCGCGAACGGTAGCATGCAGGTTTGGATCCAGAGCACGCTCCATTCCAGGTTGAATCACATTTTCACTGACAACACGCGATGCACCAGCGACAACTGCAGAAACGAGAGACCACCCCTTGCTTAGGGCGGCTCCCGGATTATCCTGGAAGTCTTGAAGCGTGGGAGCTGAGGTGGATGAATGGCCGAACGACGGGTGTTGAGAAGTCGGAGGTGAAGGCGTGTTCCCAAATCCTTGATAACGGCCGCCCTGGGAGGGGGGTAAATCTGCGGGGCGAGTGGCGTTTGCTTGACCTAGGGATGAGAAAAAAGCTTCGTTGGCAGATTTTTGATCCGTAGTGGTTAGATCCAGGGAGGGTTGCGGCGAACTTGCGGAGGACACCGGAGACGTAATGTTACGTGCCGAGGTACGCGACTTGCGTAAACCTTGCGCAGAAGACGGACGTCCTGGAGAGTTTGTTCCGCCCCCGGAGCTGGATGCTGGTGGGGGAGATGGAGTCCAAGGCTTGTCGGCTAGGGCCGCGTCTAACTGGAGAAAATTGAGTCAGAGATTGCAAGATAAGATGGTCGGCATACTTTTTCGCGATATTGCGAAGCTGCCCAACAATGGCAGGTATCATATGCACTTGTACCTTGCTTATATCCGCCTTGATCTATTGGTGTGTATGACTCGATGAATTGTCTGAAAGGAGCATTCCCGCCGAGCTTGGGACAAGTGAGTGAGGAATGTAAACTTGTCATGCAATTACCCACCTGCATACGCTTGATCTGATCCGCCTGCCAAGTATCCATTGAAACTGATCTCACGAAGCTATTGTCGCGTGAGATCTGGTGGTTGAAGAAAGTGCACATATGATGGTAAATTCACCTGATGTGCACTCCGAAGCCTCTGTGTACACCAGCGCATTGCAAGCACAGAAATATCGCGAAACTAACTTTCGGGGAATGACCGAGGGACACAAAGAAATGGAACACATGTATTCACCTGAAGCCCATTGTGGATTTGGATTACCACAGTCTACACATGTCTTGTTCTTCAGATCCTCACGCTTGCTGAGCTCTTGAAGAATCTTTTTGGCTGCGACCTGATCCATGTCGACGTCGACGTTGCTCAAAGGACTGGGCGTGAGAAGGGTTACCAAGTTTAGGTGGTCATTTCCGTCGAACCTTGGAAGTAATAGACCCTGTTACTATTACAATTCAATGGACGTGTTCAAGACCTCACGCGCAGTGATTTAAATTTTACCAGAAGCCGCTACTGTTATTTTTCACAGATCATGACGCGGTTGGTACTTGCTTAAATGTTTTTTTTTGAATGACATTAATATTAAATTGGTTACCCACGGAATTTCGGCATTCCCAGGGTTACAGGTTTATCTGCCATAGTAAATAGTAAATCTGATAGTAATCTGATAACTAATTGAGGGTGAGTTTTGAGTTTTCCCCGTTGCCACATATATATCTGTCCGAGTAAGTTTCGGAGTGCGCTGGACGCATCTTCCAGGAAGGAATGAAAGTTTATTACGGCTTTGCATAGCTTTGAATGAAGTACTTATTTGAGGAGGAGTGGCTCGGTAGTTTAGCTAAATTTTGGAAGATCTGCGTCCTGTGCAACGCGTGCCTCGAGCTAAACTAATCGAGGCAGCAGCAACGTTATCCTCATACCGTGACCTTCAAACAGTCAGGTTACTATAACTGCATCCCTGTACTATTAGACAATTCTTAACACCCATAAGACGCCCAGCGACCTTTTATTCGGGTAGAGCTAGTACAGAACAAACAGGTGCGTTTCATCCTATTAATATCATACAGGCCGACAAAAATGACTACCTTGTCACCGAACCTCGCAGGCTCATTTCTCGAACACCACCTGCAACACTCGCGACGTGAGAACTTATCTTATCTGATTCCCAACTGCTGGCTGTATATCCTGTAGCGCGACCCCGAGTCTAAATTGTCCGCAGACAACCCGATTTCATACAAGTGCCTTTCTCCTTCCCCTATACCGCATCACACCCTTGCCCTCACATCTTGCGAACTTTCATGATTCAAAAGTCAAATAACCGCTCCAACATTGATCATCAACCTCGTCAAGATTCTGATGCAGGCATCGAGCAATGGGGACAATGGTGGGGCCGAAAGTCAGTCAATTATGTCCCGAGTTGTCCGCCACTCTTCTTAACCTTTAACGATCATCAGGCATTATTCTCTTGAAGTAGTACAACACCCTATGCGTGCCCGTATGTGCGGTTTTGGTGATAAAGTGCGCGAGCCGTCGCGCCTTTGTCTCATAACCTTATAACATTTATTATCAGGATCGCAGGCCACTCGCGCCTGCAGCAGTCGCAAAGATGGTTGTCCGAAGAGAAGATAACTCTATCGTAGATGTGGAGTAAGCAGAAACATTTCTTTTCCCTTTTGTGCAGCTCATTACCTACCACTCAGGGACATTGACTGTTCTTTTTTTCTTGTAACGGTCGACCTGTGGTCGGCTGACGGTAAACGGGAGATGAATCTCGTGTTGCATCCCTCGTCATCTGCGGACCGGTACGTCGCAACGAACGCTCAAAAATCCAGAAAGCCTCGGAGTACCAATGCTCCATCATCTCCCCACGATGAACAACATAGCCCCACGTCGTCTCATTCTACGCCGAACTCTGCTCACCAACATCCACGCCTACCAGTGGCATGTCACCTCATATCTCATTATCATTATTTTCCACTGACTTTGAACGTCAATATAGTCCACTATGACCCCGATGGTTCCCGCTCCGTCGTCAGGATTCGTTAATCAAACCTACCCTTATCCCCAGCAAGCACAGATGCCAGATAACATAACATATGATGACCAAGATTCCTACAGCTCGCCATCCGAATCTAACAGCGCATGGGGATATGCTCCATCAGGAACTCCCCTCGATCGCTCGCATAATTTCAATCACCCTCATCCATCCTTGTCGCCGTACAACCGCAATGGCATACGCAACGGCATACCCGCGGCTGCGCCGGGAGAACCGTGGCAAGCCCAATCATCATATCGTACGGATTCCGATCCGGCGGCCAACTATCGCAATTGGCCAGCCACGGAGCCGTCTTATCCAGTGATAGTCAATTCACAGACGGGCGTGTACGCTGCTCAAGAAGTGGACCCATCGATAAGACATCCCGAACATGCAACTCAGCAATCTGAGGCAAGTAATTGGCCCCAGCAAGTCACAGGTGACCCGTCGCCACGATTCGTCCAGGAGCCTTTTCAAGGCACAGGAAATAGCTACGATCATCCCCAAGCTTATGGTGCACCATCACAACCACCGTATTACCAGGGCACATATGCACAGAGCTCCTCGTCTTCTCCGTCAGCCACGCATCCATCGTTACCCCGACATTCGTACACACGCACTTTAGTGGGACCGCTTTCGTCCAATGCATGCCGACTGCTTGATGAGCATCGGCAGTCAGGGATATTCTTCCTCTTCCAGGATCTATCTGTTCGAACGGAAGGTATGTCTTCATTACCGCCCTGGACATTCTTCTATCTGACGCGCTGGGGTATCTTAGGAACCTTCCGGCTGCGTTTACGTCTAATGAACGTTGGCGAGTAAGAACCGTGGTGTTATGCTTGGGAGATAACAACAACAATTGACATTCCATTTCCAGACTGCCAGCACCGGAAGCGGGTGCAATGCGAGTACATACTCATGTTTCACCGGTCCTTGCGCAAACATTTACCGAACCCTTCGTCGTTTTCTCAGCCAAGCGCTTCCCAGGAGTTCCCGGTATGTTCTAAATTGCCGGTCTTAATCCAGAAAAAGATTATAACCTCCTATGGGGCGCAGATACGACCGCGCTGTCAATTGCTTTTGGTAATCAAGGCCAGAAACTACCGCTGGTAAGATCCTTCCATCCTCCGTCTGAGCCGGAGGCTTAGAAACTCGCTATCATTGTAGCGAAATCGCCACGGAACTAACAAGCATGGGCGACGACGACGAGATGGCGATTCCGACCCCTCTGATGAGTCAGAAGATAGTTGATGGGAGTCACGTAACACCGTACTGCCTTTGGATCTTCGTGTTCAGACAATGTAATCACCACTGCATCACTAATGCCTCCTCTACCTCGCAATGTACTCCGTACTTGGTGCCATGTACCTTCGTCTACCACCCATCGTCCTGTGTCGTCAACGAAGATTTCCTTGCAATCCAACGCTCGTGCAAGCGAATAGCGTGAATTGTGTCAGGATAATTGAGATAAATGCGGTCAAGCATTTCTCGCGCAAGGTTTCCACGAGTGAAAGCGTCGTCAGAGTCAGGGTCTAGTGCCTGTGGCGCTGAGCTACGGTCTCCCATCGGCTGGACAAACATCCCAGATTCCAGATGGCGCAGCACACCTGACAGCAGGACAAGTACAGCACGATGGGGGCGCCAAACATTCCAGGAAGGGGATATCTGGTGTAGTATGTGTAATGGATGAGCAAAATCATCCGAGGTTGGATCCATTTCTAGCGCGTCACCGGATCTCTTCGTAGCCATTTTCGACTGATAAGCTCGGCGCTCACTCCGGTGCATCGGCGACTGAGAAACTGGTTTACTGACATCTGCGGGCTTGGTATCGAAGGCGAAGAGGGAATCAGGAAATAAACCTCTGTCACGGAGTACAGCCTCGCTCTGACGCTGATAGGGTAGCAATACTCGCTCAACTATTTCGAAGGCCCGCTCCGGCTCTGCCGCACGGACCAGGGCCACCGCCAAATGGTTCCAGTTATGTGAATCGAAGCTGAAACCATGAGATCTCGCTTTCCCCCACATCTCGGCAATCACAAAGTGTTCCCCAGCCGCAGAAAGTGCATCAATATAGATGGATAGGGGTGCACAGAGAAGAAGATTACCCTGACGTTTCGTGGGGTCGGAAGGGGTGTTATCTTCTCCATCGAAAAGAGAATCTGTCTTCGAAAGACGTAAGGCGAGTTGCCATATCTGTGGCCAAAGCCCATGGACGGCTTCAATGTCACCAGAGCGACGGTAGGCATCGAGGAGCACTGCCAAGCTGGCCAACGAAGGTTCTCCGCCCGCATCCAACATAGATTGGAACAACCGCTCCACCTCCTCCGGTTTATCAGTTTTCGTATACGCAAGCATGAGGGGTCCATGGACGTGCTCAAGCGCTGCTGCGCGAGTCTGAGGAGGGATCCACGACGCCGAAGACTCACCAGCCATGATGGTCTTCAAGAAGACCTCTGCAATTTGGAGGCTTTCTTCGGTTCTCTCGTTACCATAAGCGCGAAGGATATGGTAGAATGTGGCGGATGTAGGTTGAATGCCTCGCTCGCACATGTCGTCATAAACTGCCTTTGCACTACGCTTGTCACCCAGTCGTAAATGACCAGCCATGATGATCGTCAACACGAAGGCATCAACGCGGTAAGTTGTCTGCCAGTCTTTTGAGGCTGATTGCATCTCGGCAAAAATCCTGTTGGCGATGTTCATGTATCCTGCGTCGCAGGCCGACTGGATGATGAGGGTATACATCCGTCCATTCGGCTGTATGCCCATGGCTTCAAGCTTGCGAAATATTGTAGAGACGACCTGAAAAGGGGCGCCGATAAGGACGTAGGCCTTCAACAGGGTATTGTAGACTTCTACTGATAGCCGAAGGCGAGGATTTCGTGATGATTTGAGGTAGTCAAAAACGCGCACTACTCCCGTCCAAGAACCAGCTTCTACGTGGGTATTCATAAGAGAGGTGATCATTTTGCGATCAGGAGCTATCCCTTCACGTAATGCACGTTTGTAAATGGCTTCCGCGGATACGGGGTCCTTCCTATGTGCGAGAAGAGATATGACAGTTGTGTACAAGACACGGGTGGGCATAATTTTGGCAGCGCGCATCTGGTCCAAAACGGCAGAGACAGATTCTACTTCTCCACGAGCAGCAAAGCTTTTGAGGATGATGCTGTAGACGTAGATATCAGGAGTGTGTCCAGCTTTCGACATAGCCTGAAGCCAAAAATTGAGCCCGTCGTAATCCGCGCGCTCTGCGTGTGCATAGACCACAATGCTGTAATGCACGATTGAAGGCTTTGCTCCGACCCGTGAATTCTTTGGGCCAGAAAAGAACTCGTGAAATAGTTCGACGACTTTGCCCACTCGTCCGGCAACTGCATATGCATGCATAAGAGTGGCTCTGTCCTGCGACGTAATCCACCGTGCTGTGTCGAGTTGAGAATAGTACTCCTCGGTGCGGTCGATGTCACCCTGGTGTGCCGCGAGGAGCATCCCAGTAGAGATGAAAAATTTATGCCGGGTGCTCGTCGACTCTGATATGGTTCTATACAGCTCATTGGCACGAATGAAAGAGTCAGCGCGAACAAGCGAGCGGACCACTCGTAATTGCACGTCAACTTGTATCGACATTCGCTGCGCTCGCATTTCTTTCAGCAATGCATACGCGTCCTCTGCCAGGGTTTCCTGCCATAATACGTCCAGCAGCAGGACTCCAATACGCTGCCGCGTCTCCGAACTCCAGTGTCGTCGCTTGGCCAATAGAGACGCGGCATCCGGTATGTTGGCCAAAATCGAGTAAATCGTATCTTGGAACGATGAGGGTTTTACGGGAATGCCCAAAGACTGCAAACGAGTAGAAAGAGGTAAGAGATGCATCCCGATATTGGCCCACTCTGCAAGAATAAAATCCAGGACGTGCTCGCCATCTTGATGAAGTGCCATTGACCGTATAAGGGTTCCATAGATTTCCAATAATTCCTCTCTCCGCCCGTCAATAAGTAGATCCGATAATTCGTGGGTGGTAGCGATTGCATGGTCCAAATCTCCTACAAATGCCGAGCCCCTCGCTACGAGTTTTAACCTCATAACGTCTTCGCTCGAATGCTTCTCGAATATGGACTCCAGCCGCTCATTCAGCGCAGCAAGTCGTGTGCCCCATCTTTGCAAGTATGAAACGCCATTGTCCTCACCACCTGCCTCTATAGCAGTAGAGAGCTTTTGAGCAAAGTTTAAGACATCTAACGGTTTCAGATGTTGGTAGTCGTCAGAGGCAATGAGCAGCTGGTAAGCATTCCATGCATCATCCAAGTTAAATGGGTGATTTCCTTGCAGGAGAGACAGGAAGTGGTTCAAAGGAGAGGTTTGGACGTCCCATTTTTCGGGACTCGGCGACGACGAAGTCGTCAAGAGATGATTAAATTGTGGAGAATTTGAACACGATGGAAGAGATGAGGAATAGCGGCGGATATTTGAAGGACTTGCAGAATGACTCAATGTTTGCGGTCGACGGGGAACAGCGTCATTGATCATTGATATATGATTTCGTCCTGTGGTGCGCTCCACTGTTAGACTTAAAAACTACCGTTGAAGGAACGACACGTACTCGGACACCAAACGGAGTGCCTCATGACGCAGCATGATTCGTGTGTTACTCCCAAGAGCCATTCGGCACATTCGGCGCACTGAGCGTAATCCACATCCTGGTCTACCGCTTTCTCTTTGCCTTTCCACTGTCTCGCGGTCGGAGTAAAAAAGTCGCGTAGTAGAGGTCGGCGTATGGACCGACCCATGTGATCCAAAGAAGGCCTTAATGCAGAAGCGCGTCCAGCGGGTGTACGCAACAAAAAACTGTTTACTACAGCTGCTGCTAAAGGCTCGATCATGAGCACCCGCACCTGGGTGTGGAGTGCTATCGAAGCAGTCTTCAGACTCAGACCTGCCGAAAGTAAAACTAAGGCTTAATATATCGGAACATTGGAGTTTAACTTGTGTAACTCACGCGAAACAAAATCAAGGACGCCAGTGACAGCACCAATTGCAAGTTGGTGACTGTCCTCACTACGTGAACTTTGGACCAGACATGTTTGGCCTTATTTGGCCTATTTTTTCGGCCTCGTGCGAACCTATAAACTTGTATGTAGGTCAGCTCGAGGTTAACTACATAAGTATCGACGTGGTACCTACCACTCATTCGCCTGAGATAGTCCAACTTGGCCTATCTTAGTACTTAGGGGGAAGAGCAGCGTGCTCTCTTTCATTCTTGTTTCCTTTTCCCCATATTTTCACAGGTCTGAGTTTCTTTTGCCAAATACTCGCGCGCAGATCATGAGTCGCCACGTCGGCCCGAAAAGCTTTCCTCGGCTGTTCGAGCGCTGGCAAACTGAGACTTTACCATGGTTCGCTGAGCTGCTACTGGCACCGTGAAGTTCATTTCCAGCATTTTCAATAATATCTGATCAGCTCCACTTATCATAGCGCACTTTCTTCCGCATCGCCGAGCCGAAGGCTGAATTTGATCCATCGATGGAAGTCCATGTGACACCCAGGCGCCTATTAACGTTATTTTGGTTTATCCCTCTCACCCTCAACGCCAAGAGACCTCAAGAGGCCTGGTTCCAGGACTATATCTGACCGCCTTCACGAAATAGCTCATATCATTCTTCGATATCATTTTCATTTATCATCATGGCAGATGACGCTGTTCTCCGGGTCCCGCCCCCCCATGAGATTATCATTGTTCCCCCTCCCGAGCACGAAGACCGCCATGCCCTCCTCCAGCAGTGTATCCAAGTTAGGATCGCCGTTTTCGTCACAGAACAAGGATTTCCGTTGGAAGTTGAAGTAGATGAGTGCGTTATCTCTTTCTAGATAACTCGCTATCTGTTTCAACTTTGATTTTTTTGGGTGAATCATAGACATGATCCGACAGCCACACATTTCTTGTTAAGACTTTTACCGTCCCTCGAACCTATAGGGACAATCCGTGCCCACAAAGTGGAAAGCGCAGGCGGCTCATACTATAAACTTGCAAGGCTCGTCGTTCTAAAGGAATACCGACATTATAAATTCGGACGCAATCTTGTACTCGCATTGCATAATTGGGCAAAGGTTCATGCCAGAAATTCAGGGGTAACTGACTATGTCAAGATGGTCTGTCACTCCCAAGCGGTCCGTGCAGACTCGGCTGGTGCTGTAGGATTTTATCGCAAGTACGACGTCATTTTCAACCCTATTTGGAAACCTGACTTACCGCCGGTTATTCTTCCTAGGTTTGGTTACGAGGAACAGGTGAGGGCTGTTGCCGCGAGACCTTATGACGTTGCTCATCCTACCTGTCAATTAACATTTATCAGGGCGATCTGTTCGATGAAGATGGTGAACCGCATCAGAAGATGGTCGCCCGATTATCATTAGAAGAGTAATTGATTACAGCGTTCGTGTACTCCCGTACTAAGATGAAGCAAGGTATAAGACATGATATACTAGGGGGAATCTACCGATACACATAAGGGAAATCAAGGTCGTAAAAAGCAAGTCCTGTGTCGTAAACAGAAAAACATAACATAACACGATGCCCTCGAAAATGAGCTATGAGGACCAAAGAACATATAGCAAGTTTAGAAAAGTGGAAAGTGATCATATCATGCGGAACCGGCTGACACCATCGTCAGTTGTTGCTGTCTCGCTCTCGCTTTCCGAGCTGAACGACTCCGTCTGGATTGCTCGCAAGGCACGGAATGGACTCTCACCGCTAGGGCTGCTTGGCAAGATGCTGAAATTGATACTTGTGCCAACGTCGGTGGTGCCTTCCTCGTACAGCCTACGCGCAGCCTCGTACTCGAGCTTCTCCTGCTCGGCTTGCGCAAGGAAAGGCTGGAAAATCGTGATAAGCTAATTACGCAATTGTGACAAAGAGTTTGCCGTACCTTGCGCTCATCATCAGTCATCGATCGCCATTTGGCAGCGGCTAACACGCTTTGCTTAGTTGTTTCTTGCTCATCACCAAATATTTCCCTCACAAGGGCACGGTCGGATCGGATGCGCTGCAGGAACATGAAGTACGCGCTAAGCGGCTTCTTGGGCGCGTTGGGATCTTTAATATTGCTCTTCCGAGAACGACCCGCCTTTCGTTGGGCAGTGCGGAAGGCATTCTCCTTCTTAATATCATCAGGAGTGAGACTCTTCATGTAGGCTGCGTTCTCGCGCTCTCGGGCCTCTTTCAAAACTGCAGACCGACGCTTGTAAGGCTGGGAGTGATTCGTGAGCTTGTGAAGACTTGACAGAAGGAATGGAACAAACCTCCTTCTCTTCTGGAGTCAGATTAGCATACTCCTGACCGGCTTCCTTGGCAGCTTGTGCGACATTGAGTTTTCTCGTGCTCGTTGCTTGGTGCCGCTGTATCCAGTCTGTGAAGTAGAGCTGCCAAGCGCTCGGTGCTAATTTAGGCTGCTTGAGTATAGACTTGAGAGGAGCTATAGCCACGGGATTAGTCAAAGTTAGCAAGATAACGACGATAGGTACACACCTGAGTCTACTGATTTGTCTTCCCTGGAAAGTTCCTCGGTCGATAACCGCTTCTTACGTCGCACGGTTGCGTCGCGATCATCGCTGACGCTGACAGAGTCGCCACGGCGGGAACTATAATTTCTCGTCATTGACGGCATGGCCGTGTGTATTGGAGCACTTGAAGATTGGAAACCCAAGCCTGACATGTCTCGTCTGGGTTGGAATCGTTGGCGTTTGACTCCATAAGGGTGCTCTGATAGGGGCTGATGAACACGCCCTGACGACGTGGAAGCTTCGTATTGTGGCGAGTCCCACAATTGAGTTGCCCATGCTGGTGGTCTAAGTGAAGTGTCCGCAGGCGATATGGACGCCACGCGGAGACCTGGCGAACTAAGATAACCGTCAGAGCCGTCGGCCGGCGATAACGATCTCGGTAGCTGATGTGGTGCCGCAAATTCCGACGGCGAGAAGGACGCGCTGGGCGTAAAAGTGTGATTAGGATAGGAGAAGAGTGGCTGCGATTGCGGATCTGGGCCAGTACCACGGATGGGTATAGGAGAAGTGGGAGAGTCGAGTACAGGTTCAGTTAACCAATGCGAGAAATGGGGACCATCTAGATCAAGCATGGAATGCATATCATCGAACCGACCGAAGTTAGAATCATAGAATGAATTATTGGGTGATGTGTCTGTTATATCAAAGTCTGAGAGACGATGTGGAGAAGGGGTATGGTCGGATGAGGGAGGGGATAATGGGTGATGATAGCCGAAGTCATTTGGGGAATCCCAGGTATGAACCATTGAGGGACTCAGTAGTGGGCCCTCGTCAAACTCCAAGGGACCGAAAATCAACTGATCACCATCTGGTGACAACATATCGTAGGACGAAGTGTCCAAAAAGTTCATCGAGTCTTTGATGCCTGTATCACTAGAGAGAGAGATGCGGGGAAGGGTAGAATCACGATGGGGATAACTATCCATAGGCATTATAGAAGTAGGGCCGATAGGTGGAAGAAAACAGGAACGGGATAGGATTGCTTTTATAGTTGGCGGAACCACTTTGTAGGGGAGCGAATCGGAAGGGGTGACAGCGGGATACGAGGACATGTACGAACGCCATCGGGCCTGCTTAAGAGGGGCTATCCTTAGCGGCATCCGAAACCTGAGGACAGATGCCATAATGGTGAGTTTATGACAACCTGACTCGGCTTGAATCAGATTGTGATTTCCTGGGAAGCCCAATTATCCCGTACTGCTGAAAAGGGGGTGTGGCTTCGGGGGGTCGGTACCTAATTAGGATAGAGCAAAGGGGGTAGAACCAATAATAAGTTTGTACTCACTTTGGAGGAAAATCCCTCACAAGCTGTGTGAGGATGGACTGAATTTGGAAAGAACGCTAATCCTGGTGAAATCGCAAGTTCAGTACGAAGCTATGCCAATTGTCCTGTCTTGCGGCGTCGGACGACAACGAAAAATGTGCAAACGTTGCAAATTGATGTTAGTAAGAGGCAAAGGTTTAGCGTAAAAGTAAAGCGCGACCTGCCCTAAATTTATGGTCTACTCTTGGTATCTTTGAACCGAACATATGGGCACCCATTTTCATCGCCATCCGCCACCGGTAGATATAGCAATGGCGGGACCAGATCATAATGCTGTGTGGCGCCCCTCTGTCTTTATTCAATGGAAGCTTCTCCATTCAACTCTGGCTAAAAGATCTAATAATTTGATTCTGAATCTACAAAGAAAACTAATCATAATCATAACACCACAATCGATTCTGCCGAACGATATCGTGCATTGTTATAAACACTTTTACCAGGCTGAGTTTCCGTGATTGGGTATGAGATACCGGGCGAGGCGTATCCTTTCATCAGAATTATACACTCATGTTTGGTCATCAAGCTTACCTCCCATCCTTTGACGTCCTTCATAATCTCTCGCTCCCGTTCCAATGCAGCTTCCTGCCGACGATACGCATCTCGATCCCCCTCCGCCACCAACAAGGGAACAAGGTGGATACGAGACCAAACTTTCTCTCTTTCCAGTTCCCTGTCGGGAACAAACCCCAAATCAGTTTACTTGGCTTTTTCTGGTACGGCCCTTGTACGGCCCGTAAAATCATGCGTGATAAGAACAGCGGCCGGATCCTCACAAGGCCACGTTTAATGACGAGCGCGCCATGAAAAGACACGTTTTACAGCCTGCTGACTCCATACGCCATTCTGTCGGTCTTCAAAAGATAAACTTACCTTCTTTCCAGGTTTCCCTTCCCAACACGATAGAAGCCATATGCACACACGGCTGTCACAGCTCCCAGAATGACTAGGCCACTTGGTCCACGAAAAGGAAGGTTTCGTTTGTACTTGACTGCCTCGAAGCCCCCGGGTGGAGGCATGTCTCTGCAAGCACTACGCTTCAGCTCATAGCCATCCTGTACAATGTATTACACGCACTGTCGGTACTGTATAGACACTAAGTTTTTGTAACAGTAGATTAGCGCTGTCCTCGTAAATCAATCAATCCATGACTCACTCGTTGAATATTGGGCGCGTCGTGGAGGACGATGGTGGTGAAGGCGGCTTCCGGATTCGCAACATTTGTGAATATCACGTGACTGGATAGAGACCTGCCCTAACCTCTAGCGTCGCAGTCCCGCCGCCATGCTGTGTTACTTATCAAGAATCACATCTATCGAATGATAATCGTTTCATGTGTAACGAAATGGATCGCAGCAAGATCGGTAAGACTGAATCCAGGCCCCAGGTTGGGTACATAACGGACTTTTGGGTGTGCAGCGCCTGTCCTGGTGCCTCGCTGATTCCGATAACCATGCTCCGATTTGATAAGTTGGAGCAGGCTTGGAATATCTCGGTTATGTGTTGGACATGGGTCCAAACATCTTAACGTACATTTCGTCCACTGTTACCGGAAACGTGCCCTGGATTCATGAAAAATATTATTTACTAAAATTAAAGACATGCTGTTCGAATTCTGTGACCCAGTAAGGCAGACTTTGTGATACGGAAGACTCGACGTTTACCGTAGCCGCCGTTTAACCAAAAGTTTTTCGATGAGTAATAGCTGCCACCTCAGAGCACTGCCATAATGTCCCACATCCACTCCCCAAGCCCTCTCACTCTCCCTCATCTACAGATGCCTGCACAATCCGTTTCTGCTACTGCTGCGCCACGTCAGAAATCTAAAGCTTATGCTACTGGTATAGCAGCTGGCGTCGAAGATGAAAAGTATCAAACAAAATACAAGGAACTCAAGCGAAAAGTAAAAGAAATCGAAACCGTTAGCAAACACCACAATACTCGGTGTATTCTTAACTCACCTGCTTTTAGGACAATGACAAGCTTCAGTACAAGGTCCTTATGGCTAAAAAATCTATCCAACGTATGAAACTGGAACGAGCGTGAGTAACTTTCTATCCACATCATCCCAACATGTATCTGATGCGAGATAAAGTGTCTTGTATGAACGTCTTTCTGCTGTGCCACCTTCTCCAGACCTTCACAGTCATGCACTTCCCCCTACCCACTCTGGTCCCGGTGTACCTCCCCCACATCCCCGTGATATAGGTGCAACAGCGCACCATCAGCATCGCGATCATCGTGACTTTCCACCTGTAGATTCAAACGATCACAATCCTGTCGAATACGTCCACAATCATAGTTCCTTCCGCGTTATTCCTGGCCCAGATGGCCGGCCTATTCAGACTCCCGATGGGCCCATAGGTCCTGGAGTTGCGCCTTCCCACGGAATGTCTGCAGTGCACATGTCGAGGGGCGGTTCCGCCTCAGGTCATGACTCTTCTCGACAGCTTCCACCCCTCTCGCAGATGACTCCTGTACAACATCTTGAGCCACCGAGGGCGCATGGACATTCACAGACCCATAGCCCTCATCTTCACCCTCACAGCAATGGATCTTCGCGTTCACAATCCTCACCTTCCAGATCGCGCGGTCATCAGATAGCTTCTCAGGCACCTCCCCCAGGATACCACTCAGGGGGAATTCCCCACCCTCAACAATACTCCCAGGATTCTCTCATTCCTGTCCAACACGGGTATCACAGCCCGCCACATCCGAGTGATAGGGAACGGTCTTCTAGAAGGCATGAGCCGCTTGATCGTGGCAGCTACCATCCTGATCCATACACTCATTCGCGGCAACATTCTTCGCATTCTTCCACGATGGCATCCCCTAACACTCGAGCATCACGTCTCCATAGTCATCAGCGCGTCGGGCCTGGAAGTACCATCAGCCACCCAGATCCAGAATACGAACGCGATCTTGAGAGAGAACGTGCATGGGCACGTCATGAGGGTGAATCCGCTCGAGAATACGCGCCTTCGGGAGCGATGCATGCATCTCCCCCCTCCCACCTAAGGCCTAGACCTCATGTAGACCCATACTCTCGCGAACCCATTGGACCAGGCATACACGGTCGATCATCTCGCTCTGACACATCAGGATCTGGTTCTGGATCTGGTTCCGGTAATGGTGGCGGGGATGCACTATCGCGACCTGAAGGTCACACTCAATATTATGATCGTGACAGGGGACCCTATGCACCCCGCCAGGCAAATCCGCCGCGCAATCCAAGTGAAGACCAAGACGTCATATATGAAGAAGGCCGTGCATACACCCGTGACCGAACTGCCGGACATTACATGCTTCCAGAGCAGCATCGCCCCCCTGTGGAATCATCCAGAAAACGCTCTCGTAAAGACATGGAAATAGATGGAGTCGATGACGTCGATGATTCACCCGCTGCAGGCAGCTCTGGGGGCGGAGGAGAAGCACCGAGGTTCGCAGGCGGTCATCTTACTGATGACCGTGGCTCCAAGAGACTTCATCAAGAACCTCCCCGTCCCCACGAGCGCGAGGAGGAAGAGGAAGAAGATGAGACTTCGGATACTTAGACAAAGGGTTAATTATTATTTTTTGCGGCGGCATGGTGAGTTTCCTTTTAGATCTTCTTGAGCCCGAGTTCTTGATAGGATATTTTCATGGTTTATTGCGTGTATGTATATGTTGTTGAGTATTTCTGTACACATCGCTAGCAGTCGTAATCCTTGGTATACCCCGTTCCTCGTGTTGTGCTCGCGCCATATGCTCCGTTCTTGTTGCAAACATAAGGGACAATTGTCTATACCTAATTCCATCGTAATGGTCTGACTTGCGGGTACTATGTTTTCGTGAGAAGCGTATACGAGCGATGACAGCGACATATGTTTAGACCGGCGGATCAAAGTGTAAATCTTGCCATTGTCCTGTACAGGAAAGCAAGGGGTTTCCTAATAAAAATATCATCTAACACAAAGGGGGGAATAACAATGGCCCAGGAGTCATAAAACAGGACATAAACAAAAACACATTTATCACTGATCGAGAAACCCAGCGGTGCAAATAGCAGTATCGTGAGTCAGAAAAAGGCCTAGTCATCAAGATTCGGCGGCCGCGCTAGTAGACCTTTCCCCAGAAATCTTCCGACTGTACGCAGCGGCCAAGACAGTAATAGCAGCCCGTTCAAGTTGGTACAGCTCCATTCTGCCAAGATACGTTTTGGACGGGTAGGTTTTTTGGGCATGGGGAAAACGGGTTTTAGCGGCGCAGCGATAAGGTTGTGTAGTTGTCACTGGCCGCGTAGATCCTAGGATGATAGTCCATGGCCGTGACTGTGCGACCTGTGCGCCGTGACTCATACTTGGCGAGCTTCTGCGCTTCCCAAAGCAGTTGCCGAGCGTGGCTGGACATGAGAGACAAGGAACGGGTGTATGAGGAAGGCAGTATCGTGCCATCTTGCTTGTCGAAAAAGCTTACGGAGAGACGCGGCCGGGAGTGTGGCTGAACCATCAGGCTTGTTGACTGGATGAGGGAAGTACAATGACCCGGGGTGTCAGGGGAAACGAGGGGGGCCACCTGCTGCGCTCTGTGATGGAATCCGAGGATTAGTATCCGAGTCAAGGTAATATTCTTAGATGGTTCACCTATTGTTCGATCTTTTTGGAGCATGTGGTTTCTTTGGAAGACATGTACTCGGAGCTACCCCGTTTAGCGCCATATTTTAGCGCTAATGTCACTGGGAGAAGTAGAGGGTTTTCCATAATGATTGAGCACGAGCTCATCTATGCCCCTCCCATTGGCATTCAGTCTGTGCCATCTAAGACCGCTCACAGATGGGTATTTCCGGCGGCGATCTAGTGGTCTGGTTTGAAATCAGATCAGCCTCGATTACGGTAGTGGAGCCTCAGATCTGGCCAATATAACCTGAATAAAATCAATCAATCCAAGAATTTTAAGAAATGGCAATCTCACACAAATGATGGCGCAGATGGGCCAGAATATCAGGGTTCAGAATCAGTTGCACATGGTACGATAACCTAAGCTTAAAGACACAAGATTGTGACTGAGAAGTGCCCCTTCCCTCATATCTGATGCAGCTTGCACGAATGGAAGACATTTTCGTCATTCACACACATCGCGCAAGTCATTCGAATCGCAGCTGCAACGAGGCGGCCGGATCAACGTGTTCAGAAGGCGCCTGTCTTCAAGCTTACTGTTCAATCTTGATGACATCAGGTGAAGAAATTCAGAATTGGACCATCAGATAAGTACACGACTCATCTAAACTACTACTTCACCGGTAAACATGGTCCGCTGCATGACATTTCAACACGTGTAACCCCCAAAATGTAATGGATGCTTACAATACAAGTTAGCAGCAATTTCGGCCTCTGCCCGGTCGCCATTTGCAAGCAACTTCTCTTTGTTATACAGGAGTTCCTCGCGAGTTTCCGTGGAGAATTCCTGATTTTGTGCTGAAGGGACGCCATCAACATTCCGGTGTCAGTGATGCTCCCTTTTTAACACGTACTTTCAACGATCGCGTCAACCGGACAAGCTTCTTGGCAGAAACCGCAGTAGATACATTTCGTCATGTCGATATCTGGGAAGGAACCGTGTAAGTAGTGCAACGTTCCACATCAACACGATACAAGTCATACCGTATTTAGTTGTTTTTCTGGAACCATCCGCGCGGGCTTCACTCTCGATGGTAATTGCTTGAGCAGGACAAATAGCCTCACAAAGTTTGCAAGCTAATAGTATGTGCTTCTTAGCCGCGCAATATACGGTCGAAGATGTTCACAAACCGATGCACCGCTCTTCACCACTGGGATACCGCCGGAGCGCGTGTTCTCCACGGAAACGAGGAGACAGAGGACCCTTCTCATATGGGTACATTATAGTGTAAGGCTCCCTGAAAAATTCTCCAGAACAATCCACATTCCTGAACTAGTTATGCATAAACTTGAAACAATTACATTTCAGAACACATACCTCGGATAATCTCGGTAAAGAAGAAGAGATGAACGGCCTTGTCAATGGCACTCTGCCCATCCTTGTAAGGGTCAATATCCTTTCCGGGCTCATCCTTTGCGGTCAAACTTCCTGCACCTAGAGGCGGTGACCTTATTGGACCTTCGAGTCGGCTTTCAAGATGCTCTGCGTGCGAGCAGCGGGTACTATGAATGTTGCGGTATGTCACTAGCGACGAGCGCAGCGCAATAGAACGCTGTGTCGCGACTATCTTAGGCGCGAGGCCTAGCACAAGACGCGGGCGAGCGAAAGACATGACGGTCAAAGTCGGGCGAGGTTGCTAAACATTCTGCTGTGACGTATGTCACTCTAGTGTGACAATGTTAACTAGCAGCCAATCGCGTATCCTTCATTAAATCATCACTAGTACTGGACCACCAGGCCATCGCCGTTCTCCTGGACCATGTCGACCTCAAAAGCAAAATCAAAAGTTCAACCATTGAGCGATCAGGGCACGCGTGCATTCTACCTACCATCCTCGCTTCTAATCGCTTCTTTGATCAGATAGAAATACAGCAGACTTACTCCCGTCTGCAAAATGAGCTTCAAAGCCTGGCTGGGAAGATAGGCGAGTTGGAGCAAGAGGCGGAAGAACACGGGTACACTCTCTTCACATATTTGATACCCACATTCGACTGACGTTCCATTAGACTCGTTCTCTCCACTTTGAATGAAGCACTTCAAGTGGAACCAGGTCGGAAGTGTTTCCGCTTGATCGGCGGTGTGTTAGTTGAGCGTACAGTCAAGGATGTAGTTCCTGCTCTGCAAACAAATCGTGAAGGCGTACGTGCCTTTTTCATCCATGCCACTGATTGTCTAATACCTACGTCTCTTCAGATCAAAAAGGTTATTGCCAACCTTACTGAGCAATACACCACGAAGGAACACGACTTTGAGACGTTTAAACACGATTATAACGTTCGTCCAGTCAGCAGGGCGTAATGCCGTGTCGCCGGTATTTGGATGTACGTTCATCTTGATCTGCTCACCTTGCGCTGTTGAATGTTATTTCCAGTCTACCCAATGACGCAGTCAGCAGCGATGTGACCTCATCATTAGCATGCGCAGCAAAATTGCAGACCCAGTTGTACATCGCTCAAGCTGCCGGTTTGCACTGAGTTCTAATTGTTGAGCTAGAATTTTTGTTATGCTGTGGTCCACAACGTATCTCGCAGAACACAAGAACCATAGCTGGCAGCAGCGTTGTCTCCGTAGTGCTCATGTGCATGGTTTGACACTGCGAGTTAATATTCGTCTTGTAATTTATATCACATCGTCTCTATGATTCAAAATTGAAGAATTAACGTGCTGGCTTCTAGATGTAGCAATGAGTCGTCTGTTGCACTGCGAAGTTGCTATGAATCACCTATATTTGTTCAGTACTTTCACTAGCAGTATCTGTTAGTTACTGCTGGTTCAAGTTGGTTTGTACTACTAATCCATGTACAGGCTGTACAGCCACTACCGTGAGCACTGAGCAAACGGCGGGCCATTGTCTCCGCTCTGAATTCCACATTCAATACCACTATGCCGAAATGACATTCGAATCCCTCCCTGGCAGAGTCCCAGTTAAGCTTATTGCTACGTTCCTTCGAAACATAGATTTCGAGTTGCTAATCAGTGTCGAATTTGTCTCGGAGACTAAGACGTGCTGCTTCAGACTCAACTTTAAACGCCTGGAAACCCCAAATCTGGTTAGTGGCGGCTACGAACGAAGTTTCTACCACTCCAGTCTTCGTTCAATCGTGCCCAGAAGTAATTGGATCGATATCCCTACGTTCGCACTGCCAGATTTCATACTTTTTGAATCTTCACTTCCTTGAACTTGATGGTTTCCGAGTGGGAAGAACGCTTCAGCAAATGATTCATTCTTGGATGGTTGGTTGAAGTGGAAGGAGCATAACACTTGGAGGGTGTAGGCCCATATCAGGTACATACATCTAGTGTTCTTTCAGGCTTAGGAGTGTGAATGATACAGTTATAGAATGTTGTATTGCGTCTGGCACAGAACTTACACGACCTGCACTACGGATGAAGTTTGGACTAAATAAATGTGCATTCTTGAGGATGGCCGTTTCTAAGCAGGTGCGGCCCAGATATATGATAATATCGTGTTCAATCGCAATGGTTTAGTCAACGAACTGGAATCGTCCTCGCGGGGCTTCAGTTGCAAGGACATCTTTACCGAGATGCAGTAAGCTCGGCAGGTTCAAGTTGTTCACCTACAATAAGAGTCAGTGCTTTGTGCTCCGCGTAGCCATATTACTGATGATGTACTGGCAGGTGGTCGCCACATTTACTGACGTCCGGATCATTGCGATCGGAATTCTTCGCATACCTCGTTGATTGTAAACCGCAATGCGCACGCTTTACTTCATCCTCCCCGAGGTCACTGATATCCTTGGAGCGAACTTGAAGGGCAATAGCCGGGCATCGCATCGCTCTCCTTATGGAGATGAGTGTGATGGCCCGTCAGCTGGTAATATCGAGCGGTATTCTGACTCCATTTGTGAGAGATCGTTTCTTAGCAGGTCACGGTTCGCGTCCATACAACAAACTTATTGATGGTCTCGGAATATAACACATCGTCTCGTCGTCCATTAACCAATCTTCACACCATTGTGATGTTTGAAAAGGTATCAAAATCACTCCGCGATCTTTGTGGTTTTGACTGACCAAGGTGAGACATGACGCCTTGTTCCTGAGGCTCCGGGCAGCACCAGTAACCTCGGTCGCTATATTTCTCTTATTGTCAATTTCTGCACGGTAGGCCGGTTTGTTGTCATTCTCAGCACAGCAGTGATGTCGAAGGTTTCATATGTCTTCCTCGTCATAGATCAGCTAAGGGACATGTCGGTTTTCTTTCCGAATTAGGCGCTGACATCGCTTCGGCCTTACAACAATGGATTTCTGGCCAATGTCGAAGTCCGCGAAGCTTGATATTCTACCTCGGGGACGGGTAGCCTCTTGCCTTTAAATCATGGTACAATATGTGGTTCAAATCCCTGCGTGTTTTATTGCCTTTATATTTCTTTTAATCGACGTCGCTGGCCAACGTCGCCCACCCTCCTTGAAGTTAGTAACATTTTCTACCTGCTACAATGTCGACAGTAAGTGATTCATCGCTGGGACTCGAAGATCGGTTTACTTAGTAATACGGACACCAGTGGCCATGTTCATCGTGCCCCAAGAGCTTCTCTCGTAAGGGCGATCTTACTCGCCACCAGCTGCTACATACTGGAATCAAGTGAGTTTTTTGTTATGTTGAAGCATTGTGCAAGCTGACAGTTTTGTCTTCCAGGCCACACGTCTGCGGGTCATGTGACAAAAGATTTGCCCAGTTTTCGGGCCTCAAGACCCACATCAACACACAGTGCGCTTGTTCGCTTTTGTATTTCGAACTATACTGACTGTTCCATAGCACCAAGGCCAAGCCTTACGTGTGTGGAATTGGTACTTGTATGAAAGCGTTCAGTGATCCCTCGTCTTGCACTCGCCATCGAAAGGAAACTCACAGACGCGAGGGCGCGTATAAGTGCACTATACCAGAGTGCGGCACAAGGTCAGTTTTGGTTATTACCATTGGAATTGTTCCGTCGGGCTCATACTCTGTCAGAATTAAACGACGATCTGCTTTTGTCGCGCATATGAAGAAGCATGGAGTCGATCCCTCCAAACTAGATTTAGATGCCATTGCCTCGTCGGCAAATAAAAACACTTCCCAACAAGCCAACTTCCATTTTTTACCTCCCCAAGTAGCCGATGCCCCTTACTGTCCCCCTTCAGAGACATCACTTCCAGACGTTACTGAAGACAATTTAGCACATTGGGCTCCCCCTGCTCTGATGCTGACGAACGACTATCAGATTTCCGTTCCTGAATATGATGGAGCCTCTGGCGTGACTGACGGCATGTATGACTATAGTTGGCCGTCTGAATTTGGTACTGGACCATCTAATTCTTCGCTCATGCCTCCACCATCGGTATCTACGTGTCCTCCTACGCATGTTGACGATTTCATTTTCGACGCTGGATACAACGGATACTTACAACCTAATGACGCATTCTCTAGGTTGCCTTCTCCATATGCATCGGCGTCGCCCTCTTTACCTCCTCTCCTTGACGGCTTCGTGGACTGCTTCGGGTCTCGCATGCGATCGATGTCCTCCTCTCCGGCCACGTCTTCTAACTCTGCACTGGATGATCAGTTAGATTATGCTCTCTTGAGCTGCGATGTACCCAAACCATACCTTTTATTCAACACCGTTTAATTTACCGCACTAATACTTAGTACACTTCACGCATTCAAGGATTGTCACGGGACTATTTTTTATTCATAATTTATACCGCAGCACTGTAGCCTACATACCTCTCACTCTTCACCACCATCTGTTCAGTGAACTATGTCTTATTACCCTTATACCAAGAGGCTTTTAATATACTGTCTTTTGAAGCCCCAATGACACTGCAAGCCAATATTAGAGATCGATAGAGTTAGATAACCTTCTAATCTGACAACAAACGTAAATAAAACGCCCACAAGTTACAACTAGTACTAGGCCAACCCGAGTACTCACTTGAGCATTTCTCAAGGTCCACTCGCTCAGGCGTCTTTCCATCGTGTTTATCTTCTCAGTCCATCTTGCTCAATTTTTGCGGCGCGGGCCACCGCTGGCTTCCCTTACGAAGCTTTTTTCGTGTCCGAATCCGCGTTCGTAACTTTCACACTGCAAAAAGGAACATGTTAGCATCACCACTGTACCCCACTTCCTCCTTTGCTCCTCAGCTTGCATCCGATGATCATTCCCAGTTTCGCCCTGCCAGAGATATTGAATCCTTCAATAACTTGCTTCCGCCCCCGATCGAATTCATAGAAGGCTCGTCTTCTGGCGCTCTCGCAGTCGCGGAAGGCAAGTATGAACCTATCAACGCCACACCGAAGGCATCACAAAATATCGTAGGTGCATGCAATAGCTCTATCATCAAGCTGCTCACCTGGTCATCACCTACCAGGTTCGTGAACGCCCTCGAACACCCTCCGCATCCCTGGCTTCGCCCTCAAAACAACCGATATCTCCTTCATCAACAAAGCATGGCGCGTTATTCACCGGAGTTTTGGACTTTTCATGGCCTTGGCCCCCTGGTCACAATATCGGTAATGGCCTTCATAATACGGGGAATACTTGCTTCTTGAACAGTGCTTTGCAATGTCTCCTCCACACGTCTCCTCTGCTCAATGTTTTAATGGCACACTCAAAGTCTGACCCATGTGAGGATAACCTTAATAACCATGAGTTAATCTTACCTGGTATGTAGGTCGAGTAAAGGGAGGCTTTTGCATGTCATGTTGTCTTCGCCATGTGATGCTCGACTCCCATCAGAAGAAGCATTCTTGCACGCCGTACGTCATTGTTTCGAAATTGCATGGTACGTATTACTTCCCTTATTGAAACCTGTGTCCGATTGTACTTTTCTAGTCATCGCAAAACACATGCGGAAGGGCAGGCAGGAGGATTCCCATGAGTTCCTTCGCTATGCCATTGACGCTTTACAAAAATCATGTCTAGCTGGATACCCGCAGTGAGTGTTTTGTTACTTCCTACTTGTGTGGTCGTTAACAAGCTTCGAAAAGAAAAATTGATCCAAAACTTGCGGAGACCACCTGGGTTCACAAGATATTCGGCGGTCGGCTGCGATCACGAGTGACATGCAAGGAGTGCCACTACAACAGTGACACATTCGATAACATGCTGGATGTGAGCTTAGACATATATGGCTCAAATAGCGTGAAGGACGCCTTCCGGAAGTTTGTTGCTGTCGATTATCTCAAAGGGTCAGACAAATATAAGTGCGAAAAGTAAGCAATATCTATCAGCCGGCATGCTCACATCTGATGCGCAACACTCTGGCAGGTGCAAGAAGCCGGTCGTTGCCGAAAAGCGGTTTACTATTCACGATGCGCCTGCAGTGTTGACTATCCACCTCAAGCGCTTCTCACCCCTCGGTCGGAAGATTGGCCATTTTGTCCATTATGACGACCGTATCACGCTGAAACCGTTTATGAGTGAGGGTCAATTTGGCCCAACATACTCATTATATGGTGTCATTTGTCATGCAGGCGGGGGACCAAACTCAGGCCACTACTATGCTACTGTCAAAGGTGCCAATGGCATGTGGTATGAGATGAACGATGACAGCGTATCACAACACCGTAATACCCCTGGGCCTCTGAAGAACGCATACATCTTGTTTTATATCAGGGAGAAAGGCCAATCTCTCGAAGCTGCTATTACTCGCCCCTCGATGACCCCTCGGAATGTTGTCGCTGGAATGAAGAAGAGGAAAGTTGTGGACTCTGAAGACGATGGCGGTGACGACCTTGGCGTCAAAACTGATCGACCATTCATCGGACCTCTTCTTCCTTCTCCGATAGCTGATGATGCGGAGGTACATAAAAAGGCTAAAATGGACGACAGGGACCCTCAGGCTGAGAGCATCAAGAAGAAAATCGAAGCTGTTAAGCAGGTTCTCAGCCCCAGCACTGCCCTCACGAGCCTCTCACAGTACAATGATGATGACGACGATGACGGTGAATCGCCAGTTATGACACCCGTTGACCTTAAGCCACCTTCAAGCACCACTGAGTCGCTCAACGCTACCTCACCGCCTCCCCCCGGTCCTCCTACCTCTCCTCCTCCTATTTCCAGCACATCATCCCTCAACTCCGTACAATTGAATACAACTCATTCATCAGGCATTTCGCCAAGCGACTTCTACGCGTCATCAAAGAATAACGACAAGAAGCGCAAATCGTCAGATTACGATGACCACGACGAACAGACGCCCCGGAAGCATTATGCCCGCGTGCCCCTGCATACCCAATCTTCCAAACAGTCACACGGTCATCGAAAGTCATCGTTTGGCGGTGGCGCAGTCAATCCTTACAGCCGGCTAGCAGGAAGTAATACATTATCCCAACATCGATCAGATAACTGGCAAAGACCTCCGCAGCAGTATGGTAAGAAGAAGAAAAGGATGATCATGTAGACCAAATTTCTTGGCATTATTAATTCTAGAGTATATGCTGCAAGTCACATATATGTTCACGATTCTGTACGAAAGGTCACGAAGCTCGCTCTACTACAGCTTTGCTTTTATATTATCAGAAGAGAACGCCACAGTCTTGGCATTGCCTTCTTGTCCATCTTCCCACCAGATAACAGTCACGGTGGTATCATCTCGATAGCTCCTGGCAATCGGAGCAGGTATGCTCATCAACTTCCTCAAACTCTCGGTGTCGCCCCCACCAAATGCGTTCCGGATTAGATGCGAGCTGACGTTCTCATCTTCAAATGACCAGGAGCCACTACTATTATTTCGTTTCTTCTCCTTGCCTTCCACAGTTGGTGCCCCTGACACTGTTGGTACGAGTTCTGGAAGGGCTGTTTTGGAAACCACTCCTTTGAGACCTTTTAGATGTCCGCCGACAAGGGCTACGACATCCTCTGAGCTAAGCTTATCCCACAGTCCGTCAGTTGCCAGTACCACGAAACGGGATGTAGGTGACCGCGACGGCCGTGCAACACTGCCGAAGTCAAAGTCACGGTGGGTTACGACTGGGGTGGCAGTAACGTATGGCGGAGTCTTGAATGATGAAGGGGGTGAGCGCAATGGTTGATCGTTGCCCACAAGAAAGGCACGGTTTAGTCTGAATATCAGAGTCAGCAATGGTTTGTATTGACTTTGCCATAATCAAATCTAAAATCACGTACACATCTTGCACCTCACGGGGCCACTTGTATCGGGCATCTCCGAACGCACGGCTGGGTTCAAGCCCACCAAGTATGCGACCCGCTCGAATAACACTACCCGCCTCATCAGGAGGATGTTCAGATTGAATCCTAAAGTCGATTGTAAGAAGTTGTACCGGAAATTAACTGTGGTAATGAACCTTTTCAATTCACTCGGGTTGCGACCGGTCTGGTCTTCGCTAAGAACCTCAACACGCCACGACCCCTGACCTTGCTCATTTTCTTCCCAAATGCCGGCAACAGCACGACTATCCCCTGAGCAAGCCACGTATAGATGCCGATGGGTGGTGTCGAAAACGGCCATCAGCGCACAGCTGCCTGAAGATAGAACGGCACGTCATATTTGAAAAAGACAGGTAGAAATTGTGCCGTACCAGATACAGCAGGAAGCATCGTCTGCAGTGCCAGCGGATGTTTGCTAAGATCGGGGAGGATGTTTTTCTTTATTGATTCAGCATCCAAGTTTGCGGCGAGAACCGAAAGGGGTGCATTGATGAGTTCCTGATCTAACTTGGTGAAAGCATTTCGTATGGCAAGGGAGATTCTCTCTGGGTTTTGAGGGTCTTCGCGAGATTTAGGTGCAGACGTGCGAAATATCAACTTTAATTTTTCCAGAAGTCCGGATTTCGGGACGTCTGTAGAGTGAATCAGGGAAGATAATTCCAGGACCACGGCGCTGATGAGGGTCTTGGAAAGAAGGCGAGATGTATGGGGGCCCCCATGGCCATCCATAACGGTGAAGAACAGCCAGTCACCTGGTGCAGATGGGTCAGATGGATCGCGGGCAATTATAGCGTCTGCATGTGCATCTTCTAGGGGGTCATTGGCGGCAACAGATGCCGTGGCATATCGCCATACTGTGCTATCAGGTCTGGAAAAGCTGTCAGACGACGCATTTTCTATCAGACGATCTTTAACAGCGTTTTGTGATAACATGGAGAATGTGCGGTTGGCCATAAGTGGCATCCCGTCCGCGCCGCGAACTTTGACTGCAAGGTCAAATGTCTGCTGCTTGGTGAAAGTATAGTAGAGGTAACTTGGTGTGCCAATAAGAACGGTGGTGGCAGCCAATGGTTTCCAAGCCCTTCGAAGCATGCCCAAGAGTCCTGGAAGTTGACCGGTGGTATGCGTTAATAAATGATCTCAACTGGAAACAATGAGCGTGATCCACGAGATACACAGCGCCCGCAGTGCCACACACGTTGAAAAGGGTGGAGAGTCTACCGCCAGCACAAGTCCGGAGTTGGCTGTGCTGCTACAGCCCGAAAGGTTCCAGAAACTACGTAATATGGTTGTAAGAAGCAGAGCGAATGTGTGAAAAATGACGACAAGTTTTACTTACAAACGAGGTATTTCCTTCTGCTTGACGTTGCGCCGAACAATGTCATGACCGACGCTTGCCAAATTCGGGCTTAACGCGCGCCCGATCACGTGTACGTGTGTAGACCTCAACGTCGGAGATTAAAATGATCTGTCTTCCCATGCTGCTGTCAGCGCTGTACAACACCAACTTGTACTGCTACCACGACGTGCTGCTGTGCCATAGCTATTTCTTTCAAAGGTCCTTTGTTATTCATTACATCCAGCCATTAAGTCTCATTCAAGCTTTCATATCTCTTTGTTATAACAGCTCTTTCGGATGACTAGTTCGGGCAACAATGATGCAATCTTGCAACCATCGATAGCTGTGGGAACAGAAGAACAGGAGGGAGATTTCTTATCGACGACGAAGACATTCGATTTCGCGATCGTCAGTGATGATGATGATGATCCTGAGCTTGATCTTCCGTCCCAAGTAACGAATGTAAGTGAAAGACATGTCCGATGACGCGAGCAATCAGTCCTTAAGTGTGTCCTGTTATGTCATCCCTCAAGCCACCAAACTTCACGGCCCCAAGCGATGTGCAGCCTCAAGTTCTAAGACCGCCCTCTCAACAACCCACCGTAGAAACACTCCAGTCACTCGGCATTAAAGTACGAGATTTTGCGTATGAAAGTACTTTGCCACCCATCGCGCCTGTTCCGCGAGTACCACGCCAGACTCAGCCTAGTGCAAGATCGCTGAAACGTACCAGAGGAGACTGGGAAGAAGAAGAAGAAGGGCCATCGCATTCCTCACGCCCTCAATTCGGACGCGAAGCCACTAATGCTGGCACAGCAAGCAGCAAGCCCGAGTCTCTTGTGCGAAAAGCCACTGAGCCACTTGAATTTAACCCTGCGCCCGCTTCAAAGCGCGCTATGGGACGCGCAGACTTGAGCAAACCTGTATATGGAAGCCAATTACCGTTCCGTACACCCCGTTGTGCCCTTAAAACCCATCGCACGCCGCCGAGAAGATTTTCTACAACTCCGCTAACTTCCCCCCTGTTTGGGTCGCCGTCAGAAGAGCCGTCTCAGGGGGGATCACAAGAGTCGGAGTTAGTGATGACACCTGCTGGACCGGTGTCCTGGCATATCGAAGACACCAGCTCGATACCCGCTTCACAAATGGACACAGACTCGTTGGCTTTTGTGCCAGAAGAAATATCTTATTCCCAGCTAGGGCTTTCGTCTCAGTTTTCACCACTTGCCACGTCGCTTTCTACTGTCATACGATCTCCTGTCACCCCTAGTCGCGTTTCGCCACCATCTCAGGGAGGTGGTACCTTGGAGTCGTCGCATGTTATTCCACAAACACTAAATTCCAGCCGAGAACTCAAACGTGGCTTGAAAGCTAAGACGACCAAAATTTCCACCCAGACGTCCCCTCGTTACCTGCTGCGTCGACGATCCCTGTTATCCGTTCATGCTCCCACACGTTCACGGTATCCCCATCCACTGACTCCCACGAAGAAAGGAAGCCCAAAGGGTTCTCCGCAACCTCGCTGTAGACGTTTGCAGCGGCCTGTGCTAACGAGGTGAATTCTAGCTGACTAGATTCGGTTGATGATTGCACAAGTTGGATGGGTTTAAATTATTTCTATTGCTGTTGTTTCGACATACATTCGAGGAGTACACGGTCCGCAGTGATGCTCCATGTAGTTTTACATTCCCGGTAGTTGATGGACGATTTCATGTACACGTGTACCGCTATTAATCAGGATTCAAGACCGCAGAGTGATGTTCTCGTCTTCTTGCTATTTTGACTTGACCTGTGTGGAACGGCGAACGTGTAACTATATATATGGTAATGATGAGAATGGGTTGACTGAAGCAGAATTAGTTGATCCAGTTCTCCTCCAGGGAAAGCTCGGATGGGCACTGCGTCGCATGAACTAGTCCCGAAATGAAACGCCGATTCCCAAGTCAGGTGAGTCCGGGGAAAGCCAAGGTGATTACACTAGGGACGACCCTTTTTAGCTCATACTTAATAACAGATCATGATGGATTAGTCTACGCGGCTCAGATCTTTGCCGCAGCGGCTGCAACCCGACATCGCGACATGTGCAGTGGCAGTCTCAGACAATAAGCGTGGAAAGGTCTGGGCATAAACGTCGAGTAACGTCGGACACGGCTGTCCATTTTATTGATGCGACCAAAGCTAAATGGACTGTGTTGAGTAAGTTCAATTAGATCCCGATTGGATCCAAGAGTCACAGCCAAGCGCCCATCAAAATGAAAACTGAAATTTATGTCCTGCAGAACGAGAATGTTCCGCGAGTGGAGTCTCCACTGTTACTCCGACGCATGTGCAACAAGTGACTCCGACGAATGTGCAGATGTGACATGTACTCCGAGTCATATCATGGTGCCGAGCTCACTTGAGCGCGCTAAGGCTACTAGTAGGGGGACGTAAAGATAAGGTGAAGGCAGAACATAAAACTCGCGGTCAGCTACATCACAGTCGTGATCACTGGGGAGGTCGCTATGATCGGTCCGTACCAAGCCTAAGCACCATGAATTGGGTAATCGCTGGATAGGTCTTTGAAATTTGAACCTTGTTTCACTACACACGCCTTCTTCGCGTGACTCCCCCTTCATCTATATATTTCTATTCCCTCCCGAAGCCCTTCCTTCTTCTGCTCTTCCATCATGGCAGAACCTTCCTCCAATGTCACAGTATCCCTTCTCCCCGTATCCCTCTCCCTAGTACACATCCCTCGTTCTCGTCTACCCCAACTATCACATCCCGTCCTAAGGCAGATCCTCCAGCCAAACCCCACTTTCATCAATGTCACCTGCAATGAGATCGAACTTAGTCTTTTCGCAGAATCTCACATGCTAGCAGATTTCGAACCCGTCGCTAGACGAGACAGGCAAAGGCAACGATCTCGCTCTGGCTCTGGATCCGGTTCAAAGCGTCCTCACTCTGTATTGCCCCAAGACCACCTCGAAATATCCTACGAAAAGTGGAATGTTCTTCAGATTGACTCTCATTCTGATCAACTCGGTATGCTGTACAACCCCTATGAGCAAATTCATCAATTCACCAATGTTTAGACAGCTCCGGAGCTCGTATACATGAGCTCTCCGCACCGTTAGCTGCAGCTGGAATCTCTATCCTGTACCAGTCCTCTTACTTGAGCGACTTCATATTTGTACGTCATATATCAAATTATCCAGCACCTAGGCTTTCTAAATTGTAACAATCAGGTAAAGGAGTCAAGACTCCAGGAGGTCATGTCTTTGCTCGGATCAACGGGATTCGATCTCTATTCTTCTGACCCGGAACTACTCACTTCTAGAGTAGTCTCCCCATTGCTCTCCCCAGTCTCCCCCGACGACTCTTCCATCTCCGACGTAGCCCAGGATATCACTGTAGAATCCGGCGCAATTCTGACCCGCACAAGGAATAGTCTCGACCCCGTTTCTGCTGCTGCCATTAGTTTGCAGTGCATAAATCTCACGACATCACCTAACGACTCACCAACAAGCAGTCCGACTCATCATAAACCTCCATCACGTCACAAATCCCACTCCCCAACCTCGGGGGAAGTGCGCGTGTTGACTCCTAACCTTGCCTGTGTCGGCCTTTCTGATGACAGTGTTGACACGTGGGGACTCAAGATCGTAAAGCTCGTAGCGTTCCCCGAGTTGATCCCCGTCAAGGAACACCCCTCACGGTCACGCAAGTCACAGTCTCGCAACGCCCGCCCTACCGACGGAGTTCCGCTATCGTTGTCAAGTCGAAAACGATATTCAGATTCATCAGATTCATTTTTTTCTTCGAGCGACGATGAGGAAGAAGGTTACTTTTCTCACTCTCCTCTCGGTAACCTGTCATCCATTTCACTGCAGTCTTCCGCTGCTTCCCGGTCCTTCCCAGATCTATCTATTTCTGTCCCTTCTCAAACAGGACCTTTCAAACCCTCTGCAAAACACATCGTTGCACCACTTGCACCACTCTCTCCACTTGAACCAAAGCCAGCATCACATCGTAATCCCACTTTCCACCATATGGATCCATCGGCCACCATCAAGAAGCCTGTAGATGACACCATACGTGGCATGGTTCCATTTTTCAGCTTCACCCGTACACAAGAAGGCACCTCATTAACAACTGACGTTTCTCTTCTTGCCGCCCTATTTCCTCCGAATGAGCGGCACATGATGATTTGCGCTGGCGAACTTGATGCTCTTGATGCACAGAGTTCGAGTACAGATTCAGACTCCGAGGACGACGAGGACACGCTTTCATCAGGTGGTGCCCTTAAATGTTTGCAGATAGATCTGCGTAGATTCGGGCTTGGTACGCCATTCATTTATTGTCTTCTGGAAGGCATTGACACCTGTGCTTCTGTTCCACATAGATAAACATGGCTTAGTGAACCGCTTTTCACGGGTCTTGGAACAAAATGGTATCAACCACATGTATAGCTCGACCTATAAAACGGCTAATCTACTAGTGCGTATATCAGTTCCTTAATTATGCGCTTCGATGTGATGAACTCTGTTCTTGGGTAGGTTTCTAAAGCACACGCCAATCGTGCCCGAGCCTTACTGAAGGCTTGTTAAATTCCATCTCCGATCGCCATATTCGTTCGCGCTAGCAATCACATCAACACCACCAAAATGATCCAGGCAACGCCCGGTGCCGCCTGCATTTCGCACATTCAATCCCTTGGGTGACACCCAAAGAACTTAGAAGTACTTTACAAAACCCATATTTCCGCAAGCCCCGCTTTTCGTTTAGCGTTTACAACGAATGATACCCCCGTTTCTATATCATTATGGGCATCCCATGTTGCAGGTTCTTTTTGGTTTAAAACCCCCATTTTGCGTGTTGTAGCGTATGTCAGCATGTCTATGTCTCACTCATCGTCATCTAGTTGTTATTTTATTTCGGGCATTTACTATCCCAATGTTCTTTATGTACATCAAACCACACGCATACTTTTCAGGAATATTCTGTAGTATGTAGCATCTTGTATTGTTACCGCGCGACGAGGGTGCCTCGGTCATGTCTTGGGACGTAGTTGCCTTTAAGGCAACCAACAATAATTTCAATATGGTCGATGATAATGAGTGTGAAAAAGATGAGAATATAAAAATACAAAGAAGTATTGCGGGTATATATATGTGATGTTACTGCATGTGGGGCAGGTACCAACATATGTCGGGAAGTATATACGATGAACGAAAGAAGCCGGTTCACGCTAAGCGCCAATAGATTTAGAACGTTCGATAACAGACAGGTACCAATCATCAAACGGGGGAAGATCGTCTTCGTCCTCGTCGTCGGAATCTGGCGTGGGCGTCTCGCACCGAATGATAGAAAGACCAAAAGTCATTTTTTCTGAATCTGCAAGGTCATTGACGTCTGGGGTAAAATGCGGGTGATCGGTAGAAGCTGTGCGTCCCTTCTCGTGTGGTGTGAGAAAACACCCGTATTCGTCAAGGGACGGAGGTATGGTGATCAGATGACACTCCCGCGAGTGGTCAGAAGGTAAGCCACTGCTATCAGGGTCGTCTTGATGGTGCGGACCAGGGGCGGAGACGGTGGCGAGGGAAATGGAATTGATCGGAGGTGTCGAACTGCCCTTGGGATATACCGTGAGGTAGTCGTAATCTTGGTCATCGACCCTGTTGCCCCATGAGATCCACGGGTCAAGCGGCTCCGCCGCAATGATAATGATATGAGGTGCTCTAAAGGCACAGTCAGACTCTATGATAGAGACGCCTGAGAAATTTCTGGAGGCAAGTAGGATAGGCTGGAGAAGTTTTGGTGTCAGCCGGCGTAGAAGTTCATGCCCGACAATCTGCAACTTCGTACCTGAGCAAGATCTGTCCACACGAAGGGCCGTTCCAACAGTGATGAGGCCACTGATTCATTGAATCGCGTGCAAACCGCGGACGCCGAGAGGGATGCTTCGAATGCCTGAGAGGGAAGGCAAGCATTCAGCTGATTGGTTCGAATGAGGGATTTATAAGGCGGCTCACCACAGCTTTACGGCGGTGTCGGAATATTCCGTCCACTATTTTGCGGAATACAAGTCTTTCAATTGAAGAAGCTTGGACCTAATAGAGAGTAAAGGAGATGAGATGAGTGTCAAAGTGACATAAATGACACTAGCCGGCTTACAGCGAGATTAAGTTTCTTGCGACTGAACACGCGAAGGGGGATTTTCGGCCGAATGATACCAAAGTCGTCTGATGGGGCTACGGACTGTGAACGGAATTCGTTTGAATTACAGCCAGCTGATTCATCGTGGGATGATGGTAGAGGACGATGATGGTAGTACATGTGAGGGGATAAACGGGGCACGTTGAGAAAACATGGCCACTGAGGATCAACCCGGTTTTGATACGGTGTGTAAAAGTCGTCTGCACAAGAGACAGGGGGAGTGATAACTATATGGGGTGCGATGTCAGGATACAATGAGTCAAGCACGATGTTGCGACCATCCAGGCGCAAGTCGAGGAGGGTGTCCTGAAAGCGAGACATTGGAATGAGTAAAGAAAGAGAGGGAGAACACTCACATATTCTCTGTCCTCTTCACAGATGGAGTAGGAGCACACGGAAGAGTGAGAACCTACGGTCTCTAAATCTTCTTCGAGAACGATGTGGGAGTCCACAAACAGTTGCTCGGGAACGGATTCGATGGGTTTAGCTTCTGGGCCACCAGTCTTGAAATTATGTTTTCAACAAACCAGGACAACGTGACAAAGTGTGTAACGTACCATGTCATTTGTGCGGGAAAGTGGCTGAAAGGTGGTTGAGGTTTCTGGTGAAGAGAGAGAGGTAAGGCGCTCGTCTGCATCCGAAGGTGAGGCAGAGGCGCAGCTGGCATCTGACAATGTGCTTGCATTCTGGTTCTGAACGCCGGAAGTGTTGAAATTCACATGCGGCGCCGAGACCGCTGTGAATTCCTGGTGGTCCGATTGTGAATCTGGCATGCAGGTTTGTGTGATGGAGGCATCCTGAAGCAATGCATTAATCAGACTAGTATATAGCTGACCATGGAGCTTCGACTTACTTTGCTTGTGCATTCAGTGTCATTGTTGACTGGTTTGATGTCAGGGGAGTAGGCTGCGTCCAAATACGGCTCATCGAAGTTCGCGAGCGCGTGTAGCACACGTTCCCACGCCTTATTCCATCTTCTCTCCTTGAGCGCGTCGTATGAGAATACATCTAACATTGACTCTGGGACAGCCAGCATCGACTGTATGATGGTGAGTGCGAGCGCTATAAAGTTGCCCATAAGTGTAGGTGAGTCTATCGTTTGTATGGTGGCGCGTTATAAGGTCCAAGCAAGAATATCGGTATGACGCGTATTGGAGTATTCTTACTGTCCTGACGCGTTTAGCTAGACCTTTAAGTATCAGGACCCAGAACGCTTTGCTGTGGCCCAGCGGAGTTTCTTACACCTTTGTTGTAACTGTGGAAGTCCACATTTCTACACGCCACTCAACTCGATGCACACCGCACCCTTTGTGAACAATTATGGATCTGCAGTCCTGTGGCTTTTTCGGTTGGTCCGCATACTCGGAACTTGCCTTGGTGGATTCACGCGTCGTAAAAGCTGCAGCATGCTCTGGTCTAGGATACTTATCTTAGCATCTGACAGTCTATCGGAAATCGGACGTTCCTGTAGTGATATCAGCATGTGCGTCGGAGTCGCCTTTGCTCAGCCTGTTTCGACGGCTGGACATTTCTGCAGTCTGTACAATAGAGGCGGCGGGCCTCTTATTCCACAACAGGGCAATTATGATATTCCTGTAAGAACATAACATCCAGGGACCCACAAAATACACAGCCGGGTGGCACATACAAGTAGTCTTCTACTACTTGTTCAGTTGAGCTTCGATATTCAAGGCCTTGATCAGACATAACCTATCAGGGAAATGCCAGTGATATTACCACTGCACAGCCAAAGCTGCAAACCCAATACTAGAACTTTGACAGATCACAGGAACTGATAATCCGGCTGTGCCCAGTATATTGCTGCAGCGATAATAACAGTGTCGGTACAGTGCCCTCAGTCTTTGCCGTTAACAACGGGAAGATCTGCCTCATCCGACCTGCGTGCTGTCACCTTCGTAAAATCCCTCATAGAATAATCAGCTCCGGAGAACTGGTTCGTCGTCAATCAGTCAATCAATCCTCATACACGATAAGATAACAAACCTTCTGGCAAAGATCCCTAAGGTAACTGGGTATCATCCTAACCACCGGTGACAAATTCGTGTAAAACGGCAGAAAAATAGTTTGGGACTGCTGTGCATCAAGTGCAGTGATGATCGCCTTTACTACTGTCACTGGCGCGATGGATGGTACAAAGAACTGGAAGAAGGGGTTGGATGGCAGTCGGACAGTGGAGAACAGGGGGGTTAAAATGTGTCCTGGACAAACGATGGTGGTACGAATCCCCGGCGCATCATACCTAAGAGCGAGATGAGCATGGCACAGTATCATATGTAATTCATATACGTACACTTTGTCGAGCTCGTAACGCAGAGACTCATTGATGATCATCAGAGCTGCCTTTGATGCACTATAATCGGCTACAAGTATATGTCAGAGTAGTATTGGATGAAGCTTCTTGAAGCTTACCCATCCGGACACAGCCAACGAGGCCCATGACAGACGACATCGTCACCTGGGGTGGCAATTCATAACATTTCACCCTGACACATGAAGAGACTTACAATATGACCAGTTTTGTTTTTGATCATTCCCGGTAAGAACGCCTTCAAGGTCCAGAAATGGGCCAGGGTATTCACACCAAATGTCCTTCGTGTTACAACTAAGCTTCAGCACTCGAAAAAATATAAAATGACATACTGGTATACGTCCTCTGGTTTGAGATCGATGATGAGTTTCCCTTGCACAACGCCAGCGTTGTTGACAAGCATAGTAGGTTGCCCGATCTATGATGCAAACTTGAACATATGTCAACAAAAGACACAAGACAATATACCTCATCAATGATCTTCTTCGAAACGGCCTCGACCTCCTCCCACTTCGAAATGTCACATTGGTAATAAACGATGTTGTCTAGTAACAAAATTTGCATTGAATAGAAAAAATATAGGAGAGGGTGGCGCACAGTTTTCAGTTACTATCGGTTTGATATCAAGTACAACCACCGTGACGTTACGGACAGCGAGAGTGTTTGCTAATAGTTCTCCTACTCCCGAAGCGCCTATATTCGTCTTAAGTCATGGAAGCGCTCGATGCAACTAATAAGGGTCATACCTCCAGTGATGACCACAATCTGTTCGCTCCAATCTAAGGGTTTAGGTTTAAAGAAAAAGCTCCCTTGATTACGATACAGCTGTGAGATCCACTTCAAGAGCCCTGCCTGTATGTTAGTATCAGAAGCGCTCGTATTTCTGAGGACGCACAGAAAGCAGAAACAGCTGCGCAATATATGGATGGAATGAGCACGACTGGATTTACGAACTCGTAACCTTGAAAAATATAGAATATGGGTATGAAACACGTAAAGAAGGGACCTGTGGATAGACAATACATCAACATCTAATCACGGGGATACGGATGACAAGTGCACGAACTGAAAGCTGTCTGCGACAGGACTTTGACAACCATGTCGATATCTACGCTGTCATAGATTGGCGCAGGATCATAGCTGGATGATGCACTCATATTTAAGTCGGCCGGAATGAAATATGTCTTGACGATGACACCAGATTATAGTGGGTGCAGTGGGCGGCTGAGAAACTCGATGATACGGTAAAAAGATAGAATAAGAAGACAGGCTAGCGGCTGTACGGCACAGCCGATAACAGGAGAGAGAACGTTGAATGAGACTCCGTCTGATGGGCAGTGAGAGGGTTGTGCGTCGTTTCAGCCTTAGCACCGGCCGTGAGACCATTTATTGCTCATTGCATCAGCCCATCACTGATTCACTGTTGCGGGCCACAGCCATGGTTGCAAAAGTTTGAAACGAGATGAAGGACGACGGTTGAAGCTTAAGGTGAATAGAAGTTCGAGTTTATTTGAAGAGAATATTAATCTAATGAAAGACGCGATATGATTTCAGACAGGCTCTATGGTTCTAATGGTACTACCCCATGCAGACTCCAGAAGCTTTTGCAAGTCATCCGAGTCCCCATGTGTCTTCACGCGTTCCATCATGTATCCACTTGCATACCATTGGAGCTCATTGGAGTCGTATTAACGTTTGGTATACTATTCTGTTTGGCCTACTTTGCAGTCAGTCGAGTCATCGTCAACTTGAACATCTCTTCTCTTTACCTCCATCCCTGCGTTTTCAGTCATTCATTAGACAGGTGCCCGCCAGCCATTAAATTTGATAACTAGCATCGAGGGCGTCTTCATCCAGGGACACAGTACGTTCGCGCTCCCAGAATCCTGTCGTGTTTCCTCATCCAGTCGGAACGATATTAACTATATTTATAACTCGCACAACAGATGGGGGTTGAAGCAAGTCGCCCTCCGGCTACTGCTCCCATCGGCTCTTCAGAAAAGTCAGCGACTAAGGTCGCAAATACCGCTCATGCTCCGTGCGCAACCGTGACTGCTGTCAGCGCAGCCTCCATTGGCGAGATTACTCCGGGTCATGTTAAAGCAACTTCCGTGAGTCGCTCGCTGCTTTGACATGTACCTTTATCGGGTCCTGAGAATCTGCAACAGAGGGCCGATGCGACTGCGTCTAGGAACAAGGTCAGATATTTTGATGCTTTGACTTTGAGATGACTTAATTAGGATCTCCACAAGGCGATCATGCATGAAGACAAGACTAATGTTATTGTGCCTATGCCAGACCATGTTCAGCTTAACACGTCCAGCGCGGTGGATGCCGTGAGTGCCTTTTCTACATCTTACCCTGAGTTACCACATCTTCATGTTGAGTTTGATAAGACCGGAGCCACTAGCATAGAGGTATGAGTTTCCAGAATATCTGAAGTCCTCGGAATTGGACATTTTACTATTTTAGACACTCGGCTTTGATTGCCCATCAGTCACCCGCCAAGAGGTTAGTTTTACTCACGGTCTTTGCGGGACTACTTTCACGCCACATGCTTACAGACAAAATGCAACCAAGACTTTTATGTTCCGGAACCTGTACTACACAGACCTCCGTGTACACCGGGAAATGAAACTGTCGTCTCCACAGGCTCCGGCGCACCAGGGGTACCGGTAAGTAACTGTGGCCGTTCATCCTCATCTTATCTTACAAAGTCTAATCTTTGCAGAATATTACTCCGCCATTAATCGAAAGACAATTATCTGTCATACCCAAAGAGGAATTTGTGCCTGTCGAACACGTCCGTAACATTGAACTAATTGGTGCCTACGACGCTAACATTGACTTCAGCCGGCCAATAATTCCCTAGACTCAATTTCATCTGCAATCATTCCCGACTCATTTGAAGCATCAGAATCGCTGTCTAGTTTGTCTCCTTGCAAGAACAGCATTATCGTGAGTGTTCCTAGTTGCCGGTTTTTCTAACATTCGCCAATCGAACTTCAGATACCCGATGTAGCATCTACAAATAATATTCGTTCCATCCTTGAATCCGCCACTGAACACAGCATGGAGAATACCGACAGGACCTATACAACTACTCCTATCAAGTCCGAAGGCACAGAGGTGCCTGTTGCTGTTACATATGCGGACGCCACAAACGTAAGTCGTTATCTTATTGTTTATGTCTCCATCCGCGGGGTTTCACAATAAAAATCACAAATATAGTTAGCCGCACGATATCCAGACCTAGCCTCTCAGATCCTTGTTTCCCCACTGCGGCAGCGCACCACACGTCAGGAACTTGCCTTGACAGCCGAACATGATTTGATCGAGGAGGACCCGCCAAGCAAGCGAAGGCATCGTCGTCACCGCAGGCACAGGAGTAAACGTTCTCGGAAAAATCAAGAAGAATCGCAGCAACAAAGTCGAGGATCCTTGCGGACCCCGGGACCTGATCCTTCTCTATCCCCCCACAAGGATCCCAGTCCCATTTCTGCATTGGTCGATCCGAAAGGGACCTCCGGATTTCATTCTGCGTATGATTCTCGGCAGCCGGTTTGGTTGGTCGATTCTGCGCTGTCGAATCCATCTGTGAAACGTGCCCCGTCGTTCCAGACGAATCGGCATATGGTTCCAGCGACACTACAAGAGAGAACGCGCAACTACCAACGAGAAAGTGGAGACACCAACTGGAACGCTCCCGCAGCCGAAATCCAGGCTTCGACTTTGCCTCCTATGAGATTTGCAACGCCCAAACGAGCTCCTGTCCAAGAACAACACATCGCTATGCTTCTACAGAGCGAAGAGCGTGCTGGTGCTACGAAGGCTATGGATCTGGCGACTGCTTCTATCGGGCGACGTTCTAGTAACGCGGAGATGTTGCTCACGGAGCTGTTTCGCAAGGCGATGGAGACAAGTAGCCCCTCGGCGACGAAGCATAATCCTCTTAGGAAATGTCAAGCTGAAGGGCCAGATTCTATCAAGGTACTCGTAGCAGAGACTGCACACCCAGTGAGTCAGGCGGAGAAGATCATGGAGGGAGACTCTCCTCGGGTCAAACTGCCAGCCCCGTCGACGCCTCCAATGAGGACATCTCCTAACCCTACACGCAAGTCCCCAACGGCGTGGATGGAAGAAGATCACACTATACGCCAGAGTTACACACCCCCGGGCGCGCGGACGCAAGACCACACTTTACGCCAGAGTTACGTGCTTCCAGCAGCACGGACGGAAGATGATTATATTGCACACCAGAGTTACTTGCCCCCAGCAGCACGGGCGACAGAAGATCACGCTACACCCCAGAACTACATGCCTCCTCACCAGCGCCTTAATAAGAACAAGTATAACACGATAACTACGCAGAAATTGAAGCCGCATATCCACCACCACGCTTCTTCGCTGAATAGGCATTCGAACCCTTGCACGCCGCCTTCTCCAGGCGCAATTGAGTTACTAGAAAGAAGTGAACGTATCCGTCATTTAGAACGACTTCTTTCAAAAGAGCTGCCGATCAGCACCCCCGGGCTTACTATGCCGTCACTCAAGCCGGCCCAGATGCTGCAGCCCATCGGACCGTGGCGAGCTTCTGACGAAAAGGCGTTCCATGAGCGCGGCGCGATCAGTCCCGGTACCAGCACCAATGAGTCCTTAGATCTCGTGCGCGTAATGCAGGCGATGGGCTTGGACATCTCTTCAAGGAAAGATACTTTGGCTTCGCTCGGGAATAGCAAACCATCTGTGGTGGAGCATAACAGCTTCGATGGCGTGCGAAGGCAGTCAGGTACAACGATGGAGAATGCCGTCGTGCGGAATGACTTTGCACGCGCGGTTCGTTCACAGGGCTTGAGGTCGCCACGCGGAGGCGGAGGATATAGGAGTGTGAGCGGTGAGTCATTGGAGACGGACATACAGTGGACACGCTATACATAGATGACGGCGAAGGTCCTAATTACTTTGAGACATCATCTTGCGACCTCCATTGGCGCTGGTAATCTTACATTGGCCTGTGCACATCGTATTTGGGCGGATGAGGTCGGGTGTACTCAATCAATCAATATGATATGCACCGTGTGGAATGATTGAGAAGGACAAAATTTGGCAGCGATGATGCAGATCATACACGCTGGTCACGTGCGGGTAAGTGTGTGAACTGCAACCTTGTTTCAGAACAGAAAGTCTATTTTCGGAGATTAAGTGTATATCCAATTTGGAAATGAAGTCTGCCTCAAACGTCGCGTCCTTTTGTTTATTTTTCGGTTCTGCCTTTGTGCTCTTGTTCAGCTAAGAGGATCCTCAGTAGTAGTAGGAGATTTCCCAGCAACAACTTAAGACCGTAATAGATACAGTCATTTGTAAATTTAAGGTCTTTTACTTGCCTCTTCGGTTTCGTGATGGAAGAATAAAGTTTTGGATGTACTCCGTTAATCTCAGCACCTAGTACAGGTAACTATAGGCTCAAGCGCGTGGTAACGCCACCTTCTACGTTCTTTCTACTCCCAACAACCATGGTGTATTCAGCAGGCAGCGGAGACCTCACCCTTTCTCCAGAGTCGAAGGCGAGCTTGTTGCCTCGTAATAGACACACTCTTTCGCAGTCAGACAGAGTACAAAGTTTTACAAGTATATCGGTGAGCCCCGTCCGTCCCACTGGGGTCCATGATCGCCTTTGAGCACGTTTATAGACAGAGTCACCGTACACTGCTGGAGCAGGTTCGAGGTTGGCTACAATATCAGACCGTGTATGTGGAGCTCTCCTGGATCAGCCATATGCGCCCAAGTTGACTGACTGCATGATTAATATTTGCAGTTTCATTTATCGCCGGATCCTCGTGAATGGGGCTTGAATTTATATAATGATTGCAAGGAACCCGACGATGACCTTCACAATCCCAATGTCAGGGATCACAACACTTGGGGTCCTGATCGCGGTCTAGCAAATATCGGTTGCCTGCTGGTTCTGGGCATCGGATTAATCACGCTTTTGTGAGCGTTCTCAGTTATTCAAGTGTTTTGCATTCGACTGAACTTGGATGCTTGCAGCGCTGGATATCCAATAATAACTTATTTCACGGGGACTGCGCTATCGAATCAAGGCGGCTTCAACCTAGGAGGAATAAATGCAAGTGGACAAGTAAGTATTCTTATTGTCTTCGAATTTCAGTAATTTAATGGCATCTCGCTCGTTAGATACCACAAATTCCTGGAAATTTGGGCCTAATCGATACCGAAACACCCAGTAACGTGTTTACCAAGCCCTCCTGGAATGGTGGGCCGGACTTACAGCTCGTCTTCTCTGACGAGTTCAATACTCCAGGAAGAACATTCTGGCCAGGCGATGATCCATACTGGGAGGCGGCTAATTTACATTACTGGGTAACTTACTTCAACATTGCCCATGCTAAGATGCTAATGGTCATCCCAGCAAACGAACAACCTGGAGTGGTATGATCCCGAGGCGGTCACCACACAAGATGGCTACCTTGTAATAACATTGTCTCAAAAGGAAACGCATAACCTAAACTATCAGGGCGGTGAGTACTTGATAATCTACGATGCTTCTAGGCTGTTTTAAAAATCTTCAATCCTTGTCCAATTCTCAAGTTGCTCATACCTGTTCTTAATAGGCATGATATCCACATGGCAAGTGCTCATCTGGCCAGCATCTGGTGAACCGTCTTATTTGTATGCAGGAACAAATTCTGTTTCACCGGTGGATACATCGAAGCGTCCGTCTCATTACCTGGTGTGAACAACATAGTTGGTAAGAGAGCATGTCATAATCATGACCATGCATAAACAACGTGTACCACAGGATTATGGCCCGCTATCTGGACACTAGGAAATCTTGGTCGAGCCGGCTATGGTGCAAGCTTGGAAGGAATGGTCCGTCATTTATCCTTCTCTCTGTTCTCACTGATTGGTTTGACCATGGTTCACAGTGGCCATATACCTACGACGCCTGTGACGTCGGTACCGCACCAAATCAAACCTTTAACGGCCTTCCACTCGCGGCTACTCAAGGCGGAGACCCAACCGAAGGCGGGGTCTTGTCTTTCCTCCCTGGCCAGCGGCTCTCGCGATGCACTTGCAAAGGCGAGTCTCACCCAGGTCCTATGCACTCAGATGGGACATTTGTCGGGCGCGCTGCTCCTGAGATCGACATGTTCGAGGCACAGGTATGGTTCGGTTTATGCATTAATCGAACCAATGATCTGACAAACCTCAGATCACGGGTGACCCTCTTACAGGTCAAGTTTCCCAGTCAGCACAATGGGCTGTATGTGTGCGATATCTTATGACCGAAGGCAGAGCTCACGTATCCCTCAGCCTTTCAATGCTGGTTACATCTGGCTAAACACAAGCAGTAATGAAATAATACCAAACCCGTCGGCCACAGTTCTGAATACCTACATTGGTGGAGTGGAGCAGCAGGCTACCTCCGGCGTGACAACCACGAATCAAGGTTGCTATGAGGGTGAGACAGGGTGCTTTTCGGTATATGGTTTCGAGGTTCGTTTGTGACATGACATTGATCATTCGCTGACTGATCTTACTTCAGTATGTTCCTGGCTTCGAAAACGCGGTTGGTATTTCCCAAAATATCAAAATATCATAAGTTAATTGCTCCACAGTACATAACATGGATAGCCAACAATGAAGTTGCATGGACCCTGAACGTTGCTGGCATGGGACCGGATCCTACTGTCAACATCTCCGCTCGGCCCATACCGCAGGAACCAATGGTATGCCCTTTTGCATTTCAAAATAGTCACGAGCTCACTTTTTCTAGTACATCATCATGAATTTGGGAATGTCTACTAATTTCGGTACTGTCGACTTGGCTCACCTGCCCTTCCCTGTGCACATGCGTGTGGACTACATCCGTGTATATCAGCCATCAAACGCACGAAATATTGGGTGTGACCCGAAAGATTTCCCAACAGCAGATTATATTAACACGTATGTTTCCTGCTTATTCGACTTAATGGGGGGATTCTCATATCTGTCAGGTACATTGAGGCATATACCAATCCAAACCTTACCACTTGGACGAATGACTATAAACAACCTTTCCCCAAGAACTCATTCTTAGACCAGTGCTAGCTTTTCTTGCCTGTCATTGTCGACCTATCATCACGTCTGCGACGTTGCTTCTCTTTATCCCTTTGCTGTATCGGTACAACTGCATCTGACTTTAACACATTCCCCTTTCCCATCCTCACATAGTCACCCATAGCTTGTTTGCATGTCGCTTTTCGCCCACCGTCCTCCATGCATGTGGCCTACTTGGCCCATGACTATTTTTGTTCATCTAATCGTCCTGCTCAATGCGATTCCACTGAATCCACCTGATGCATCATCATTCGTTCGGGTAGCAAACCTATATATGTCAATGGAAACAGCATATTGTCTGTACAATAAATAAGACAACTCATACACCTGCCAGTGCGAGCTTTGATGGCTCGCTCGAAGTGCGCGGTATGCCTATGCCGGGTAAGAATGAGCGTCTGTTGAGAACGAGACCTTTGAGTGCGCGTATCTCACGACGAATTTCGTCCACGTCGGTGTTATTCGTCGTGAGCGAGCTGCTAATGCCGCGCATGTGGGTCCCGAACGCATATGTTTGGGTGGCGATGTACCCGGTGAAATCTGCGAGTGTTTGAAGGGTTCGTTGTGCAGGGCGAAGAGGTACTGTTTCAGTTCTGGAGAGCGGAGGAGCTGCTGCTTTACGGGGAAGCGCTGCTTGTAAAGTGTCAAGGGCGACGATCATGGGCGGAGGGAGTGATATTGGCGGAGGAACATATGACCAGAGGAGGTGAGAGGGATGCTCAGGGATAGACGAGGAAGAAGAAGATTGTGGTGAGGTGGAAGTGAATAGAGGGGATTTATTGAGTGTCTGCCAGAGGTCATTCTGTATGGCCAGATAAGTTTATGACGTCAAAGGCAGATAAAGTACGGACCTGACATGCAGCACCTCGCTCTCCCTTCAACCATGGAAGCTTGGCTTCTAGATGATCAAATAGGTCCCCTGTACTTATTCCCTCGGTACTTTCCTTCGAATGAGTCAGTTCCTCAATAGCAGAGCGTAAGATTGAGACGTTTGAGGTGTCACTAGCATCCTCGTCGTCAATGTCTGCCTTGCGGCGACATGCGAGGATATCATCTAACGAATGACAGTCTGCGCACTCTGGCTCCTCTTTATATATAATGGGTGTTGGTAGGTTGACAAAACATTCCGCTTGTTTCTCCTTGAATGTGGCGAGGGATTCGTTGAGACGGAGCAGGAGTCCGGACTGGTGTGCACGGAGTGCACGACGAGCGTGGTAAGTTTGGGAGATTCTCGGTAGTAAGAACCGCTTCGAACGAACGTCAGCCGTGCTTTAATATGGAGCGATGGAGCGAGGACTCACGTAGTAGATGAATAGGACGAATGCAGAGCTACCGGCGAGCCATGTCAACATATGCGCAATTCCAACAAGCATATTTGGGAGATTGGATGGAGGAGGCTGGGGATATGTCCGTGGTGGTACTGGTGGAGGCTAAGTGCTCATGAGTGACTTGAATACACGCCAACTTGATCACTTACGATTTCCCGGAGTAGTGAATAGATCTCGTCTTGTGTAAGCCCCTTCTCGACGAGGAACGCATGTTTGGAGGTATCGTCTTGCGAGCGGATATGGGGAGTTGATAGGAAAGTGCGAGCTCTTGCTATTAGTTCTGAGCGGTCGACGGACGGTTGCGGGGTTTGATCAGGTTTGGTTTCTGGTACCGGCTGTGCCAGCTGTTTGTCCGCATCACTTGAGGAAGCTTGCGTTGAAGCCTCAGCTTTCTGATCTGGTTCCATAACACTGACACGGTCTGCTGAAAGGGATGTTATTTGTGACTGGAAGCTACAGTGCTAAGTAATACTAACAAGGGGATGTTTATTTGTTTCTGAAGTCCTAGCCAAACAAATCGTGTGCGTGACTCAAACTACTAGCTTACTGCAGTACTCCGATTTCTTTTGTTGCATGTCGCGTCGTAATTTAACGGTTTAAAGTCGCCTAAAAATGCACATCATTAATGCATCGATAACTACAAGATGTCTTCAAAGGGCTTCGGATTCCAGTACGACTTCCACAGTGGCTTCCACTGCTCTGGCACCAGGCAATTGAATGGGTCAACAGCTGGTTTCCATCATCTCATAGATGAGGTCGTCACCGGGCCAGGTGGGGCACCACAACAAAACAAACCTTTCTGTGTTATGCAACATTACTCAAATGTTGCTGGAATCTTACCCTCGATGAAGTACATGGACTCATATGATGAACTGCCTTGTGTAAGGACGCTGGGCAAGCCCGGCCACTAGTACTCATCTTCGACTTGACTGTTGGATAGCTTGTAAAATATCAACTCAGGTGGCCAGATGACAAGCGGCATGTCCGGATGGCTGAGAGGCCTCCCCGGCCCATCCTGTAACTAAAATGCAAGGTTAGTTAACCGTTATGGTACACCAGTGAACCGTTACCACCGAGATATCTCACAGTTATAGTTAGGATAAGGAATTTCCTGGATTTCACGCGATAAGGCCTGACAGGGCATATGACCTCATCCGTTATCGCCTAATGTGCCAGGTGAGAGAGTATTAAAGGAGGATTCACAGTCTTGAGAATAGCCATTCTTTACCATGGGTGAGATCCAGCGGAGAGTCGCCATCATTGGCGCCGGGTAAGTATCGCTTTTGATTTCATTCTACACCAACTGAACATTTGGACCGCGCGCAGTGTTGCCGGGTTGACCCAAGCTATTGCTCTCAAAACCAAACTCAAATTTCACAATTTCACAGTGGGTGCATCCATGCAATGAGTGGTATGCTCGCTGAGTATTTTGATAGATATTTGAGAAAGGGTCTGAAGTCGGTGGAGTGTGGCGGGTACGTTTTTGTCATGTACCAAACATTCTCCTGACATTCTTTCCACAGGCTAATACATATCCTGTACATATTATAACGACTGAAACTGTAACACATCGCTCACCTTGAAGATTTTTCTAGGGATGCTCGTCGGATATTGACATCCATTGGTACAGCTTATCAACAGACCTTTACCCATATTGGAACAAGTCTCATGGCCTTCAACCGGAGATTCAAGCCTACTGGATTGAGCTCTCAAAGAAATATAATCTATATCCGCACATTAAATTCAACACGAGGGTGCTATCTGCGGAGTGGGATGATGCCAAACAACAGTACACCGTCATCGCGGAAGATATCTTTTCAGGCAAGAAGACGACGAGTGTGGCCCATGTCGTAATATCCGCCCTTGGTATTTTGGAGGTCCCAAATCTCCCATACGAGATCCCTGGAGTTCGGAAGTTTCAGGGAGCTTCATTTCACTCTGCACAGTGGCCAGGCTCGATGGATTTGCAGAATAAGCGTGTTGCGGTGATTGGAAATGCCTCTTCCGGGTGAGTTATATAACTTCTGCGCATTCATTGTGTGGTGGTTTAGACATATGACAAGAGCACAATTCGTGCCATCTATATCTGCAGATCCATCTGTTGAAGTAGTGAACTTCATCCGCACCCCGACCTGGTTCGTCACCCGAGTAAGAGCCTTCATACTACGTTCAATGACTCGACAACTAAATAAAACATCCAAGCCACATGTTCCGTACTCGGACGCTGCGAAATGGATTTTTGCTAACATCCCTCTGGTGATGCGACTGCATCGAGCTTGGATCATGTTCTGGGTCGGGTCGGGCCTCCTGCATCACAGAATTTTAGCTTGTTGACATTTCTTACAGTTCGTTGCTCCCCTTCACTTACCCATGGGTGATAAAACTCTCCAGAAACAACGTGACGTGAGTCGGGGTTGCGAGACTGGGTGTGTGATCTAACGCTTCTACTTAGTCGATGACGAAGTACATCCTTGATAACACACCAGATAAATATCATTTTCATATGATACCTGATCACCGTACGTGTCTGATCAGAGAATCTTGTTTGTGCTCACATGTTCCACAGCTCCAGGCTGCAAGCGGACTGGTTCGTCGGCAGTAGTCAAACTTGCACGATATTCCCTTTCTCATTTCATTCCATACAGTCGCGGACAATGGTTTCCTGGAAAGTCTCTATCGCTCTAACGTGACACTGAACTTTGACGGAATCGCCGAGATAGTGGAGAATGGCATCATTACGAAAACTGGTGTGTGGGCCGTCAATGATACGATCACTTTCCTTACATCAGTTTAGGTGAAATGTTGCCATTTGATGTCATTGTATACGCGACCGGATTCATTGGCGTGAGTTGCTATACATGATCCAACATTCCATTGGATATCAACTGCAGAAACAGGAGCGGTACCCGATGCACGTTCGTGGCTGGAATGGAGCTACTGTCCAAGGCTATTATGATGCGCATGGTGGCCCTACCGCATACATCGGGACTGCGATTCCAGACACACCAAACTTTTACTTGATCAATGGTGAGTTCAGAGAGAAAGCATGCTGTCATCAACTGTCGCCTGAGATAATAATCACAGGACCAAATACTGGAACGCGAATATCGGCGTTGTTCATTACAGAAGTGCAAGTAGGTACACCTTTATTTTTGGATCTTTTTACTAAGTTTGTCGGAAGGTTGCATACATCCTCCAACTCATAGAGCCGGTCCTTACCGGATCTGCCTCATCTCTCACTATCAAAGCCACTCCCACAGATACATATAACGCCAAGCTACAAGAACAGCTCTCTCGCTCGGTCCACGTACACTGCCAATCTTGGGCGCGTACGAACGGTACAGACAAAGTATTTTATCCGTTTCCTTGGCCTGCGACGGTTTGGTGGTGGTTACTTCGTAGACCGAATTGGAATCATTATATAGCAGTCGGCGCCGAGAAATGGGTATGGGCAAGGCGAATCAAGGCTGTTAAGAAGTTTTTGAAATGCAGCGCAGTTCTGACGCTATTGTGGTCATACATCAGCTTGCGCAGCGGATATGACACGACATGGTGGTGAGTCCATCATTGTTCTCTATGCTTATCGATTAAATGATCTCTATCTTTAGGCAAGTGATTACCGTGACTTGTGGCTACTTGAGTAAATTCGCCCTCCGTCCTTGAGGTGCCATAATTTACGAGACACATCATGATTATGTGAAGTACTGGACGGCTTGTCCCCTGCCTGATCTTACAATGAACGTCACCTGTGTGTGGAATTTGCACTTCAATAAAAAGTCGGTGGAGAGCAGTAATACGAGCTCGCGCTTGCGCATTCCGGCAAACTCGTTCAAAATTGCTTGCCAGTGGACATGGTTCAATTCTCGCAAGACTCGAGGAAGCTCGTAGTCAAGTCAGGTGCAAACGGTCATTGGTTTTGAAGTATGGGATGTCCGAACCCAGAAATTGGATCTCATCACAGCTAAATGTACTAGCTGGGCAATGTCACGTGTGCCCATGTCGAGGACAAGACCATCGTCTCGGCTGCCGCTTTTAACTTCGAGGATGATGTCGAGTTGGGCTATGGCCACCACAAACCCCGGTCTAGAGCCAAGACGATCTATGATTTTGATGCATCCACGCTAGAGACTGTCGAAGCTCCCTTCGAAGGGCTAACCGACAACATCTCTGGTCTAGCACTTTCATTCTATTGTGCTCATCTTGCTAGCGCTTCTTGGGACAACACCATCAAGCTATGGGCCTTCGAGTCTCATCAGCTGCTCGCCTCATTCAACCCCGGCATCCTCCCGACTGTCTTGCTTGCACAAGAAGTACAGCCTGATGTATACATACACGTGCATTCATTTATTCTGTTCGTGTGCTAACATTCTCTTTTAGACAAGCGCAGTTAGAAATCTTCGCCTCGTTGATTTACTCAATGTATGTGACCAACTATTCAGCCACACCGCTCTACTCAATGTCATTATAACAGTCCGACGCAGCACGTTGAGCCCTTATCTACTTCCCATAACCCTGTCCTTCGACCCAGCGCATTTCAGCTGGACCGTTAATCGCTGACATTTACTTTCCCCTCCGGCTTACGTCACGGCATTCAACGGATGTCAAGGACTGACGCTCCAGAAAGCCGTTCTTAGCCTCCGCTCGGATTCGTTGGATTTACAACGAGGAGAAAACAATGCGACATAAATAATTCAGTCACAAGTTATACATTCAAGGGCACTCCAATTTCTCTATCCTAAAATCTTCATTGCTCGAGCAGCAGCAAAAATTGTTCAGAAACAAGTATTTCCGCAACAAACTACTTACATGTTGGTGCCATTAATCACACGACACCAATGAGAAAGCAAAAAAACACGACTCACGGCAGCTCATTTCTCACACATATTTACGTAGTAAGGCTACCACGCCAGTGAGTCAACAAATTCTGGATGGAACTACTCATACTCACCTCATCAAACTTCAGGTCCAGTACTGGCACGCAGTCATAGCCATTACAGCAATCTGCCTTTGAGTTGCAAAGGGCGCCCTCTGAATAGCATTCAGTGTCAGCACTGACAGTCATAGACATTGTCAAAGCAGCAACAACGGTGAGGACAACTCGGAAAGAGAGATGCATGATTTATGAGATGTGATATGGAATCTCGGAAATAAATTGGTAGGAAGACGGGGTGCGTTTATGTCCTAACATTATTCTGCGCAGGACTTATAACAGATAACATTTGCCATGTCAGCAAATTACTGATAGAAATGTGTGCCGTAAGTACGTCGCCTAGCGCAACAAACTACTTATCTGTTGTGTGGCAATCAATCACACTGTACCAATTGGGAAGCAAAATGGTCCCTGCCACGCCGGTGAGTCCATAAATCTTGGATCAAATCACTCATACTTACATCTGGGTCGGCTTCGTTTGGCATACATCCATTGCCAGGAGTCCTTATCTGTGGTGCAAAGGCCGCCAGCGTATTGGCATTCACTGTCAGCACTGACAGCCATAGACACTGCCAAAGCAGTAGCGACGGCAACGACTCGGAAGGAGAGACGCACCATCTGTGAGATGTGATATGGAATCTCAGAAATAAATCAGAAAGGGAGACCGTAGGAATATGGCTTGCCTGTAAGTATATCCTGAATATTATTCCGTGCAGACCCGGCCGCCCTACCCACCCCTTCAAACCATTTACAACGCCAGCAGATTGCCAGCAGACTTCAATTTTGACTCAGCTATTTCCGGTATTTTATTGCAAGGCAGAAGAACAGGGCCCGGATATAGATGGGGCCTACCTGTTATCCGAAAATTCAGGATTGATGTCCGGACAGGTGGCTCAGGAATCCGGAAATGAAAAATCTGTTTGTGCAGGTGGATCAGGCTTATTTGAAGTTACCTGAGTCAAGGCCGCTCAAAAATGACTGTTAGCACTGCTTAAAGGCACATCGTCGATGTAGAAATTTGGTACTGTGTAGATACATGCGTGCAGCGTATTAGACACACAATCCAATCCTTGTTTAACACATCTAATAACGACCCTCGCGTCTTGTCGGATGGAAGCATAGCCCTTGATTTACTGCCTGTGCGTGTTTCAACACACAAGGTCATTGGCAAGGTGAGGTGCACATTGCGTGTACATAGACTGGTCACGAGTCTAGCGTGTACAGGCCAAGTCAGTCCCCACTAGTATCACCACCGCTTACAAGATTTGACATACGACAAAGAATCTTGCCCAGATGTATGTGTCTCAACAGTCAATTGTTGCAATTTCCGCAAGGTGTGCTCTTTACACAGCAAAACTATGTGTCGTACAGGAATATAATTCACAGAAATGCGTGTCGTGCATGTGCACTGGCCGCAACGCTGTGCTCGTTGATGGGGGGCAAACCCAAGCTTCCAGGAATTGGCACGACTTTCTCCTCTCTTCATGCATTTTCTCTTGTTCTTCCCTGCCAAAAATGAACGATGTACTTGAGTAGTCGTCAACATTGATATGATTATTGCGGGGATATCCTGATACGAGACCGGCGAGTGTAAGGCAGCGTTACAGTCGCGATGAAACACCTGTCATGACCGGAAGCACAAGATCATAGCTCTCAGCACTGACCCATTCGATATCGAAGCGCAGTGACGGATCGCGAGGCATGAGATGCTGCGATATCAAAGCTGCTATGCGGCATCTGTGTTAAGGTCCTGTAGGCGAACCTGGAATGTGTAGATATTAGTAACTATGGGCACGGAAAGGGTCGTTTACAACAAACTTACTCCGACGGAGTCCTCAGATGCGCCCTAAGCCATTCGACATTTCCCTACTGAAAGTTGACAGTTTGGCGGTAAAACGACGGGAGGATGCAAGCGCGGTGAACTCCGACATGTTGACATAAGTAGTGAAGATGTAGCAGGATGGCATCTGCCAAAGAATTGGCTCGTAGAACTTGACTGTCGATGAGAGTAGACGCGCACGCGCGGCTCGGGTATCAGAGGACCTCTGGGTGTAGGATAGAACGCATGCAGAGCTCGAACTGGGGCTGGGTAGGTTTGAGCGCTCGAACACGTAAATAGTATAATTGAGCGCTAGAACGTGAGAAGCAGAGGGCTGAGGTTCTTATTCGAGAGGCGGTAGATACGGCCATGTGCCCATCATTTTCAGGTTGCAGCTATTATCTTGGTAAGATGATAAGCCCTATCCGAATCCCCGGTGCAGATGAACTGACAATTAGCTTGAGCAGGGAAGTGCAGCAGCGCTCGAACAAGGTGGGCATTTTCTGAAACTTTGATGAAGCCAACGGCACGCAAGAAGAGCTCACCGACAGTCCTTTGAAGTGGCATACTCTGAAGACATTGACCATGGCCTCCAGCTCGACGCAGCCCGGCGCAACATTAAACGAATTGATTCTGACACCAATCATGACCTTGAAAGGTCATGAACCTTTCAATTGCTACTACGTTTCATCCATGTGCTACTTTCCAGATGGCAAGCAAATGATCAGCGGATTAGGGGATAAGACTGCTCGACGATGGGACCTGTGGGCTGGCAAGGAGATTGAGGAAGCGCGAGAAGTCCGTGAGCAGAAAGCAAGTGCAGTGGAGGTATCAAGGGATGGTCAATTGCTGGTGGAGATGTCAACTGCGGGGAGCTCAAAGTCTGTGATGTCAAGACCGGGATCGTTAGAACATTTGAAGACCCTTCGAGAGGGCAGATCGACTGCATTGATATCTCTGCAGACAACACCCTATTGGCGTGCAGGTCGAACGATTTCACAGTGCGGATATGGAGCTTGACACTGGCAAACTCTCAGCTGGCCCATTCAGGAATGATAACGGGACCGGGATGGGTACGGTTCGATTCTCGCGAGACTCGAAGAAGCTTGCATTCAAGTCAATTGTGGCAAGCTGGCTTGACGTGTTGGATATTGAAACACAGAAAGTAGATGTTAGAGTGGGGAAAGAAACTCATAAGGGCGTCATGTCCCATGTGCCGATGTTCTGGACAACCAAAGACAAAACGATCGTGGCCGTATTGAACCTCAATAATATTGAGGACCAGTGGGCCACGGATCACAAGACCATCTATGAGTTGGACGTATCAACGCTAAAGACTGTCGGAGCTCCCTTCGAAGGGCACACCATCAATATTGATGGTTTAGCACTTTCATTCGATTGTGCTCTCCTTGCTAGTACTTCCTGCCTCGACAACACCATCAAGCTATGGGCCTTCGAGTCCCGCCAGCTCCTCGCCTCATTCGACGTTCAATCTGTCAACTACCTCACCCTCTCACCCGATTCACACCAGCTGGCTTACTCAACCCTTGGCTTGGACATCCACATATGCGACATTCCACCCAAGATCATTGCCACTATCTGGCCCAACGTATGCATCCACGCGCATGTATATATTCGTCCATCCACTTACAATCATATTTTCTGACAGACTAACGAACCTAAAGATTCCAATATCCTTGATGTATGTGATCCCTACACTCATCTACGCATCCATCAATGTCATTTTTGCAGTCTAACGCAACACGTCGTATTATGCCTAGTAAACCACATGTCACATATTTTGCTCCTCGGCCGCAAGGACCTTCCCCTACCACACAACGACGCGATTTCTTTCGCTATCGCCGCACAGTCCTTCCTTCTCGCACGAACACACGTCGCAATGGTCAGCGCCGTGATCCCCTGGATGTACGTCTCGTTTATCTATTTACTTCGGAGTTGACTTAACGATTCCTTGCAGTTCCCTGCTACATCTCCACTGCCACGCAACTACTCATTCACGGCGCAGGAAACAACTCATTTGCATATGAATGCCCGCGAGAATGTGAGTGTCAACTGACATAATCATATCTTCGACTTACATTCTTCAGTCTCGACACACCACCGAACCATCATCCGCCGCTACTTCTACGACCTTCATGGCCCGCCTACGTGACCTATGGACGGGTCATGCATTGTCGCCTATTGTTGATGTTCCTCTCGCGCAGGGCAAAGAGGTAAGTTTGATGAAATTATTTTCAATCTATTCGATAATTTATCTATCCATCTACAGCGCAATGTTGCAGCGGGTGCTCCTCCCAAAAATAAAGACTGGATACCTGATGAAGACCATGTTCCTTCACGTCCCGCTTCACCGAATCCTAATTCACAACAACCGCCTGCAGCGCAAATCAACGCTGGAGAGCATGGGAGCGACCGGTTATGCGGCTGCTTCTAAATTGGCTAATATATCTTCTAGTGTTGTACTCTTCGTTTTCATCGCTCATGCTATAACGTCAACATTAACTTATCATATGCATAGCCACTAATAGTATACCCCTCGAATTACTTCTTATCCTCATATCAATGACATGTAAGCTAATCATAAACTTCACGCATCGAGGCCTCCGCGTCATTAAGTCGAAGGCAAGTCTGTCAAGTACGAGTGAATCGGCATCGGAGACTGAAGGTGCTGATCAAGCACAGACATCCGACTATCCATAACATTCCTTTCCGACGGCCCAATCGAGATCGACGACAGGCGTCCACTCGTTGCCGCCCGGAACGAAGACCACTCGTGCTTAACGCAGACATTCATCCACATATGCACATTTTAAATCGCAGTTCACTCACCGCTGCAGACATAGACATCTCCCGGTCCACTCCCGAGTCAGCTTGTCGCCAAGACCAGTTTCCCAACGAGCCTCGCGCAAAGTCGTCTGATTTCATTCTTTCTCGTAGCTTGACTTTTGCGTTTAACGTGCGGAGGATCGACAAGGTGTAGAGCTTGCCTGTTTGAAGCAAGAATACGAAAACTAGACGGTTGGCGTTTTTCTGGGCATCGTCAGATTTGTTGGTGTGAACGACTTGGAGTTGCACCCACGTTATGCGAGAAGAACAGTCCTGCGCAAACGGCAATGCAGAGCGATGGCCAGATTGCAGATTCTGTGGCGACAGCGCAGAAACGTAGGAGTGCTCTGTCGAGATGGTGCACGCCGGTTTTGTTTTTCCATAAGAAGTAAGCGACTGTTGGATCACATCAATTAAATCAGGTCTTGGTGAAGTTGAAAACTTAAAAAGGCTCACGGATAACAGAAAGAATGACATCGATCACTTCAAGAGCATACCATCAGTCCTGCACATAGAATCATTCATCGTGACCTACCGAGCACCGCCGTTGTCCAATACGAAAATGCGATGACGCTCAGCTAGAAATGCAGTTGGGCACACATGCAGGGTCAAGCAAGCCTTCACGTACTATGACGTCGCTAGGCTTGGGATTGACGGCGCTCAGACGTGAAAAAGCCACCGCCTGAACATGCCAGATTGACGTCAGATTCAAAACAGCAAAACAGTAAATCACACACGATCAAAATATTCGCGCCGTACGTGGTTATCGTGAACGCGAACAAGACGGCTATCCACCAGCTTCCTTTCGTAACCTAGCAAAACCAGAACTTTGAGAGTTTGCGCTAGAGCTGGTACTTGGAATGCATACCCGCCAGCAGCGTCGGAGGAGGAAGAGCTTGTTCGTTCCACTGATGAAACCGTTCAGGAAAAGTGCGAACCATGCTTGCGGAATCATCAACTAATCCCAAGAAGTCAAACCAGAGATTAGCATGATGATACATCGACGTACCAGCGTCTTACGGTCTACATTAGCCTTCCAAGCTATGTATCCTTCGAACGCCGTCTGTGCACTTTCCCAAGCACCGGAGACTAAGCACAACACTCGCGATACACCAGGCCAACCACTCACACAGAAAGCAGAGTAACGAACGCTACAAAAAAGTTACGACCCCAGGAATCTTCATAACACACCTCGTAGTACTGCCCAGCTTCGATGACGATGATACCCTGGAAGAAAAACTGTATAAACACGCCGACAAGTATTGCGCCAGGTGGCTCCTCGAGAGCGTGTGTGGTCCGATCGGTCACAATGTCGACGGTAGGTTGGCTCGCGTTCAACATGACAATCGATGCGTGAGATGACGAGCTGTAGAACTGACTCGTGGCATGGGCGGTTAGAATTCGAATCAAGACTGAGATGTATTCATAATATGGCTGACATTTCGTGATGTGCATAGCGTAAAATTATCGCAATTCTAGTGGTCATAAGATAATAATATGCGCAAGACGTACTAGTGTAGAAACATAAGGTATGAAGGAAGGGGAGTCACAAGGGTGGTGGTGCTGGTGGCTCAAGGTCTCTCCTATGACGGAGGTCCTCCCAGATCGTGGGATGTTCTTGCGTACAATGCATAAAAAGGTCTTCAAACTTTGGGTTCACTAACACATCCGGTTGTTCGGGTATCATCTTGTTGTCATAGCGATCACTGGGAGAGACAATCAGGACTGAGGACATGCAGAACGAGGGTTGACTTACAGGCATCTGCCACAGAAATATCCATCGACTACTTCAGCATCTGGCTCGTAGATCATGTAGACACATGCTTCAACGGATCGCAAATTATCCCCACTCGGTGGGCCAGGCGTCTGTTCTTGAGCAGGCGACGGTGTGATGGAGCTTGGTGAAGTTGGGTTGGAACCAACTGCAGTATCTGAAGGCGTGAATGGGATCGAAACCTCGTCGCTTGCGGCGCCCACTTGACCGGTTGAGGCCGCACCCACCTTTTCTTGAAGTGGTGCAGGAAGTGAGGGTGAGACTGGTGAGGTTGGTTTTGAACCGATTACAGTGTCTGGAGAGGATGGTTTGGGCTCAGGATTCACATTGACGATCGTATCTTCAGGCGACTGAGTGGGCTCTGTGGTCCTTTGTCTCTTGATCGACTCGATATCCTGCACTACTGAACCATCCATGGCAGAATTCGTGCGTTTTAGACCGCTAGGCTGATCAAGCAGGCTACCTCCAGCTTTCTCCGTCACCCTTTCGTCTTCCCCGGTCATATCTACAAATAGAGTAGGACGTGATGTCACGGTATGCAACTTGGGGTGTAAATTGAAAGGCACGAGTGGTGCCGATGCAGTTCCATTTCGATAGACAGTTTGCGACGTAAGCGTATGCGGATGGGTAAAATGCGGTTGCTGAGGGCGATTGGTATTAACCGGGGCTGAAGTAGAAGGCATGTGTGCAAATTCTGTGGGTGACCTGGCTCTAAACATTGGAGGTGCTGGTGCCGGTGGTGAGTGTGCCGGTGGTGAGTGCTTCCATCCCTGCAACGTAGGAAGGGGTTGCTGAGGTGGGTAAGGCTGATACGAGGATTACTTCAGAGTCTAAATGCAGTGGGAATAGGCGTACATTTTGAACACCTTCAGAAACCCTCCTTTGAGCGTGTGCCTGATGGGCATGTTGGAGCTGATGAGGTGGTAGGGTGTGCTGAACCTGCGGTCGCATTTGTCGTGAGGGTTGTGCTTGTTGTTGAAATTGTTGCTGCGGTAAAGGAGATGGGTGGAGTCGGGGAGCACCTTCGGCAGATACCCGTCGCTGATGAACCTAAATATACTGTCATTAGTACTTTGTGAGATTAAATAGAAAGTACCAACATCGCTAGGGGTAGGGACTCTGGGCTGGGCGATTTGAGGGACAGAATCTGTAGTGCGCAATCAGAAATGCTAGAGTACAGAGAATAGGAAATGTCCAACTTGAGCGAAATGATACACCTGAAGAAGACTCGCCACTTTGTGTAGCCATAGCGCATTTGTCCTTGAGCATTTGGATGTCTCTGCAAACGCGACTAGTATATACCCTCATGCGGTCGAGTTCTTGGACGAGATGTTGGTGTGAGGTGCCTTTATTGACACTGAGAAGGATGTCTTGGTTTTTCCGAGCGAGAGCAAGGCGATCACTCTCAAGAGTACGTATTCTATCTTGCATCATTGAGAATTGTTGCATCTGAGTGTTCGGATTAGCCGAGTGGTGTGCGATGCGCTCTTCGAGTATCTGAATGGTTACTGCGAGCCGGCAATTGTCTTGATAGAGTTTTCCGTTGTCCTCTTGGAGTGATCGGACGAGTTGGGTGGTTTGTTTTAGCTTCTCCATTATGTTTGGGTGGTAACCCAGCTCTTCGAGACAGCCATTAGTGGTGGATGAAAGAATTTCGACGATCTTGGAGTGTATCCTGCCATCTTGGTTTGGATTGCTGTTGAGCGCGTTAGAAGCAAATGGGAGGAGAGCTAACAAAGGCTTGCCCAACATCGGGATAAGCGCCGACAAGTGCTTCAGGAGATGACATCCAACAGCCGATATAAATCGCTTGTGTGATCGATGGGATAGAGAAAAAAGAGAATTGAGGGGGAAATTTCTTCCGAGTACTTCTCAATTTGTAGGCCCGGAGATTTTCAGTCGAAATTGACTTAGGTCAGGGTTTAACGTTTTGTTTGATCCGTGGATCCTCTCTAGCGTGAGCTTGTCACGAACGGGAATAGAATGCAAGTGCAGCAAGTGGCAAGCAATAGTCCAGCCCTTTTGTACATTAGCAGGTTCTTTGTACACTCGTCGGAGTCATACTTTACAAAGCAGCGAGGCTGCAACGCGTTTGATCACGTTAGATTCAGACTACTTCTATCATCGGACACGACGGTCCGAACATACCATGCGGTCGTCTGCAGGCGGATCCTCTAATTTTACCAGGTGTTGCACCACGAAAGAAAAAGTAGGAGTCGATGGACCCTTCAGTCATTCCAACTGTCAACCAGAGTAACCCACCATTCGAAGCTGGCTGAATTCGTCAAATTCTGTCATACGCGTATCACCAGTTCAAGAAACGGCAGAGAAGGGAAGCAGAAGACATGATGGTGGTGCGACGCCTGCGCAATCTGTAATTCCATTCCATCCTTGCCAAATACAGGGCAGCGGTTACTTAGTTTGTAACGACCTTGACACCTTGCACTGAAATATGACTGGATTGACGAGAGAGCGAGCAACTTCGCGTCAGTTTACGATCCTTCCTGAGCTTGCCATATGCTGCGCGGAACACGAGCTTCTCGCCTGCCTTGGGTTCTCCAGTCGCGCTGATAAATGGGCCTCGTCGATGGATCCACTTGACAAAATTCTGATCATTCAGTAGCAGTGCGAGACATGGAATCATGATGTATCCGCCTTCTGAAAATAATTGATTTGGTGCAACAAGGTGATCACAGAAGGCTGCTGCAGACGCGCTGCGTGACAAAAGCAGGTTAATGACATCTAAAAGTCTACAATTACTGCACATACATTCTGGACTCTGGAGTCTTAATTGTCTGATCCACGACGATCCGTGTCGAAGGAATGCTGTACCTGTTGTCCATGCAAGGAGCTTCGAGAGAGTAAAAATGTGGCATTTTAATACTGGCCCATACAACAATGTCAAAGCCATGAAAGTACTAGTAATGGCGAGCAGCCTGTGACCGATAAAGTTCGTGATGAAAACTCGAAGCTTGAGCACGTCATGATAGTTTGAGCAAGAGAAGACGGTATCATGATCGTAACCTGGCACCCGGGCCTGTCAAATTTCAAACTCATCGCTTCTCGTCAACTTGTCGGTTGCCAGCTGGCATACATCAACTTTTTCCTACGCAGGCCACGGCATGAGTGTGGAGGTGTATCCACTCTCATAATATGTAATTGACTTCTAATCTTCATCAATTCTTCTTTCCGTTGTCGATTTCGACATTCATTAATATTACTCCCTGCCACGCAATCATGGGTACCTGCCCAGTGCCGGAGAATCGAGTTTTTTTTGGCACATCCCCCATCGTTTGATCACCGCCAACTAACTTCCACATAGCTGCTCCTCGCTGTGACTAAATTACTTCAAACGTCCTCGAGACAGATCGAGTCGGAGGGAGAAATGCACATTGAACTGGACCCTATGTCCAACGTAAGAGAAAGACAAATGAGAGCACCAAAAGCACGCGATTATGGATGATGCTAGAGTGCACAGCGCAGTCACCAAATCTTGACGGATGGATGTCCACAATAACAAGGGTGCCGGTCGTTCGGATGTCTTACTTCATGACATAGCGGGGCGCGACCGCAGGAAGTGTGAACTCAGCCCTGAATTGGAGGTCCCAATGGGCGTCAGCATAGCCAATATCCTCCAGGAAATGGACCAGACATCATGTCGCGAATGTCCTTACTTTGCTGCCACAACGGCCGAAGGATAATGTCAGTGTAAACCGTTATCCCCCGTCCGCGACGATGAATTTTTATTATTGGAATTATGCTTGAGCCTGTTTGAGCGCGGATGACAATGGGAAGTTTGGGTCGCTCGTGGGCGCTTATGGGAGCGTGAGTGGGAAATTGCTGAAGATCAGGGTTTCTTGCATTCTGATATCAAACGCTGATGATATGATACAATACGTACGTATCCGGGAATCTTCAAATACCCATGACCAACGACCTATTCGGAAAATCGGAATAAATGCTGAGCATCGACCGATGACGACCCGATTGAAAGACCATTGGGCCGTCAGCAAGACACCGGACACGAATCGGCGAATACCCTTCTGGTCAAATTTGAATCAAGTCTAGGAATCAAGTAGGGCTTACTCGATATCAGCGCCCAAAACCCGCTGGACACGGAGTCTAGCAAATCACAGCTCTAAGCATATTTAATCGACAATGACAAACCCGAATTTGAAGTGTCTAGAAAATTCGGGTGTAACACAGTAAGCAACTGCCCACGATCGTGAAAAAAACAACCCAAAGATGACAATAGCGTGTATGCTTACCTGCCTTCTACAAATTTTGACACTGAGATGTCACAGAATCAGGCAACGCGAGTACTCCGATGCAGGGTCCATCTGGGAGAGTACGTTTACCCAAATTAAATGTTGGATTTCATGGTTGCTCACCGCAGCTCACGCGGTGAGTGATGTAGTCACATATATAGATCTGAGTCACAGCGTCACCTATTATTGATCACACTTGCATCAAACTTATAAGCAAGACATTATCAGATGCGCGTAGTCCGGCGTTTGCTCCCACTCGTGCCTCACCAACGCTTGTGCTGAATTCAGCTCCATTCAAATGGCCTTAACAGAATCGTTTTATCCGAACATTTCTTCCCCATTATTAGCAGAGTCTGACACAGCTCTCCTAGACGTTCTCACCAGCCCACGATGGCAAGGCGTGCAAAAATTCTCTAGGAGGGATGCTGCTTTAGACCCATTATTGCTTGCTGTAGCAGCATCTGCAGGCACCCACACCACCCGAAACCATTATCATCATGATTTCTTTCCCGGTGCCCAAGCCGATGCCGTAGCTCGAGGCAAGCGGGCTGCAGAGAATACAAACAAGCCTCAGGAGCGCAAGCGTATGTCATATGTGAGCAAGCAAGGCCCTCGAAGACTGCGCTTGCAGCCCACCATCTCTCTGCAACCAGCTATAGCCTCTCAGGTCATTTCGTTGGCTGGACCATCACCCATATCCTCTATAGAAGTTAAATGCATGGCTCGTACCCGTATACCCACGCCATATGGTCCAGTCTTCTTACACCTTTACCACAATAACCGTGACAACAAGGAGCACCTTGCCATTGTCGTAGACTCAGCACAATACTCGGATGATAGTTCTGTTCTAGCACCGCCAATCCGCAGCCGTTCTTTAGACGCTGTTTGGAATGATGACGAAACAGACATGGACCGCATCGTACGCGGGGCATACGTAGGAAAACTATCTGCTACATCCCAACACCCCTCTCGTCCTTCATTGCATCAACCATCCCCCACAGCCTCCATCCCGTCTCCCCTTGTTCGTATTCATTCCGAGTGTTTCACTGGTGAAACAGTGGGCAGCATGCGCTGTGACTGTGGCGAACAGCTGGACGAAGCTATTCGTCTCATTTCCCAACCGATATCTCTTCCCAACAATGCATCACCTAATTCAAGGACGATTCCCGGCCGGGGTGCTGTAATTTATTTGAAGCAGGAAGGTCGTGGAATCGGCCTTCTGTCCAAAATACGCGCCTATAATTTGCAGGATTTGGGCCATGACACGGTTACAGCCAATTTGATGCTCGGGCATCAGGCCGATGAACGTGGGTACGAAATCGCGGTCGCCATTTTGCGTGACCTTGGGCTTGGTTCAGAGCTTGGCGAGGGTGTTCGGCTATTGACAAATAACCCTGACAAAGTCCAAGCTCTTGAGAAAGAGGGCCTGAGGGTTGTAGAGCGGGTGCAGATGGTGCCTAGAAGCTGGAGACATCGCTCTCACTCACAAGCGGACGCGGGAGAGGCTGACCTGGGTAAAACTGAAGGTGTGACCATGATCGGCGGAGAGGCGGTCAGAGGGGAGGACTTGGACAGGTACCTCCGCACCAAGATTCTCCGCATGGGGCATATGTTGCCGCTTTATTTGGCAGGCGGGCAAGCCGAGTCATGACGCAACTCCATGTCGCTCCTTCGCACAGATAATATGAAGATAATATGCAGGGGGTTTGACTTTAACATGACTATTATTATCATCTATTTACCCTGTGTATTTCTTGGTCGTCCTTAGATAGAGTGTACTCATTAATTTTACCGGTAGATCTACAGTCAGAATTCGAGGACTGCTTGAAGTTGTCTCATAATAGTTGCTTATGTGATCTATTATCACATCAAATTGAGGCGTTGGCGAAATTGCGGCCATCCAGCACACATCAATCATCACTTTCTCTATTACTGTCCTTCTAAGCACTATCCGGTGTCATCATGTTTGATCCTCTTAGCTCTACTAGTTCCATTTTTGCCAATGGAAACACCGACACGTCACCACCATGGCCAACGACTCCCCACGAGCGGAATTCTCCAATACCCCATTTGCGTCGCGTTTCCCCGTCTTTACCATCACCAGTGAGTGTCCAAAAAACAGAGACAGATGGATTGTATGGTAGAGAACCCAAGATTTATGGCCAGCCTGAACCTGGCCTTGTCTCTCCGCAGACGACAGTAGGCTCAAACGGTACAAAATATGAGAAGATGGAACCATATCTACGTGTGCGGATAACTGGAATGGACAGGAATAGGCGGGATATCCTCTTCAAGCTTGATGCCCAGGTAAGCTAGCTGCACTTTATCATCCACATGGTAATCAGACTTGCGCTCGCAGACAACACTGTCTAATTTTACAGGCACCACATACCGCAATGTGTCCCGCTCATACCTCGAGTTTCAGCAGTTCTACGAAGCGCTGATCAACAATTGTCCTCACACTATTATACCTGCACTACCTCTTGCCCAAACATCGGCGCCTACAGATGAGGAAGATGATCGTCTTGTGCGAATAATGCTGCAGAGGTGGTTGACGCGGATATGCGAGGATCCAATTGTGATTCATGACGAGGAACTGCGCTCGTTTATCGAGAGTGATTTCGGTTATCAGCCGACGCCAAGGCCTCGGCGTAAAACGGGCTCAGGGTTTGGCCTAATACGCCGAGGCGTACCTGACGAAGATGAGGTACTGCAACGTGCGCGATTTGAATTGACGAAGCTTGAAACGCAATTTTTCGATGCTGCTAAAGCCATCGACAAACTTGCGATCACACGTAAATGTGAGTGGCTTGAAGGTGATTATCAGGCTTGCCATTTGTTGACCCAAGTTGTAGCTCTAGCTACTGCGCATGCGGAGATGGGCAACAAACTCATTAATGTTGCTACTACGGAGTCACATCCTCCTCTTGGACATGCGCTGCAGAAGCTCGGAAGAGCATGGCATACTCTCACGGATCTGGATCAAGCGCAGGCGATTAGTGAATGTGTCGTCATCGGGGATACCCTTGGGTATCAAGGTCTAAACGCTCGTTCTGCAAAGGAAGCATTGTTACAACGAGCCGGTGTATTGGAAGAGTATCAGGCTGCGGTAAAGTCGACGATATCTAAGCGGAGGAATATAGAGCGGTTGAAGGCAAGTTCTAACATTAGGCCTGAGCGGGTGGATGAAGCTCTGGAGGACATAGAGGAGGTAAGTGCAATCTGCTTAATATTTTCTCTGTGTGAGAGCGCTTATCTCTACAACAGGCCAATAAATATGAGCAAGTGCTTGCTCAACGGGCTAACAACATATCCCAAAATCTTCATCGTGCAATGGATACACACAAGCGTACTGTTGCGGACGATATCACCGCTGCTTTGATCGAGCACGCTCGTTCGTCGCTCATGTACGAGAGGCAGTTACTCCGAGAATTGGAGGCGCTTCGCACAGATGTTAATAACGCCAACCAGAAGGTAGCACTTCCAAACCCGAATGTTATCCCCAAGCCATCTGTTATCTTACCTCTGGAAGACGATATACCACCCACGCGTATCAGGGCTACGCCTCCTGTCGCGAAGCCTCCAAACCGGATGCCGCCAGCCGCTCCTTCACCCACTCAATCCTCATTCAGACATAACCCACTTCCTCCTCAATCACCTGGTGCGGGACCCTCGACACCTCAACGGAACTCCTTCGCACACTCGCCTGCACCCCCGCAACCACGGGAAACTGGCCCGCCTCTGGGTGGCCGCTTTGTGGACGGGACCCAGTCGATGTATGTTAACACTTCATCACCATCACCGTTGGGCCCTCCGGTAGCTGCTTCCGCCTTTTCGCCTTTGCCCCAAGGCCCCCTTGGGGGAGCCATTCATTCTCCTGTTCCATCCTCTGCCACCCATCCTCTTGCGGGTTTCGCACAATCCCCATTGGCCACTAACGCTCATGTTCGCTCTGCAAGCGCGCAACAGGCAGTGGACCCCCTGGGAATGTTCGCCCCGACGAACATGTCACAATCAATGCGGGTACACCCATCACGCCCACGCTTGGATGCGCGGGTTGCAGCGACCAAGCTTGCTAATATGTTCTAGCCATTATGACAGAGGACGGACCATGCTTTCACACATTTGTCGATTAGTACTGCTCAATGGATTGCTATTTGTTTGTCAAACTGGAATGCTGATCTTCAAATTCGAGAGCACAGATACTCGATCGGATCAATTTGTTGATTTCAGTAGTAGAATACATGTACACTTCCATTGATTCTGCCATAGTCGTATACTTTCGTCGATTTATCTACAGCAAGGACTTGAGCACCTCGACGACCTTGTCGCCGACCTCGACAGTCGTTGCTTTCCCTTGCAAATCAGCTGTTCTGATGCCATATCCACCAGCACTCGGCTCATCCAACACCTTGCGAACGGCAGTCTCAACAGCCTGGGCCTCTTTCTCGAGACCAAGGGAGTACCGCAGGAGCATGGCTGCGCTGAGAATGGTGCCGATTGGATTAGCAATGCCCTTGCCAGCGATGTCGGGGGCAGAGCCGTGAATAGGCTCGTATATGCCTGAAGTAGGCTTGAAAGAGGGGTCTGAAGCTAGTGCAGGTGCACCAGCAAGGGATGCCGATGGCAGCAATCCCAGAGAACCAGGGATAACACTCGTCTCATCTGACAAGCTGAAATCAAATTGATGAATATCGTCACTAGTAACTAACTGAACGAGACTTACATGTCACCGAACATGTTCTCAGTCAAGATTACACCGTTCAACTTTTTGGGGTTAGCCACGATGATCATTGCAGCGGAGTCAACGAGATAGTGGTCAACAGTCAACTGGGGGTATTCCTTTGCAAGTGTCTCGGTGACAACCCTTCTCCACAACCTCGAACTTGCAAGCACGTTTGCCTTGTCGATAGAGTGGATGGGGAGGGGTGGGTTGGCAGCAAGAGCAATTTGTGCTGCAACCCTGGTAATTCTTTCGACCTCGGCAACGCTGTATACCATGGTGTCATATGCGGAATCGCCATCGCCTTGTTCCTGGCGAGGACCAAAGTATAGACCACCGATCAGCTCACGGATGACGATCATGTCGACACCCCTGGCGATCTCGGGCTTCAGAGGGGTGTATGAAAGCAAGGCGTCGGACGCAAAGTTCGCTGGGCGAACATTTGCATATAAACCCAGAGCTTTGCGGATGCCAAGAAGACCTTGCTCAGGGCGGACTTTTGCTTCGGGGCCCCACTTGGGGCCACCCACAGAGCCTGGATTCTAATCAGTTTCATGGTCGTAAGGTTGAACAGGATTTTTTTTACCCAGAAGAATGGCATCCGCCTGCTGACACGCTGTCAGGGTAGATGCGGGAAGGGATTCGCCATATTTGTCGATGGCACATCCACCAAAGTCATGAGATTCGAGGACGAGCTTGACCGATGTAGATGTCTCGCTGACGAGCTCTAGCACTCGCGTTGCTTGTGCGATAACATCTGGTCCTATAACATCGTTTAAGCTTCACGTCTTGCTTGATTAGATCAGAGGAATGACATACCAATGCCATCCCCTGGCAGAACGACGATGCGGTACCTGCCACACATAGAAGTCAGTGGTGATTACAGGTGAGGATCGACGGACTGACGACTTGGGAGCCATTTGCAAGACGGAAAAGCGGAAGATGGTCGATATTAATTGCGTTCAGAAACATGTTGTTATAACCTGCCTGAAGAGTCAGCTGTCCGAAGATAATATTATTTATTATCGGCCGATAATCGATCGCCTGACCTTTTGAAGATCATGAATATCTTTCCCACGTTTATCCTCGTCATGTTAGCAGTACTTAGCGCTAACTAAGAACTTCTTCAAAACTTCACATCGATGGCAGAATCAAAGCCTCGCTGTAAAAACTTGGTTTTAGATGCCGGTCCACTGCTTTCTCTTTCACCACTGAGGGGTCTGGCAGAGATCTACCTGACTGTACCTCAAGTTCTGGATGAGCTCAAGGATAAACGCGCCCGGGAACACTTTGAACGATTGGGGCTATCTGCAGGTGTCCAAGTGGATGTACGCAACCCTGATGCTGCATCCCTTGCTCATGGTCAGCGCATGTCTCTATTTTGTTGGTTTCTTACACGCCTGCTACTCTCCAGTGGTACAATTTGCGAAGAAGACCGGAGATTATGCTGTCTTATCTCATGCCGATATCTGCGTCTTGGCGTTGACCCACTCGCTTCATGTGCGCGAGCAGGCATCATCTGAGAAGGACCCAAAGAGGCAAGGTTTGATGAGTCTAGTACCACAGCTCCGATCTAACATCTAGCCAGTAGAGTGTTACCAATGAAATTGACGATAAAGTCCAAAGTTCTTCAGCTTCCCATTCGGATCCATCGGAGGATATCCATAGTGAGGATGACAAAAGTGAAGAGAGGGAGCCACTAGATATCGAAATTCTCCCAGAAGGCGGCGAAGATATAGCGGAAGACACGCACCATCCCTCAAGTGACGAGGCTCGACCATCCGATCAACCGCTTTATGAGGACCCCTCTGATGAGGATGATGGCGAGGGCGAATGGGTTACACCTCAAAACGTCGCATTACACAAATCCCAAGCGCTACAGCTATTGCCTTCTGACAGTAATGCTAAGAAGAAAGGACGGGGGCGAAAGCAGGAGGACGAATTTGTACCAGCAGGTTGCATGACTGGAGATTTTGCAGTTCAAAACGTCTTGCTGCAGATGGGTCTGACGTTGGTCGGGACTGAAGGCAAGCGGATACAGAAAGTGAAGAGCTGGGTTCTTCGGTGTCACGCTTGCTTTAAGTGAGTATCGGGTCCACTGATTGGTACCCTGTTCTTATACCACAACTAGGATCTGCAAAGACAACTCAAAACAGTTTTGCCCGTCTTGCGGTAACCCCACACTAATGCGAGCGTCAGTCACTGTTGCATCCCCTGATGCATCACCCGATGCCCCTGCAATGCAAGTCCATCTGAAGAAAAACTTCCAGTATAAAGTAAGGGGAACGAAATATTCAATCCCTGCACCCAAGCCCGGGTCGGCCAAGACAGGCCCTGGAGAAGGTCTAATATTACGCGAGGACCAACTAAATTACATGCGCGCTAAAAAGCGCACAGACGGTAAACGAGACCGGGAGGAGCGGCGAATGATCAAGGGCCTGGTTGACAAGGGTGGCGAGGGTGGTGTCAGTGTTGGTGGCTGGTCGGATCCTGATTGGATGCCAGGGATATTAAGTGCTGGGACTGGAGGACAAGGGCGGTCTTCACATACTGGCGGAGACATGCCGCAAATAGGGTATGGAAGGAAAAATCCCAACGAAAGGAAGAAATGGAAGTGATACATGTAGTTGTCATTGCTGAAATGTACATTACCCATTTGATCGGGACGGAATATACAATTGTCCTGATTTACGAACCCAGGCTGCGGTTCATGAACCTTCTTTTCTGGAATGCCATCCACCACTTGCTCGGCTTGCCCGTCCCATCGGCATACAGGCGTTCCACCAGACGAATTGCCAGTTCCTGGCGGACCTGTGTCAAGTATGTTCGCAGATACTCTGTCATGATATATCCATTATCCACTTAGGCAAAATAATCCAACCGAACGTACCCGCGTCTGCTCTGCTCTGAGGTGGGGCATAATGGGCATTAAGAGGGAATCCAGCATCGCCTGGGATGGCGAAACTGTCGACTGATAATGTATTCAACATCTTCGATGCCTCAATCTGCGTTGGCACTGTACGAGCAGAACCAATCTTCGCCAAGCAATCAGAGATATAGAGAATCAGGATGATCAACAGTCGGTCCGCAGGCCCTTTGATCTCAAAGTTGCGGAAGAGCGAATTGGCGCGAAAAAGGTCAAGGGTCTCATCTATGATATCTCCTTGCTCCGGATCGGCTACATGCGCGACAGTCAGAATGATGGCGGGGCAACTGTATATTCCAGAAGACACACCAAGGGGCGCAGGACCACGAATTTTGGTTCTGATTGGCAAGATGGACATGTTGCCAGCTTGCATTGCATCAGGGAACTCGTTGAAAGCAGAGTGGTATGCCTATAAAGTTGTGTTGTTCGTCGTTAGCATTGCTCTTCGAAACTTCTCTAGAGGACTCGCTCACAGGCATAGGCAGTGGTGAGAAGTGGGGGTACACAGCCACCAAATTAACGTTAAACGGCATTTCCTTTTCAATCTGAATTATTTTTACTGCTATTGTGTGCATTGTGCAATGCTCAACGTTGTTCGACCTCGAAAACCAGCGACTTCGGAAACCATGTACCAAAGTGATGAAACTGATAATGAACAAGCCTCTCTTGTCTCATCGCAGTCGATGAAACCCTCTCCGGATACATTAACGAGTATGTTTGCCCATTCTTGTATTCATTTCATTTCCTAACTGTTATAATAGAACTCGTGAAGCGTCTCAGGGCACTAGTAACGAAGTTGCTTCCAGTAGAAGTTGATTACAAAAGCATCAATGATCCAACAAGCAGGGTTATCACTCCCAACGTCATATCTGCTTTCTTAGACGCAGCAGGTGATCTTGGCGAAGCGGTGAACAACTTACAATCGTGCTAAAATGTTCGACTTGCTCATTGTGCTAAAAGCTCCCATACTGTTTGCTTCGTGCTCACGCTGATTTCAAGAGAGAGGCATATCTCAACCCTGCAGATTTTGGCGAAAACACAGGAAGAGGTAAGTAGAACTTCTTGTGTTATCATTACTTGGTCGAGGACGACCCCTCATGAACACTCGCTTTGGCAGCTGTGGCATGTGAAGTCCTGGCTCGTCGCATTGTTCATCAGAATCCATCTGAGAAGATTAAATCTCTCATGTCTACTCGGTATAGGCATCGTGAGCCTGATGGTGATATCAGCGAGGCCTCGAGTGCTCTCGAAATTGCCATTGACACCCACTGGTTAGTATTTCGTAAGGATACATGCAATTCTTTCACATGCTGCTACGTAGCACTATATTTTTGTCTTCTACCGAAGCGCAGAATGGTGAGTTGTTCTCGACGTAATCTATGAGTCGGGTAAGCTGATTGTTGCCCTAGTTGTCAGGGCTTTATGGGACGGAGAGCTTGTCCAGACGCTAACAGATCAGGACGATATTCAGTGTGAGACAATGAGTGGTCTGTTATCCTCCATACTCAAGCACCGACAGATGTATCTTACCACGAATCGCGGCAAGCCGGGTTTTGGGGTCACATGAACCCTTCACGCATTTCCGTTCCTCGGTATGAGCTGATGAGTTACTTCAACTACATCTTAGCTCACTCTAACTTGGGCGCAGGTATCAGAATTTCCTTCGCATTGTGGTGCGTCATATATTGGATGAAGAACCATTAGTTTGATATGATTGCACAGATTTGGTTTTTATTTCTCGCTGTGTACTCTCAAGCCGGTAAGAGATTCATCTCATCAAGGAGCGCCTAGCCATTTCATAACCAATTCGAAGTCCGTGAACCACTGGACCTACTTGACCCTAACCATACGGTGCTTGATGTCTGGGAAATTGTACTCTATACCATGGGGCTGGCATTCTCACTTGAAGGTGAGGGTATCCCGCTGTTGTTTGAATGGTTGACTGAGTCATCTTCCAGACACACACAGGGTAACTTTCCTGCCTCCCAATTCGCTGCAATGTCTTACAAGTCATCCCAGTTTTACAAACTATTTAAATATGCAACCTACCGCGCCTTTGGATTTTGGAACGCCGCTGCCTTAATAACGGATTCCTTATTGCTGGCTGCATGTTTGCTTCGCATTGCTGGTCTTTGCACCACCGGAGACCATTCCAACACTCTACGCTTAAGGAGCTTTCAAGTCTTGAGTTTCGTTGCCCCGTTCATATGGTTAGTCAATCCTCGAATAACCACGAGGTACAATATCTAACTAATTGTTTTAGGATCAGTTGAGCTCCACACATCTCTTGATGTTCCACTGACTCACTCACGGCTTTTCGCTTCAGAGCTCATTACAATCTTTGATGGTCACCAGTAAGCACATATTGTGTCGTGCTCGTATAAAAGATGCTGATGATTTCGCAGGTATGTTGGAACGATGCAAATATGCGTGTCTCGCATGCTACAAGAATCGGGCATCTTCTTCGCGGTTCGTTTCCTTTCGGTATATGGTCTCCCCGTCCCTTCACCTTGTGCAGCTGTTATCGGTGCTCGGGATTGGATTCTTGCAAGGTCTATATGCTCTAGATGTTGCTGACGGTTCAAGCGAAGGTCCATCACTTGTACGTCCGACCTTTCTTCTCCTCAAAGCTGTCTAATTTCGGTCAGCTCGTCAATGTCCTTGTTCAAGGCTTACTTCAGTCAGATTGGATATTTATTTATTTTTAATTTGAGCACCTGATGAACTTTCTTAGGTCTCCCAACTATGACAAGTTCTCGGGCAGGTAAAGTCTAGTATCTATGTTTTGGAAGTCTCTGAACCACGTTTGCAGCCCTGTTGGACTTACGTTATACTATCTGTCAGTGCCCGTTTGATGAATCTCCGTGCTTGCTATCGACAAGTTCTGTTTCAGCTGGAATGTTGCAACAGCGATTATCCTGCTCAATGTCCTCATCTCTTTATTCTCCTCAGCGTATGCTGAAGTCAGTATTTCGTCTTTCTGTGAGGTTTCATGGGCTCAACGAATGATTAGGTCGTCGAGGACGCTGAAGCAGAGTATATGACATTCTTTGCAGGAAAAACTGTTGCCATGATCCGCGCCCCTGATTCTTATGTCTATCCTGCACCATTCAACCTAGTAGAGGTTTTCTTCGTAGCGCCTTTTGAGTAAGGTTTCTATTTTCTTGGCCCTTTGCAATCATTAACTTCTTTTTGAGAACATTTGGCCTGCGACCCCAGCGATATGCAAAAGTGAGGCATGAACCTTCAATTTGCGGTCTGTACCCCTGACCTCTTTGCAGCTCAATCGGGACATTATGAGCATAATTTTCTTTGTTCCGTTGACCTTCATTGCGCTATTTGAGACATCAATTGTGAAAAAATCGTGGATGACCAGCTGGCTGGGGCAAGACGACGAGGTGGACACTGAAAACCCTGATCTTCTGGATCCCGTAGTCGAGGGGCTAGACGCAGATAACGGCTTGGAGATCAGCAAGATCCCTTTCGATGAGCTTGTCAAGAGGTTCCCCAATACGGAACAAGTAAGTCTTTTCCAGCCTTCTTCTACGTTGTCCACTGATGTTTCTATAGTCAATGGAAGCTACCATTGTAAAGGAGATTAAAGAAATCCAGGCGAGGTTGGAGGTACTGACAACAAAAGTGGACCGCTTACACACCTCACACTAATGCACCATTTGCCTTCGGACGTGGACAAGACGGGTGGATGATTCAAATCGATGGAACTAGAGTTAACTCCTTGGCTCTTATGTTTTTTTCTCCTTTGCTGGTGGAGATACTGAATGTCGTACAACAATCATATATGAACACTGCTGATTCACAACTCAGGCAGACCAGAAATGTTTAAAATAGCTTTTTTCTTCTTGAGTTCTATCACTGTTTTCTGCAGTCTGTTCATAAAGTACAATAACTTGACAACCCCAATTACAGGATGTAACTCGTAAATCACTGCAAACAGAATCATAGCATGAATTAAAACATAAGGCAATGAATTAAGTCAATACAAAAAATGCGTCTAGATCATGACAAAAGACATAAACACCTGTGTAAGTTGAATGCGTGAAATATAAAATGATAAAAAGGGCATAGCACAGGATGCAGGATAATAAGGGTGATGCGTAAACGTGAAGCCACGACGAAATTTCATTATATATGTGTTGTGAAATAATTACTCATCTCAGAACCCATAAATCCCCATGACACGACGTGATATTATCCATTAGACTTCGCTATGCCCCTCCACGAATCGAGCAAACTGGTCCAGCAGTTCCACCTTTTCTGTCTGTGATAACGACGAGGCAGCGAGTAAGTTTTCAACGCGCGCTAGCAGTCCCCGAGGCCCTTCTAGGGGTATCAGGTGGGCGTCAAATCGGTGGACATCTGCGTAAGGAAATAACATCACTGTCAGACAAAATAATCCACAGTAACAAAATAAACATATAGAGGCGTAAAGTAGTACTAACACTTCTTGAACGTTTCGAATCCAGATTCGGAAAGTACGTTCTCAAAGACTTTGGTGACATCCTTCCCCCGATTACGCTCCTCCTCCTGCTTCTGCGAAAGGAGAGATCCATGTATAACGGCTTCTTGACGGACGCGATTAGGTGCCCAAGATAAACCAAGTTTAAGATCGAGTGAGCGGCCTTTGCCCTTTTTCTCGCTGCCTTGCTCACGTAATTGTTGTACACGGCCATGAGCACTTTGGCCCTTGTCACGTATAGAACCTCCTCCAAGCCCTAACTCACTCCGTAGAGGAGAGCTTGGGGGAAATGAAGCAGATCCTTCCGGGATGTCAAACTCTTGTTGATGAGGAGATGGCGGGTAGGAAGGCAGTGCGGAGGAGGTCGGTAAAGGAGAACTTGGAACCGATGAAGCCGGTTCGAAGGGGAACGGTCCGTGCGACGTGCGTTGAGTTCGCCTGCCTGATGCGCGTCCCCAACTGGATGATTGTCCGGGACCAGGAACAGATGTTCCTGTCGACTTCGACTGCGCAGAGGCAGATGCTGATGAGAAGGAAACAACAGAGGTTTCACCTGTATGACTGGCGGAGAGCTGGGCAAGAATGGGAGAGTCGGCTTGAGTGGGGTGATACGCAAATTTTCGCGACTTCCCTGTACGATCAGATGACGATGATGCTGTTCGTTCTAAGGCCGTCGGTCGATGAGTCGCCGCGCCAGTTTTACCAGATTGTGTTAAGCCTTCGCCATTCACCAGCGATGCGTTGACTGTCGAGCTGCTCCTGTTTACACCAGATACGGGTCTCTCGAAGTCAAAGCTTCCATGTTTGATGCGACGGTTGGTCATATTTCGTGGAGGACCGACAGTCCCAGCGGAATCATGCCGACCACCGGGTTTCTGCTTCTTGCTTTCTCTAGATAAATCTTTTCCCCCAAACAGCCGGGGTGAGAATCTGCTACGCATGCGGTTGTATGCAGGATCTCCGTCGGAACCAACACTTAGAGCTGCCCGTGCATGCAACTTTGGAAGTTCGCTGTGAACAGTGATCGAATCCTTGCTGAGCAGAACTTCGCGCGGCTTCCCCTGTCCTCCACTCAACGTTGGTGGTGTGGTAGCGGGTCGCACTGGGGAATCTAACTCCGCTGTTCTTTTTGGAGTCGGTGGGGTATGGATGATGTGTGGTATGGCTGGTCTTGCTTGTGGTGCACGAATCAGGGGTTGTTGTTCTGCTGTATCTTCTTCAGACATGGACTCTACCGTGGGTAACAGTGATACCACGAGACCACCGAGGTCATACTTGCCGCGTGAGTCGTCCTGCGGTGAAGGCGGGGATAAGTTGATGATGGGAGACGTCTCTTCCAAAAGTGAGCCAAAAATACCAGGGCGCGAGTCATCCATGCGAGGTGTCTTCCGCGTTTGTGACCGCAGTTTCGAATTGCTGTTATCGCGTTCTTGTTCTTTGCCTTTGCGGGATTTTCCAAAGCGGCTAAGGCTAGAGGCACTAGTCTTTGAATTAGATCTAGTGCCTATATGACTGGACGATGTGAAGGCGGTGTCGGAATGGTCATCAGGTAACGCGACAGCACTGTCATGAGCAGTGTCATGAGACCCGACAGAATGTCGTTTGTGACGTGACGAGGGAGCCAGGGGAAGGTGGCCTGATGATGTCATTGGCGGATGCGTGCGAGAACCTGATGTCAATCCAAATGAAAGTCTGCGGGGAGATGCGGACAGTGGGAGGGGATTGGAAGGAGTGGGTATTGTACCGGTGGATGTTTTCGTAACGCGCGATTCGTCAGTAGACTTTGGAGTATTTGGTCTAGAGTTGCGCCTGAATGATCGTTTGCGAGAGGGCATGTTCTCAGCTTCCTTTTGGGAGAGGGATGAAGACGATGTTTTGCGGTCAGAAGATCCTGGTGATGGTTTTCGGGACGGATTGGATAGCGATGACTTCCGTGACAGAGCAATGCCAAAGATAGAGCGCAGCTCTAACTTCCGGCGCTGATTAAGGGAAGAGGGAGTGTTCGAACGAGTTGCACGATCGTGATCCTCCTGAGGTGTGACCTGATCTCTGTTGGCCTGGTGATCGGGATCTTCTCCTTGGGTGTAATCGTGAGAGTAAACATGATGCGACGTTCTTTGTCTTCTTCTGATGGAGTTGGAGGGAAGAGGGGTGATCGTGGAGTGTGTGGCAGTGGTCGTGGATGATATCGGGCGTGTCGAAGTTCGCGTGCCTAGCTTAGAATCTGACTGGCTTGCTGAAGCAGACATACTAGTGTCGGCTGCATGCCCTTGTTCGTACGCCAAACTGGTGGAACGCACATGACTGATGCGAAGCTTAGAGGCAGGCACCATAGGCAAGGTTGGTACATCCGTCGTAGATTGCGCAGCACCTGGAGTAACAGTCGACTTGGGGTGGGGTCTGGAGCGAGAACGAGAGCGAGAGCGAAAGAAGGCAACGATCTGATGACATGATGTATAAGCTCATGTGTGCAAGACTGAAATAAGCGAACGCACCCTGTTTTCCTTTCGCGCAGGACGACTGACTCCAGACTCAAGAGACGATGAGGCAAGGGAAAGAGCGGTCATGGTAAAAAATGCGCAAGGTCTTCTTTGTGCGTTAAATGGTTGAGGCCACCATCGGCTACTGCAGTTCCAGGAAACGGAAGTGGGACCTCGTTTTAGGCTAAGCTGTGCAGGCATCAATTCTGAAATATGTATATTAAATTGAGGGATAACATACAAGATACTCTTGACTTTGACGTGAGTTAGAGAGTGACCGTCTCTGGGAACTAGGTGACCCAGTCGCAGAATGAGAACAGACGAGCTAAAGACAAGTCAAACACGTGCTGTGAGCGAGGCAGAACGGATTGAAACGGAACGAGAGTACTACTTACGGCGACTCGGAAAAGAAGACAGCTACACGTTGTCCCGACCGGTCTTGTGCTTGCCTGCACACGAAACACACACCGCTAGGACTACCAAGGACAGGTCCGGTCACAGACTTGGAAGGGTTTCAAAAACACGTTTGTAGTTTTGCAAGCAACCAAATTAGGACAGACCCTAGTCTGGGGTTAGGTGCACGTGAATGATGTTGCGCGATTGTTTCTCATGATCTCATGTCTCAGCTGACTATGGCAGCTCTTAGAGCAGTCCACAAGATCCCATAGCACTCTCATGTATACTTCGTACATCCGACTGTCATGAATTTGATAACCAGAAATTCATTCAGACTCAGAGCACTTCCGCACCGTCTGAGCAGTCTTACTTCTCTGCGACAACAGGCAACATGCGCAACACCAACTTTTCCCTGCGTCGATGCTCATGCAGCTCGTGAATCTAGGATATTGGCTTCCTCGTTCTACCGTTATTCACAGACAGAAACACAAGCATCATCAAGTGATAGTGGTCCGGAACCTCCCTATGCTCGCCCTAATCCACTGTCATATAATACGTACCACTATCAGTATCCACTTGAATTGACGTATGGGTCTACGCTGCCGTCGTTTGACATCGCCTATGAAACATGGGGCATACTCTCTCCATCTCGGGACAACGTAATTTTACTGCATACTGGTCTCTCGGCATCTTCGCATGCCGCCTCTACGGATCTTAACCCGACGGAGGGTTGGTGGGAGAAATTCATCGGCCCAGGACGTGCACTCGACACCAATCATTTTTTCGTAATATGCACAAACGTGCTGGGAGGATGTTATGGCTCCACAGGTCCTTCCTCGCTCGATCCAGAAGGTCAACGATATGCAACTCGATTCCCGATTATATCTATCTTTGACATGGTGCAAGCCCAATTTAAGCTGCTTGACCATCTGGGCGTGCAAAAGTTGTATGCCAGTGTTGGCTCATCCATGGGCGGGATGCAAAGTCTTGCTGCAGGATGGCTCTTCCCAGATCGTGTGGGCAAGATAGTGAGTATTAGTGGTACCGCCAGGAGCAGTCCAGGTAGCATTGCAATGCGTCATGCTCAACGAAGCGGTCTGTTGTTCAGACATTTTGCAATATATTTCCTTGCTAAACATCACATTAGTTCTCATGGCCGATTCAAATTGGAACAATGGCTTCTATTATGACAACCTACCACCACATACAGGAATGAAATTAGCCCGTCGTAAGTTTCGTCCAGTTTCACGGTTCATATCATAAAGTTACAATTATTGGTCATGCAGAAATAGCGACCATAACATATCGCTCAGGTCCTGAATGGGACCAACGATTTGGAAGGAAACTTCGAGAACTGAAAGATGGACAGAGTCCATCTCCATCGCGGTCGCCAACACTTTGTCCTGACTTCCTTATCGAAACCTATTTAGATCATCAGGTCAGTGCCTACCCACCTCGATCACCTTTCAGTTAAACTCACCGAAAGTTGTCACGTAGGGAGAGCAATTCTGCCTGAAGTACGATGCCAATTCTCTCCTTTACATCTCAAAGGCAATGGATCTCTTTGACCTCACCCTTCCTGCTCTCCAAGAGCTCGCAATGACCACCACAACACATGCTCCGCCATCACCGTCAACGTCATCGTCTTCTTCTCGGCAATCTCCGGCACCGTCTAAATCTCATCCACCACCATTGCATTACGCACCTCACTTTCCCGAACTTGCTGCTGGCCTTGAGCCGCTCAAATCGATACCTATTCTGGTGCTTGGGGTTCAGAGCGATATTCTTTTCCCAGTCGAGCAGCAGCGTGAGCTCGTCGATGCACTTCGTATGGCTGGTAGTACGCAAGTCAGCTACTTTGAGCTTGGTGGGGTCTGGGGACATGATACCTTTTTGTGAGTGCTACTCCTTCACATTTTAGTTGGCTCGATTGGGTGGCCGCGGTGTGGCCGCATTTGTCCGGACTTGTATAGCCTCCCCAATCAGCTCGAACCTTCATGGTGCCTCGTGCACCGCTTTGCGGGGGCAATTGTAGTGTTATCGCCGCTTATTGTTTTATTTTCCCAGCGTGTTTCAGTTAGACTGGTTTACTGACTGCCCGTATTCCGTTCTACCACAGACTCGACGTATTGAACGTTGGAGGGGCGGTGAGGGGGTTCCTATCTTAAGCTCGTCCTCAAAATGCTATTTCACCACAGTCGCCGGTGTTTTCATATTGCGCTGTTTGATCGGTGCAACGTTCGTGAGTTGTGAGGGTACTTGCTAAGAAGTTCTAGAGTCCTCAGGGAGTACTTATGTCAGTCCTACTAGCTGTTTTAATATTCGGATCATGATCAATGCTATGGGATTCTTCAACTTCTAATACTCGCGGTGTCGCACCCTAACTTAAATGTTGATCTCAAAGTATGTGGGCAGTGCAGACAAACCAACACTGCCGGGGGGTTATTATTCTAGTCCTAAACATTATAGCCTAGCCGTTTGCAGAACAATCTCAAAAAAGTAAACATAAGTCGGGAAGTCAAACCAACGAACTTTCAACTTCCGATGATCAATGATGTTCCTACCATAAGACGTTACGACCGAACGTTGAAATTCAAACAATGCTTCCTTGTTTTATTTTTGACGATTGGTCTAGTAGTGTTCTGCAAATGGCTGTATTTATTTTACGATACCTTCCCTGCGCCCACAGTCGCCACCTTCAAAGTTAAACTTTATTCCCTAGATCGACAGACGGGGAACAAGCCCGACCATCGCACCATTAATTTGACTCGGATTGGCATGCAAAATGTAATACTATGACATTTGTGTTTTGGGCGTTCGGGCATCATCGAGTCATTGAGAGCCACATACGATCAGCGTCACGGCATGCCAGCATGCCACACTGGCACTTGAGGGTTTTGCCTAATTTTCGGAGCATCAAAACACTAGCAAATCGGATATGAACTTTTTTGAGGAGGAAACAAAGTTAAGTTTGTGAAGGCATAAAATGGGCAGGCTTGCGTGGCGTATCGGTGGAGCGCCATAGAATAGTATAAAAAAAAGGACGTATTTTATAAAAATCGTGGTGAGCTCTTCTGTGAGGAGGCCCGGAAACATGCAGACGCTAAGCGAAAGCGGAAGCATTTCGGTTTACGTTCCGTTGATGAAATATTATGGAGAAGATAAGAGGCGAGGCGTTGGGTGGTCCTGCAATTTCCTCTTCTCTCTAGGCCCCCTTGGTCTTAGGCGCACATTGGATTCGGGGCGCGGCGAACACTAGCAAAATGAACGGTAAGGAACTTATTATTCAGATGGCACAGCACCTCCCGCCTTGTGATAATCCAGGATTTTGTCGGAATACCGGGGGGGTCCATGGAGTTTCAAATAAGGTATATTTTGGCGCAACAATTTTCTGGGTGGATAGCTGACAAGCCATTGGACAACTGGCAAAGGGTTCAAGGTTACGAAGCTTGAAGTAATTTGTTTTACCATATGGAAGCCGTAAATTAACCAAGTTAGCACAGGAGAAAAGCCACGCCTTGCCACATATACTCCCAGCGTTACGCGGCCTCCGACAACAAGACATTGGGCGTCAGCCCTTCTCGACAAAACGCGTTATTTGATTCCCTTTGCGACATACCAGCATGTTGGCTAAAAAAATTAATTAACTGACTGACCACCTCGTGTTATCCAGCGGTATAAAATACTTGTCTGAAGTTGACTTCCCTCACCGCAATGTCCACCTTTTCCCCTCAAGTCAATATCCCCGCGCTGAAGAAATTTGCCGTCACAGCTGCAGCGAAGCAGCATCCGGTCAAAGCAACAGGTAGACGGCACCCGCAGGTGCCAACCCCAGTGGTGGCGAGCGTCGAAGACGTCAAATGGGCTGGAGAAAAGGTCAGGCTGATCATTTCCAAATAACCATCCGAACCTTACCATTGTTCTGTACGGTGTACAGATGATTCAAATTACGTTCGAACGCACCTCCATACCTCTTGGACCATATATCATGATGGCGTATTTTCCTCGCGGACGCCAGAGGCTAACAACGCAGGCTGTGGTGCGCCACGCAAAAGTGCCCATCGATGGGCTGTGCGTACTTACTCCACTCCCAACAGTTAGGCATGATGGCCGCTGTCAGAAATTCGACCTTGAAGATCGAGGTGCCCAAAATCTATGGGTACAAGGACCTCCTACCCAATGACATCGGAGCTGAAGTAGTCCTCATGGAAAAGGTAGCGTGTGCCGACTACTCGACAGTAGCTCTGCTACATCTTCATACTTCTTTGCGCACAGATACCCGGGGAAAATCTTCAGGATGTGTGGCCCACCCTTACGCCCGACGAGGAGCTCAAAGTCTGTAGCAAGTTGGCCGACCTGCTGTTGAAGTTGTTCAACACCCGCGGAAACCTTATTTGCACCGACCTTCTTGGTACAGGCATCGACACCTCCACGTTCAGTGCCCTCCTACAGGAAGGACAGCAAAACCAGAACCCTAACGGGCTCTCGCCGTTGATTTTATCGCGCCCGTTCAACGAGCCACCACTGGATAGAATGATCCCACAATTTGCACTATCCACTAACGCTGACTATCTGACAGCACTATGCTGGCGCGTTGGACGCCTTTGCGGTAGCACTGAGGATGTCATCGCTCGAGCCCGTGACACAGGATTTGCAGATAATCCTCTACTAACAATAGAAGACATGGTGCAAGCCAGAGAAACATTCAGACGGCTGGCCAGCATAATCCCACATCACATCGGAGGATTCTACATCCCAGGAACGCTCTCTCGCGAAGCGAGAGAAGAGGCCTATTCGATCCTACAACACAGGAAATTTGGCGTCTGCCATGGTGACATGCAGATGTACCGTTTCCTCATCCGGTTCCTGCCAGATAAAGATGGGGAACTTCGTACTCCCAGCTCAGATGTCGAGCTCGTGCTTTGCACGGGGTGGGAACACGCATTCCGTGCACCACTTTGGTCATGCGCGCGCATGCCACTCTGGCTCATCAGCCGGCCAATCTTGAACGAGCCCATTTCCTGGGATCGCCAAAGACAATTGCGTAATCTCATCTACGACATGATGAACGAGCCTAGTAGAATAGAGAGCGCCCGGGAGTGGATCATTTCGCACGTATACGGACGTACCGAGCGGTGGTTCGAGGGATGCGTCAGCGCGCATTGGATGTACAGTCGGAACATTGAAGCGAATTTGGTGGACCTCAAGAAGTATTGGGAATTTTGGCGTCCAGACATCGAGCTCCCGTTCCAGGTGGGAGTGGAGTACACTGGACAACGGCAGGCTCTATCCCATGGGTCGGCAGACGAGCCCATCATCGCACCTGTCACTGAAGAGCTGGCTATTCCTCTCCTTTCCGCGAGCCCTCTTGGAATTTTCCTTGGAATGGGTAGATCTTGAAACGCATGTCATCTCGAAGCTGACATTGGAATGTCTCTTGTTAAATTGTATTGTGTGCGAAGGTCAATGGGTTGTACCTATGTCGGATATCTCCTCACAGAATCTTTCATGCACTTCAATGAAGATCATTTTGCACGCGGGCGAGCAAATACTAGTGCCTTCGTTAGAGATAGAAGAGACGGTCAAGGTCAATACATTAAAGGTCTGGGGCCCTTTACAGACAGGACGTGCCAGTTCGCGACGTATGCAGACCCCAGGAACTCTGTATGAGGAATTTCCACATACCCGCTTTTGGATATTACTATATACCTTCACGTCGAAGTACTACGCAGTAGTACTAACCATCCCCTTCCATTCTGCCTTCACCACCTGTGCATAGTTGATCATGAATCGCATATTTGGCTCTTCTTCAACCAAGAAGCCAAAGCCGACGCTCCAGGATGCTATCAACGCAGTGAGTAGGCTGTCGTCACAATCAAGCTCAGGCTAACTCACTGACATTAGACAGATGCACGCGTTGCCTCCGTAGAAGTAAAGATCAGGAAGTTAGATGGGGAGCTTTTGCGCTATAAGGAGCAAATGAGCAAACTGCGCAGTGGACCTGGTAAAGTGCGCGAACACCTCGCCTGGTGCTGCGCTTGCTAATTAATCAATTGCGTCATACGTGTGCACGACACAGAATGCGATCCAACAACGAGCTTTGAGAGTACTGCAACAGAAGAAGCTGTATGAAGGGCAACTGAACCAGCTCCAGCAGCAGACATTCAATATGGAATCCGCTGCTCTCACCACCGATAACCTACGGAATACGATGGCCACTGTGGATGCCATGAAACTGGCGAACAAGGAGATGCGTAAACAGTACGGAAAGATTGATATTGACAAGATTGAGGTGTGTCTCATGTTGTATGCTTCCATCAAATGGCTCATTTATTACTCTTAAGAATATGCATTATGATATGGAAGAGCTTCTGGAACAGGCAAATGAGATACAAGAATCACTAGGTCGGTCATACGCCGTTCCAGATGAGATTGACGAAGCAGATCTTGAGGCTGGTACGTACACACATTGCTTTTGATCTTGGTCATTTCGAAACGTCACAATCATCGCAGAATTGGATGCCTTACAGCTCGAGGAAGAGGAAGAAGGTCCCTCATATCTTGCAGACCTCAACAAGGTCCCAGATTTCCTCGATGATACTCCTGTAGAGACAAGCGAGGTATGTCCAACGATCAATTCATCGACATGTTCAACTCAGCTTGATTGAACAGCCAACCACAAAGGAGGCCGTTAAGACTACATGATGGGCTTTTGAAGTTTGTATTGTGCCTGTCTCCTTAAAGACATGTATCCTGCGGTAATAATGTACACTAGTAAATCCTACACATACCACCACTTCATAGAGAATGTCAAGATAATCTGCTCCGTCGCGAACATCATATCAACCATATCTCTTCTGTTCTCCACTGAACCAGTCGTCAGTTTGTCGAGACTCATCAACCGATGCCACATTAACGATGATCGATTTGCTCTGAGAGTCTGTACAACATGTTGAGTCGAACATTCCTTAATCGAGCTAGCTAGACTCACAAGCCTCCAATGCCTCGATACCATTTTCCCGACCTATACCACTCTCCTTCATACCACCCCTTACATGCCACCGTGAGATTGTGCAATGATAATCATAGGCTGAGTCACTCACCATGGCGAGCTTGGGTCATTGCGGTGATGCGTGTTTACCCAAACAAGACCAGCATCAATATCAGCAGCAACTCGATGTGCTCTTGACAGATCCTGAGTCCAGACTCCCGCTCCCAGTCCGTACTTGGAAGCATTGGCAAGTCTAACTCCCTCGGATTCAGTCTGGGGTAAACTAAACGTCAAAGAGCCTCGCTTGCATCCTGATACAACTCACTGAGAACTTTTTCACGACCACCACAGGGCCGAAAATTTCCTCTTGCCATAACTCATCGCTGACATCAACATCAGAGATCACGGTAGGTGGGTAGAAGCTCCCGCGAGAGAAATCGAAATGGTCGAGGAGGGACTTCCCCAACATTCGCTTTCCACCCATGAGAATTGTGCCTGATTGCCGCCGTGCTACCATGTCATCGATTCTATTCAGGTGGTGGGGAGATATAATAGAGCCCATAGAACATCTTTCGTTCATAGCTTCGAGAGACATTATTCATGAGTACTGAAGGCATGATGTACGACTCACGGTCACCCATTCCCTGTGTGATACTTTCGACTTTCCTCAAGAACTCCATCATGAAAGATTCATATATATTTTCCTGTATGATGATGCGAGTTCCCGAGACACATGTTTGGCCGGACGCAATGAATGAGGCAAACGCGACCCCATTGACAGCAGAAACAACATCTGCATCATCGAAGATAAGTATCGGGGCCTGGTACAGATGAGAACGAATCCTCCAGTTCGACAATAGACGATGTAGTGCTGACCTTTCCTCCCAGCTCGGCTGTAAAGGCCGAGAGGTTCGAGCCAACGATGGCTCCCAGCGCTCGACCAGTCCGGGTACCAGCCTAGATCCACGGTGAGAAGAAGACGGTGTATGAGAGTAAGAACGTACTGTGATGTCGACCTTTCGAATGAGGGGATGAGTTGCAAGTTGCTTGCCCGTGGTATGGCCATAGCCAGGGAGGATAGTCAAAACTCCGTCAGGAACTTGGTTACGATTTCAGTACATATGTACAAGTAATTCATCAGTAGCTATACTTACGGCCAGCTTCTTGAGTTAGGCTTGCAAACTCCAGTAGGGATATGGGGGTAAGCTGGTTGTGGTGAGTGTCATATCGATGAAAGACGGTATAATTTATAAACCTCAGATGGTTTGACGATGACACTGTTGCCAGCGGCAAGAGCTGGAGCAATCTTCTTGATGGCAATGAAAAGAGGATGATTAAAAGGCTAAACGAGACCTCGGTGAGGTAATAAGTCAGATATGGCAAAAAAACGCACAGTGATCTGTGCCACGACTCCCAGAGGAACGCGTTGAACGTAATTAAGCAACTTCCCTTGAGCAGGGGCAACGAATCCTTGGTTCGTGCGTAGAAGTGCTGCATAATAGCTCCTACTCAGTGTGTCAGACCACGGTCATGATTTACGAAAAAAACTACTGACAGCCATTCAGGAAGACGAATCATTTGTGCATTCATTTCGCGGATAGGCCTCCCTGTTTGCATAGTATCTATTCGGGCCATGTCAGGGATGCGTTGCTGAAGAGAGACCGCTAGCCGTGACAGGACAGATGCACGATGTACCGATGAAGCCTTTGACCATATCCCAGAGTCAAACGTGGTCTGGGCATGAGACACGGCCCATTCAACCTCTTCGGACGATGCTGCGTCGACACTAGGCTCAATTTGAGGCTTGAGCACTATCATTACTTAGGAACAACATACGTGCACAACTTTTCCCCGTTAGCGGGGTTGGTCACGGTAATTCTCTGTGGATCCCTGGTCACTAAGGAAGATGTGTCTTTCCATTTAACAAAGGACAGTCGTTGGTAGTGATCCTGAAAGAGGAGACCTTTGTGTTGCAGGTAGTGTTGTTGGCAGAATGCCCTGCTGATGCCAATTGTCATGTAGCTATATTACCGGCAGTAGGTCCGAGGCCCGTGCAGAGATGTCACAACTAATGTTATGTAGACTCATATGCATGACCGACGTCCTGCGTCGTGGCGGCGTGGCAGGAAGCGCGGAAGTTAAAATCTTGCAAATGCCGATAATGCCGTTGCACTGAGATCTCCGAACTGGCAGCTTCGCGCCTAGAAATTCCGAGCTCCGCTCCTCGGCTTTGCTGTCTTGGTGTAGGCAACCACAATTTCATAGCAACCATTAACTGGCAATGTCTTCGCCGCCGCTTGTTATGCCTAATCTCACTCTGACTACAACGGACATTTCTACCTGTAGTAGAATCCATTTTTCGCCACTTCTTTGGACTGTAACTGTCAATTTTTCACACGAAACTGCCTTCGCCATAAGCCAAGCCAAAGCCAAAGCCAGAACAAACATTCGAGCGCCACTACCGCGTCAGATTCACGTGATGACTAATTTTACTGTTGAAAAGCCTAGCCCATTACATACTAATCCACGGAGTCGCTGTGGACCCGGTCCTTGTCCACTCGCTTCCATCCTGACCACCACGACCACGGCCACCTCTATTGTCCGCCTGTGGCACTTTAATCGCCACAAGACCAGATATTTAATCTTGCATATACCCTCACGATTTACATATCCTTAGCTATCTGTAATTCCAATGTCCAACCCACCTCTCCGTAGATCTGCTCGTGCAGCCTCACAGAAACCTGAGGAACCCAAAGCAGCAGCTCTCAAGGCCGCTGTTGCAAAGACGACGGCACCTAAGGCCGAAAAATCAACTCGGCCCGTTGCCCGCACACCCAGTCGCTCTAAGAAGCGTGCTGCCACCCCGGAAGCGTCGCCGCCGCCCACCAAGCGCTCTCGGTCCAAGGCCGGCATATCCGATGCAGAGGATGCTAAAAAGGTCCCTAACAAGAAAGCCCCAGCCACGGCTGCGCCCAAAAAAGTCACCAGGCAACCAACCGCAAATGGTCTCACGCCTGTTCACGAGTCGAAACCCCATTTCAACCCTTTACCTACGGCTGATGACCACCCTCGACCTGCTCAGCAACTCTTTGTTTGGGGGGCAGGGAACTTTGGTCAGTTTGGATGGGGTGCCGACCAACTCGGGGAATTCGGTGTTCCCAAGCGCAATACGTGGTTCGAGAAAAAGATGGAAGAAGGTGCCTTCGGCGGGCAAGGTGCTGGCCTCGAGGCCATTGCTGCAGGTGGTCTCCATACCTTATTCATTGATGAGAAAGGAACTGTGAGTTCAATTTCCGTGCCCTTGTCTACTTCCGTTGAGATAACTTTTGATCAGGTGTGGTCGTGCGGTGTGAATGATGACGCAGCACTAGGACGTGTCACCAAGGATGTTCCAGATCCAGATAATCCTGGAAAGTTTATCCACGTTGACGAGCTTACCGCTGTCCCTTATCCTCTTCAGTCACTTGTTGATGAGGGATTCCGCGCTGTCAGGATTGCTGCTGGCGATAGTATTTCCGCCGCTATCAGCGATAATGGCGAACTTCGAGTATGGGGTTCTTTCCGTGTGGGTGCCCAATTTCATCTGTTCACACATTTTCTAAGTTAAGTTTTGTTTATCAGGCTGCAGAAGGCTCTCTGGGCTTCTCTGGCGATGTGCGACTAGAATTCCTTCCCAAAGCGATATTAGATTTGCCCACAAAAGCAGGCGATGCTGAGAAGGCCGTCTCTGTTGTGTCAGGCAACAACCATCTTCTCGTACTAACTACGCATGGCAACATCTATGCGTGGGGTGCTGGAGAGCAGGGCCAACTCGGTCGCAAAATTCTCGAACGTCGTAAGATCCATGGCACAGTCCCTGAAAAAATCACCCTTGGTACCCGCCACAACCGTGCAGTATTGGTTGGTGCAGGAAATTATCACTCGTTCGCCATCGACGAAGAGGGTGACGTCTGGGGTTGGGGCTTGAATACGATGGGACAGACAGGCACCGGCGTCGCTGAACCAAAATCAATGTCTGACGAAGTGCGGTCACCAAGAATCATTCGGTCGCTGTGCCAGAGGACCCTCGGCGAACCAATCTTGCAGATCATAGGTGGTGAACATCATACACTTTTCCTGACTTCATCTGGCAAGGTGTATGCGTGCGGTCGGTGTGACTGGTGGCCAGCTCGGTATCAGCGACGAGGTTGCGGAATATGCTTCACGCAAGAACCCTGATTTCATGCCAGAGCCTATGTTAGTTCCATTCCCAGACCCGGACGATCCTATCGTATTCATTTCGGCCGGCACACACAATAACATGGCTATTTCCCAAGCAGGTGCACTGTACGCATGGGGAGAAGAGTCTCAAGGAGAGTTGGGTGTCAACGAAAAGGAAGCCAAGACCCCAACGACGGTGGTGCGCAGGGATGGTGGCGCATGGAGAGCAGTGAGCGTTGCCTGCGGTGGCCAGCACACTCTTGGGATGTTCAGAAAGAAGACCTAGCATGACTTGACTGCCATACGGTAACAATTGCACCATCTTGCATTTCACCCACTTCATGTCGTATACATGCTCTTATCCATGAACTGTGGACCGAACGATGCTTTCTTGCATACATACTTGGTCATCTAGACACCACCCTGCATACGAATCGTAATGTATGTCGTTACTTGCACTATAAATAATATACAATACTTGACCGTCAGAATTTCGTGTCTGAGCGTATTTCATGAGTAAGTAGCTGCCAAACGTCCTACAATGTATTGCTCCGTAGTAAGCGGAGGATATCTGCTTGGATTGGATGTGCTCGTGCAAGTGGGCAAACTCTCGATGATAGCGTCAAAATTCGGGTTGCAGAAGAATGCAATTGATTGCCGTGCGGGCGTCATGCCTTCGGTAGCGTTGATCTTCGCTTGCAGGCGGGGCAACTACACGATGGAGAGTTGAACGGAGGATATCGTTACTCCAGCGCGCCAAAAGGTCCCCAGCGTTGACGACAATTGTTCCAGGCTATCGGGTAGAGGGTTAAAGACTTGAAGAGTAAGCTGAGTGGAAGAAAACGAACAATGGGTGAAGCAGGTTGATAATGCTTAGTATGAGGGTTCTGGACCTCTAAACCACCAATGGAGTCCTGGAACAAGAGTGTCAAAGTTCCATAATCTAAGAGATAAAGAAGGTCAAATTCGACGACTGAGTGTCACTAAAAAGGAACGGACTCGCCTGTGTGAGAAGCGGCCCTGGCTTGACCGTCGCTTCGAAGTAAGGAGGTTCGAATAGGAGGATAGGACAAAAGCCGTAAGTTATGGTCCTGACGATCGATCTTATTGTCGAAGAAATCCTCAGGAAGGTCGAGACCCAACGCAATCGATTTCATGACCATGATGTGCACTTCGTGGCAAGTCTACGGTAACAGAGACCCAAGGTCAAATCATTATGCGTGCATATTTCTGCGTGCACGTACCTGGAAAAAGTGGAGCATCGTCTGTTTAAATCCAGGTACTTCACTTTCTTGAGGCCACTTATTACTGAACGTAGGATGGTTTTCACGTCCGATTTCCATAGATTCCTTGGTGTCTGGAGCCTTTGCGCGTAATACAGCGATCTCGGCCGCATCCATTGAAGTGGTGACACGCTCACGGCCAACTTGAACATAACCACGATTAGCCTTAGGGTCGTCCCATGCCAGCCTTGCCTTGGTCTCTTCGGATAATCGGAAGAATTCTGCACTCTGAATACACAATTAGTTATGAATGTCCATCCTGTTATAAAGTGCGAATACTAGCCTTCTGGAATACGTGGTTGACCGTCTCGGGTTCAATCACATGGCCTGTTAAATACACGAAGCCGACTTCTTTGAATCCGTTTACAATGTCATCCGCGATGCGACGCTTGTCAGCCAAAGAGGTGGCTTGTTTATAAGCTGCAAAGTCAATGAGGGGTATCCTGAAAGTTGAATCCGAGCGAACATCCTGCACGTTGCTAGGTTGAGCAATATATCTAAGACCGAAATGAAACCAACCTCTGCAAGTGTACTACTGTATCTAGGTGTAGCGATGAAATGCGGCCGGGCTGCACGGAACACGACTTGGCGTATAAACGGTCTTAGGACAAGCATTTGATTGGCGGATATTACTCGTACTGGAGCGAAGGTGACGAAATACCTAGACACAGGTACAATTAATATTATGAATTAGTATGAGTGAATGAACGGACGTACCCCCCTTCTCAGATAGATGACTGAGGGAAAGTCGTCCACTGGCAAGTATTGAGTCGTTTCGGGAGCAATCGGGGTGCTATTTACGGCAAGTAAAGAACGACGGAGAGGCAACTTCAAATTAGATACGTTGTGACCGGTATCCTTGTACTAGAGTGTCAGTAGTATTGTGAGCGCATGTGGTAGGGTAGAGTGGCAAGTACTGGCACTGGCCATGGCAGGGCAGATGCACTGGAGACGGAACTATTATAAGGGACACCATCTTATCTCCTATTTGCGCATGTTTTTCGCTTGGCACTTGGCTATACTCCGTCTTTCACCACCATAGCTTTTGCCTGCGACAACATTCAACAGATGTCAGGGGCTGATGCTGGAGAAAGCCGTACTTGACCTGCGCACAGATTCGTCCGTACACGACCAGTTATACACCGCACTTTCAAGATTATGCATACATGCGTCTCACTCTTATAAACCATAAGCTCCCCTATCCCTTATTACTTTTCAATGTCCTCAGTACGCTATAGACCCGTAGCGCTTTAATGCGTTACAGTAAGAAACTGATACAGTTGTACATATTCGGTATTTTGGCCTGCACCGGTAAAAAGACACAAAAGACAAGAGCCAAGCAGCAACAGTTGACTCCAGATCATCCACCCACTGCTTCCGTATTGGGGAACCTCTTAACAAGTCTGCGCCTGGCCCCTTGACTACGCAACGACTCGGATCGTCATCGCACTAACCCAACTGGATCATCGCATCAGTACTTTCTATGACTCCTGTCGCCTTGTCTTATGCGAAGGATCCTTATGCTAGAAGATGATTTCGCGTTTAGGACGTGAACGGAATGTCATATTGTCTTCAACTGGAAACCTGTCATTATTACATAGTAGCAACATCATGGTATAGGGTTATAACATAACCTCCACGGGTGGGAATGGTGATCAATTCATTCAGGCTGCAGCCCACATCTAGATTGCGTCATGCTGTTAAAATCATACAGCCTGCTTTGGCATGTAATCCAGCCAACTGCCTGACACAATCATTCATCGATATGCATCGGAAGGATGTTGAAGGAGATATGCGCACCACAAAGACTCATAGCTGAAGCTTTCTTTTATTACAATGAAAAGTCTGTTGATATATAACTTTAGCAAAGACCCAAAGCTTATAGAGGAGATTTAGGCAAACCGTATCTCCCCGAGCCAATTTTTCCGAATTCATCATCAGTCGAACCAGATATTGCCGGAAGTTGATAGGTTGGATGTAATTCGTCGTGGGTCACAATGGCACCCCGAGCAAAATGCATCACGCTTGCTTTCATGTCAGATTTTTCGACATCCGCAGCTAGTTTGGCATCCGATTGAGCGATCTGTCTGTTAACTGTGCCCGCCCAGACTGTTGCGAACACGACACCGATAACGGCAATTGATGTGTTTGCCAGGATTATTTGATTGATGACCACTGGGTTAACTTCGCAGTAAATGACAATGATCTGGGCGACCGAAAAGAGCGCCGGGATGACGAAGTTTGAAAGCGCGATCCAAAATAGCGTCCTGAGTCTCATTCTGAACGAAACTTGAGCGGAATAAGTTGAAATCTATGAGGATGCAATTAATATTTACACTTGGTATTGCCCGTGGTGGAGCCATCGTTATTTTTTCGCTTTGACCAAAGTGTCCAGAGGAATACAGAGGACGCATATCTGAGAGATATTTTATATATGAGATCCAATACAAAGGTAAGAGACATTCACTTCACATATTATCCACTAGCTGCGCGAACCACTCGATCTTGAGATACGGAGCTGCTACCCACAGGGCTGCCAAAGTTGCTTCTGCATTGGGTCCTTTAGCCGCTCTTGTTAGAGCTGCTATAAAAAGAGATAGATTGATAACACGGGCAACTTTCAGTAGGACGGGCAGTGAAACCAACATCACAAAGCGTTGCCATGTGAGGTATCTTGGCGGATAAACGGAACAAATGCGAAAGAGTAGGATGGTATCAACAAGGATACTTTGGACCGCCCCAAGGAAGCCCATGATTATGTCATAGGAAACAGGGTATGGATGTGTCGGTGATAACATAGTATTAACCTATCCGGAGATGTTAATTTCCAACATAGCAAAGTGACTTTGAGAATTACTTACAGCTCTACTGTCCCCCATTATGCCGACAGAGAATGCCAGGCACACATTCAAAATGTTGAGGATAAATATGGGCTGTCTCCGTGAATGCTCATTCGAAAAGTAGAACATTGCAATGAGGAGGGGTACGAGTATGACCGTAAACGTATGCCCAATCATGACGTCGATCAGTGCAGGTTGGATTGCCGCAAGATAGTTGAGACCAGGGGGAGGGGGAACTGACATTGTGATACACACACCCTTGACCCAGGGAAGATAAATTCCTAGACGCTTGTTTCTGGAGGTAAAAGTATAGTTCTTATAACACTGGCGGACCTAAGCACTGCAATGCAGCAGGGAAGCTTGATGGCAACGGAAAAAATCTTTCAATTGGCAATTATCAGTGTTCCAGTGGGGCCGCGACGATGGCATTCTTGGCATTGTATGATGAAAAACTGCCGAACCCAATTGAGAGTCGTTATACAATACAGCCTTAACCATAACGTCTGTCTTCTGAAGTTTGCCTAAAGAGACTAAGCCTTAACCGTTTGTCGTCAGAGAACACGTCAGACGAACCTCTAAGGATCTGAGGCGTGATTGTACAGCAATCTAATTGCAACACAAGCGCTGGATACTATGGATGTTGTGCACGTTTTGTGAACTGAATTTCTCCTACCATAGCTAAAGATCGCATAAATGATATTGGTATCAATGAGCCAAAATGGGTAACACATCAATTGCATGTGGGGGCTCACATGTGCTGTTTGGCCTGGATTGCGGCTGCCGCATACATGCACATCAATTATATCCACACTCCGATCTTCCGAGTAGAGCCACGCTGTGCACGCTCAGGAGAATCAATCAGGTGATTAACATAATTCCACCAATCGTCGGAGTTTGGATAGGGTGGCACGATAAGCTGTAAAGCGTTGTTGATCCTGACACTCATGATGCTCGTTCTCCGCCTGTTGTCAGGTCGAACTTGAAGTTGTTCCAATCATCAAGAGATAGGACCTGAGCCGGCGCCTGTGATTTTCGTACAAGATACAGCAATAACATTATGTCACCGCCCTCAATAAGTCTCCCATACTACATCTGGTACCATCTCCCTCATAACTGCGCAACATATCAGAGCTACACTATCGAAAACGAATGTAACTCACGTTTCCAATGATCAAGCGCTTCTCCTTCCTGCCATGTGTTCAGCGTGTTATGTGCATCAGTCAGAACGAACTTTTCTTCCATAGTCGCAGACCAGATAGAACTGTCGCCAAATTGGGCGTGATTAATTTCCCGTTTGTCAAGACTGGATAAAATGTGACGGCGAAGATATGAGTGAAGATAGTCTTCTTCGACTGCAGATCGAAATGTGAGTGGTGTTGGAGATGGGGTACAAAAGAAGACCTATCGCGCGATCATCAGACTTTGTCAAAGCTCCAATGAGGGAACTCACAATATTGACGAAATTTGAGTGAAAATGCTCCATGGAGATGGGCTCAACATGGTCATGGAAGGCTCTGCATTGCCCAAATGCTCGCAGCAAAGTTACGAGTATTGCTTGCGATGAGTCGGATGCAAGTTTTCCAGCAAAGTTCTGTCCGAATGACACAAGATAAGTAATACGGGCAAACACAATGCTGAAACTGCTTACCACTGCGACGACGCCTTCTGGGCTTAGGATAGTCTTGAGATCATTCCAAAACTCGATAGAGAAGAGATGTTCAGGTACTCCCCCTCCAGAAAAGCAATCATGGACAACAACATCATACTTGATTGCGAAGGGGTCCTCAGCTTCTACCATAGCTCTCCTGCTTCTGACCCACCCTCTCGCATCCTGTAAAAACACATTATTGTTACCCGGATCTGATAGGCCAAAATACTGGCGTGCAGCATCGTACACAGCAGGATCTATTTCGACAATAGTTGTTGCTATGCCATGTTGGGCAAATGCATTTGCGGAGATCCCGGCACCAAGACCGCTGTACGTCAAAGCTGTCACTCTTGCTGGGCATCAAACAAGGTCACCACTTACATTATGAGCGCATTATTGCACTCTCCCTTCCATCCCTGCGGAGTACTATTGACAAGCCGTACTGCCTCCTGGAGAACGAATGCGCTGTAGATAGAATCTCCTAAAGGAGTACCATCTTGGTCGGTTAACGGAGGAAAACTGTCGAGTGTGGCCACTGAGTCCCCGATCCATACACCTCCCAGTAACGAGTGAGATGCTCGAAGGTAACGGATAGAGTGAAGAGGAGTAGAGCTCATGTCGGCTGGAGGTAAGATCTCGCCAACCACCACTACACCAGTCTTGGACTGGGTTGAATTCAGGATACGGAGCGGATATGTTGCACTGTTGTATGGTGTAACAATAGAATTTACGAGCGTCGGGGATCGGAGAGCTGGATTAAGATTTAAAAGCACAGTCAAGACTAGGGGAATCGCACTCAAGGCCACCGTGGATCGAGTGTTTCGGGCATTCGAATGAGTGTTATGTTTGCCCACATCGACTCTAATCCCACCGTACACAGCAAGACATACACATCCCAATGCAGTGAACTAGATGAATGAATGTGTTAATTGAAAGATGTTACAACTACAATTGCAGCTATTACGCACAATAACACTGTTCAAGGCATCTAACGATAATGCACTGAATACTAGCATTAATAGTGGACGAAGCTGTAGTGCATTGGCGGCGAGTACTATGAGGGCTAAAGTAGGCTAAAAAGTAGTAAACGTTAGTCTAAGGTACATGCGCAACAGTTCTTCCCAGAACAGGCCAGGTGAAACTTACATCAACGCTCATCGCCAAAGACACTGAGAAGTACACAACGGGAGCCAATACAAGAGCATGGGTGACGAGAGGACTGTAAATGGGATCCTTGAACCTAGCAGCATGAACACTGATCCAATAAGAGGTATGAGGTGCTAGAAGAAGTAGACAGCTGAGAATCAAGAGGATTCTTGAACTCGAAAGATTTGGGGTAATAATGGCAAACGCTGTGCTCGTGTGTACGACATAACCAAGGTATTTTAGAGTTGGAACACTGGCAAACAGCGGGATGACCGAATTTTCGTAGGCAGTCGTAAACAAAGAAAGCGCGACGCTCACGGCAAGTATGGAAAGAGAACTCTTTGTGCTCGTCCAAGTTGCCGATTCAGGGTTGGTAGACATATTCAAGTGTAAGGCAGACTTGACCTTGCGGCACACGCTAGGCCTGGTTCACGGTGGAGCACGCGTGGCAGTTGTGGGCAAAACATGATATTACCTGTCACACGTCGCATTTACCGGCAAATGCTAATCCACGGATTCTCAGAGTAGCGACTTTATACAAGTGCTAGTTCAAACAGTTGTTAAGATGCTCTAATGAACACAAGGATCGAGGGAGCTTGCAGAATATCACAGATCCTATGCCTGGTCATATATAGTACATAGGACTCGGATTTCTGATGATGATCTATATTCACAGGCGAATAGTATCAAGAAGGTTATCGATCAGCACTTTCAATCTCCCCGCTTCGTAGGCAGCAGCGGTTGCATTTTTGTCCATGGTAAGTGCCTCAGTGATCCCCGGGAAAGTGGTGGCGCCATAGCCTCCAGTGATGCTCAACCTTCGTTACAGGTGAAGAAGGGCATGACACTCACCTGACCACTTGCCAGGAGCTACGCCCAAGTGCTTGTACCACTCACGATCTTTAATGCCGTCCTTCGAAATGAAGCTACGTTCAAAAGCGATCAATCGTTTATTCACAGCTTGCACACGTTGAATAGCTTTGACAAGGTGTCGACTGGGTGGTCTGAAGGAATTGCCTGTGAGCTGTTATCCACCGAAAATGCAAAGAGTCTCGCCTATGAGAGTGTTGCCTCTCCATGTCTTCGTGCTTGTCTTTCGATTCGCACTGGTGCTTTCCAAATACCTTCTTGAGTTTGCAGCTAGCCTTGTGAATCTTGCGACGAATCTTGTGGCGGATAGCATGCTTCTTTTTCATTTGCTTGAGGATCTTACGGAGTTTACGCTCCGCTTTGGTCTTTGCAGAGTCCAGCTCTAAACTGGCACTCTGCAAAGCGTGAAGGGAGTCTCGGAGAGGAGACAGATCGACGTCATATGAGCCAGCGGCTGCAATAGAAGCAACCCTGAAGGTTCCCAATCAACTACAAATCACCTGCAGGGAAGCCAATGGTGCATACTTGTCGAGGTATGATTCCAACTCAATGGAGTAATGGGTAGTGTTGAGCGGTAAAATAATGTCGCCAGATAGACGAAGCACTTGTAGGCCAGTATGTTTGGCAATAGCAACCTGTGAATATGAAGCTCATGTGAGCTGGTAGGAAGCCAAGTAGTACTCACATGACGAGAGAAACCAGGATCACCGTATAGCTCTTGCCAATACTGAGAGTCAAAAATCGAGTGGTAGTGATACACAGGATCGTGTCGCGTCGAGGTGAATCCATTGTCAGTACTCGGTACCTGATATCATTGGTCAGGTGTAAGCTGCGGAAAACATACTTCGCTATTCATTTACTCACACCATGGTATTGCAAGAAGACGGTATAATCACTCCCAGATCCCAAGGGACTCACTCCGATACTATCAGCTGTCAAACGTTTATTTTTATGCATCGCAGCAATTTCGGCATTCGTATGCTCGCCGAAAAGCGTTCCAGAATCTCCGCGAGCATCCCAAAGGCTTCGTTCCTCAGAGGTAGGGTGGGGAATCTGCTCCGCCGTTTCACGAAAGAGATGCGCAAGCAAGGGAGATCCTGAAGCCTTGAAACGGGAGCCTGATGCAGAAGTGTCTGAACATGAAGGTTGAGATTAGTTGCACAATGAACGTTGCAAACCAGTCCTTCATACCCATGTTAACGTAAGCCACAACATGGTTCTTGATCCACTCCGAGAAATCTTCGCCCCATTCTGTGCTGCCAATCAACCCAAACTACGTAGATGACTTGTTTGAGTATGGGAAAATCGGCAGATTGAAAGACAGCCTCACTTCTTCACCATCCCAGCTTGTAATAAGAATCGTCCTCAGGGGCTTCCATCCTTCCTTTAATAGGACCCCAAAGCCACGAATTACCTCTGAAAGAGACACAGTGCCTGAGATTGGATCACTGGCTCCCGTGACCCAAGCTAGAGAATATCAATATTTGCACAGGTATCACAAATGTCCGCAATTACTCACCATCTCGGTGGGCACCTATCACAACTACCTCGCTCTTGACGTGGCCGGGAATAACACCCATCACGTTCCAGATGGGGGTAACCTTTTCATCCACTATGAAAAGGTGAGGGCCCAGCGATGGAAATTTGGATGTAGTCTTACCGTTGTTCACAAGACGAACAGTTGGGCCTTCGTGGCCGTCCTCCAAGTGTTTCAGAAGGACTTCGGCATTGGCCCAAGAAATTGGCAAACTCGGGATGGTCGGTTTGCTTCCTCCTTCAACTCTCGTGCTGTTTTCATACGAGGGGTACCCAGGGGTTGAGGGATCTCCGGGATATAGCGACAAGAATTGCACGGAACCGCGTTGCACGGAGGTTGGGTTGCGTGCAGGCCCGTGTGGGTAGCTGTGCAGCAACTCAGAGATATAGCTCTCAAGTACGAAATCAAACGCACGGAACATATCCATTTTCAACTGTCACTGTGCCATCGTCATGAGGGTCTGAGTAAACCAGAACAGCGGCAGCACCAAGCTCCTGAGCTCGTTTGACCTTCGAAGTTATTTTAGTCAAAATATCAATAGGACTCGTGAAGGTGTACCTTTAGACCCCTGAAGTTACCACCGTAGCGAGTGAGGACGATCTTTCCGCTGAAGTCAACACCTTTTTGGTGTAGAGCATCAAAAGCTAACTCTTCACAAGGCAGAGAATTACGGACCAGCTTCTACGAGCGCGTCGAAATCCTGTTTTCTTCCATAATGTGCATGAATCAGCTTCCCTTCAGCCTGTCCCCCTCTGCTAATGCCATGCCACGTCGGGACGGCATTCGCGGACTTGAAGGCGTAAGGATCAGTTTCATCAGCGACCTCTTCGAGCTGAGCAGACCAGACAGCGTTCCCGTCATCTCCGAGAATCTCCAGGCTACGATCCAAAGGGCTGTTCAGGATAGGGTAATAAGTGTCAACCCAAGCCTTTGGTTCGTCGAGGGATGAAATTGATAACGTTGCCTCGCGAGATTCACGGGAACCGGCCGAGTATAGTGGGATGTCGGAAGATGAGCGATCAATTTGAAGTTCTTCCTGTAGGTGCGCAAGGAAATATTTCGCAGTGTCAAAATCACCTTCGCTCCCGGCCATATGGGGCTTGTCCGCATACACTCGGGATGTGGTGATGGCACTGTCTGTATCTGGTACAGACCTGGGTAAAGTTAGATTCTTCCACAAGAATTTGGGAAAGCAGTAACGTACAAGAACAGTTGCTCCGCTTTCTTGCCTCTCAGAACACTACCTTTCTTTGGAGCATGGCGCATCAGCGCATTCAGCATCCCATAATCTTGTCCCTCGTGTTCATGATGGCGAGGACGCTTAACGTCACTCAAAAAATGGACTGTGAACATAAAAGTGAGTAAGAGAGCAAGACGACGCCCCCATTTCTTGTAGGGAGAGGTAACAGCTGGTTGGTGTGTAACGGGAACTGGAATGGCCCATTGCACTGATGTATCGTCGACGTGGAAGGACTTCTCGTCCATGACAGATGTGGAGTCCCTGCTTTTACAAGGATTCAAGGACGTTCACGATAAGACGTGGTGAGAACGACTTCATGTTTGTGTGAATAGGACCCGGAAACACTTTTGTCCGTAGCCTAGGCCCGTATGTACTAGACTGTCTATTTCGAGCGGTTGCACACGATATGTCATACTTAGTGGATACAGAAAACTCGAAGTACATATATACATGATCAAGTGATATCCATAGATCATAATTTCAACGTTTGAAGCGTTCAAACTTTGAACGTGACTGAATGAGCCAGCTGTTTTATTTCCCGAGTACCACGCAAGTTCTGGAGGGTATGTAGATCTATGCTCATTGATTTAAGTCATATGTCACAATGCATTGGGATGAGGTCGTACCTGCAACCAATTCTTCCTTCCATTCCATTCCATTGATGTTGTAGTAAACTTGCCACCACATGAAACATTCTCGAATCCGCCGAATTTCTTTTCGTCGCTGGTAAGGATGATATGATATTCCCCTGCTTCATCGACACCAATGCGATAATCCGTGAAAGACTTAGTAGGGTGGAAGTTAAAGACAAAAAGAAGGCCAGATCGTTCATAGGCGATCATCTTGTCACCCCCGTGTTTGAGAGAGACGTATGCCTTTTATTGATATAAGTTAGCTCGATAAGTATCTATCATGTCATGTCAGACCCTAACCTGAGAAGCTGAAAGCCATCTGTGCTCTTCTTCCAGGTGGTTTATCGCAGCATCGAAGTCATTCAGGTATCGGTACCGAAGGATTTGGTCATCTACAATATTCCACTGTCTCCTGGCATGCTGGAAGGAGTTGTTGTTGCCTTCTCGAGGAAAATCAAGCCACTGGACAGGTAAATATGAGAGGACAGTGAGTGTGGAATTTTAGTATTTCTTACTTCTGGGTGTCCAAACTCATTGCCTTCAAAATTCAGGTAGCCTTCTCCGCCGAGCGAGTGGACCAGGAGACTGCAGTCATGAGTATTTATATGCGGCCACAGACAAAAAACCCACCGAATCATTTTATGCAGAGAGAGGCCTCGCGCGATGATGGGCGTCATTGGTGTCAAATCCGACATGTGCGTATCTGTGGGGGCGTTCAGGTTACATATGATACAGACGATGAAGCGAACCCACACATTTCCTTGTCCATCAACCAGAAAGCCAGAGTCTTGTCTCCCACCAGGGCCTGGTCATGGCTTTCAGCGTACGCAACGCTCTTCTCGCCGTATCGTCGATCTGTAAGGGTGTGCACAATATTACCCATATCCCACTCGTCATCAGTCTTGTGCTTCAGCAGTTTGATCCACATGTCCGGGATAGCCATTGACAAGCGGTAGTCGAATCCAATGCCTCCTTGAGATACGGGGATGCAAAGCAGAGGCATACCTGAAACGTCTTCTGCGATCGTGATAACAGACGGATATAAAGTATGCATCGCATCATTCGCCTTCAGATTGCTGTTAGTAGCGAAAACAATGGTACGTCAATGCAACATTCACCAGCATGAGGTACACAATAGCCTCCTCATCTGCTCCCGGACCAAAGTAATCAGGGTAGCCACCCGAGAAACCTGTTCCGATACCATGATGGACATACATCATACTCGTGACACCGTCAAATCGGAAGCCATCGAACTTGTACTCCTCCATATAGAAGCGAAGATTGCTCAGTAAAAACCTCAGAACTTCGTGGTTCCCATAGTTGAAAAGTCTGCTGTCCCACAGCTCATGACGTCCTTTGCTGCCTTCGTGGAAGTATTGGTGATCCGATCCATCAAACGCGTTAAGGCCGTCAAGGACGTTTTTGCAGGCATGCGAGTGTACAACGTCCAGAAGAACGGTTATACCCATGCCGTGAGCAGTGTCGATGAGCTCTCTAAGCTCCTCAGGAGTGCCATACCGAGAGCTGGCAGCGAAGAAGCTGGTTACTTGATAGCCGAAAGCTAGCATGAGGAAGTTCAGGTTAGGTGCGGAACAACGGCTCATCACGTACATGCATAATAAGGATGTTCCATAATGGCCATTAGCTGGATGGTGTTGTAACCCAGAGCGTGAATCCTCGGAAGCGTATCTTGCGTGAACTCTTTGTATGTACCTACACGGTGATCGCTAGTTGAAATTCCTACATGGGCCTCGTATATTCTTATCGCTCTCGGTTGCGGTGGACGGGGGTTTTTGAACTGATATTTTTCCGAAGTAGAGGGATTCCAGAAACGTCCTTCATAAGCAGGAGAGAAGGCCAAATCTTGGGTGACACGTTGGATCCACGCAGGGATACGCTCGATACGAGCACCAGAGGGTGTGATCATGGAAATCTGACGAATTAAGAACAAAAAGATTACTACACATTAAATACACTCACTTTGACCTTGGAGTCATGAGGTATCGCGCACACCCCAGGAGCCTTGGGAGGGAGCGTAATTTCCCAGACACCAAATTCATTCTTTTTTAATGGGTGGGACATCCTATTCCACTGGTCTGAATATACAATCAATGTTTCAATAACGCAAGGCAGCACGAAGGATGGGACTCACTGAAGTCACCAATGAGATTCGCCTCCGTTGCATTTGGGGCCCACTCTCTGTAGACTATCTCACCACTATCCTTGACGTTAAAACCCATTTTGTCGAATCCTCTAGTGAATTTCTCATATCCACCCTCATATTGATCGATGGTATCTTTCCACTTTTGAAAGCGCTCGTGGCGGTGAGCGATAGCAGGGATGAACGGCTCGAGGTACCCATCGAGCTTTAACACAGATTTGAGATCAAAGCTAGCTGTTGCTGCCATTTGCTGGTGGGCTCGCGGACCGAAAAATTAAAACTTTGCAGGAGATGGGAGAAAATAACAAGGAACAGCTAGGAACAGACGAGCCTTAGGCCTCATCTTCCTTCTCTCCGCAATCTAGGTGGCAACAACTCAGATATGGGCTATGACGTCTACATGATCGCTCAGAAAGGAAGGTTCCGCGGTTCTGGACTGGGCACGGCCATGCCTGTCCATTCATAACGCTTGTGTAAAATTAGAGTGTACAACTTGTGGGGTATACTGCGACAGAAAATAAAATCGATCATACAACTCATGGCTTCATCCAGCCTTTTTGAACTCCATACAACACAACTTCCCCTGCCGTCCTTGGACCAGAAGGTGGCACACACATTTTCCGCTTTCCCTTCCGGCCTTTCTTTGCCGCAGTAATACAGTCCCCCAATAACTTGTCGATCTCCACTAGGGAATCGTAACATTCTTGTTCGTCGTACCCTGTCAGGGCTACGACTCGTGTAAGCTCAGCCGTGCTTTTCTTTCTCGTGGCAGGAGGCTTCAGTCGCTTTGAGTGTAGGAGCTTTTGTGTGAGGTAGTGAAGCCACTGTTTTGGGTGAGCCTTTTATATACAAGCAATGGGAATACAGCTCTTACCATGACATTTGTGAAGGGCTGATAGCCTTCCCAAGAGTTGCCATTATACTCTTTCATCATCCTGTAGACATCAAATTGGTGATCTCCTGCCGGTACCGATCAGCAAAGCGTATATCCCAGGGGTGTGTAAGACACTGACCCTCCCCTTCGAAAATTTCTTCATCAAACGGTGTCCAGTACGTCTTGGAACCTTGAGCATCTGTGGTTTCCATCCTCGAAAGCCCAAGATCTATGACAGTCGCCTTGACGCCAAACCGAACGTCATCCATGCAGAGCTTTCTCCCTGCTTTTTTCGACGATAAAGTCCGAACAGGTACGTTCTTCACCAAGATCTGGCCCCAGTGTAAGTCACGGTGCTATTTTTCACGTCAGCCACGACATCATTTATGGGAAAGAATCTCACTTCAAACGCCATAAGGTCTTCCGCTTGATCCAGAGCCGTGGCTATCTGCCAGAAGATACTGGATGCTTGGTGCCAGCCAGACCCTGCGGCATTTTTGAATGTAAATGCTTCAAGATCTGGGCCACCATTTGGCAGGACAATGATTGCGTAGACCTGGGAGAGGCCAAAAGAGTCTAACTGACAGTTATGACAATTGTGATTCTTCGTGTCCATATGTCACCTACCTGGTCTTATACTCTCAGAACCCTTGCGCTCGTTATATTCATCCCAAAGATCAAGAAGCAGCGAAGGATAGCGCCCACGGACGACGTATGTCCTGAGCAGCTTGATGAAGCCACTGCTCATCTCTCCCATCGCTCGGGTGACAATAATTTCCTTTATAACATCACTCGCATCACTCGGTGCGGGAGTCTCCAAGTCGTTTGTGAAACGTTGTTCCTCATCTCGCAAGGGGATGATCTTAAGAACTACGTCACCGATGCCGAAAACCTCGGAAAACGAGGCCTCGCCAATTTTCCGAAATTTGATATCCAGGTCATTTCCTTCCGCAGGCTGCACGATCGGATCGAATGGAAATGACTCTATAAAAGCAGAGAATTCATGCGGACAAGTCTGAGAGCACTCTGATAGAAGTGGAATTAGACAGTCAGGTTGTGGGGGTAGCAAATTTTCGAATTCGGTCACGTCCGAGATGTCAAGTTGCTCCAGTTCGAGAGAAAGGTCTGCATCAGTGGGTGTGGAAGGTGTGGGGAAGAAGCGCTGGAACGGTGCTCGACTTTGTCCTCGGCGTATAGGTGTCAGCTGTCGTACTTTTGTTGTCGGCGGGGCGAGAGGCATGAACACTGGTTGTGGTTGTTGGGTTAGAGGTGGAGGCGGTGGTAACGGTGATGAGGGTTCCTGCAGGACTGTAGGTAGCTTATGGGGTGAGTGTAGCTTATAAGGCGCAGGGGGGACCACGACCTCGAGAAATGAACACCGTCGTGTGGAAAAGGTAGCTGTCGGCTCGATTTCGCATTTGTGTGGAGGTTCATCGTCATCAGAGGATACGATGATCACTGATCGCATGCGGCTAAGGCGTTTTTTCGCTACCACAGTTACCTCCTCTGCATCAGAGTCGCTGTCACTGATGGCGATGATTGCGGGTTTGTTGGGTGCCCCCTTGCCCCCGACCCTCGGAGCTGCCACAGTTACAGGATTTATCTGAACATCAGTCCGTGATACTCGCCGTTCCTGACTGAGCTTCTTGCCATCGTTATCGACTACAATGATATCAAGAGTCACGACTGGAGATGTAGGCTTCAGCGCAGCCCGTGGCGATGACTTGACTGGCGCTTTGCCCTTCTTCCCCACGAGTACTGAAGGTGGTGGAACCATAGGCGACGCACCGTTCGTGCGCAAAGGCGTAAGCGGCTGACGAACAGGCGTCTGCGCTTCGAATTTTGAAAGCACAGTCTTCTTTTTTGACTTGACTGTTGGCTTGACCTGAGCCTTCTTCTTGGGTGGGCCAAGCGGGGATTTGGTAGGTGAGATATGTGCCCGCTTGGATTTTCCGTGCACTCGATGGCGAGGAGAGGGAGATAAGTAGATAGCATTTTCTCTTTGAACTTGCCTAGAAGCTGTCAGGTTACGCACTGTCTTGACGGGTGAACCAAAGGCATCCGACTCATTCCTCTCAACGACATTCACAATCCGGTGACCACGACGCCCATAGGCAAAGACTTGCTTAGTTCTTGCACTAAGCATAATTATGGCAAGATGAGCGATAAAGCTGAAAAATGTGATCCACAGGATGGTGAATAATGTGAGGTCTGAAGTGGTCCGAGGTGTAATGCAAGTGTAGTGAGCAAAGAAGCGCGTGTTCGACTTTTCGGTACAGACGCGTCTTGGTCACGTGCACAAACGCGTCAAGAAAGCAACACTGACTCTGGGCTAAAGCGCGCTAATCAGTCGAGACGGATCTTATCCACTTCCTTCTGATGGCATTACCACAATCTTTGAGAACATCCGTGACTCCACTAGAGCTTGAGCTCATCGCCTCCGAGCAACTAGTCGAGATTGTCCCCTTGATCACAATGGAAAAAACAGCTTTCATTTCGGTACGCATTGAGGCGGATTTCCATAGCAGTACCCACAAATGGTCGTACTCATATAGGGCGCATATGGACCACTACGACCGCCGGCAAAATGTCGGATACCTCTTTGGATGGCTACTAATCTGAAGCTAAAGAAGAAATGTCACATCGTACCCCCGGAATGGCTCAGTGTAGGTTTGTATACAGCCTTTCCTTGCTAATTACGCGCTTACTGATGTACCATCTTCTAGATTTTTTGCTGGAGCGGCTAACAAGAGAAACGAGTCGGCCGGAATTTAGCAAGCTGCCTTTCCGTTTTGCAGAGATAGCCAAGGTCGTCCTTGACGTGTTAGTAACACTTTTGTTTATTTAGTGACAATATCTGACTTTCACCAAGTGCCTCAGATGATGTACAGAATGCAGATAAAATCAAGTCATTACTGAAAGATCTTCGCGAAGCCCGACAAGCTAAAAGTCGCGATGGTTTGCAAAAATTAGATCACAGCGAGCTCAGTGTACGCTCTACTTGGTTGTCACATCGCGGATTCCTCATTGTTATGCAGTTGCCAAACCTGTGTTCTATGGAAATCAACGAGATTCGACCCTTCTTCATACAATCTATGGGAATACTAACACAACTTGTTAGAGAGCCTTCCGCTGAGTAGCACTTGGCTTCTTGCCCTCCGTCGCGGAAATGCACTGGTGTGTCTATTTATCTGACCTTTGATTTGTTCAGTATCTTGACTGAATATTTTCAATCTCGAATGCTGAAGCCTGCATTTCATTAACTCTGCGAGAGTGCACTTCAAGAGAGGATTTATTAGGACTATTTACTGATGCTGCAAGACCAAAGCGGTAGAGGACAGGTCTCGCAGATCGCTGCAAGGCAATGTCATACTGCTAGTCTAGAGTTCGATGTGCGTGACGCATCGCTGAACAGTGCACTCATCATATGAGAAGATTACAATGCAACGTACATGGGATCAATCAAGCTTATTTCTTCTCGCTGTTAATGTTGCACTTCCACTATCAACGGTGACTCTCGTGGGAACTTGCGATGCTCGCCGTGGTGGCGAACCAAGGCTAAATCGATTGGGAGGCAATACACCGGTCCCGGCAACAGCATGGACTCCTCCAGGCGTATGAAGAGGTACGTGGTAGACTGTTGGTGACGAAGGTGCAGGCGAGCTTTCCTGGCGTGTGTGATTGGGAGTATGCGGCGCTATCAGCCCATCCGTTGCTTCACGTCTGAACGCCTTAGGAAGAAACGGAATGAAACGGAACATCGCCTTGAATAGAGACGAGTTTGAATGAGGCCCCAACGTTCGAAAGCTAGCGGTCGGCGTGCTGGGTATACCTAGGTTTACAACCAGATCTGAGTGCATGGTGTCAACGAAGCATAAGGGGTTGCTTACCAGATGATGTAGGCAGGGCATGATCATTCGCACTCAAACTCAAGAAGAGGAAGAGCGGGACGAGCCAAACGCAGACCCCAAAGAAAGTTGCAATGTCCGAAAATCCAGGTACTGTAGAATGCATCGGAGTACGATATAGATATGACACCTGCCTTGCCTCTCGTGTGAGATGTGAGAAGTAGAAGAACCAAATGAAGTGATCCGAGATTGCAAGAATACAGGATGCAATGAAGGACAAGGATGAGAGCGAGATAAGTGGCCAGGTGCTGGAGAAGTTCTGCAAGTAGACGACGTGACAGACTATAGAGAAGAGCGTTCGTGCTAAAGGAAGGGAATCTGAAATGTAGAGTGCAATGTGCAACACTATTATTGCCTTCTCTTCACGTAAGATAGTCGCCTTGGTTTAGAAAATGAGTTCACGAACATATGTCCCCCGCTGTCCAATGATCTTGGCAAGACGTGAATGCTCCTCTATTAGCTCGGAGATGTACAACAGACCGCTAGCTAGAACTCTAGGTAAAAATGGCAAGCATAAAGGTGACGGAAAGTGTCACCCACCAAGTGAAAGTGTCATGAATGCAAGAGCAGCAACCATAGCAGCATAACTGTATGAAAGTGGCCATTCAATTAAAACTATTGGATATTTCAAGATGAACCATACCTGAGATAATGTAATAGTGACATGCCGCGAGGTTTCACTTGGGAGGGACCACTGGCAAGTAACGGTCTATTAGGCCTGTGTAAAACTGTTGATCGCCTAAGAAAGGGTTTCGCTGAAGCTAAGTGCACGTGGCCAACAAAGGTTACAGCAAACACCTACACCACAGCCACACATAGCCCGCATCTTCCACTTTGACTTGTGGCATCTCTTCTGAACGATCTTCCCCATTATCAACACCGTATCATTTGACTAATTGAACATGAGCAATATGGAAAGTGAGCAGCTCGTGCAATAGCGAGGTCACGAGAAATCCGTTGACACTTTGCAGAGACGCTATTTCAGCTGAAGGTACTTATCATCATATCCGACAAGAATCTTCTTTAGATCCTCTCCCTTAGTTTACCGCCAAGACCCTTAATCGTCAAGCAAAGAAAGCGCAAAAGGATGAAAATACAGAAAAGGCTCGTCTCAAGAAGGTTCATTCCCACTGTCGTTCTGGATCAAACGCACAGCAATCTAATCATTGGGTAACTTCAGGCATTGCAGCAGAGAAATACTGATGGCGCGCGGATCTATGCCTCGAATGCCATTCGCAAGAAGTCCGAGGCTCTGAACTTGTTGCGACTATCTAGCCGGTTAGACGCTGTTGCCAGTCGGGTGGAGACTGCCGTCACAATGAGACAGGTTACTGGAAACATGACCTCCGTGGTCAAGGGCATGGACAAAGCAATGGATAGCATGAATCTTGAACGGGTGAGTAAAGGATCTATCCTTCGCTACTCCATATCATGACCTCTTTCGAATGATGTCATAGATTTCGCTTGTGATGGACAAGTTCGAATCACAATTCTCCGATCTAGACGTCCAGACGTCTTACATGGAGGACGCAATATCAAGCACAACGGCTGTATCAACTCCGCAAGATCAAGTAGACTCTCTCATGCGGCAGATGGCAGAAGAAGCCAACATAGAATTGCAGCATGATCTCGCGTCGAAAGACCTGTCTGGTGTTCCATCTCTGGCTACGAAAGAGAGCATTGGTGAAGAAGACGATAAACTAGCAGAGAGACTGAGAGCTCTGAGACCGGCGGCGTAATGATTTAATTTATTCATTCATTGCAGGTAGATAGAGGTATTCAATCTCGTGGATTTTTGTATATCGTAGTACGGATTGTACATCATTACTCTTATTCTTAAACTTGGTTCACTGCACTCTTATCTAAGTTCTGTACCGCTAACGGTTGTTTGGATTGAAGGCTTTTGCCAAACAAACACGTCCGAGTTGGGCTTGGAAGTTCGTGTACTTATTTGGAGTCTGGACTTCATATGCCAGGACCGACCAATCAGGTCCATACAGACACCAGAACGCCAGGATAGTGTCTTATTAGTGAAAATACAACAAACAGACAGGCAGCACTACGGGCATTGCAACACGATTGTCTCGGTCTATTACCTTGAAGTTTCTTCCCAGCCCGCGGCCACCTGATGCTATGCATCTCTACTTAGGTCACAACCCTCGTACACTCTACCTGGTAACTGGATCGCATGACGAGAGGAAAGGACGACCGCAACGAGCTCTCGTATTTCGTGCTGTAGAAGCCAATCCAGCACAGGTGATCGTCGAGTTCCTGCCGAAGGATGAGGTCAATCTGACCAGCGCTGTGAGACTGACCAGCCGCGTCATTAAAGGCTGTCTTGGCCTTATCTCTGTCGAAAATGGTATGCTGATCTGCATGTCTAGCTGGTTCAACTTCACCCTCGTCACTTATAGATACTTTCCTCGCGGTGGTGTCCTCTGCGACCGAGGTTGGAAACACCCGCCCCTTCGACTCTCAACCTGAATCTGTAGCGAAGATTCATGAAGTGTTGTTCTACTGCCTCACTTCCCACTCATGGGATGATTTTTCTGCCTCACAAGATACGCTTCTTAATCCAGAAAACGCCGATGCACTCATGACAAGAGAGCAGCAGCACTATTCTCAGTCTACCACACCTCCTGTGTTTGAGCATCCGTGCATGCCGCTCACCAAAATTCTTTCATCTGGTTCATTCTACTATGCTCTCGATCCTGCATGGGATCTCTCATCTCGGCTTCCCGTTCGTCTGGCGAGAGATCGATCCAATGCACATGATATCGGTATATTTGATGAACGCTTCGTCTGGAATGAATATATTGTCCGCAGTTTGCTTAATTTCAGGGAGAGACTGGATCCCCTTGAAAGGGAGGAACTTGACAAGTGTCAATTTATCGTGCGCTTGTGCTCGTTTTTTTCCTTTTGAAGATTATATGTAACATGGCGAATAGATATTAGCCATACAAGGCTACGTGGGAGTCTTTACCATGGCTTTGCCTGCGCCGCCGGTCAACGGGGCACCCATTATCGCGACATTGTCATTGATTTCTCGCCTTGGGTGGAGACGAGCTGGCACTCGTTTCAATACTCGGGGTGTAGATGATGACGGGAACACTGCTAATTTTGTTGAGGTAGGTAATGAAACACCGGGTATAAAGTCAATGTCTGATTTGCATTCGACAGACTGAAACTATTCTCACCACTGATCAACATTGCGTGAGTTATACCCAAGTCCGAGGAAGTGTCCCATGTGCGTTTTCGCAGCAGGGAATTTACGCACCAGCTGTTGAAACCCTTTGAATTACAGTATTTTGGGAACAACAAGGGCTCCAGACCTTCGGCCAGCGCATTCAGATTACACGGCCGCACGCCTCCCAACCTGCATTTGAGCGCCACTTTGCGCATTTGATGGAGGAGTATGGCGCCACTCATGCCATCAACCTTTTGGGTTCCAAAGAGAACGAGGCCATTTTGACTTCTGCATATGCAAAGCACCTGCAAATTGCAAGAGGCATCTGGGGTGACGAACTCAGTATTACTCACTACGACTTCCACAACGCCGTGAGGATAGGTGGTCATGATAGTGTAATGAGGGATGTCTGGTACGTCATGGTCTCTCAAGAGATGGTCAGTTCATCATGGTGAGACACAGTCGTTTGGAAGGCGTTAATAACAACATGGAACGTTACGGGTTCACCATGTGTGATGCCAGCACCGATAGTCTGATCACGGAACAAAAAGGCGTGTTCAGGACAAACTGCCTTGATTGGTGAGTCGAGCACCTCATATCAGAGTCTTTGTGTTAAATGAGGCATAGTTTGGACCGAACAAACTTTGTGCAAGATATCTTCTCTCGTAAAGCCTTGGAACAATACCTCAGTCTCGTGCACCGCGAATGGTTACAGGCTGGTGCGCTCTGGATGCACCATCGCGAGTTATGGGCAGAAAACGGAGACGCTCTCTCTCGTATCTATGCTGGTACTGGCGCCCTGAACACGAGCGTCACTCGGACTGGGAAGAGAACGTTGGCAGGTCAGATACATGACATCAAAATATCATGACGTTCCTGATGTACTTTGAAGGTGTTTTGTCCGATGCGACAAAGAGCGTGTCGAGAGCATACATCAATAATTTTCAAGATAAAGGAAAGCAAATTGCCATTGATATGTTTCTTGTGAGTGTCTTCTTTCGATCTTCTTTCTGAGTCACGAATACTTTTAATCAGGGCAATATGAATAACCAACGTCAGGTCAATATTTTTGACCCAATACATGACTCAGTCGGAAAGGCGCTGCAGCAGCGGTGAGTGGAATTGGCATGTAGGATGATCTCACTGCCAATGCTATCATAAGCTTGTCCGAGTACTCGACTACCCAGTCATGCAGTATATTCACAGGAACGTGGAATGTCAATGGCCGGGTAAGGCGGATTATGCGTATTCTTGCCACTGTTCACCAGTTCTCCTCCCCGCAGCTGCCGTCGTCAGAAAGTCTGCTGCCGTGGCTCTTCCCGCGGGACAGTAAGTCTGGTTCCTCACCCTGAATCGCATTTTAATAGCATTGTCTTTTCAACAGATTTTATAGAGTATATAAACCTGGTTGTATTCAATGACGTAACTGACAAGTTTCTAGACCCGATCTTTTTATTCTTGGCTTCCAAGAAATCGTTCAACTTACCGCACAGCAGATTGTGCAACCAGATCCAGAAAAGAAGTAGGCAATATTCTGCTATACGAGGAGTATGCATCCTGACATCGTCATTAGGCGTATATGGGAACAGAAGGTCATGGAAACCCTTGAACGTCGACCTCAAAGAACGTGTGATTACGTGCTCCTCCGCAGTGAACAAGTGATACACGTCCATGCTTAGGTGAAGTAATACTGAACGCCGTTATTACAGCTTGTCGGGACTGCAATTCTTGTCATAGTTCGCTCAGACCTAACAGCTGTCATACGGAATGTCGAAGGAGCAGCTCGAAAGGTGGGCCTTGACTACATAATTTAAGGCCCTGGCTTGAACATTATATCAGACCGGTCTGCGGGGCATGTCCGGAAACAAAGGTGGTGTTGGAGTCCGATTGGACTATCACGATACTAGTTTCTGCTTCCTGACTGCTCACCTTGCCGCCGGGCATAGCAACACTGAAGAGCGGAATGCGGACTTCCACACAATTGTGAAAGGTTTGCACTTTCAAAAAGGAAAGACGTTGTCCAGCCACGAGTAAGCTTGATTCTTGGGAATGTAGAGCTTGACACGTATGAGCCCCCAACAGAAATATCATATGGCTCGCAGACACGAATTACAGGATAGACCTTGACAACGAAAACGTCCGAGCCCGGTCAGAGGCCGATGATTTTGATTCTTTGGTAGCAGCAGATCAGGTGTGTTTGACGATTAATAAACAATTGCTTGCCCTAGATTAATCCTACGACAGTTGAGACAGGCAATCGACAACGGGGACGCATTTGCTGGATATGAGGAAGGACCCATGTTGTTCCGTCCCACTTATAAGTACGACCTGGGCACCGACAACTATGATACCAGTGAGAAAATGCGCATTCCAGCTTGGACTGGTAAGCGTTCTGACGTTCAGAGGGTGCACTCACATGAATTACACATCTCGCAGACAGAATTTTGTTCAAAGGCCGATTCGATCTCGCAGTATACTCCCGGGCTGAGCTGAAAGGCTCGGACCACCGTCCAGGCAAGCTCTTTTGTGGCTGTAATCTTCACGTGCCACTGATTGCTGGCATCAAGTTTTTGCGCTTTTTAGAAGTGAGGTACGAATCATAGATGTCGCAAAGAGGGCCGCGTTATCTCGGCTGCTCCTGGAAAATACGCTGTCAGCTACTCCAGGCGAGAAACTTGATGAAAAACTTGCGTCTTTGGTACTTCCCGATGACTATTCTGAATGTCTGTGTTGTATTAGCTTAGATATGCGCGAAGCTCATATTTTACCAGTGCCCCCGCCCAGCACCGATGATGATGCATGGTGGAACAGACCTGGTAAGCATGTAGCAACGTCGGCGCGCATGCTCTAACACACCTTCAGAACATCCAAAAGGCATCTTTCCCATCTCGGTAGCTCACCTCTTGGAATCAAATGCAGCGAACCCTTTTGACTCGCCGGAGGAATCTCCTTTTTCATCCTCGCCATCGTCCTCTGACGAAGAATTATATTCACATGCAATGGGATTGCAATCTCCGATCACACCTGTTCGCAAACCTCCACCTCCCCCACGCTCACGGTATACCGATGTATGATACAGAGCTTAGATTGATTATATGGTTGGCATCGTCATATAGGTCAACAATAAAGTAATGGATGGAAGAAGTACAAGACTGCGGCACGGACATATCAAATCAGACCTTGCTTTTTCAGGTCCTCGTAAGTCTTCCTATTGTAAACATTGCCCTCGTCGTCCTCAAGTTCTTCCATCGTTTCCTGCTCGAAAATCTCATGTCGTCCCTCTTGCTTCAGCTTTTCTGCCACTAAATAAAATTTCAACGGACATTCTCTTTGAAATTGAAAACACTTACGTGAGAGGGCATCTTCAATGCGAGTGATTTCGTGGAAATGTTTTGTGTTCGGCAAGCCCAAAGCCCGCATGCCAAAAGCGTGCCGTGATTCCTTCATAATCAGTGATTAGCCTACCACTATCAAATCAAAGCAAAGCAGTATACTTGGAAGTGCCGGTCAAAATTTTTCCTGTTGCAGGGTTGTAAGCTTTCATACGCTATATTGGAAATCAGAAGCTACTACCTTCCCATGTACACGTGGTCAGAGCATATCTCACAGCGATATTCTACTCCAAGGCCGTGAAGCTTGTAAAGCCAGTATGGAATTGGCTTGCCATCCCAGCCAAGCGGAAGTTTCAGAGGATTGTAGATCCTCTCCTCTTCCTCTTCTTCAGCCGCAGCATCACCAGATGTATTGGTGGGAGCCGGCGGAGGTTTCGATTGTTCAAGCAATTCTTGTTCACGTTCGCGCGCTGTGAGGGAGAAGCGACGTTCCACATTGGATTTCGTCTCGCTGATAGTGGGAACTAGCACCACAAGAAGGGATGTAGAAAGATACGTTAGCAACGCGGAGCTTCGCAGTCTGGATTTCAAAAATTGAACATTACTCGCAGGTTGTGCGGTAATGTTTTGTGTGCCATTTGGATTTTGCGGAGGCGTTTCGGAAACGGCCTGCTTGGTAATTGCTTTCATATGTTTCCTGGAGGTCAAGTGGGCGTCATAGACGGTCTTCTTTGAATAGCTTTTCTGGCCTGGGCGGTGCCAACGTGAACACACGAGATTCGTTGAGATAAACGACTTAACTGACAAGCAGAGCACCAAATTCCCTCTCCTGCGCCGTCTGTATTCACTGATTGCTTGGCGGTTTTATTTTCGTCCCAATCGACAAACTCGCCATCGTCCCATTTTTGGTAAAATTCGACTTCAGCTTCCTGGTGTTTTGTTTGAATATCTACAAGCGGCTGTGTCCGTTTTACAAAGGACAGGAGATAATCATGCAAGTGTTGAATGTACCTGGATAAGGAGTGAGGGTAGCTCACACCAGAATATCCACCGGCTTACACCTCGTAATCTTTCGTTGCCCTAACCTCCCTCGAAAGCTCGCTGTGCAATAGACCGTTGGGAGCAGCAAGCAGGATATCAAGATACTGAAGGTAAGGCAGTCGTTTGAAATGTTCTTCAAGTTGTTGTATGCGGTGTGATTCGTGTACAAATCAAGGTACTTTCCATATGCTTCTTCACCAGAGAAAAGTAAAGATATGGCTGGAAAACAAAGGTGAAACAATGCAAGATTAAGACTGCTGTGAACGCACGGTCGTCCTCCTCGTAATCATCGTCCAGCCCATCTTGATTACCCTCCTCCAAGATGGCAGCAAGCTCCATGTCGAAGCCTCCTGCTACAGCATCAGGATACTTGTTGTAGTGGTCCTGAACCTTCACCAACCGCGCATAGAATTCAGAAAGGTCATTCTGCGCTGCTGCTGGAGCGCTAAGTGCGCCTATCTCAACTTTCCGTGCATCTTCATCGAGGTAAGAGTTGTGCAAGGCTGTCACACGCGACGAGATGCGATCCAAGACCTGAGCTGCTTTGTGTTCTGTCTGAATTTTGATTTCATGAGTCGGTTGATTTCTTGAGAGCAGTGAATAGAGAGCAGTTTCGTATCTTTCTATCTCCTCGTGTGTCTGACGCTGTGTTTCGATGATGGAGTCCATGTCGCCCAAGACTATACTTACTGGAATGTTGAAGTCCAAATATTGGGTTATATTTTCAATCTCCGATCTTTTCACCACCTCACCCATCTTCATAGGTCAACATGTCTGGCATCAACGCTGGAGACGAGGCAAGTTTGTCAGACAGGGCAAAATAAATTGCGTGGTCATGCATGGTTTAACCGATTTCACAGAAACTTGTATTTGAGTCCTCCGAGGCAGTCTCGGTTGTGTCGACTTTTGATGACCTCAACTTGAAAGAGGACCTTCTTCGCGGTATATATGCGTACAGTAAGTTCATTTTTCTCGTTGCAGTGTTGCAAGTGCTCAAGTTTATGTACAGACTTCGAGAAACCGTCTGCTATACAGCAGCGAGCTATTCTGCCAATAACGCAGGGTCGCGATGTCATCGCACAAGCACAGTCTGGAACCGGTAAAACTGCCACCTTCTCCATATCTATCTTGCAGTCTATCGACGTCTCTGTTCGCGAAACACAGGCTCTGGTGCTATCGCCTACGCGCGAACTGGCAACCCAGATTCAGTCTGTGGTTCTCGCTCTCGGTGACTATATGAATGTCCAGTGTCATGCTTGCATTGGAGGTACATCCATTGGCGAGGACATCCGAAAGTTGGAATACGGTCAACACGTGGTGTCCGGAACCCCTGGCCGTGTTTTCGACATGATTCGGCGCCGTGCTTTGCGGACGCGCAACATTAAAATGCTGGTTCTTGATGAAGCAGACGAACTGCTCAATAAGGGGTTCAAGGACCAAATATATGACGTATACCGTTACCTTCCCCCAGCTACTCAGGTTGTCCTGCTGAGTGCGACACTGCCTTACGACGTGCTGGAGATGACGACAAAATTCATGACCGATCCCATTCGTATCCTCGTCAAGCGTGATGAGCTGACGCTAGAAGGGATTAAACAATTTTTTGTTGCTGTAGAAAAAGAGGACTGGAAGTTCGACACATTGTGTGATCTGTACGACACACTTACCATCACACAAGCTGTCATCTTTTGCAACACCCGGCGCAAGGTATGCCTCTGAACAAATCTCTCTTCAATGTAGCTTACTGGTTGAAATAGGTTGATTGGCTAACTGAAAAGATGCGCGCGGCAAACTTCACCGTGTCATCGATGCACGGTGAAATGGTCCAGAAGGAGAGAGATGCTATCATGGCGGAATTCCGCGGTGGCACATCGTGCGTAATTTTTTTGGGCTCGCTTGAATCTGGAAAAGTTTTGATCTCTACTGTAGTCGCGTGCTCATCACGACAGATGTTTGGGCCCGAGGGATTGATGTCCAACAAGTCTCCCTTGTTATCAATTATGATCTCCCGGCGTAATTAATTTTGCCTCGATTTTTTTTCAATCTACTGACTGATCCGCCGCCTCACTCAGCAATCGTGAGAATTACATACATCGCATTGGGCGCTCAGGTCGTTTTGGCCGGAAAGGTGTTGCTATCAACGTACGTCATGTCCTCCGTCACACCCGCTTGATAATTCATGTATAATTCATTAGTTCGTGACTGTTGACGACGTGCGTATCCTGCGCGACATTGGTATGTTATTTTTACCTGGTCACCTTCATCACTCACTCCACCCCAGAACAATTTTACAGCACACAAATAGTACGTTGCCCCCTCAGCCGTTGCTTCGCACTGTCTTCCTCACTGATGATTCAATTCACAAGGACGAAATGCCGGTCAATGCTGCAGAGCTTATTTAGGAGTGATACGGCAGGCCGCAGCCAAGTTATTACTTGCATTGAGCCTGGATGATATTCAATGGTCTGCATATTTGTACTTTATGACGTTTTATTTTTTCTGCATTCATTCTTAGTTGTGGTTGTATCTGACTGACTGGTGTCCCACCAATTTGTATGGTCGTCACTAAAAGGCCGTATTGTCTTTGATTCTGGGGTACAAATTCATGTGAATATCGACCATTGTTGGCATTCCCATCGCTTACGCTCTTCGCCGTTCCGAGAGATGTTATGCGCTCGTCCGGATTGAAGGCGATAGTTCCTTAGTCTATCTGTGCAGTACATTAACGGACCGATGTAAGCAGATCACGTGGGCGTTTGTTTATATAATTGATTGTCCTCACTTCGCTGACGCAATAAAATCCACGACTTTGTTCTGTTATCTTCCGCCCGATCCGTTTAATGTTTCCCGTTGTTACCACGGCGGGTTTCCAGCTGCTGGAGTACGTGATATTTACTCTAATTTATTTCCGCCCCCTTTCAATCTTGCTCTGATCTGCCTTGTTCTTTGCTGTCATTCTTCGCTGTGCACCCTTTGTTTAACCAGTCTCTCGGCGGTTTGAAATAGAGCTTCTGCTACCTTGTTTTTTGTCTATCCACCATTGGTCATATCCGATGTAAAAGTCGATGACGGAACATGCCGAGTACTTAGTCTTCTTGAATATCATGTAGAAGTGCGGTACCCCGCCGCTTGCCAGTAACAACACCCGTCTGGAATATTTTCGGTAATATCTGCTCTGAGCTTGCACCACGTCATTGAAATTTTTCGAACGAGCAGTCTCGAGTAGGTGGCAAGGGCGCATGTCTTTCATAATGGTGTGTCTGACAATATACATTCCCACCGTGAGTGATGTGTTGTACGTGCATGCATAGTTCTACTGCTGAGCGCGGAGATCAATTCATAGTTGCGGCGTCTGCGGCAAGATTTGTTTGCCTTCCCAGCCAACCATATATTCAAAGAACTGGGAGCATGCCGCTGCTCAGTAGGCATGTCAGTACAAGTCTGATCATGCATGCCAAGTGGAAGGTGCTGCTTTTCCCATGATCCAACTAATGTGGTGTAGAAGAGATGAACAGCATGACTTACTGTTTCACGCACTCGTGGGGACAAATATGATGAATTGAAGAGATAGCAGATCAATTACTGCTGGCTCCAACGCACCATACCTTCACTTGTGACCTTGAATTGTATCAAGGTCTGGAAAAGGTACTTACGATCCCCTAGGACGGCCGGTGTAGAACAAGATAGAACCAGTGTCTAGGGGCGATAGTGTCAACAGTGGTCTAGGTGAATCATTTCAAAACAATGGAGGCTTCGATAGGATGCTATAGCATGGACGAGTGAGGCGTGAGGTTTTATGTAATAAAACGGTGACTTATGCGGGTACCGCGTCAGTAACACTACTATGTTCGAGTTCTATCACGGTTCCTGGTCCCTCTTTTGATTGTGAAACGTGAGGAAAACGGGACAAGCCCGATGGGACCTTAGGAACTACTGCAGAGAGACGATGCGATCATCGCATGCTTTGACGTTCTGAAGTTCTGACACAAGAAATTACAGGACGATCGAAGATCAGATTTGTTGAGATACCAAGATTAGACTCAAGTTGAAAATGATTCGACGTGCGTTTAGAGGAACTGTGGGAGGCATCGGGGGGTTGATCGTGTAGCGGTATAATCGACTTCCACTTTTCAAGTACTGCTATAAGCAATGTGCTTCAGTTCACGAGTGAACCAGCCAAGAAATATGGACACGAAGACAATGTCATGCCGACGCAAAGCCACCGGACCACTATTTGGGACCAACCGTCGGCGACGAGGAGATAAAATGCTAGTCATGGTGACCATGTAGTCACCTCTTCACACCTGAGAGGGAACAGTTAGCCGCCGTATACCATTTATACCACCAACCGTTGGATCAACACGTTCCTGAGTTGAATTGTAAGTCAAACATTTTTTGAGCGCGCAGGAGATTGCAGGGATGCGGTGCGACAATCGCGCGATGACGTTTGACCTGCCACAGCGAGAAATGGTTCAAAATTATGGGAACCGTTTGCAGGCCGAGATCAGCATCTTGAGAGCGAACGGGCGTTGGCCCGATGGGAGAAACTATCATTGACACCGAGGATCTATGAATCATGTGGCAACATAATCAAATTCTACTGACTTGCTATGTAAACTTGAATAAGCATCAGTTATTGGACGAAGCAGCCAGAAAATATGGACATGATGCCGTGCCGGCACAAGTCGACCGCTATCTTGCGACCAAGCATTGGTTCAAGCATGGTGATTAGCATAATATACTCCAGCCGCGATGGACGTCCATGGGACATATATACTTTGCAACTTACATCCGTGCTCGAGCGGGGACGGTCCACCATGTCCCCGTACCGTTGGAACGCGTTGCCTGAAATAAAATGTAAGCCGCGCGGGTGACAAAAAAACAGGGATTTTACTGATTTTTAGTGCGGCTGTACATGTCAAACTTGAATATTCTGGAGAATTGTGCGGCCGAGAAGATCTTAGACCTCTTCAGACCCGCATGCGCCAAGATTACCACGTCGCTACTAGCAAATATCTGAGTAAATCACTATAGCCACAATTAATCATCACAGGATGCCATGTGTCGGGTATTGGTTGGATGTTACACCTTTTGACCAGTCACCACAACGCCATAGAAGGTCGTACATTGGGTATACATACAAACAAACAGTGGAGCAGAGTACTTGAAATAGAACCCCTAGATTGTCCCAAATAATTTCGGATCATAAAGATACTTGATAATGACTACGTGACTGCTAACCAGCTCACTGAGTGCTCGTTTTTGGACAGTCCGGAAGGTTTCTGTGAACGATGACAACGCTTCTCAAACCGATATGAAAGTGTTTCAGCGCTGGGGAAGCCTCACGGCATTTGCGAAAAGACCGGAGCCCCGCAGTCACGGCACTAGTTGGTCAAATACACTGCGATGTCATGAGCAAATTTGGCGGATCAAGCTTATCTTGGAGAAGTTGATCTGAGCGGAAGGAAGATGAGGATAATAGAGTTGGTGGGAGCGCGGGTTGCATTCGCAATAACTAATTTTGAGACACTGTTGACATGACGCTATCGGTGATAACATGACAGCTCAAAGCCACGTTCACCGACGTACGTCAAGCCGTAAAGGTACTCACTTAGTCGCCTCCGGGCCGAAAGGGGGTAACTTAGGTTATAGCAACGTTTTGGTACTGAAACTTTTCTGCAAGAATTGTGGGTCATTATCTGGGAAAGAACGCCGTTTTGAGTTCGCCCCATGTCTGCAGAAGAAGAAAAGGTATGCTGTCCCGGCTCCTCCGCGCGCAATCATCCGTACTTCTTGATGAAATTATCAAATTCCGTCGTCCTATAATGTGCGTGACATTGACGATATGGTGCAGGTCGTAAGATCACATGTGTATCGACAAGGGTCAGGGTGCACATATTCGTTTTGAGCTCTGATCCCTTACTCATCAATCGTGCGACCACTGCGGGATTGCCATTTTCATAGCTGTTTGTCTTCACCGTTAAATGGATGCCGAGAATGGATTTTTGGTCTTCCCCATGTCGGCCTCATTTTACTTGTCGTGTAAACGGTGAGAGAATTATCTCGTTAGAATGGCCCTGATTTTAGGTATAAAAGACATACATATCGAATAGCTCCAGGACCACATCCCGATTATCATTATCATGTGTTACTGGAGAAGGTGGGTAGCCACTTGTTCGGCTGCAGCCACCGTCATTGACCCTGTCGTCCAGAGTGCGCAACTATTACAAAGGGTACGATCATATTTAGTGGTCAGAATACTTGACATCATATTCTTTCGTAGCTGCGGGCACTCAATAAATCTGGTACGATTCTTGTTAGCTTCACAGGCGTTGAATTTAGCCAATACATCACCTTCTGCAGCCCGACGAAGAGGTCAGAAGCAAGTAACTTTTTGGTTCGCCATCTTATCAAGTGCCTAGATCAAGTGCGACCTTAGAAACTGCAAATTCAGCCCCAAGCATTCACCGACATGTATACCCCCGCAGTGCACTAAAGTGTGCTGGCAGTAGTAAGTCTTCGCATCGCTGAATTCCAAACATCGCTAACTTGACGATATAGTCGCCAATACCCTCAGCAGTATGGTATGTCAACAAGTCAACTGCATCGACTCTATGCTGAAATTCGTTGTGTTCAGCACCACAGATTGACAAGAAGTGCCCCAAATGTAGTATACGTGGCTGAGTATGTGGACATCATCTCGAATGGATGTGATACAGACCGACATCACCCGACATATTTATCGTATTGTGATAAATATACACGAGCTGAGCACATGAGTGAGCGTGAATTTGCAACAATAAGTTCAAGACGGGCTCAATCATCCACAATATTATGCTTCTTCTTCAACTGTGCTAGCTCTTCCTCTCTTCGGGCTAGATCGGCTTTAGCAGCAGCGGCGTCCTGCTTCGCTGGCATATGATACAAAACAACAATATATCGCTCTTGCAGATGGAAACCATTCAGATGTTCAAGAGCATTTTTGGCCTACGTCAGTGGGAATTAGATATAACGAACCTGTCAGGACAGGGAAAAACGTACATCCATAACATCATCAAATACCACAAAGGCGGTTCCTTTTGTCTTCTGCTCATCCCCTATGCGTATCTGCCTGATGCTGCCATACCGTCCAAAGAGGTCGTACAAGTCTTCCCCAGTGATCTGGTAGTTCAGGTTTTTGACGAAGAGTATACGATTGGCACCTGGAGGCAATTTTGACTGCGGAGAGTTCAGCTATACTGATGTATGTCACTTTACGATGCAGCTCACAGTCGGTCTTGGGGCAGCCATGGTGGTTTGTATTAACCAAACTTCATAATTACGTAATATATCGATGATTAATTATGTGCGTAGTCAGCCAATAAAAAATAGTTAACCATTAAGCGCGTTCACATCGCGGAGTTACAAAGTTCAAACACTTGAGAGTGTTCAGGAGCGACTGGGAAACCTCAGCTTGCGTATAAAAGTTAGACTAACTGTGTCTTGAATCTGAAATTCATCAAGGGATGACACCCCTCTAATTAATATTAATGAAGGAAGTTAGACCTCGACTGATGGGTAGTAGGTACATCGTCTTTTGTTTAGGGCTCACCGCCCCAAGCGACGACTTCCGCGAGAGCTGCAAGGCAATCAGACAGTATTCGGGGATCGGGGGTAGGTGTGAGCAATGGGAGGTGGGTAACTTGAGAGGAATATTGTGACAACCGAAATAATTGGAAGAGCTTTGGGAGTTGGTTTACTAGCTGACGCAGATGTCCACGAGAGCACGCCCTCCGCCATCAAGTAACGAACAGTTTTCAATCTTATTAAAAGACAGGGTGTGTATCTGACCTTGACTACGGATGGGTGATAATGTTCATTACGTAGTTTGCACGCGACAGTGATAGTTTCTCAGAGGTCGGAGCAGGTGTAATTCTTCTATCCTGGATAGAAATTGGAGTACGAGGGAAATAGCTCTTGTATGACGATCGGAATCCTACTGCAAGAACACGCATGCGAGATGATAGTGTTCCTAGGAGAAACAGCTGGTCAACCTGTGATCCTAAAAGAACGACGTGGAAACACGGGCATACTGAATCACAAGGTAAGTGGTTCTGTCTTCGAGACGGCACATAGGACTCAACAGCCACTCGCCATATATATTTTAGCAAGTCACTAACGACAGACGGGCGATGCATCACGTTGAATATGATCTCATCAGCCGTTCGACTGGTGCACACTCCTCCACCCCTCTGACGCAAACAACCGTTGCAGCTCCTGTATCTACAGCGTCTGGGATAGTACACTTGATGTCCTCTGCATTGGCACATGGACAATCAGCCGGTCTTCCGACGCACGTCAGGGTACTTGGGCACAGGTATTGGGAACATGGAACTAAAAAAAATCAAGAGTTAGTGATTCCTAGAGGTAGTATATTAAGTGGGTATGGATACTGACGAGCTTCTGAATGTGCTATCCATTGGGAGTTGTCAGAAGGTCCAGGTTGATGTTGTTGCTGTTGTTGTTGGGAATGCCCAAACATCTGATCAAAGAAATTGAATTGTGCACCCGCCAGCGGGAGGGAAGCTGCTAGAAGTAAGATCAAGCTGGGCAGTTGCATAGTCATTGAATTGATGATTCGTGGTCAGACTCCAGAGGTTAGACGTGTCGATTGCCACGTGCACCTGTACGCTTTAAGTCACGGCAAAAAGTTTATCCACCGACTAGTAGCTCTAGTCAGAAAGAACATAACAAATTAGACTTGAATTAAACCGACAAATCGAAGGTCATGGGTTGAACCACATGTTGTTCTAGCAACCGGCGTTACAGTATCAAATATATGTAACTGACAATGTGTAGATAGTCATCGGAGATCTCATGTGAATGATAGATGGGGCCAACCAAGTAAGACGGATGGAAGATAGGAGAAAATAGGTTGTGTAAATCAAATGGACTGTCCCGTAAGCTTAAAAGTTCCTCCCCAAACCCCCTCCCATGTGCCTGTGTTGAGAAGGTAGCTATCGCGGGTTATCTTCAAGACGCCCGGGGTGTTGTAACCCCATCCGTGTAACAACTGCTAGCTGTGATAACGGACAGTTGATGGGATTCCCCTCGAGTAGTAGATCGATCTGAGCGAAACGATTTGTCTATCAGAAGAGAGGATCGTATCAAGGAGGCTTTCTTGGCTTTTTTTCGAGGAGGAATATTCTCCTTAGTGATCTCCCTTTCAGAAAGGACTTCTTCAGAACTACTAGGCCATGAGTCTTCATTATCAGAAGGCGGACTGGTACGTCGCGATGGTGTAAGAGATATGTGCGTATCTTGATACGTGTCAAAGCCAGGATAATGCACTGATTGACGATCATGAGGCAGTGGCATTTCGCGAAGCATTGCCATTGTGATTGAGGCAGCGCCAGATTCAGCGTCGCGTTGGGATGACTGCAGGCGAGACGAGCGACGGAGGCTATGTGCAGATGCTGAGGTATCTCCCGCAGCATTGGTTGAACGTATCAACTTTGGCGAAGGTCTCCTCGGCGTTCGTCTATCCCTTGAGCTCCCCTGGGTGGCACTAGCATATTGTGTGGGTGATGTCAATGCTATTGACGAATCGTGGGAGGCTCCGACATTACTTCCAGAATATGGAATGTGAAATGGCAATGACGACAGGGAAGCTTCACCAGGTAGGAGGATGCCTTCTGAGTGCAGAATGCGGCGCTTAGCCGGGCTAAAAATGGTGGATTTTGAAGGCGAAAGAGGGCGTTTAGCTGGTTTAGCAATGATAGGAACTGGATTAGCGCTGCTGGGTAAAAAATGCGCAAGTGGGAGTTCTTGCAGAGGACCAGTACGAGCCATCATGGGCATTGTAGAGAACGTTCAAGAAAACAGGCAATGCTGAAACGATATATGTACTTGATTGATAGCAGGTGGTTGGAACTGGGTGTCAGAGGCGTGTCAGAGGCGCGCGAACAGCCGGATTTCATAACAACACGTGACATAATGTCACACTCGCAAAGATAGTTAATTCGATCACTACGTATCAAGCAGGAACTTCCGCAAGCATCACCACATCAAAAACACCAGTACCCGTTTGGTTGGGACGTCCCATGACCAGATTACCTGATGGCGTGGATAAGTCATCAAAGTCACCATACAACGTCGCGTCTGAAAGGAAGGCAGCAGTTGTCTCGTACGACGCCTTCAGAAGAGGCGAAGGATTACTTGAAAGACCCTTGCGATTGAATGGCTTGTAGGCGCCTTCGAATGTCTGGCCATTGATAGGTTCGTGAGTAAGTGAGTTGCGTGCCTACCCAGTAAAGGTCTGACCATATAATCTGCAATGAGTTCCAGATGCCTCCCATCAACATCAATCTTGTAGGCGTCAAATACTCCACCAATCTCGCGTAATATCGCAGCACGCGCCATCTCCACACCGTAAGCTTTGAGGATGGAGTAGATGTCATTGGAGTAGATAGTATCCAGGTCAATGATGTTGTCATCTGTTGCACCTGTAAATTGCCAAATACCCCGCAAGTTAGATCCATTGGTAGTCAGCTACGTTGATGAATTTCAGCTCCCAATTCAGGTTGAACCATACAATGACATACTCGTATTTTCTCCACTCCGCGTTCCTTTACAACCGCACTAAAGCAATCCGTGATACCAGGGATCTCCCGGATAACAGTTCTCAGACAAGTGCGCTCCACTATGCCTACCAACAAAATTTTTGGGAAGTCTGCGGGAAACTGAAAACTTATGGTTTGATGGCAAAAAATGTAAGGCACAAATGACACGAACCTCGAGCCGAATAGAACATTTTGACTTCGTAAACGTGAACGAAGTTGCCTGATGAAAAATATTCATGAAGGCGTCCGCTACGACTTCAGTTTGGGCGTGAATAGCCGTCGGACGACCAATTTTGTCGTCGTTGCTGTCTGCGCCTTCGCCTTCCTCCGCGTCTGAGGCATAAGCCGCCTCGATAATGGCATCGTCCAAGTAATCCCTATCACTGTCATTGTCAGACTCGTAGGATGTCTGCTCCTTTTGCTGACGAGCTCGCTTGGCGTCAACAGCATCACCATCCCCTTGCTCAGTCTGGCTATCATCATCCTTACCACGGCCTGGGCCTTCACCCTCACCCTCACCATCTTCAGCCTCAGCCTCAGCCTCAGCCTCACCAGCTACAGGTTCTTTGGCTGCCTTCCCTTTCCCAAGCTGCGCTATCTGGCCCTTCAGATCTGTGTCGAGCTTCTTCATCTCCGTCTGAATTTCCTTCTTGAGTATTGACGGGAATTTGGCTGCGAACACGGCAAGAACTTCCTCGGGTAGAATGTCATACTCCTCGGTGTATTCTTCCGCGGGGAAGAAGACGATCTCTATAACGAATTCGGTCCGGCGTGCATCGCTCTGTACAGTCAAACGCTCTTTGACCGTCACATTGTCAACCAGCTGAGACAACGTCAACTTGCTAGCTCGTTTGCAAAAGATGTCAATGTCCAACTGGGACACGCCATGGGCAACTTCCATAGTCATCGAAGGTGTCTTAGGCTTTTGTGAAGCTGTCATCACAATCTCCCGCAACCGAGGAATACCTAGTGTTACGTTGGCAGCTCCGTGACCTATATTTAAAGTGTGAATATCCAGCACTTTGCAACTTTATAACAAAAACTGACCTGCAAAATGGAACGTATTAAGTGTCATCTGAGTTGACGGTTCTCCGACGCTAAAACAAGTAAGGATTAAGACATGCACGGGATCTGGAAACTTACCCCTGAGACGCCAACAAACCAACAGCTTCCCCAGGTTCCACCAAACTTCTTAGATACTTGATATTCATGAGCAAGTTGAAATATCTGGTTTTCATGGGTTCATGCCGACGCTTAATCTTGGGGCCGTCCGTCGCCTTCTTATCTTTGTTCATCAGTAACCCATGAGGGTTAGCGTTGATGTACTGAACCAATGCCCCCGCAAACTTCTCTGATGTGCTGCCAAGGTATCGACTAGGGCTATACACATCCAAGGCAGGAGCGCGCTTCTCTCGCTCGGCGGGCGTGTACTTGTCCGGACGTACTTCTGATTTCTTCAGAGTCTTCTTCATATAAGATACAGCGTCACTGTCGTTGATATGACCAGCAATGCTCTTAGGCTTGTAAAGGTTGAGAAGGGTGACCTGGTTCCGAGCAATGAACTCGAACTGGTAGAGGTGTTTCTGCTTTGTAACATCTAGGCCATCGCCGCCGTAGTGGAACTGGTATATGGACGAGTCACTGCCACGGACGGTATGATCATAGTGGACACGGATGCCCTCAAGGTGCTTGATGAGGCAGCGCTGAAGATAACCGGATCGAGACGTCTTGACGGCAGTATCGATAAGACCTTCACGTCCAGCCATGCAGTGGAAATAGAATTCTTGCGGTTTGACACCCGTCAAGAAGCGACTGGCAACATACCCACCTGCCATGGCTTTCGGCTCGAATGACTTGAAAGATGGAAGAGTTTTTCCGCTGACCATTACGGGTACGCGACGACCTTCCAGTTCCTGCTGGCCAAGCGCACACGATATCTGCTGGGCATTGACAGCACTACCCTTCGCACCAGATAACGTCATAGTTTGCATGTGGTTGTGAGGAAATTTGCGCAGAAGACCGTGAGGCATACAAGCGTCGGCGATGGATTTGGTTAGGCCCGAAAGCTTAGTCTTGACGGTAACATCGAGACCAGCCATTTTGCTGTCGTCTCGTAAGACATCTTCGAGCAATGTCGTCAATGCTGCTGGAACTTCCTCCTTGGGTAGCTTGCTCAACGAAGGGAAATTCTCGACGGCACCGTCGAACCCAAGATCACAGCCATGTTGGAGGAGTTCAGTTCTTCTCTGGTCTCCATCGGGCGTTAATGCCAGATCGTCCATGCGACACGTGAACGCCCGATGTTGTAGAAACTTTGTGAATAGCCGGCTGAGAACGCCGAGAAGCTTCCCAGCAACATCAGCTCCATACAGCTCGTACACCGAGTGCACAAGGCCATAATCGGTGGCTCCGAACGCGGATTTGTCAAGGACACCACAGAGAAGTTCGCCGTCAACAAAAATAACCTTGTCTTCTAAGGAATGTTTGCCCCATAGATGGCCGGGAACTTTGGCTTTGGAGTCAAGGTTCAGCCCCTCTGCGTTGCTCGGCGTGATGTTTTTCAGGACCGTCGAGATCTGCCCAATGCGATTAGGGGCTGAGGGGGCGAACAAAGCACTGTTACTTACGACCTGTTTTCCTGTCCAAAGCGGATGTGGCTTCCATATGGTTGGAGGTAGAGTGATCAGCCGTGATAGATGATAACTCTCATCCTCAGGACGGAGTGCTCCGTATAGTAGTTGGAAGTACTCCTCGCGGGAAAAAAAGGCGTCTTGACAGGTCATCCAGACCCCAGCAACAACATGGTCCTGAATGAGGCCGCGTAAGGGTTTACCAGAAGTCGGGACTAAATACTGATTCTCAGTATTGGCAATTAACATCGCCTCCGCACGTGCAACCTGGTTTTCTTCAAGGGGATTGAAAACATGATATCGATTATAATTCGAAGAAGCTCACGGGGAAAATGAATGTTCATTTCTAACCAACAAACAACTTAGTTTTTCGTTAATGTCAGAACTCCAAACCAAATGCTCACCGTCACCATCGAAGTCAGCTGAGAGTAGTTACAATCAGGTACAGTTATGCAGCTTGAATTTGGAATGCATACCATTATAAGAGTTACTAAGGATAAAGAAGATTAACCGTTGAACCTACACTAGCAATTGGAAACTTACCAGTTCGCATAATGCATCCTTATGGTCTTTTCGCCTCGTAAAATCCGGGCCTTGTGGCACATCATACTTGGCTTGTGAAGAGTTGGTTGACGATTGAGGATCAGGATGTCGCCATCCCGAAGATGCCGATACACCTTCTTGTTGATCGAAGCTGTGCGCGTTGCGAGTCCGCGACGACCTGACGAACTGTCGCTGCCATCTTGAGGTGTCAACAGCTGGTTGGCGATGGCCGTTCTCTGCTCAGGTGAGAGTTTTTCCTAGCGAATCAAGTCAGAACTGCGGAAATAGCGTGACATAAAAGATTACCAAGGACTGTTTATGCCCGTCTTCATACTCAACCATCGTCGCTCCTGGATAACCCTTCGGACCAGTGATTACCCATTGCCGCAGTTCGTGGAAATTTGCAGGAGTCACAGGCTCAGGAAAGGTAAGTTTCCTCGCAAAAACAGGAGGGATGCCAATTTCGTTTGGCTCGATATTTATATCTGGTGAGATGACAGACCGCGCTGCATAGTTGACACGTTTACCCTGCCAAGAAAATTAGATAAGATGCACTCAGAAAAATTATTCCGTACCATCATATGTTTGCGAAAGAGACCCTCCTTCTTTTCGAGCCCCTGCTTGACACCAGCTGGGGGGAGTTTACCGTTGCGGACAGGCGTAGGATTTTTGTTGCTGTCCATGAAGCTATTGACGTCGGCTTGCAACTGAACGAGTCCCTCGAGTAAAGCACTAAATAAACGACGCCGCGTCGTATCGTCAACACCTGATTGCTTCAATGAAGCAGCATGGAGGTCTGCGTTTAAATCACGTAGCCTATATGACGTATTCAGAATCTTGGCCAAAAGCTCATTCTGGGGATGCTCGAACAACGTTTCACCCATTGTAGCAGGTGGGCGAAAACGCGTTGGTGGAACAGGGATCACTTCCATGAAGAACATGTCGGCAGATGCCAGAGACAGACCTGCAGCATTTAGGGGAGAGAAGGGCCCATGTCGGCCAAAGATGAGAGAACAAATCTCGGGGCAATTATGGAACAGAAGACGCAAATGAGCACGGCATTCTTCTGGTGCCATAACACGCTCATTGCGACCGCGGGCGGTCTTGACTTTACCATTTGCAGCACGAGGAAGACCGTTCTCTTTCGAGGGACGGATAGCTTGGAGTTCTTCTTCCTCGTCTGAGTATGTCGGCTCCCCCTCGGGTTCGGAATCAGACTCCGAGTCTACGTCCATAGTATTCGAAGGTTCGGAGTGAGATTTTGAAGCATCTGCAGCTTGCTGCTGGAACAAGAGGACATCTGGCCTTTTAAGGCTAGTAGCTCGATGCTGGTTTTTTTGCTTCACGGAGAGATCATATTCGATTATTTTAGTGAATCCCTCCTTGCGGAACGTGTAGGCGAAGCTGTTATCTTGCTAAGCTAAAATCCAACATACGGCGAAAATAGCAAACTCACGCGCCACAACCTTCATTGCTACATTTTTTGGTGATAGTTGTCCTCAGAAACTCTTGGATAAGATCTTTCCGGGCCTGATAGACAAGAGTGTCCTTGTAGTGATCTCGCTTGCTGCCGGAGGCCTTGCTGAGGTGCACCATAACGAATAAGTTAACACGATGTTCTAATTCAGGAATAGTTTCGTTGCGGCTATCTTCATCGTCATCATTTGACTTGTGTAAGGTGATATTGTCCACGTCGAGAGCAGCTTCCAGGAGACCATGTTCCAAGAGGCGGAATTTGGCGACATACTTGCAGATCTAGCGAGGAGCGCTTCAGGCAAGGAGAATAAGTAGAGGGGTATGTGCGTACCACTGATCGGCTCAGTTTGAATCTATGACAAAACAGACAGGTTGCGCGGAGAATGTTGTACATGTTTACCATGAACAGAGGGTGGTACACAGGGGCAGGCAGTTCAATGTGACCAAAGTGGCCTGGGCACGTGAAGTAGGTTAGGTGACATGTTGCACAGCTGGAGGTATAGCGTCAGCGCACCTGTCTCAAGACTACCAAGAGCTAGGCACTCACATGTCTTGACGATCGCTGGGACCAAGCGCAGGATCATACAGGCCACCGATGTTCGGCCTGTTCAAGTCATCCAACAATACTGGGTTCAAAATCTGCTTGACTGATATCCTCCGGATGTCTTCCGCTGTTAGGAATGAAAAAGAGATGCTTGAGACGGTAGACGGTATGGAGTGTGATATGTTCATGGTGGACGCGATGGTGAATGTTCACTGTTGTGCTTTTGGGTGTTTCTACTCTCGGGAGAATATCATATAGAGCTAGCACATTCCTTTCCAAGCTGGTAAATGCGACGAAAGCTCAGTACAAGGCGCGATCGACTAAGTTTTTTCTCTCCTTCTAATTTGAGCGAGTCACGTGATTGTACATGTATGAATATCGCTCATGGTGCTTTGATTCTGAATGTGAAGACCTTGAATGAAGTATCTATATGACTCTTGATGGCAGAATATGAAACTGTGATAAATGTATTAACGCATAGTACCGCTACGCTTGATACCTGTCCTACTGTGGCCACTATTCTTCTGCGCCTCACTTACTAATTCTGCGATCAATTTGTTGTACGTCTCCGAGTCCTGCTGGAGAGCATCGCGAGTTTGTAGAAGGTGTGTAAGTAAAGATGAGGTATTGGTTGTCTCTGTCCGGAGATCTATCAAACACCGTTCAAGTTTTGCCAAGGGTAAGAGGGTTAATTGATCTGCTTGGCATCATATATGATTGTTCAGATACGGCTAGAGGGAACAAACACACCAGTATCAAGTTTGAGTAGTTCCTCTACTTTCTTATCATCTAGTTGGGGTTTGGGTCCAATACCAAGCTGTGATACGGTTGGTCCTGCCCGCGTGGACGGCTGTGGAGTGCCCATCCGAGGTGTCCCTGTACGAGAATTGGTTCTAGACGATGGGGTACTCTGCAGTGGACCATTGCGAGGCCCTGGGGGTGCAGACATCGGTCTTGTCGATATATGTAATGGGGGAAGGGGCTTGCCGCTTGCGTGCGGTAGTATTTCATCTAAGTTCACGGGCAGTCCAAGAGCGATTAAATGTTGCTGTCGAATGCGTGAGCGTGTCCAGTTGATGGGCTCCATGTGGGGCGGCGAATCCAGAAGCATGGTATATAATCCGCGACTTTATTAGCTAGAGCTTGAGCATTTGAAGGGAGATATTTCAGGGACAACGAACCTTTCAGGTGTGACCAATATTTGGCTGACACCCTCTGCCTGTCTGATGTCTTCATCTGTTGTCAGCGAAGAGATATCCCATATCCATACAGGATCCAAGATGCGGTTGATCTGTCCCTCTAGATCTTCTCCGGAAGGTAAGGGGGTTAATGTGAGCGGCTCCCAGGTAGTATGAGATGGACCCGGTATCGGCTCTTCATGAAACGTATCATCTTCTGAGAAATCTCCAAAATCTCCATCCTGCCCGAAATCTGCATCGTTTCCGAAACCCCTGCCGCCTTCCAGGTCCCCTGCTTCTCCGAAATCCCCAAAGTCACCAAAATCATCTTCCTGTGCAATAGATGGGTTCTGTGTTTGTGGGGGCGTATGAAAGTCATCGTAATCGTCTAGTCGGTCTTGAGATGGCGCAGGAGATGGCGGCACAGGTGATTCAGGTGAAGAGAAAGATGTAATATTTGCGAGGCGTGTTGCAATTGGGTCATCGGGTGTCAGAGTAGTACCCCAGACTGAAGCTCCAAACATGAAATCTTCGTCCATTATTCGCTTGAATATGCTTTCAGCTATGACTTGTGCTGTTCAGCGATCGATGAACTTGGCCTCGAACTAGTTTAGTCGGTATAACGCCGGGTGGATGTTGTTATCGTGACTAGAAGGTCTTTGAAAATCATGATGCACTAATTAACGTGACGCTGGAAGTAAATTAGGCTTGCTCCTTGTCATGACTTCCATCTTTGAGCCAGAACCTCCTGCTTTCGTCTTTGAAAGGGCTCACAACAACGACCATCAGTTCCTGTTCGATTTTCCGAATAAAAAGATAATGCCCAATGCGCGTCAGATACAGCTGCAGCGCCTCTATGATCTCGTGAATCTCAGCGTACAGCGAGACGACCTTCCCCGTGCCAGACGTGCTTGGTCCATCCTAGCCAGATGCAAAGAATTAAATTGGAAAGCAATGTGGAGGCTGGGCATCACCATACTCGAAAATGATGTCTGCGTTGTGGAGAGCAATCCACACAAAATAGATTTTTTACGGACAATGTTACTCCAACTTCCCGAGGAGGTATGTTCCAATTTGCTGTCCTTACAATCGCGACAAAGTTAAATACTTCCAAGCGAGAACGCATTCTTGCTGAATTGGTCCAGCATTATATTCTTGCTGGCAGGTACAGAGATGCACTCGATGAGCTTGAGTTGTATGTTCCTTCCTCCATCGAGAAAACCATGATCTGATTGTAGCAGTTACCTCCCTTCATTCCCTTATCGTGACAATCCAGTACTTCACGTCTATGCAGGCTTGCTGTGTATTTTCATAGCCCAGCATCCAGAATCAGCATGGTCAGTGTTTGAAGTGTCGACTATTCTGGCGTATCGGTCTTAGGCCCTGGCTCCAGGTGCTAATGAAGCCGAGGGATCTACCTATGATAACAACTCTCTCAGTCGCGCTCAGACCTATCTTGAACACGCAAAGGTATTGGATCCCAATAACATTGTCGTAAGCGAGTTTTTGCACAAGGTAAGGTGTCGTGATTCTGTCCAACCTGAGAGCTCACCTCTGTCAGCTGCATTCCATTTCTCAAGGACCAGAATCACTCTCTTTCGCAAGCCATCATTCTGAAGATGAGACTCACACCAAAGGTTTTCAGCCATCGCAACCAAAGCGAAGGAGAAGAAACTTTTGAATGTACTCGTTCAACGGCTCACAAGTGAATGCAGGGCCGTACCCCACTTGTATCGCACTATCAACCATCTGAATCCGACTCCATATCAATAATCGGCATTCCTTCCTCTTCCTCTTCATCGTCATCGTTCACCATTACCGGGATGATACGAGGCTCAACCGTAGGAGGAGTAAGTTCCATCTGAGTATAAGATGACGGTAGCAGAGATTTTGTTGGCTGTTGACCTGATATCGCTGAAGGGATGTCGGCAGAATCTTTTGTCGATGCTGTCGTGATTGAAAATGTCATTTTTTGACTGGTTGGCGCTAGAGATGATATTGAGATTGGTTCAGGAGCTGTGATTTTTGGTGTTGGTATTGGTAAATGCGTCGGTACGGGTTGAGGGGTTGGTTCGGGTGTCGGGGTCACTGCGTTGGGATCTGCCACGACATCCATGATATTTGCATCATATGTTGTAGCCAAGGCAAGTGATTTACGAGCAACAAGCTCTTCGTTGTTTTCCTCCGCACGAAATAGAGATAGTGCTTCCACATGAGGCAGCGGGCGGACTAGTGGTGGTACCGCGAGGATGGAGAAGAAGGTCAGCTTCTTGTTGTAATTGCAGTTTTATCTGCATAGTCTACAAGCAAACGGGTCGTCATGTTGGCAAAACAAGAATAAGATAAACATTGCCTACGTGTTCATGGCCTTCCGTTACAGTTGATCTGAGGACCAAGCCAAGGCTTCTGCTCATCGCACTTGTCGTCCCTCGAGCAAGCTCTAGACACATTCCGTTCACTTTTGCAAGCACTAAACTGTGCAGATGAACGTCTTGGGATAAAGAGGAGCGCGACATGGCTGTCAATGATAGTGACAAGGATAACATGACACGGCAGGCCAGAGAGCGGATGGCGGATTGCAACTCAGCGCCTCGCATTGTAACTTGCAGAGCTAGAGGATTATTAGCGATCAGTTGGCTGATCTTGACCTGAACTCACCATCTAGAGCACAAAGAATAACCTTTCCCTCGGCGATCGATGAACAAATGACATCTTTTGATAGTTTAAATACTTCGTCGCCTTCGTAATCTCGTCTACGTTTCCTGCCTTTTTTGCTCTGTCCAGAACTCATTTCGCCTGTATGTGCATCAGTCTGTGTTGACAGCAGCGGCATGAGAGAAAGTATGACGCCTTTAACGAGCCTCGTGGAACTAAGCTCGCCGCTGGTAGGGAAGCTATTGTTCAATAAAGCTTGGATGCACTGGAGCAATGAACATCGCCGCTCTCTAAGACATACATAGGTCAATCCTTTCAGTGTTAAAGTTTCAGCGACGCACGGTAGAGGGTTTTGTTCGAGATGGTATGTTATCATAACAATTAGTCGGGACACGTACGGTGTCAGTCGATGCTGAACGCTAGATCAAGGCCGTTACTTGAGAGATAGGATAAAATTGTGTTGTTACCCACGTCTTTGCCAGGCAACAGAGCAGATCACATGCAGAGCTCTGCAGCTCAGGCACAATAGCAAGTTCCAAAGCCCTGACTGTTGCGTCAATGTGGCCTTCTTTCTAGCATTGGGTTGAAAAAGTGTCGGCAGAAGAAATACAAAAAAATACCTCTTCTTCAGCGGTAGCAAGCTAGCAGGAATATACAGAACTCCATTATACGTCCTATAGGCACATGGACTGGTCTTTGAACGGTCGTCCTGCACTTGTGTAAGTATATTGCACCATCCTGTTCAATAAATTGACCTTAGTAAACTGCAAAGCGCAGTAGCGCAGCATTGTAATCTATCAAGATTGAGGGCGACAGCTAGCACTGGATCATCACATGTTAGTCCATCGGAGGGCGAGGGGTTGTTCTTCACTGTATGAGATATCAATAAGAGGTTGATAGGTCAGATACCAGGGCCTTGCCTGGAAATGTCGTTCTGAGACCCATCGACGCAGTCCAGAGACACTGAAGGGTCTCATCTACAGACTTCTTCCATAGATTTCCGGCCCCAACCTTGCCCCCGGTATAATGAAGAACAGCGTACAGGCTCGCCGCTTTGTGCAGCAGCAATTTATTCGTGCGTTGCGGTGCAGATCCATTGAGTAATTGATGACACACATTTGTGATAGAGGAACTCAAGGCTCTATTCAATGAAGGATACAGAACAACCATATCCTTCAATGTGTCCATCGCTAGAGCCTGACATCTTACTTTCAGACCCCTGTTAGTTTTATAGAAGCCAAACACGAACTTTTAGCTCGTAATCTGCAGCCCTTTCGACGATAGATACCAGCGCCTGGCTAAATTTTGGAACGGTAGGAGTGGCTAGTTGCCTTTGGAGCTCTGGCACGTCGGTTGCTGCACTGAGGACATGCCGAAGATATCTTATTGACGCCTTAAGCAGTGGCAGAGGTTCGGGTTTCTTGGGTGACATATTAGATATCTGAGTATCAGAATGGGTGCATCTCACAAACTAACTGTAAGAATGGACAGCGCGAGTCCTGCCCAGCTCTGCGCAAACTCTGTCATCGTAGACTTTGATAGCGATGAAGTACGATATGCAATGCATATGCCAGCCCACCGAGCTCCGGCATCTTTTGAATGAATCAAGGCAGTCACCCGAGATGTCCATTTCTGAAGATGAGGGGAAGAAGACAAGATGCCCTCTGATAGAGTTGACAACACAGATGATAGGTGTAAAACTGAAGACGAATCCGAGGCTAATTGCAACTGGAGCAGTGATTTCAGTGGATGAGAAGCCATTGCTCGGGACACGGAAAAAACCAGCAAAGCCTAAGGCGAGGGACACGATGCCAATGACTTTGAAAAGATTGAATTACTAATTTGGGCAGAAGCTTTAGCTTTCAACAATAGTAAACAGGTTCTGCTACCCGTCGGCTAATCATCGCCCTGATACAGGTTGCAACATGCAGCATTTCGGCGACCTTGACTCGGCTACCGAGGAACAACTGCGTCTCAACAATTTTGAGGTGCATCGCATTGTTTACACTACATGCAGTTGGGCTGATGTTCAATGTTGAGTAGGGCAAATTCGATGTTAAAGAATTTGTTGGATCTATATCTGAGAGATTAATCACGCAATCAAAGGCAAGCTCTGGGCGTACGCGTGTGTGTGCTTCCTTCGTAACATTGTCTCACTTTGCGCTTTGTCCAGCATTCGATCCCAAGCCATTTATACGAACATTTGAAGCAGTCGTAGACAAGTTGATCAGTGTGCGTAAGGATGTCCAGGCTAAGACGGAACAGATGGAAAAGAGTGTCCGAGTGGCAGAAAGGGAGTACTCGAAGAAGATGGCAGACCTGAACCGAGGATTCGAGGTACGTTTCTATGTGTAGTGTAGGCTGCCCCACTTGACTACCCATACTCAGGCCGTTGGATCATCCTTTTCGACAATGGAAAGCAAGATGAACGAAGTTGGACGCACTGCGGTCCGAATAGGTGGCTTGCATTAACATTTTCTATACTCTCGTTAACTGTCGGCGTCAGGTGAACAACTGGAATCCATTCACATTGAACGCCAGAGAGCCCAGGCTGCCCATGACCTCATCAATTACTACAACCAATTTTCGCGCGGTGATACTTCACGTTTGGATGCTTTGAAGAAAGAAGGTCGAGAAGGTCGAAGTCAAGTTGCCGTTATATTACGCCGACTCACAACTGTAGCCCGAGAGGTGGATCTCCCCAGTGCAGACAAGGTATTGCTTACTGTTCTTTTCCTCCATCTAGTGGCATAACAGACATTTAGACCCGAGAGAACATTGACAAATACTGCGAGAAGTTCGAGAAAGACATGATATACCTCTTTGACCGATGCTACCGAAAGGGAGACCCAAAGTTGATGCATGTGTGTTTCTTTATTTTCAATATGTTATGACATATCTGATATTTCGTTAAGCATTGCGCACAGACATTATTAGATTTCAATGGTGGTGCATCTTGCGTTCAAATCTATGTCAACCAACATGATTTCTTCATGAATAAGGTTCGTGACACTGCAAACCACAGTGACGACCTGTTGTACGTTCTCCGTTGCCTACAGAATGCCTCCTCTTACTATTTCACGCAAGGTGGAATAATGTTTCCAAACCGGACGAAAGCCCACCCAAAACAGAATCAGGCCTCACAGAGTTGTTCGGAGAAATACGAGCAACTGTCGCCCAGGAATCACAGATAGTCCAAGCAGTATTTCCAAACCCACCATTTGTCATGCAAGTTTTCCTGCAGCGCGTTTTTGCTCAGTCTGTGAGGCAACGGATCTTCATATGATAACGACAGTGTCTGATTTTCTGCAGATCCAACAATACATGGAGCAGCTCTTGACAAAGGGCTCTTCTCTTTCTGATTTGGCTTACCTACGGATCTTACAATTGGTGCATAACCAAACATCCAACCTCGTCGAAGACCTGAAAGCTCATGAGCTCCCATCCATCACACCCAGCAAATCATCTCTGGAGATATCAGAGTTTCGTAGGGTTCTCTCCGGTGCACTGACAGTTTCTGGAACGTCGACAACGTCTGTTGTGAGCGCCATGCTAGAAAACGCGATGGCAGAACTATTTGTACCATATATCGAGGGCCAGAAGTATCTTGACAGAGAGAGCAAGAGTCTTGGCGAGCTTTATGCGGGACTGCTTGCGAATTACACTCGATATCATGTAAGCACGTTAAATATTTTTGTCGCAAAACATGATTCCTATTGTAATGCAGATGAGAATGCAGAAAGTAAAATCCTCGATGTTTGATCGGATGGTGGACAGGCTCGGAGCTGCTGCCGCTAACACTACGACATCTGGTGGTTCAAGCACATCTGCACAGGCTGCAGCGCTGATCATGCGGTATGGAGGGATAAGCTCAGAAAGAATACAGGACAAGAGCGTAGAAGATAACGTGCGGGAAGAAGACGGTTTACTGAGCATTGACGTTGCAGAGAAAATGCTCAAGTGGCATGCGGAAGCTGTTGGGAGATGTGTTGAGCTCACTTCTCAAAATGACGTGTCAGTCCCGTGTTGCACAGCATGATACCTGACCTTACCCGTGTCCCTATAGCCCCAAGAATACATTTATCCTCCTAAGAGTGTTAGCGGAAGCCATCGGCGCCGCATACCTGGAGACTGCAATAGAATCGTACGTGTTTCGCGAACTATATGATAGCACATCTAAACCCATGGCATAGAGCTATCGCTCGTCTTGAATTTGCTGACCCGAAACTCGAACCAAGTCTACAGCCACTCGAAGTGTTGCGCTCAGTAGACCTCATATGCCATCTGTGGCAGCAATATACGAATATGGCACTGTTTCCGCTTGCAGCGTCATCCGTCACTGTTCGGCGTGAAATGACCATTTTCAACAACCAGACTGTAAGCAGGACCGAAGGGGCAGCAAATACGCTGATACAACGCACCATAGATGGCAAGTTCTTGTACACCGCCTGACAATTTGTACTAACCTCCGTGCAACTCCTAGCTACCATAACTTGGCTTTCTCTGCAGCTCTCGAAACAAAAGAAGAATGACTTCAAACCACGGAATGACGACCTCTCATTTGCTCGTGTCAACACAGAACCTTGCGTAGCTTGTTGCGAGATACTCGAGAAAGTGAGAGATGCAGCGATACAGAATATTAGCGGCAAGAACAGAGAGGCTTTTCTTACCGAAATAGGTGTCTCCTTCCACAGGTTTGTTGCAGCCATTTGGAAGCCATATATGTGATGCTCATCAGGTTTTTCAGTCTACTACTTGATCATCTCCGCAAATATCCTGTTAGTGCGACAGGAGGTTTGATGCTTGCTAAGTAGGGGTCTTTATCATTATCGCGTTCCCCGGCACCAACATCAATTTTTATTGCAGAGACCTCAAATCGTACCAGGATACAGTAGCATCTTTCAATATACCCGCTCTGCACGAACGATTTGAGTTCATCAGACAGCTCGGCAATGTCTTTCTCGTGCGTCCTGAGATCCTCAAGTCTTATATCACAGAAAATTACCTCGGGCGCATCGATTCTGCCTTACTCAAACCCTACCTTGCACAACGAAGTGACTGGGGCCAGTTCGAGACCCGCTTCAACGAGAACGTCGATGTAGAGGATGTTGCAACAGACAGTGCTTCCAAGGGCCTTAAAGATCGATTCAAGATGGCGAAGTTGGGCACGATGGTGAAGGACCTTGAAGGCCTTAAACTCGGTGATGGTATTTCTATGGGTATCCCCAGTGGATTTACTGGGAGCTTTTCTATAGGTGGACGTGGATTGAACAATAATAGTGCCTAGTATACATACATACCTCTGTTGTCTTCGATGGTGGTACATCAAATCGAATCTGGTCGACTATATACTATCGCTAAGGTGCAGTGGATAGTGAAGTGTCTAGTCCAAGTAGTGGTGCATAACTGTACGAGTCATACCACGTCAACTCCTCTGATAACGTCACTCCAATCATCAAGGTGCTTCAGAACCTTGGCGCACTTGTTTCTAATATCGACCTCTGCATCCTTGCCTAGTACGAGATACAGAGGCCATTCCCGGCCTGCGGCGCAGCCCTCCCCTTTCACCACATCTACAACAATTTTCATAGCCTTCTCTGGATCGCCTGGTTGTTTCCCAGCAGGCTTAGAGAAGTTCACACGTCCATCAGCACGCTGTTCGTCATAATCTGGGATAGGATTGGAGCAGTCCCACGGGTGACCGAGGATGCCCTCGGTGCGGAATGATCCTGGCTCCACGAGTAGTACCCGGATATTGAATGGCTCCAGCTCTGATGCCAACGATTCACTCATCGCTAGTGAGGCCAAGCAAGTTGACTCTTCGAGATTTTTCAGGTCAGAGATTTACTCACCATGTACAGCGGCTTTGCTTGCAGCATAAAACCCTGGAATGAAAATGAGTGATTTATCATTTTTACTTGCCAAGACATCGTGGTTTACCAAGGCCCTACGGGTGACAGTGAGCTTTGGTGAATTAAACACAGCGAGTCAAAATGATTTACTCTGGTTTCTGGCTTCCATGCACTCCTGCTGCCAATGACCACGACTGTACCATTGCGTTCTTGAGAATGTTCTTCAGCAAGTAAAATAATTGGATCCTTGCGAGAAGCACTCACTCTTTCTCATGTGTGGTAACGCTGCATTGCAAACATTAACCACCCCGAAAAAATTTGTTTGAAACTGGCGGAGCATAACCGAAGCGCTGTAATAAACATGAATAACATGAAGAGCGCGGGGTTGGTGTGCATACCCTCCTTCTTCAAGAAGTGCAGGCAGCCCGTAGCCTGCATTATTGACCAAGACATCAATGCCATTCCATACACGAGCAGCGTGATCTATTCGCGCTTTAATTTCCTTTGTGCCAGCATTGACATCAAGCTGCATTAGATGAAGGTTTGGGTGCTGGGTGAAATGTTCAATTTTGCGCAGTGTACGAGCTGTCGCGATAACGCGATCCCCTCTTGCAAGCGCAAGGCTCGTAAGACGACGACCAAAACCAGAAGATGTCCCTGGCATGAAGTGAGATAAATGTAACGATTCATCATGATTGTGAACAAGAAAGCATACCAGTAATCAACCAGACTTTTTGGCCCAACATGAGGAGTATAATAGCCTAGTATTTCAATGCTGATGGGTATTGGAATATATGATTGAGAATGTTCAGGTACTTGTCTTTTGAAGCAAGGGCCGGTCCGATCATTTCCAAAGGAGGCCCACTCGTCAATCTTTAGATGATGCGTGCCAGGGGCATTGGATGAACCTGAGTACAGCCTGTACATGTGTCATGCTGTCATTAGAACCAGTTAAACTTATGAACCGTTTGGGTCAACTCAGAGCATGGCCATGTATGGAGTCCGTTTCCATCATGACCTTCACCGCAGTGGTTAAGCGCACCTTACGCTAACTCTTTTGTCGGGGCTTTTTTTGCGGTGACGTTAAATAATGGCACCTATTGAATGGTCAGTATTGGTTGCATAGCCCGTCACTGCAATTCAATATGGCCCCTCCTGAGCATTGCGCTACTCCAATCTCGTCCGCAAGCGAGCTGTATGCCGTGACCGAACGAGTGAACCACTGATGCTGGCACCTTGTGACATCCAGAACTGGGTAGATACTTAGGTGAGAACGTTGACGTCGGGTATTTGCAAGATCTTCGGCGACAGCAAAATGATCCACTGGCAGCCGTCATTAAGATATTCATCATTCACCACTATGACGCTAAATGCCGATATGGACATAGTCTTCGTGAAAATGAAGCAGTGATCTATGACCATGGCCAGACCCAGCGCATGAGAGCGAAATAGTACTAGAGTGCATAGATAAGAGCAACGGGAGACTGCGAGCAGATGAACTTGAAATAGGATACGAATTTCGGTCAGCGGGGATGCAAGGTAATCAACAACACGGCGCAGGGACTGGTTCGGTAATGCCAATTCAGAGCCAAGCGGGGAAGACAGACGTACAGTGGCACGGTAGAAAGCACTGCTACAAAAGCGTGGTAGATGCGCATCTAACACAATCGTATAAGTCCTTCGACATTCAATTCATGGAAGTAATAAGCTATACCTTCTCATGTATACGTGACGTGGCGGCCACTAGCTCGCAGATTGCGCGAAAGCTGGACATCCATCCTGATGACCATTCACGAGGTTTCCGGTTCTGGGTAGACTTAGTTGGCAATGACTGCGCGAATCATCGCTATGCCACGTCTTGGAGATCAGTGTGAGTATTATGCTCTTGATGACCATTAGTGAATATCTTGGAACAGCACTTACTGGCATTGAGCTGCGTATATATATGGGATCTTCACTAGCCCAATCACTATCATGGACAAGTGGTATGTCACAAGAAAAGTGGCGACTTGAAAGGTAACCGATGTGAAAGCATACCCGTTATTGGTGGCAAAGACATTTTCTCACCAACATAGGGCCACGGGTGCCTTGTCCTATAGTTTTTGGCATGTTTGTTCGAAGACATCCTCAAGAAAATGGAATACTCCGTAGATCAGCAGACCACCTGTGGATTACGGCCAGCATCAAGATGCTGACCACAGTCCCGCAACATCTGTGCCGGCGGAGGCTGGTATGGCCACATAGCGACACGCCAACAAGGTTGTCATAGAACTTCCGGAAACTTTGCTCCCAGGCCCGACGAAACAGATAAGTGCCATGTGTCGCCAATGATATTTTCAATGAAAACACAGACGCGGTAGATATATAGATGATGTGTGCGCGAACATTATACCTGATCTTGTCACGATTCGTTGCACTATGAGTCAGCATACGCGGCACACTCCAAATCAAATGTAGAAGACTATTCTCCTTTGAAAACAGGTTGTCGTTTTTCTTTGAATGCCTGTAAAGCCTCCAACCGATCTTTCGTAGGTAGAAGAACTTCATATGACGCTCTCTCTAAGTCAAGACCTGTTCCTCGTATGTTAACAACAACCACGATAAATGCAACGCTGAATACCTGATTCCAACGAGAGGTCAGCTGCACGTGAAATTGCCTGCTTTGCAGCTCGAAGCGCTAATGGGGCTATTCGAAAAGACATTGAAATTTGAAAATGAGGTTGCCTAGGGGGTGGAGTGGGTGCGTACCGCTTTTGGTTATTTCTTGAGCCAATTCGACCGCCCGTTCGAAGGCTGATGTAGAGGGAGATGATACATAATCCACTATGCCTATGCTCACAGCCTTTGTCAGATCGCGACATAGGGATACAATTCAGAAGTTTTGCTACCCCATTCAAGTGCTTCTTTGGCTGTCAGCATCTTAGCTGTAAAGATCAGGACCTTTGCTTTCGACATGCCCAGTAATCTGACAGCACGTTGAGTACCGCCCGCTCCAGGGATGATCCCAAGGCGTGTCTCCGGAAGGCCTATCTTTGTCACGTCATGTCCTTCAATACAGATCAGGCGGACTCCACTCCCTGCAGCGACCGTACTCACCGGCCACACGCAAGTCGCAGGCAAAACTCAATTCTAACCCTCCCCCCAATGCGGGACCATCAATTGCAGCGATTGTTGGCACAGGAAATGCTTCCAATTGGCCAAGTGCAGCACGCAAGTCAGAAAGGAATTTCGCAACTTGAATTTGAGACATAGTGCGTCTCTCTGCGAGGTCAGCACCTGCGCAGAAGGAACCCATAGTAGCGGAACGTATTATCAGCGCTCGGATGCTGCGTCAAGCTATTCAGTGCAGTCCACTATTACTAGACAACATGGAATATGAACCTCTTGTCGTACTTGGCAGTTTCTAAACATTCGCGGAATTCCTAACGAGCGAATTCAGCGCGTATGACGGTATTGGAGTTGGATGAACTATCACATGAAGTAATTTCATTGAAATAGCATTCTTTGCCTGTGGTCTGTTGAGGGACAGACATGTTATACCGAGGTGAGACTGGAGAGGTTCAAGGAAGGCTTCGGGTGCCTGTGTTGAGAAGAGCCTGTGCGATTGTCGCGACAGCCCTATACTCATTACTCTCCCGGCATAGAGCATGTTTGTTCCAAGTGTAGGTGAGACCTTCACTCGTCTATCAATTCGATAAAGGTGCACGAAGCCAGCACTAGCCGACGGAACCTGGCCATGGAATGGTCCCGAGTCTAATAGCGTATTTCGAGGTCCGCCAATTCTCTCAGTCTCAAGCAAAACCTCCTTCACAAAATCGAGGTAACAGATCGTCGCATTTTTGTTATGTCTTGCAAACATGTCATATATATTGAATGTGCTATCAGTCGTTTATAGATCGATAATTAAGGGAGTCAATCAAATCGATATCCGTGTTCCAAAGAAAGTGCAATCGTTCAGAAAATCCAAGGTATACGCGCAGCCGCGAGTTTGTACATAAATAAAATAAAGAAAGACGAATCAAACGTGGACTGTGATTTTGATCGACAACATGAAGAATGTCACAATGCACGCATCAAGTATATGATGTTCGAAATAATTTCACATGACGTGCCCGTTCGAAGCGCCCGCGGAGGAACCGTAGAAAGAATCGATGGAGTGGTGGAGATCCGGAGAGTGGTATGCAGTAGGAGGAGGAATAAGCGTACGAGTTCGCTGAACAGATGGCCGCAAGGCAGCTGGTAATTCTGATTCATCATTGTCGAAGGGGTTTGGCATCCCTCCATTTTCATCAATCCCTCCATAAGGATCCTGTGCTGCATAAAGTTCCGTCGGGGGGTATGCTATACCATACTCATGAGGAACGTAAACCTCATGAGGAGCGTAGACCTCATGTGGAGCGTACACTTCCTGCGGATAGTAGCCTTGGTTTTCATAACCTTGGCTACTGCTAGCTACCTGTCCGTGGTACACGTCCTGCTGGGAATAAAAGTGTGCGGCAGGCAGTACAGCAACTTCCATGGAGTTGCCGAAGTGGTCCATGTCTCGGGATTCTTCAGCATCTTCAACAACGAAATTCTGACTCTGAGAGGGCTCTACAGAAGGTTCTGGCTTCTTTTCCAGATACTCCATGTCGTCCTCATACGAGCGAGAGACACGGCATCTTGCAATCATCATTCCAGCTCCAATAACTCCAGCAACTCCAACCAGGCCAACAACAGTAAATGTTCCGGCGACTACTCCTGTATTGGAGAAGAATCTAGATGAAAATATCAGCTGCTGATTGGAGATGAGTAATATATGAGGACTCGCCCAGAGTTGGAAGAGGACGTGCTCGAAGGAGTAGATGAAACTGTCGTTCCAGTTGCGAAGCTGGTAAATGTGCCTGTATATACTGACACGGACGTGAGTCCTAGCGGTTGTGCAGCCGGCGTTGTTGCAACGACAGGAGGTGCTGCGGACGTGGACGCGGACTTGGATGTGGACGTAGACCCGGAAGGTTGAGGGGAAGATTTAGAAGAGGAATTCGGTTGAGAAGAGGGGGAAGACTGAGAAGAGGTAGATTGTCTGTAATAGGATATAAATCTGCTGTAGACGAAAATAATGATAAAACTGACGAAACGGGAGTCCCATTGCTTGTGGTAGGGATGGCGGCACTGGTGGTACCGGTCAACGTAGGGATGGATGGAGTAGGGCTAGAGGAACTCGAGGTTGTGGTCAATGGATTTGTTAGCGGATTTGGAAAGGGATTAGACGTAGGTGATTGTAGAGCGGGTATCGGGGGAAGCGAGGTAGTCGCACTGGGCACCGTGACGGGCAACATGGCGCTGGTGATACTGGACAACAAGCTCTGACTGGGAGTTGTTGATGCTAAAACCTGATCTCTGGCAATCACATCTAATGGTGCTCTTCTGCGCCAGGCATGATGGGCTCGGAAACCATGAACATTCGCTGACTCTGCGAGAGTGGCGGTAAATGAGAGTACGAACAAGATTGTGGTGAAAAGGAGTGTGCGAGCGTGCTCCGGATGAGAACAACGCATCGTATGGTGGTAACGAAAGAAAGAAGATGAAGGGCGTGCCCTTTCAACGCTATGCGTTGTTGGTTGGCCTGAAAAACGAAAAGAAACGCGATATTAACAGATCGTGATGGTTGGCATTGTCCGCTGCTGCATTCTGTTAATAGCATTGCTAGCGCTCAAACTAAACCCCGTCCAATTTAGTAATCCAATAGTAATCGACACTTCATCGAATCCACGGCAACTCAGGGCGTTACCCAAAATTTTTATACACGTTCGACTCGAGCCTTCTTGATATCAACGTTCTAACATGCTGGTGCACGGTGAATCGTGTTAGACTGTATTGTGCGAATCCTGTCCTTCGTTGTTGTACCAAGTATAAAACATGGTAACGAAACAAAAGACATCAAGACTCGGATCATCGGGCCTAAACTCGTCTCAGTCAGACTGAGATTCTATCGTGCAAATCCTGTCCTCCATCGTGATTGTACATCACCATTGCACCAAGTACGAAAAAAATGGCAACGAAAAAAGATATTATCAGGATCATTGGGCAACGTTCCCTCCTTCATAACCTAAACTCGTCTTCGCAAACGCTCGACTGACATCTTTCAATAAACGACCGCTCACTTCAATACAGAATTGCTGCAGTCGTCCGTCTTGAATCATCTCAGCAATTTCTTGCTGGGAGAGCCTGCGGTTGCAACGTCTCTGTAGTTTACCGGTGACGACTTCCTTAGCCTTTACGAAAATTAAAGTCAACGATCCTCGTACAAGGCTCCTCAGGCTTACTCTATCACCCAGAGTGGACCAGATCTCGAAAATGTCCTTCACGTCCCATTTCTGGGCGCCAATATAATACCAAACTCCCTGTTATACATGATCAAATAAGATGACCAGAACCTGATCCTAGTTGACATGGACAGCTTACTCTTTTCACGGGAAAGGTGAACGTATGGAGAACACGGTCTCTAGGGCAGTTCTTGACGATGTACGCATGGACTGTCTCGTTAGGCGCCCAGGGTGCCCCAGTTCATCAAGAAAGATCCGCCTGGTCCATCCATCGAGAACGGGTCGTGGACAAACGCCATGTTGTCGACAATCTGTAAAGGGAAACAATGTTCATCCGCCTGTCCAAGGCTGAATATAGGTTGAACATGGATGAACTATTGGTAAGAATACTAGGTACCTTTCTAGAGAATATATCTGTACAACATTAGATTGTACATATGATATACTCGAGCTACTCACCGTATCTTCGCCAAGGTTTAGCTGTTCCTGAAACATTTGCATGTCGACAGGATAAATGACTTCCGCACTCCGGGGGCTGCGAGATGAAGTCAACTTCCAAACATCGCCGACACCGCCAGAAGACTTTCTCGCAGCATGTACAGACAAATCCGTAGATGGTTCGGATGAATTGTTGGATTCAGATGATCTCTGCTGATTGCTGAGATCAGATACAACTCCGCCGCTTACTCCTGTCCTTGATGAGCGAGAATATGAAGTTAAGGCTGGAGATGAAATTGGCACAGTCATCGGGGTTTTGGGCGAGCTACGCTCCTTTCCTTTGGACATTGGGCGCGCAGTCTTGCCAGAACCAGAGCTGTTAGAGGACTTATCGTTTCTGTGACTTTGGCCCGATGGGGACGAGGAGGCGCCAATATCCTTGTATTTCGGCTCAGGCTCTGCTTGTAACAGCAGTGAAGCACCTTCATTTGGGCTATCTCCAAAATCAGGCTATAATATGAACCTTGATCTCAGGGACGTAATACGACAAAGAAGGTAGATGTGTTACCGCCAAGTCCATGTCCATTAAGAGATTGCGCATTACACGCTGTACATGTTGCAATTTACGATATGCGGCGTCTCTGCTCTCGATTACGTTTCTTGTATCAGGCTTGCTGAGTTCGAGTAGACGTTTCAATTCCTCGTTATGAGCTCTGAAGGCGTTGTTCTCCGTGACAATATCACGATGTCTGGTTTCCCATTCCGTAGCTCGGGTGTTGTGTGCTCTAGATTCGTCCATTGAGTCGATAAGTATTTGGTTGAGCTCATTGCCTATACGGCGGAGTGAATCTGTGACCTGCATCCACTGGCTCCGCTGTAAGTGACCGTGTTGATATGGTAGAAATAAAACCACAGACCTCTTCATGAACTCCGCGCGCTCTGGATAGTGGTGAACGCGCCTGCAGTTCGTTGGTCATGAGTGTTATGAAGTAAAAGCACCAGCCGACTAGCGTCCAGCATGCCTGCCAGTTGACGTTGCCGACAAATGATAAATGGAACCCTTGAGTACGTGACTATTCAAGTGAAAAGGTCCCGGCAAGAATACCACTTTCTATTACTGCGCCGCCATCAGCGGCCCCCCAGATCCATACAAATTTGTCCCGGCGCGTATTTGGCAGGTCACCGGCCTTATCGATTGATGAATCCAGTAAAGCCAGGCCAGCGCGTTATGACTGAGCTGCTCAAGAGCGTCACGAGGATGGCGAACATAAGGCATCCGATCGTTGATGTGCACACCCATGTTTACTTGCCTCAGTACGCAGCTGAGCTTCGTGCAAGAACCTCAGCTCCTCGTATCTTGAACTGGACAAATGGGGTCAAGACTGAAGAAAGATTGTTGATTTTGGATGGAGAGCCAAGCGGTGGTCGCCCAGTTGGTCCTCAGGTATGTCTACTATTTCAAATGAAGTACAAGCACATTCGCTTAGAATATATCAGTACTGGGATCGGGATGAGAAGCTTGAATTCATGCGCAGGCATGGTATAAACATCTCATTCGTGAGGTTTGTTCGTTCGCTTCTTCGGATTACGGAGTGACCAATCACTCTCGCCGGCAGTTCAGCCAATCCATGGCTCGATTTCTTGCCAGCGGATCGAGCTCAGACGCTGGCCCACGAACTGAATAATAACCTCGAAGAGTATTGTGCAACTTCTCCCCCTGCCGAAGGATTATCTGGTCTCAAAACGCTCTACGGCTTCGGCCTTCTCCCTCTTGTCCCGGATGTAGAAGTGTCTGCCATCGTTCAAGCTATAGAATATCTTAAATCACTGCCTCACATCCGAGGCGTCATCATGGGAACCAAGGGCATCGGGAAAGGTCTTGATGACAGTGCGTTAGACCCAATCTGGGACGCTATTCAGGCAGCGAGGCTTGTCGTCTTCATACACCCACATTATGGTGTTGACAGCACAGCATTTGGAGAGAATGATAATGGACATGTTTTGCCACTGGCCTTGGGCTTTCCTTTCGAGACAACCATTGTAAGTAATATTTCGCGACTGATGATCAAGCATGCGTTTTTACATTGATGTTTAGGCCATCACGCGCCTCATTCTCTCAGGTGTTTTGGATCGTTTCCCGGACCTCCGTTTACTCTTAGCTCATTCTGGGGGAGCCCTGCCTCAGCTGTCATCTCGACTGGCTTCGTGCATCCAACATGATCCTATCGTTGCGAATAGGTTGAAGCACGATTTAAGATATTACCTTGGCCAACTCTACTTCGACGCCGTCGCGTACGGGCCCGAGGAGTTGACTTTCGTTAGTCGAACCATTTCTCGTGCATCTGCGTTCAAGAATGGTGGAGGGACTGTTGATCCTGTAGTCGGAAGCTCCAGACTATTGTTTGGTACCGATCACCCATTCTTCCCGCCACTGGAAGCGAGCCAAAAGTGGCCGAGCGTAGAGAGCAATCTGGCAGCCATCCGGGGAATGCCTGGTGTAGATTCCAAACCGGAACACCAGGCTAACATCCTAGGTTTGAATGCGCTTAGACTTTTCGATCTCCATGATCAAGTATACACATGATGTATATACGAGTGTCTATTAATGAGGTATCTGGATCTTCAAGCTGAAATCTATGTGTTGGACGGACTGATGAACAATACTTGTGCTGAGAATGTCGATGTCTATCATGATACGGTAAATATAGGCCATCAAGAAGCAAACATCCACTAACCATTGATTGCACGTTCTTGCAGGTTAGCCTCGGTGATGTTACCGCTCGTCTCGAAGAGGAACTTCCGTTTCCCAGCCCATTTCTCCTTGAGCTTTCGAGCGACGCTCACAAGATGTTCCCCTTCAATATTGTCCAGCATAATGATGTCAGCGCCCGCTTCAATTGCCTCATCTGCTTCAGCTTCCGAACCAACTTCCACATCAAGCAGCAAGCTAAAGCCGCCCACCGCGCGAGCCTGTTGGATTGCAGCGGTGATCGAGCCTTGGACTGATATCAGCGGATCTTTAATTAAGTACTTCGTAAACCGAGACGCACCAGATGACCATATATGATTATCCTTGAGCATGATCATGCTCGAAAGATCGTGGCGGTGAGGGTCAATACCTCCTACAATCATTCCATACTTTTCGACCAGCCGAAACCCTGGTGATTGTGAGCGGACCAAGCTGCTTGAAGGGGCAGCTTACCTGGAGTTGTCTTCCTGGTCCCAGCAATGATACCCTTGTAACCATAACCTACCGCAAGATCTTTGATACGTTTAGATCTTCCCAGGAAGACGAGGACGTAAATATGATAGGTATTAGGTACAATCAGGACAAATGCGCAGCTTACTTCGTTGCAATGCCGCTGCACCTGGCAAGCATGTTCAAGGCGATACGCTCGCCAAGCAGGAGGTGCCTTGCTTTGCCTCGAACAGTAGCGATGTGCTTGATGGGCTCGAAAGGCTCGCCCTCCTCCAAGTGCCATTTAACCCTGCAGGTCCATCAATCACAGGGAATTGATGACATCGTCATGAGAACGTACTCGCATCCAAGCTGTGCGAAGACTTCAGTGAAGAAGGGCCGTCCAGCCAAGACCGCAGTCTGGTTGCCTTTCCCGAAAAGAAATGCTTCACGGTGAACCTCACCCACAACGTAACCACCGTAATCAAATGATGGTGTATCCTCTGCAAGCCAACCCGTGACCTGAGCCTTCCAACTGGGAGGAAGTAGATGTTCGTAAGAATTAGTAGACATTGTTGATTCAACCTAGGAAGGCGAGGTGAGAAAAAATAGGAACGTCTTCCTTCTTCAAGCTTCAAGGTCTGAGATCTGAAACAGACTACTAACCCCACCCAGTGAATGGTGAGAAAGCTACCACTGAATATGATTATCGACAAAATCTTGAGAGCAAGGCGAGAAGCATGTACGATATAGTAATGAAGAATGAATTGCTGCAACGATGTGAGGGTATCAGGAAGATGTCCATATCACAGCAACCATGATGCAAATTTGCAAAAAAAAAAAAAGCACTACACGAAGAGAAAATATCCAAGTGTCTAAGGATAACATATTTTTACGCGAATGTTCAGAAATGAGTGGTGATAAAGGCAACGCAGGCTGCAACGGCGGTCAGGAAACCCGTCTCCACTTTCATTCCAAGGATGGCGGCGCTACTACCAGTGGGGGTTGTGCTGGTGTCTGAACTGGTGGTAGATGCTGCTACAGCAGTGCTCGGAATTGTTCCGGTAGTCCCAGAGCTATGAAGAATTGGTCAGAGATAATAACTTGATATGAAATAAAACATACAAAAGAGAAGTAGTAGTAGTTTTTGCGCCAGAACCCGTGGAAGTTGAAGTTGACGAGCCAGAGGTGATATTGAATTGGTTAGACTGAGCAAGCAGGGTGTCGAGATGTTGAGCATCTGCAGCAAGGTTGACACGGAAGCCAGCGCCCACAGGCCAGCCTCCACTTGGAGCGTTGCAGACGATTGATCCCAGGGTCCCATCAACAAGTGCGTTGAGAACCTGAGGATTCATGACACCATAGTTCTGAGCAAAGAGTATTAGAATCCTTCTGTAGAGCGTATGCCAATACACATGCCACGTTGGTCAACACCGCCGTGAAGTTCGCTGGGTCGGTGTCAACGCGCTGCCAAGTCAGGACGTTGGGTCCAGCAGTTGTCCAACCCTCGCTATCACCTGGAGAGGTAACCTCGTAGGCAAAGGCAGACGCGATGGAGGCCAAAAGGATAGCGACGGAAGTGCGCATGCTTGCAGAACCAAGTAAGTAGGTGGTGGGGGCTGAAAAAGAGTCTGATTTCTTTTTTGAAGGGTAACGAACGTGGTGAAAAGGGCAATTAAAGAGTTTCGCCTGGTCTCGCTTGGACATATTACGGCTGGGTCTAAATTTGATGCCGACCCGAATAGTTATCGCATGTTTGGTTCCCACGTCGTGTTGAATTTGGTTGGACAGATCGCCAAGACATGCATGTTTGATGACAATGATCATCAAGGGGGTTTCAGCCCGTGCATTAACAAACAATATGATCTGGTGATCAAAGACATTATAGGGGGTTCAAACGTTCACCGTATATATAACGTGTGACAAGCGCGAGAGATAACTATAGGCCTGCTTGTTCGGGCTCCCAACATTGTCTAAGGCCCGGAATTCGACCATGCATGAACACCGGTGACTGAGAAGTACAATGCGCAGAGAACGACCGACACCATCGGAATGAAGTACCGGTCGTTCATGGCTGCGTGTGTCAAACACCATCACAATCATGTTTGCGACTTGAAATTGAAGACCAAAGTCCACAAACAACGAGGTTCCGTCTTGCCGTGCAAACTAGTGTTCAAACTTCGACCAGCGGACCGCTGAGCACGGATGATCGCCATTGAATTAGCTCTGACGTAGTCAGTGATATAGCCATACGACATTAAGCACTCGCCAGTGACTTCTCCGCGTCCCGCCAAAGATCACTTTGTCCCCATATGCCAGAGACGGCCGTAAAAATAATCCAACATGACGCGTCAGTCATGCCAATATTGGATGACACGTTGTCAGGCACTCCAGGCTTCTCGGCCTTCAGTCGCCGGACGAGTAGCTCCAAACAAGCGCGGGCTAGGCTCCTGAGTTGACTCATGTCATCCGCTGAAATGAAGTCTTCCACTTTAGCCAACAACACAAACATCCAACGTGCATGACTCTCAAGGATCGTAAAGGTTGGTTCAGCGGGGTGCTGGAGGTGGATGTTCAACCAGTGAGCGAAGTACATAAGAAGGTGCAGGGACAAATTCTGCATTCAATTTAGCTTGAGACGCTTATAATAAGGCGCTGTCATACGCACATGATCTATTTTTCGCAGCAATGAGGGGGTGATCTCACGAGGTTTACAAAGCTGTTCCGGGCCTGGACGAGTCAGCAAGGAACCCGTGTTTCTGGATTCTGTCTGCACTGCTGACATAGATAAGCCAGAACCATTTGAACGTGGCTGAGCTGCGGATGATGGTGTACCTGCTAGATTATTATCCTCCGCGAGTTCAACGTCGCCTTCTGAATTGATACGCCAGGTCTCGTGGGTTTCGTGAATATTTTGCTGGTCATTGGTGTTATATTCCACCTCCGAATCGTCGCAAAACGCTGACATTTGACCATAGGATCTATTTTTTGTCGAGATTTTCTTTGTTTTTTTGGGTGGGTTCCAGTCTGATTCCGGTGAACCGGCAAGAAATGACCACCATAGATCTCTTTCTTTCTTATCTGGCATAACCTTCCGTGATCCGTGAGGATCAATATGCACGTGGATAGTTGGTTGAGCGATGTTCTGGAGGTCAAAGTTCATTACTCATTCAGGCACACAAGCCTGACGACGGACAGTTACCTTTCTGAAATTTCGAAAGTGTGTTAAGAAAGTAGAACGCCAAAGTTCAGAGGGAAGGTTGCTATGTGAGCTGTCGGATTGCACGAGATCAAGTGGCGGAACGGGTTCGGGCAGTTCGTACGGGTTAGTGACCCTCGTAACGTGCGGTAGCCGCCGTGCATCACGTCTGTGGAAGTATGAACAGAGAACCAAACGCAACCATGTCAACTTACCTAACCGTGAACAGATATTGAAGTCCATCTTCTGGCTCGCGGTCAAAGTTCATAGGTAAATTCGCCACAGGCAATATTTGTTTTCCAAAAGTTGGTTCATCATCGTCTGAATCATATTCTGTATCTTCCCATTTGCGTTTGAGACCAACGGAAGCCATTTCAGTCTTGCGTATGACGACGTAAATGGCCGGCTTCAAGCTAGGAAGATATGTAGTATGATGAGTTGGTGCTAGGCGAGATATCTTGGACCGCGGGAAACGATACCCAACTGCAAACCAAAATTTTATTTGCGCACAGGGGTGCTCTCGTTTGGACTCTGTATGCCTCAACTACGATCCCATACATTTTACTATTCATTTCTTGCAGGATGTCTACGACAGAAACGATGGACCTAATAGCTGACGACGATATTGACACAGAAACATTGCAGGCCCAAATCAATATGTCCATGTCATTTGCAGAAGATCTAGTCTCATCGTGGATACAGCCTGCACATAAAGCTAATCTCAGCAAAGGCGCAGTGGACGCTCAAAAGTTACTCGACGAGCAACTACGTAGACCTCCTAGGTGTGTCATAGTATAAATGACGGTGGTGATTTCTATAATTGACGTACATTACCGAGTAGACTGGGTGTTGGTGCTCCGATACCGGAATCTTCTACAACAGCTCGTGACGCTGCGCGTCTAAAGCATCACTTGATAGGGAAAGGACTCAAGCGCACCCCCAAAGATGATAACACGCTTAATACGGAACATCCTTCAGAAGACGAAGAAAGAAGGGGAGGGACGGTTAGAAAGAAAATGAAACTTGATCCGTTCGCAGTAAGATCGAAGACGAAAGCGAAGATGCTTGGGACCTCTGTCACGCAATCAACCCATAAGCCGAGTTCCCCGCATCGGCAGGCGGGTGGTGGGGATAACAAGACCGGGGGTGATGATGATTTGGAACAAGGACGCCACGTTACTTTCATATCGTCCTCACTTGAAGCGAGTAAATCACCTCCGTCTGCGAAAAAGAGGGGGAAGAAACCACGGAAGCGCTCTGCTACTGACAGCGAACGAAGCATGAGCTTCCACGAGCAGGCGATCCCCCATTCGCAGTCTATTACCACCCCAGACCGATCCGGCAATCAAAATCTCTCTGTCAATTCACCTCCTCTCGGCGGTAAACCGTCTTCCGTCTCATTTTCGACATCCGGTCCATTTTCAATGGCTGCTTTGCAAACAGGTGAGTCATTGTTCTGCTGTTTCACTACACGGACGTAAACAAGAGCACAGAGTTGAAACGGGATGGCGAACTGAATATCCCGGATATTTCGACTCAATATCCTTCACCACTTCCGCATGCACCTCGTCATCCAGAAGCTCTGCGTTTAACGGTTCCGCTGCTGAATCTCGACGGACCGCCGGACCGAGGTGATGGATCCGGTAAGGATGACAACCCGGATAGTTCCAAGAAGAAGCGCAAAAGGCGCAAAAAGAAAAAGCATCCTTTTCAAAGTTGACGCGGAAAGTTAAATTCTCGCCTATACACTTCGTAATTGCCCATGCAGATCTATATCTCGCATCCACGAGTATCCTATTTTCATATCTTCCATCTACTGAAGCCAAAGCACCCGACCCGAGACTGTCATGTGCCTGGCGATTTATTGCATATTGTTGAAATCTAGTCCATCACATTGTCACGTCCTTCATGCACAAACATATCGAGCCGAGTTGACCGTCATCGAGTCTAATCATTATAGTTTCGACTATCAAATAACAGTCCTTAGAGAGGCAAGTATAAGTTACAGCATTACTTCCGAGATAAATAAGTCCCTGCAGGTGATGTGTTCAAATACATAATTATGATAATAGATAGTACCTCAACACGTCAGGATGTAGGGTGATCATTTTTTGGAAGACCTCATCCGCGCGACACCCCGTTTAGAATTATATGACGGTTGTGGTGAAGTTTGTCTTGTAGGTCGCCGGCTGATCCGAGCCGCTTGTCGGCTGCTGCTGTTGCTCTTGTGAGAACTGTGTGAGCTTCGAGCCAGTCCGTCGGGTCTAAGAGCCCGTCTTGTCTTTTTTGTGTTTCCAACGCTGGACCATGAGAACAGTCCCGGCTTTGCCCGGTCGTTTTTGGCTCTCTTCGCAACCTTCTTCTGTCGCTTGATGGTTTTAGCTTCGCGCATTTCGCGTATGCCTTCTCGTCGAAGTTGCTCATTTCCACTAAATGTAGCGCGCCATTTGACTAACCATCCATGAAAGACTGAAGGTTTAGGTCTGCTCCGGCGACGACCATCGGAGTGGTAGTGCTTTTCTGGTCATTAGATTCACAGACAAAATAGACTTGAAGATCAACCCACTGATGATTTCCACACAACCTCGAATTTCATCGCAACGAGATAGTAGAGTACTGATAGTGACACGAGGGAAAGATTGATAAAAGCAAAAATGGCTTCTGGCCTTTGACTGCATGCTTTAATAACTGTGACTGTCAGTACTTGGCCGCCAGTTGGCGGCCTTTGTAGATTCCAAAAACATGCCATTCGGCGACGTGGCCGCCGGAACGTGATCTCAGCGCTCCTTGTGCATGTTCCTGAGCAGATGTCAACGGCAGCCACGCCGCTACGGTCCACGCTTAGCCTTGGTCTGTGCCTAAGGAATCGGAAATGGCGGCAGGCAGGCAAGCGCGCCCTTGAGTCACGTGGTACCCTCGGGGCAATCAACTAGTTTATGAGCACTAAGCGCACCAATAAGTTGAAGTGACACCGTAACCAACGGTATTGCAACGGTCCGTGATGTTATCCGTCCATGCTGTATATCGGCCGAATGCGGAGCGATTGTGAGACCAAGACCAGTCTGATGTTTTCAAGATTGACCACGATCTTCGCAAAGTTTGCGGCTTTAGGTACGTCCAGTTCCCGGTGCTTATCAATATTTCTATTGCATGCTCCGCTCTCCACGCCTTCTATCAGCATAATTCGTTCTATTTGCAAGGCCGCAAACTTCATATTGATATTTTTTGATCCAGCTCACAATGATGGTCTGGTAAGAAATCTTCAGTGTACATCAATATCGATGACGTTGTTCGAAGATAGCCTTTACACTGCATGCTGCACCGACACATAGATCTCCAGCTGACCTGTCTCTGTCAACTTGTGGTGTGTACTTGGGCGACTCGGGTGACCGCAATACCCGGAATGTTCACGGACTTACTAGCGTATCGCCGAATGAGGCCTCACACTTGCCTTATTTGGATAATTTTCAGTATCTCACGTTGCTTTCAGCTTGCGAGAAGAAGGATCGGAGGGAACAGCACAGGATTACTGTGGAGGGGTCCCCCGGATATGACGTAAGCCACATCCGTCTTGTTAATAGTGATCTCAAACATATAGCGTATTTTCAGCGTTATGGCTTGGGGTGGCGGTGAACGCGCTTTTCATAACTGTTGTAAAATGGACTTCTCCACTGCACTGCTTTCATATCTTCTTCGTGTCCCGCTCGAAATTGGCTGTGATGAAGCCGTTTACCCAACGTTTACCACACCGCCATGTTTCTACCTCACAGAACGCTGGACCATGGTGACCATAAACACGGCTACTCCATCCTCTCCGAGCCGTGTTCGGAGGGCAGAATAGTCCTTGTACGAGGAGGTACAAAACCAACAATGAATTTGAGGAGGACTTTAGACATTCTCGCAGGTTTTCCAAGATAATTCAGTTAAACAACATGGGCTGGAAGAACGTCGACACAATCATCGAGGGCAAACTCTATCTTGGAAAGTAAGTATGCCACGGATCTGAACTGCTGTATAGTCCAGACTCTGATTTTTTGATTTCTTCATCCAGTATCCATGCAGCAAGGTCACCGCGGTCGTTATCGGAGCGCAATATTTCTCATATTGTCTCCGTTTGCAACGACCCTATCCCTTCAGAGCTGCCCGAAAGTGGAATTACCTTTCTTCGAATTCCTGTAGAGGATGTCGACACCGCTGACCTCCTGATACATATGCCCGCTGTGTGTCAGTTCATTGATCGAGCCCTACAAGCCCGAGGGGTGGTGTTGGTACACTGCCTGCAGGGTCTATCTCGCAGTGCGGCAGTAGTCGCGGCATACCGTTAGTTGTCTTCCTGCTCAGCTCAGCAGCGGTCTAACTAAATGTCTCTCCTAGTCATGTACACGAAGCGCACAAACGCGACGCAGGCCATGGACGAAGTTAGAAAAGGTCGGTTCCACTCTATTTTTCAGTGAGCACAATGAGACTCACTGGCCTGAATTAGCCCGTGAACAAGTCTGGTTCAACGCTGGTTTTCAAGAGCAGTTGGTTCTTTTTGAACTCTGCAGATACGCTCCCAGCCCCTCCTGCGGAATTTACCGCTCGTGGCGGCAGAGGGTCAGCAACGCCCTACGGGGTAATTAAGAAACTGGATTGTCGCTCAATTGAGATGGCGGCATACCTGGAAAAGTAAGCTAGTCTCCAACGCCGCTCAATTGCATACCTTCCTAGTTTCATCATAAGATACTCTAATTCTAGTCCTACAGAACATAGTGAATCGTTTATCTTGTTGTACAACACGTCTTTTGGCATCTTTCCCTGCAGCATCATCGTGTTTTCCGTGTAGCTTGACTTTACTTTGTATCATATGTTTCTTCGTCGCTCTCGTCCTGCAAGTCTTACGTCATACATTACCCTACCTTTTGTACTGTCAATATAATGTCATTTACTACCATGTGCTCAGACCTGCCACGATGGCCGACAAATCCAACCTGAGCTAGTAAGATAGACTCTGTCGTGTGTCCATTAGTACTAGATCTTAATTTGAGGCTGTGATTAAAGCTAATCTCATTATGAATCTGCGGATATATAAGTCGGTCTACTCGGTCCTCTTAAAGCGCGCGGCCTGCAATTGCTCATGCGTGGCAAACATATTGAATGAAACCAGACACTCTAGCAACACCAGATACAAGATAATAGCAAGTCTCGACCAGTCGCAAAGCAGTGTGAAAGTAGACGGGACACTGGCAGCAATTGACTCATGTCAAGTATCTCACCACAGCTGCCGAGTGACCTGAGTCAGGATCTAGGTGATTCGTGTAAGCGCAGCAGTCTACCAGGGACACGTATGAAACCTCTCTTGGACGTGTCACAAGAATACTCAAATATAAAGGTGTTCATGGCCAGACGATTAGATCACCGCAGAAACTCTTTCAGACAGCATGGGACTTGTTATTTCTCACATTTTTTCAGGGTTATTCACCCAACAGGAGACAAGTAAGTGCCATACAGAAAGTCTCAATCAAAATGGGCTGCTTAACACATCCTACAGGACTACTGATGGTATTGTCCTGAACAAGATGTTGAGACCGATACTGACAGGATCAATAGCTTGGACTCGACAATGCGGGGAAGACAACGATCCTCTACAAGCTGAAGCTCGGCGAGATTGTCACGACCATTCCTACAATAGGTAAACAGGTCAGTGTGACCTACCGGCCTTATTTATCACATAAATGCAGGATTCAACGTGGAAACGGTTGCGTACAAGAAAATCCAGTTTACCGTGTGGGACGTCGGGGGTCAACAAAGGATTCGTCTTCTCTGGCAGTACTGTATGACATTCACTATGTGGTCGTCCGAATGGTCTCTCATCAATATCCAGACTTTAATAATGCAGAGGGCATTATTTTTGTGGTCGATTCCAGCGATCGCGATCGCATTTCAGAAGCGAAAGAGGAACTTCATATGCTGATGAACAACGACCAATTACGGGACTCGCTTTTGCTTGTGTTTGCGAATAAGCAGGACATGCCTGGCGCTATGAGCGCGGGTGAACTCACCGATAAACTGGAATTGCGGATGCTCGGACGGAGAACGTGGTACATCCAGGTACGCATCCCTCATCTGTGTGGCAGCCCTGCGTTGATGTGCTGCAGTCTACTTGTGCAACTTCGGGCGACGGCTTGTACGAGGGCCTAGACTGGCTGGCTACCAATCTCAGGAAGCGTCGCTGGTAGATCATGCTTCTCTGTGTGGTTCAGTGGTAGGACGAGGGGTTTCGTAGTATGTTCGCAATATAATGCAATGTTATTAGTCTTGGTAATGGGGAGGGTATTATTGTTCGCTGCATGGCCCCCTTATCAAGGTCCGCGTTAAGGCTGTTAGTTTAATAGTGGGCGATGACCAGCAGAACGTGGAAGACCAAGAAGGGAACCGCCACCAGCGGAGTTCAAAAGGGTTGTTCACACACGACGACAAACTTGTTCTTGACCTCTAGTTTACAACTCATTAACGTCCTTACACTTCCTAGCTCAACATGGGTCTCTCGGTGTCACGTCTCCTTGCTGGTCTTTTTGGCAAGAAGGAGATGCGTAAGTCTTCACCATCTATACCACGATCCCCGATATCGACTAGAAACTGACTATTGTATCTTCTTCCAGGAATTTTGATGGTCGGAAATTGAGTTTGAGTCACAATGTCGTTCGCTAACTTTTATCCAGGTCGGTCTTGACGCCGCTGGTAAGACTACCATCCTGTATAAACTCAAGCTGGGCGAGATTGTAACTACCATCCCCACCATCGGCAAGCTTTCCCCATTTATCTCTGATACAAAATCCTCTAATTCTGCTGCAGGATTCAACGTTGAGACTGTCGAATATAAAAACATTTCCTTCACTGTGTGGGATGTCGGAGGACAAGATAAGATCCGACCTCTCTGGAGGCACTGTATGCTGTCTTTCCATCTACGTCATCACCGAGCTCATTATATTTCTTCAGATTTCCAGAACACACAAGGTATCATCTTCGTGGTTGACTCGAACGATCGGGAACGTGTATCGGAGGCTCGTGAGGAACTTCAGCGAATGTTGAACGAAGATGAGCTGCGGGATGCTCTCCTCCTTGTTTTCGCAAACAAGCAAGATCTCCCCAACGCCATGAATGCGGCAGAGATCACTGACAAGCTTGGATTACAAGCTCTTAGGCAGAGAACGTGGTACATCCAGGTCCGTCATTTATTTCTCAAATCATTAGATCCGCTGACAGTAGACGCCGTTAGGCTGCATGTGCCACTTCTGGTGATGGACTGTACGAGGGTCTGGAGTGGTTGGCGACCAACATTAAGCGTCGGTCTTAAGCAATATGTGGTTTTCTGTCGTGTTTGGATCTTGCACGCGCATTGTCTCCCGATCCTTACGATGTCGAAAATTATGTGCCCGTCTGCTATTTCTTTACTCTGCCTTCGCTTGCACTCCCTCTTGAATTACCCGTTTCTCTTTCATGTGTTTTATAAATTTTGAGCCTTAGAGGCTGATATGCACTGCTATCAAAGCAGATCAGAAAGGTGTGCACACTGCAAGGCTCGACATAAAAGGGTATACGACATGTATCATCGGTTTTCTCCAGGAAATACCCGCCCAACGGCTTCTGCTTCCTTCCTTCGTCTGTCCCCTCTTTCTCGTGATTGGGCGTCACGCCGACTCGACCCGTACCTGGTCAGTTTCTCAAGGAGTGTCTGGAGTCTCTTCGGTCGGATAACGGAATACGTTGTCTGCCGGACTTGCGGTACTAGATAGTCTTGTACAGCGTCGTTTAATATTACTGACGCCATCTACAGCATTTGTAGTGTCAGCCAACCTAGAAAGGAGTTTGGGTGGGTTTTTACCGAATGAAGTTCAGCGAAAACCGAGCTGAGATGGTCCCGGCCAATACGGGTTAATTCCCCTTCCAGAAACTCTGTATCCACCAAAATATTTGAGACGGCGTTCTCGTTCATCGCTGGGACGTCAGGCCCGATCATGAAGTTCTGATTGCAATGAGCCGTGAGCGCCCCGTGCATGATGACGCGCTGACGAACCGCCTGCTCACCATCAAGCACTCGGCGATATATCCGACTGCTCCTCGGTATGCCTCATCTTTGTATACCTCCTTGATAACGAGAGAGTCCACAATTGTCGTGAGCCAGTTGATAAGTTCATACAGGTACATGCTGGGTGTGTCCTCGCGGGATTGCGGCGTCCAATCATACTCTGCTAAATCAAAGAAGTCATCTAGTTTAGAGGTGATAAGACCCGTCACACGGTTGAGGGCACGGGTGATAGTATTGGCAAAGGAGGAGGAAGACAGCCGGATAGCACCACCCCGCTGTGTTGACCTGATGATGGAAGAATTTGAGAGAGTTATAGATGACTTATGATGAATAGTTTACCGCAGACTCGTCAGTGAACGTTCCAGTTCCGAACATGCAACCTCAAAATGCTCGAGATTTGAAACAATCTGAACGACTTGACTAAGAGTTGATGTGCTACTTAAGCACTTGGAAATACTGCCGCTGATATGGTTTGCAAGCAGTTTGTCTAGAGACTGTCAGATTAAGTTTGATTAGTTTGACATCATGATCCATAATATGCTCACCTTGTTCAATAGTTCGTCAATATTGCCATGATGCTGTGATACCCCATCAACAAAGTGATAAAACTTTTGTATGAAGTTTCGGATCTGCAGATATATATTTACAAATGAGCTCAAAAATGGAGTGAGAACAATGACACGTTACGTCTTGGCAGCACAGGAAAAAACCTTGCGACCATGGTAGACTGAGAGGGAGACCGCTCCTACGGAACCCCTGAGCTGCTTATTCTCAGCAGGATGTGATGACATACTTTGAAAGATCCTCTTGTTCTGACGGGTCCAACCATACGACTGCAAGCACAGAATCTCTTTCGGATGGTATCGTAACTTGCATAGGGAGATGGTCGTCTTCGAGGAAAATCTGGATTGTGAATCTTGAGCGCGAGGACGGGGGAGGGGCCTCGCATAACTTACACCATCAAACCTACGACTGAACTGGCTTTCAAGAAGGCCGGCATACTTCTCGAACAGCGTAAGGATGAGTGAATGCAGTGACTGGGTGGCATACGAACAGGACTAGCAAGGCGGTCACCCTCTTGATTTTTTGGTGAAATGATATCAGATACATACCTCCAGCGTCGTGACGAATCCAATGAGACACTCCTTTACCCTCAAAAAAGAATCTGGGTCAGTCTCGTTTGCCAAAGACGCGTTAACAGCTGACGCAAGACGCGCAACTAGCGCTTCCCATAACTCCTCGACTTCCCTCTCAGAACGGAAGTTGCCAGTCGTCTCAAGAACATGCGATTCTATGATAAAAAATCCGCATATTTCCTGAGTTAGATTGGGTAGGGAGGCGAGCGGAAGCGGATCCGGTAAAATAAGGTCTGATTGCGCCTGTATTCAGATTGAGTTGGCAAGAAGAGAAAGCAGAGCACTGCCGCACTTTACGATCTGCTTGATAAGATCTTCTCAAGTCATCAATTGAATCCAACGTCGTGTAGATATGTATGCATTGGTAAAGGGGCGTGAAATCAACCTTTAATTTCTCGCTGTCGAGAACATTAACTAAGCAGGATATTAATCGACCGAATAAATTGAGGGTTAAGGATAGAGCTCACTATCGGACCGCTCTTGGATCACCATTTCTACTGCGCTTCCAACACGGCTCAACCTCAGCATAGGATCTTTCTCCCGACGTGATCTCCACTTGCGCGTCCGATAGTCCATTGCTTCTAATGCCAATTTACCAACTAGCCCACTGACATTCCGAATCTCCAGTAACCATTGCTTCATAGAAGCTGTGACCGCATTCTGGATTTGAATCCGCAGCGAAGGCAGAGAGGACAGCAGATGCTGGTAGAATGGCGTCTGGGACAGCGAATTCGAAGGCAGACTTTGTATGTCTTCCAGTGACTATTGGTTCCTTTCAGTTACTTTAAAGGCCACAGGAGTGACGTTACATACCCGCAGGGCACTCCAATACTTCCCCTCCTTGATCAATTCGCCAATTCGATTCACAACGTCCAGAACTTTCAAACAAGCTTGCAGGGTATCAATTGCTTCATCAAGTTTGGCTGCAGTCTTCTTGGACTGCAGTAAAGTCCTTTTCTTCTCCACCAAGCCTCGACCGACTTGAGATACGCTAGCGTCCAAAGTGGTGATCTTGTCCCTGAGGTTGTTAGTATATGACTTGACTGTGAAAAGAGTCGAAGCGGAAGAGATAAATTCTTGGTAATTGTCCGTGCATATCTGCTCGATCTCGCTGTCTTTTGTTGCAATAAGAGCCTGAAGATTGCGCAGGTATGCTTCCTGCTGACGGTTCGCATGAATTTGCTTGATGATAGGTCCGAGTTGTTCAAGGTTCTCGGAAGACGATGACGGATCAAGAAGATGTATTTGTTGCAGCTGCTGGTCGATGTTCTCTTGGGTATATTGTGGGCGCCTTTGAGGAGCCATGGTTGCAATTGTCAATAGAATATTAATGTCCCAGATTTGGATGCAGGGCTGGTGTTTGTTTGGCATCAGCCTCTGATACAAACAAGTCCGTTGAACGGGGTTTAACCAGCACCACCGTGACGCAGACGTCAGGTCTGAGATCTGCCTCTAGAAGTCTAGTGGCACACATCCATGCCGAGGACGATATGAGACCGCGAGATGGGTGATTGTACTACGAGTGTGCTCACAGACAAATTGTCTGTTACTAAACCCCAGCGTAAACGCTCCCGCACTCCGAGTCAGGCTGTTACTGAAAACCTATCCACTCTTGCACCAACCACGAGCAGTATCGTGTCTCGTAGAACAACTTAGCAAAAAAGTTTCTTTGTGCTATGCCAGCGCATCAAGACAATGGAGCCAAACAAGGTTCACTGGCACGATATTGACAAGATGATGGTTGGTTCGTGTGTGCCAGTGCCACATGACAATAGCACTCGAAGCATCCCACGGCAGGTCAACCAACCATGATTTTCATTCTCTCCCCCGCGGTAAGCTCGGCCGAAATCTAGCCGAGACCCAGGGATCAATTAATTTTGGGGTCAATGATCATATCTGATATTCCAGGGTGGTAACGCAGTCGATCAGCAGCGTGAAGCACGCTCACCACGAACTTTGACTCATCTCTTGAATTCTATCATCATCTTATATTTTAACAAAGAAAAATGGGTGCTATCACTTTCCACGTGGATGCCGTGTAAGTCGAACTTATATTGTCCAGGAGGCAAATCTGAGCAGTATCACAGCTTGTTTGATATGGACGGTACCCTGGTAGATTCGACAGCAGGCGTGATCGGAGCCTGGGAGACGTTTGCCGAGACATATTCAGGCCTAGATATTCAAAAGATCCTGAACAGTGAGTAACTCTCAGGCGGGATCTTCCGTTTGTGAGTTGCTTCTCTTCACAATTAAGGTGCACATGGTGTTAGGACTGTTGACAATCTGAGGAAGTACTGTGGGCTTACGTCTGAAGCGGAGCTCGAGGTTATCAATTTCTCAGTGGATTCATGCGTGATATTGATGTCTACCAACAGAAAGAGGCTGCACGGTTCGAAGAAGCCATCGTAACCTCCTCCACTGCTAATGGCAGAAAGGGCATTACCCTTTTACCTGGAGTTCGCCCCATCATAGATGAAGTGAATTACATATTACATTACTTGCGCTTGATTGCTGATCATTACAAAGCTTGCTCCCGGAAAGAAAAATCCCAAACCATGTTGGGCCATTGTCACATCTGCAACCCGTGCTTATGCATCAGCTGCTCTAGAGATTGCTGGAATCCCGATCCCAGATGCCTTTGTGACTGCTGAAGATGTTACACAAGGAAAACCTTAGTGCGGAATAGTGTCATTCGTTAAACCATTCAGAACTGACTGAACACCTTCACCAGCCCTGATCCATATCTTCTTGGTGCACAGAAATGTGGAGTTTCGCCGGGAAAGTGTCAGTGATTGTGTTAAAACAATGTTGAGGACATTGACCCGTCCTATAGGCCTTGTCGTAGAAGATGCTCCGTCAGGCGTAGCAAGTGGTGTTACCGCTGGGTGTGCTGTGATCGGATTGATCACATCGCACACCAAGGAACAGATGGAAGTCAAACGTCCAACATATTTAGTTGAAAACTTGTCTAGGTGCGCGGCAACTGCTGGAAATACACGGTGTATTCAACCTTCTTCGTTATTGTAGTGTGTCGATGAAGATGGGAGCAAATGGTGGCATAGATGTTGTGGTCAACATAGATTAGATGCATTTCATAGACGAAATAGAGTTTACAAGGCAGATGTAACTAAGTATTTGGCCCTGCTACCGGAATACTAGTTGAGGAAAACTTTCTAGAAGTCTCACACCATTGGGGACAACCTGAATCGACAACTCACAAAGGCGCCTCTTACTACACTCGAGGGGTAGCAGGGTGGATCCGAGAATTCCGACCACGAGGCTAAATGGGATTGGCAGACATATTTCTCTGACCGAGAGAGATTCGAATCATTCGATGGCATCCCACATTCACGAAGACCATGCAGTCTTTCAGGCGTCTGCCCCGCCCACTAGAAAGGAAAAACCTCGGGCTAAATTGACGCTCGAGGGTCATGAAGAATGGGTGCGTGGCGTGGCTGTCATCCCTGGAACTCATTTCCTTGTCACTGCCTCAGATGATAAAACTCTTCGACTGTGGGATCTAGTCAAGGGGCAACAAGTTGGGAAGCCCTTGTTGGGTCACGACAGCGCAGTCTGGACGGTTGCAGCATCTCCTAATGGGCGTTGGATCGTCAGTGGAGCGATGGACGGAAGCATCCTGGTCTGGGAAGTGGCGACGAAAAAAAATGCGTCTGTCTCGTTCAAGGGACATAAGATGTGCGTTTCGAGCGTTGTCTTTGCGCCGGACGACAAAAAATTCGCAAGTGCATCGGATGACAAAACTGTATGCGTTTGGCTGAGGGAAACAGGGAAAATTGCCCTTGGACCACTCCAGGTGGGCAGTAACGCGTGGTCGGTGTCATACTCCTTCGATGGGAGCAGGCTAGCAGCAGGAACTGGGGAGCATATCATGATTTGGAATGCATTCAATGGAAAAGAACTCCTCAAAATAGAACAACAGGCAGTGGTTGTCGCATTTACTCCAGACGGTCTCCGTCTGATCAGCGGATGCATTCACGACATCCGAATCTCAGATGTTGCAACTGGAGATATTATCAAACAGTTTGAAGCACACACTGAACTCTTTCAATCACTAGCCATTGCTCCCGATGGTACCAAAGTTGCTAGCACGTCGCTTGACAGCACGACGCGGTTCTTTGACCTGACTACGTTTGAACCTATTGGCGAGCCATTGGAGCATCCTGATGCCGTATATTGCGTGGCTTTTTCCGAAGATAGTCAGCTTGTCGCGACTGGTTGTGACGACACGCTTCTTCGCGTATGGACAGTGCCTCAAAGCGATTCAGATAAGGAGTTCAAACAGGTGAGAAAATCATCCACTAGTCATGTAATTTTGATGCTAACCTGCGTTACAGTCCCAAAAGGTTCCCTTATCCCCTACACGTATCCTCGTACACACTGACTATTGACGATGTACAGGATGACCGCCGACGCCCTCGTCCATCCATACCAATTGTATGTAATATTCAGCGTTTGCACTCATGTATTATCCCTAATTTACTCCCACAGGAAATCATTCCACGTTTAGAGTCGCGACCAGTACGTACTGGAATTCCGCGCGGGTTCTTTGATGATGTTAGTCCTCGCGTTCAATCAACTCAATGCATGACTGAGTCGAATGTCTAGGTTGAAACAACTTATCCACCCCGCCGATCCGCGGATGGAGGTTCACAGAACCCCACACTGCACTCCCTTATCAAGAATCTCGTCAACCGTCTCCCATTTCGCAGGCAGTTGCAACAAGGACAGCCCGAAGAGGAACGTTCACGACACTGGAACCGATTCTCGCAATTCCTGCGACAGCGTACTTCCTTCCGTAGGTCAAGATCCAGCCAAGAGCCACAAGAGGTTGAAGTCGCAGCCGGACGTAAATTCACTGTAATGTGGTTCTTTTTACACTTTTGATTGTTCTCGCTGATTGATGCCCCCAGCGTCTTGCCGCTGCCAGACTGCCGGAATACAAAAAAGTCAATGACACCCGACATTTGCCTAGAGCGCAGCCTGGTGTGTCGCAGAACACGACGGCAAACGACCCATCGCCCGAGTCGTCTGACATTGATTCACTGCCAGATGTGCATTGGTGCAAGGCATTCTTATGCTATTACTCATGTTGGTCTCATGGTAGATTGAGAAGGCCTCCGCGATGGCGCTTGGAGCGTGTTGACCTTCATCGCCAGGATCACACGACAAATGGCGCTGGGGCTCATGGTCGCAATTAGTTGCGCATCGATCAAATTTCGTGCAATCGAACTATATGGTACCAAACCTGATGTTGGCCCAATGAGCCTTTTAGACTAGTCTGGTTCTTTGTGGGCATTTATGAGCTCTTGCATTACTTTTCGAATGTTTCACAGGGAATTACATTCTGTTCCACCATGTAGAAAATCATGCGCTATCAAGTATGCGAGCTGAAAAGCAATTATGATATGTTAGATCCTTTTGGATGGAAGAATGTCCCGGATAGAAGGACGGAAAGAATATCAGGAAGACGTGCGAAAGCGATGGAAACAGTGCAACAAGAAAAGAAAATATTAGGAAGAAGAATATGTGGTCGCTCTTCCCAGAATGATAGACCATCTAATATTCGCCCTCCTCTTCAACATCTGCAGAGTCGGTACCAACTTCCTCATAGTCCTTCTCCAGTGCTGCCAAATCCTCACGAGCCTCTGAGAACTCTCCCTGCAACGAAGTATGAACAAGCTGAGGACAGGTTGAACGATGTACATACCTCCTCCATACCCTCGCCAACATACCAGTGAACGAATGCGCGCTTGGAGTACATTAGGTCAAATTTGTAATCTGAAAACCATCATTAGTGTCCCACTCGAGCAAAGAATATTGGGAAGGATCACCTAGCCGACTCCAAGCGACAGAGATAGCTGTCGTGCTATACGAAAAGAAATTAGCAGCAGTCTATACCACATAGCGCATAGTCCCACTTTGAAAGCATGCAGAGACTGCGAGTATTCTTGGCAAGGTCACCACCTGGGACCGCAGCGGCAGGCTCGTTGCAAATGCCCAGCTAAGGGACTCATCAGTCAAGCTTATCAAAGCCAAGCTAAGCACACACCTTGAAGCCAGTTGGGCACCAATCGACGAACTGGATGGTTCGCTTGGTCTTGATGCTGGCGACAGCAGCCTGGACATCCTTCGGTACGACATCACCACGATAAAGTAGAGCGCAAGCCACTGTTCGAAGATCAGAGAGGCGCGTAAAAGGGCCATGACACACATACTGTATTTTCCATCTTTGGGGTCACATTTCACCTGAAATCACGTGAGTAAGTCATGACTCGAAGTATGGTGTGATCATACCATCTGATGTCCAGTCTCAAAGCAAGAGAAGGTCATTTCGCTGACAGAGTTTTGTTCGTGAGTCGCCTTCTCGGCGGACAGAAGTGGGGCATATGTTGCTAATGGGAAATGGATCCGAGGGAAGCTGTCAATTGTTCAACAACTTGTTTTTGCCATGGAGAACGCGATAATGCTCACGGAACAAGGTTGGTTTGGAATTCATTAAGGTCAACGTTCAATGAACCATCAAAGCGAAGCGAAGCAGTGATCGATGAGACAACTTGAGCAATCAAGCGATTAAGATTGGTGAAGCTGGGCTGAGAGACACCAAGATTTTTCTTGCAGATATCATATATCGCCTCATTGTCGACCTGCACAGCCTAGTGAACACAGTAGCACAAAAGATGGATGAAAAGACTAACCATAAACGAACAATCAGAATGTTCAAGAGTTGTATGGGTGGTCAGAATTGAGTTGTAGGGTTCGACTATCGAACTCGACAATTGAGGTGCAGGATAAACGCAGAACTCAAGCTTGGACTTTTTTCCATAATCCGTAGAAAGTCGTTCCAACAGGAGGGCACCAAATCCAGACCCAGTACCTCCGCCAAACGAATGGAACACGAAAAATCCTTGTAATCCTGAACAGTTGTCAGCCAAGCGACGAATTTTATCCATGACTGGGTCGATCAATTCTTTTCCGACTGTGTAATGTCCACGAGCATCTGAATGCGCAAAGTCATGAGTTGCCCATAATGGATATGCAACTTGTTCTGCGACTTACAATTGTTTGCTGCATCCTCCTTGCCCGTAATCATGGTCTCGGGGTGGAAGAGAGATCTGTAAGGACCGGTCTTGACTTCATCCACGACTCCGGGTTCCAGATCAATGTAAAGAGAGCGAGGAACGTGTTTCCCTGAACCAGTTTCGGAGAAGAACGTAGAGAACCCGGCGTCAGTCTTGTGAGCTTCATCAAGGACGCGACCAGTCGGGCTATGTAAAATATTAGATAATGGTGTACTTGAAACATGGCGCGAACTTACGCTCAAGCCATGTTCGAGGGTGTACAACTCCCCTGGTCGAAAGTTAAGACGATCCTTATGACGCGCAAAGGGCACTCACAGCAGGCATTGCCAATCTGAACACCAGCCTGACCAACATGAAGAGAGATGACTTCGCGCATGATGAATCGTTAAAAAGAGCTGATGACTGGTATACCGGTTTGTCGTGACGGGAGGGAACAGAAGTGCCGAACGTTTCTACTTCAAGTGTTCAAAATTTCTTGGAAAGAACTTCTCAATTTGGAAATATTACGGAGACAACACGGACCCTCCGGCGCTTGATAGGCTTCCCGCATTGCATCCGATGAGAGATATTCGTAATTCATGTTCCAGTTAAAGTGCGTAAAAAACCTCGAGGACAAGCGGGATATAATGAACGGTATACGTAAATCGTGATGGCAATGGCAATGGTAAAGAAATTATGGCAGGAACAAACTTCCGAGAATGAGGACCAAAGGATGGTTGAATGCATCTAGTATTCGCCAGCTTCCTCAACATCAGCCGAGTCGATACCAACTTCCTCGTAGTCTTTTTCGAGAGCAGCAAGATCCTCGCGAGCTTCCGAGAACTCACCCTCCTCCATACCTTCACCAACATACCAGTGAACAAATGCGCGTTTCGAGTACAGAAGGTCGAATTTGTGGTCGAGACGACTCCATGCGGTTGAGATGGCAGTGGTGTTTGACAACATGCACATGCTACGAGAGACTTTGGCAAGGTCTCCACCAGGAATGTGAGCAGGTGGTTCATTGCAGATACCAAGTTTGAAACCGGTAGGGCACCAATCAACGAATTGAATTGTGCGTCTCGTCTTGATGACACTGACAGCTGCGTTAACATCCTTGGGCACGACATCACCACGGTAGAGGAGAGCACAGGCCACTATAGCCGCATAAGTAAAATAGGACCCGCAATTAAGAGTGACTCTTACTGTATTTGCCCTCTCTGGGATCACACTTGACCATCTGGCTACCCGTTTCAAAGCACGAGAAGGTCATATCAGCAACAGAGTTCTGCTCATGGTGTGCCTTCTCCGCTGAAATGATGGGTGCAAAGGTGGCAAGAGGGAAGTGAATGCGCGGGAAACTGACAGGGGGATTAGAATGTAAACCTGTAATATTGACAGTAATTGAACTCACGGAACAAGGTTGGTCTGGAACTCATTCAAATCAACATTCAACGAGCCATCAAAGCGCAAAGATGCCGTTATAGATGAAACAACTTGTGCGATCAATCGGTTCAGGTTCGTGAAGCCAGGAGATGAGATGTTGAGGTTCTTTTTGCAGATGTCGTAAATTGCCTCGTTGTCCACCTAAATCCAGGGTAAGAGAATGTAATACAAAAACATGCAGACGCACCATGAATGAGCAATCGGAGTGCTCAAGGGTAGTGTGTGTCGTCAACACCGAGTTGTAAGGTTCAACCACAGAGTTAGCCATTGTTGGAGCGGGGTATACGCTGAACTCAAGCTTTGACTTTTTGCCGTAATCAGTTGACAAGCGCTCCAAGATAAGAGCACCAAAACCAGATCCCGTTCCACCACCGAAGGAGTGGAAAACAAAGAAGCCTTGCAGACCATTGCAGTTGTCTGCAAGACGGCGAACCTTGTCCATAACAACGTCAATCTGTTCCTTGCCGATAGTGTAGTGACCACGGGCGTCTAAAGCACACTAAATATAGCTATATTTCAAACGATACTGATGAACTCACAATTGCTGGCGGCATCTTCCTTGCCAGTAACGAGGGTCTCTGGGTGGAAGAGACTCCTGTAAGTGCCTGTTCTGACCTCATCGATCACGTTCGGCTCCAGGTCGATGTAAAGTGACCGCGGAACGTGCTTGCCCGAGGACGTCTCCGAGAAGAAAGTGCTGAAGCCATCATCGTTGGCAGAAGGGGATCCTTCGACAAGACGACCATCAGGCTATAATGAAAATTTTGAGTGAAAGCACAGGGGGTCCCGATGAAAAATAATCACGCTGAGACCGTGTTCAACGGTGTACAGTTCCCCTGTAAAGATACATAATTAACAATCAGAACTTCATAGAGTCAGATCAAAGCAAATTGCATGCGTCTGGCACGCGACGAATGTTAAAATAAGAATAACAAAGGCGATTGCACATGTCAAAAGTGGCGGAACACTTACAACAGGCATTTCCGATTTGAACACCGGCTTGGCCGACGTGGACAGAGATGACTTCACGCATTATTTCTGGAAAATTTAGGCTACAAAGTAGAATAATTATATATCAGCAATCATACGACACGGAAAGACGCGTCTAAAAAGCTTACTGGTTTAGACGGGAGGCGAGGATGGGGTGATGGTCCAGATCAAAGGGCACAGGGTTAAAAGTGCAACAAACACATGGCGCTTACTTAATCCAATCATTCTCACGCCTCACCATCAGTACGTCAATAGACGGTTCTCTATGGGAGTTTGGCGAACATGTGTTGTCCCTCTATGTAGTTCCGATAAGTCTTTACAGACCAGTACAAACGTCCGCTGTTAATAATTACTCAACACGATCATCAAACCCTGCACTCTTCTCAGCTGCCTACTGCGGCTAAGTTCACATTACTAGCAGCCTTATCGCCAGTCTCCATAAGTGCATCTCCTACGCGGCGCGTGTCTTCCACAGCTTCCACGGCAACCTTACGCCCAGAGCGACTAGAGCTACATTAGTATACTAACATGGGCAAATTTGAACGTCAACTTACCTCACAATGAACTGCCACATTCGCATACCGTGAATATATCGCATTCCAGTTCGCACCTGCTGCTCTGAAACCGACTGTCTAGGATGTCGGAATGGGACATCATTGGGATCAAAAGCAGCGAGAATAACGTCCACTGTTTTCACTCTCGGAATAGTCTTGTGGGTTGCTGGTGCCGTGTGATAAATGCTCTTCTTAAGCAGAGCAAGCGCTTCTCGCTATAGCTACTCGGTAAACACCTAGAATTTTAATAACCAAGCTCACTCACTGTGTCTCGTCTTGCAGCAATCGCTGTAGGTGGTGGCTGTTCGTCCACTAGGTCTAATGGCCCCCATCTTCTATCCTCTTGAATAGCCCCATACACAGCATTCGATCTCTCGACTATTGGCATCTCAACAAAATCATCGCTCTCTCCCGCCAGCGAGAGGCCTCGTTGCCTTGCTTTCTTAATAATCGACTTGGCATTCGCTTCAATTGTTTTCCTGTTCTTCATAACCTTGGTTGCGCAATACTTGAAACGCCTGTCCCACTCCTCTTGGCCTTCCAGCCACTTGAAAAGAGTCTCTTCCTTGATGATGCCAATCTCTGATGGCCTCATTTGTAGAGCTGTAATATCCTCTTTCGGTTCCATGGAGCGAACTCGACCGTGGATGTCTACACGTTCACGAATCATCAATATGTCTCCCTGTTAAAGGTGAGCATTTCAGTGACAGAAGCGCCGCCAAGTGAATTCTCACCGATCGGTCATTCATGGCGCACGATGGTACATCAGACCCGGGCATCGGCTGTGGAACGGGAAACGGATTTCGGTCAAGGTACTCTCCCGAACGTTGAGTGACATGTTTCGCAAATTCCGCAATAGAATTGTAAGCATAGTCAGCCTATTCGATTCGTCAGTAACTGAAACATAAGATCATAACTATCTCACACTGCTGGTGAAGGTGAAGACTGTCAAAACATGACACATTCCTGGAGCATTTGTTTGAACAGACGGTCTCGAACGAAGAGAAGTAGTGTACCATCATACACTTGCAGACGGACTTTGGTGGGCGTAGAAAATTTATGCGCATTCTCTTTCTGCCTCAATCCGTCTCTAATTACACCCTCCCGTACAGGGTACTCAGCTGGATTGGCTGCCTTGTGCGCCAAATATATTATTTCGTCGCGAAGCACTTCTCCATCGCCTGCCAAAATATACAACGGGCAGAGGTTGCCTAAGGAGGCTTGAAGAATAGGTGAGACTAGAGGATGCGACAATTGCCTTCGCGGACATTAACCGTCAATGAATGTAAGAATGGAATGGAGGTGTCTCACTCTGTCATAGCATAGTGCTGTATCTGCGACCGTATTTCCAGTGGAACATCTCCAGGATTTTTCATGAGCACCTTCGGGGGCTTAGGCTGCCAAAAATCAATGTCATCTAGATCAGGAATTGACACCGAACTCCTGTTCACAGCAAGCTCATCCATAGGTATCATATTACTTCCGTTTCTGTTTTGGTCCCAGGTTAGGCCGTGGCATCTGCCAGTGAAATCACACTTCCCTCCATCGAAAAATGATGATTTTTGCTGGGATTTCAGGGGAATGCTTGATGTAGAATTGCTTGATAATTGGTGCTTGGAACCAACAGGCGTAGAATCAGATTTCTTCTCAGCGTCAGTGGGCAGAACCTGGGCAGTGTGTCTTGTAACATGACTATCGTAACCAGGAATATCCGCACGACATGGCTTCAGCAGTGAATCGGAGTGTGCACAGGCGACGCGACCGCCTTCCTTGATTGGATCCACCGGCCACAATACAGAGGGTTTGTTCATGAATTCATGAGGAGGTATGATATCCTACTAGCCGAATCAGAAAGGAATATCCTGCATCGTGCTCAAAACTCACCGTAGCCGTGTTTGTATGAATACTAGGAAAACTGTGTGTTAGATCTACCCATGGGCTGATGAGCACCGCTCCCGCTGGTAACGGTTGACCCAGATCTCGCAGTACAGTGAGCATTGTGAGACATAGTGCGCCACCTGCCGAATCGCCGGCGAAGACGATTTTTGAAGGAGGAATGGGTTTATGGGCAGCATCATGAGGTGGCTGAATCAAGTAGAGATCTTCGTATGGGGAAGATTGGTCCTCGCGATTTCAATTTCAAAGATAAATAGTGATGAACTCACATGCTGCGAGGACATCATGTAGGGGGCATGGCCATGGGTATTGTGGTGCCTTCCTAGACAGAAAAGACTATATATAACATGTTCACAATGAAAAATGTTGACACTTACCGATAGTTGACGGTAAACGCACGCCCCCGAGTTTTATGCGCTTGCAAAGAATAAGTAAAGATGCCAGGAACTTGCGTGAACATACCGTATTTGATGATTTGATAACGATGTGTATCTACAAATCAGGGTAAGTCTGAGGGCATGTACAAGGTGGATTGATGTTCACTGATGGACCCCCAATAGTATCCGCCTCCATGAATGTAAAGCTTCAGTTAAGGTGGTCAGAGAATGTGTCAAACAAACCCAGATAACTCACCATCGTGGTCTCTAATTGCTCCATCGACATTAGAAGTCTTTCCTCTTCACTGTACCTCCTCCCAGCATCTATGTGAACACTCTCGGGTCGCAAGTGCGACTTCTCAGCAATCCACTCAGCATCGATACCGTCTAAACCACGGACTTGCCACCATCTTTCACCTCCAACAACTCGTTTGAGGTCTTCGGGTCCAAACCATTGTATCAAGAGGTCTGCCGCCTGGTTGCATGAATGCAACGGGACACGCACAGGGATAACAGCAGTCCAAGGTGGAGCAGGCACATGAGTATTTGTACTGATCACAGAAGATCATACTTAATGGAGGACCTGATGAATATAAATTGCATCTCACAATGCTTGGAGAGATTCCACAGTGTTCTTTGTTCCAAGAAGAATGAAGGATTGAACGATGTGAAATGCTCTAGAAAGCATCAATGAGTAGGAATGTTGACTGTAATGAAGCGCACTCGTCAAAGAAAATGTCATCAGTGGCCTCTTCTTTCTCATCTCCATTCTTCAGCTTTTTCGCTTTCCGTTTTCCATGAGTGTAGAGGGTCTTGATGACGGCTGACGATGCATAAGTGACTGCACGCAGAGAAGACGGTCCGCCGTACTTGGAGTAATATGCACTGCCGCTGAGAATGTAGAGACAGTCATTTTTGTTCAAAGAACAAACAGCGTGTACGTGGTAGACGTGAGAGGATGTGCCAGTAGCCGTACCGCACACGTCAGAGACGACCAATCTGGAATTTCGAATGACGCAGGAATATAAACCAAGCCTGAGGCCTCAGCTGAAATGAGTGGAAACGAGCTTTCACAGCTTTTGGGACAACTTGCAATTGCTAAGTGGAACGTGGAAGTCGACGGAGCAGTCTCGACACTGCTGCGCTGGATAATGTCCGTGGATACATAGCCAGGCATAGCACACCTGTAAAACACGATATACAACCTATTTACGACCTGCTGAATAATGCCAGTAACACTCATCCAAGAGACATAGAAGAATCGTCTCGTTGCGCCCACAGTTGAACGTTGACTCCGGTCAGTAGTACATAGTGCGTGCACTGGCAATGATTAACAGTGAATGTTTGGACGTTGTTGAGCAAAGCCTTTAGAAACAAACAAACGCTCATAGAACTTCCTTTTTGGTCGACCGCTTCTCTAAGCATCACCACTTATTGTCATCCTTTTTGCAAGGATTTAGCGGTTTAAAAGTCTGTCGTTGACCTGGAATCCAAATGATTACATTCACACCTCTTTCTGGTGCCGCCCGGTCATCTCGAACTGTTCCACTTGCATACTTGCTACAGGTTGACGATATTCGTATTCTTCTCGATTGTGGATCACCTGACTGGAACCCCGAGAATATTGAAACTCAATCTGAGTCCGGGAATGGGGTGATTTATCCTTGGCAAGAGTACTGTGACATAGTGAGAAAGTGAGTGACAACTAAAATGCAAGCTGCACGATTCAAACATTAGTTAGGCATGCTCCAGAGGTTGACTTGGTTCTGCTGTCTCATGGTGACCTTGTACATTCTGGCTTGTATGCCTATGCATACTGTCACTGGGATCTCAGAGCCCCATGCTATACCACACTTCCAGTCCAGGCAATGGCTCGCATTGCAACAATGGAAGATGTGGAAGGAATTCGAGACGAACAAGAAGTCGACGTTGAGGAGGAGGAAAGCAACGAATCTGCGGCTGCCGAAGGGGCGGGAAGCTCTGAGTCACATTCGCCAAAGCTAAAGAACGAACCCAAGAAGTTTGTCGCTACCGTTCAAGAGGTACACGAAGCATTTGACGCAGTAAACACCCTGAGATATTCCCAGCCTACCCATCTACAAGGTAACTTTTACCCATGAAACAATCACGGGCGGACCATTGATATTCCCGACTTTCAGGAAAGTGTCAAGGTTTGACCATCACACCATTCGCAGCGGGGCACACGTTGGGGGGAACCATATGGAAAATAAGATCGCCTTCCGCTGGAACGATCGTCTATGCTGTGAACTTGAATCATATGCGCGAGCGACATATAGATGGCACTGTCCTCTACCGTCCCGCAGCAGGTGGTGTCTTCGAACCACTTGCCCGACCAGATCTCTTCATCACAGACGCCGACCGCGTGAATGTCGTCACAAGTCGAAGAAAGGACCGCGACGCTGCTTTGATAGGTCTGAAAGTTCATCCCACTCGAATATGTTCGTGCTGATGTCATGAATGGACAGATGCCATAAGTGCAACGCTGTCGTCCCGTTCCTCTCTTTTACTTCCTTGTGACTCCAGTACTCGTCTCTTGGAGCTCCTGGTGTTACTTGATCAGCATTGGAAGTATGCTGATTTTCGCTTTCCCATCTGTCTATTGTCGCGTAACGGACGTGAAATGTTGACCTTCGTCCGGAGTATGATGGAATGGCTTGGCGGGACAGTGAGCAAAGAAGATGTCGGTGTTGATGGAAGCGGAAGGACGGGAGGTACCAGGAGGAGACGTGGTGATGACGATGCAGATGATGAGGCGCTGGGAGCGTTCGCATTGCGCTTCAAGTAAGTGAAATCTGAAAGCAGAAGGTGATGGACTAAAACCACTCGTACAGGTTTCTGGAATTCTTTCCTAGTCCGCAATCCCTTCTCCAGACATACTCATCCAAGGAGCCGAAGCTGATCCTTGCTGTCCCTGCCTCGCTTTCACATGGACCGTCACGACTACTATTCTCTGACTTCGCCGTGGTCCCAGATAATGTGGTTCTTCTGACTAGTCGCGGCGAAGAGGGCACACTGGGACGTATCCTTTTCGATAAATGGAATAACTCTCAGAGAGGTGATGATAAGTGGGACAAAGGTAGAATTGGTAGCAACGTTATGATGGATGGAGCCATGACTCTAAAGGTGATGTGCACGGTTTGTACCTACATAGCACGTTACTTATTCATCCGCGTCTAGATAAGCTCCAAGGTTGCACTTCAAGGTGCAGAGCTAGAAGCCTTCCTTGCAAAGGAGAAGGCAGCAAAGGATAGGGAAGCTGCTCATCAAGCATCTATGGCTCGTAATCAACGCATATTGGAAGCGGACGAAGACGAGAGCGACGAGGATTCGGATTCGGATTCGGATGAAGAAGACGAAGTCGAACGCGCATTGGACGAAAGCCAAATGGATACCGACGAAATCTCCAATACTGGAAATGGTTCGCCGCGAAAACGAAAAATTACCAAAAATGAGGACGATGCTGACTGGGGGCTCGACATTGACGAGGGATTGACGAAACAGCTACTTTCCTTCGACATTTACCTCAAGGGAAACGTCTCCAAGGCAACATCATTCTTCAAGAGCGCTGGTGGCCAGACCCACCGTTTCCGTATGTTTCCCTACGTTGAAAAGAAACGGAGGGTAGATGAATATGGCGAAACTATTGATGTTGGCATGTGGCTGAGGAAAGGTAAAGTATTGGAAAATGAAGCAGAAGATGATGCGACTAGGGAGGCAAGGCGAAATCAGGCTGAAGGCGAAACTGAGGTAAAGTTTCTAGATGTAATAAACGATCATTCAACTGACGAGCCTAATGCAAGGCTCCTCGTGAACCTCCCTCAAAGTTCGTCACTTCAGAGGTTGAAATACAGCTTGCTTGTCGACTTCTCTTTGTTGACATGGAAGGTCTCAACGATGGTCGTGCGGTGAAGATGATTGTACCCCAAGTGAACCCCAGAAAGATGGTAAATCATTACGTCGATCTGACATTTCATATGCTAACGATACTCGTGGTAGATCATTGTTCATGCCCAGGCTGCCGCCGCCGATGCTCTCATTGACAGTTGTGCGAACATTCGATCTATGACGAGAGATATATATGCTCCTTCTGTGGGAGAAACGGTGCAGATAGGACAACACACGAACAGTTTCTCGATATCCTTGAGTGATGAGCTACTGAGCACTATCAAAATGTCAAGGGTCAGTTTATTTCTCAGACTTCGAGCCCATTTGAATCAACGTTTGGTAGTTTGAAGACAACGAAGTGGGTTATGTGACCGGACGCGTTACGAGCCATTTCAGCTCCACCATACCCATTTTGGAACCCTCGGGACCAACGATACCAACGCCAAATGCAAACGTATTACATGCCCCACGAATACTAGGCTCCCGGCCAATTCAGATTTTACCGCGGTCGACAATGATAGGGGAGCTCAAGTTGACTGCACTTAAAAGCCGATTGGCATCAGTCGGTGTTCAAGCCGAATTGGTTGGTGAGGGTGTGCTGATTTGCGGCGCTGGGGCGAGGCGGGATGAATCTTCTAATTCTATACAAGACACAGTTGCCGTACGCAAGACAGGTCGAGGAAGAGTGGAGCTGGAAGGTAACGTTTCCGACATCTACTATGTCGTACGCAAAGAGATCTATAATCTCCATGCCTTGGTAGCAACATGATGTATCGTTCCCCAAGCTGGAATGAACCTATCTATTCAATTGCAGCATCATATCAAGCGCGCACAGCGAGGTCTACAATCCAAGTATTAGTTGCACATGCTATTCCAAATCCGACTGCTATGTAGCTCTAATGATAAAGTTGGCCCTGTCGTATCATATATAAAGACTGTTCATATTCCCTTTCCAGCATCTTCTTTCAAACTCGCAATGCGGTTAAGTACCAAATAATCACCTTGCCTAATCCCAGGAGTAACATCTGAGGGTTCGTCTAGAGCACCCAAGCGAGAGTCTGAATCTACTGCAAGGTACGCGACACGCAGACCTTGGAATCGTACACACTCCTTTCCGACAAGCTGCTCTGGCGTGATTTCCGGAGTGTGTGCGTCATGGGAGCCCGCACCCGGGATTGCTTTGATTTTAGCTGATCTCGCCCGAGCCTCCTCGAGGGCGTCTGCGACACACCGCTTTGCAAGCGGCCAGAAACTGACTTCCACCATGGCACCCTTGATGACTTCCATGCTATTAGGGTTGATATCAGCCTTGAAATCAGGGGTAGCCGCTAGGGGGTTATCACTCTTGAATAAAGGGTGGAATATTCTTGTCTCGTCGATGCAAACAGGGCTTCCAGAAGATGCATGTTCTGCGACCCACTGGATATATGCCTTGGGTTTCGGAGGGGTACCAGAATCTTCGAGACGACAGAATACCTCTGTCACCTCACCAGAGGCTGAATCAGTCTTGTACGATGTACATGTAATCGGGTAGGGTGCTTGGAATAGACCGACACTCTTTCCAGGAGCAAGGCGGAAGTAATCTTTTGAGTCCTCCAGCCTGAAGTCGTCTGCGTCGATGTAAATCGTGCGGGTGAATGGGATTTGTGAAGATCCGAGCTGGGGATTCTTGGGATGGAATGGTTTGTCCACCATTACGAGGTAGTCGTCGGGTACGTTCTCAATTATGACTTTGAGAGGACGCATGACCATGAAGAGACGCGGTGCACTTCCTTCCAGGTATTGCCTCACAGTCTGTTCAAAGCGTGCAATTTGTATGTTTGAAGCAGCCGTTGAGACACCCAACGTGCTGACAAATGACAAAATCGCGCCCGGAGGTACGCCTCGCCTTCTGAGGGCAATGAGAGTGTAGAGACGAGGATCGTCCCATCCGCTAACGTAGCCTTCATCTACCAGCTGGAGAATCTTTCTTTTCGAATTGATCGTCCCTTGAAGACTAAGACGACCAAATTCGGATTGCCTTGGTTTGTACACGTCCAGGGCGTCACAGAGCCACTCATATGACTGGCGTGAAGCAATGAATTCCGTGGTACAGAGGGAATGACTGAAATCCGTAGGTCAATCAACAGCAAACGAGAAAGGGGCGCCACGATGCTCACGAAATGTTCTCGAAGCTGTCCACGAGGCAGTGTGTATAATCGTAGGTGGGGTATATCTTCCATTTATCCAAAGTGCGATGGTGGCTTGCATCCAAAACACGGTACGCCGTGAGGTCCCACATCTGAGGGTTGCCATCCGTCAGATCCATCTTCATCCGGAGATTGGCTTCCTTGGGTCGATAATAACCATCAGCCATCTTTTGAAACTCATCCAGTGATTCTTGAATTGGCCTTGATCTATGCACGCAGGCTTTAGGAGCTGATATTTTCTCGCCCCTGTCAGCTTTGATTTGCTCCTCTGTAAAGCAGTTCACATTCAACGGATAATCGTCCTGAGCGGAAAAATGATACACACGAGTACAATGGCAGACATAAGCTTTGTCGCGCTTTATGAGCTCGATAGCAAGATCATATAGCTGATCGAAGTAGTCACTAGAGTAAGTTATCTTCCAGGGTTCGAATCCCAGCCATCGGATAACCTCGATAATGCTCTGGAAATATCTGGCCTCTTCTTTTTCCGGGTTGGTATCATCGAAGCGCAAATAACACTTCCCTCCATGGTGTGCTGCATAACCGAAGTTCACGAAGATAGCCTTAGAATGACCAATGTGTAGATAACCGTTTGGTTCCGGTGGGAAACGTGTCCAGACTTGGCCATCAGTTGCGCGCAGGTGCTGCTCACGAAGTTCGGGCCTGATCTGAGGGTTCTCTCCTGGCTTGTGCAAAGCGCCCAAGAATCCCTCTTCAAAAACGGGTTTTCTATTGGATGAACTAGAGCCAGCAGCAGCCTCCGATGCAGTTGATGTTGGCTGCGCAGCCTTCTCTTTCTTGGGGTCCTGTACCTTGTAATCAGGAACAGTAAACGAGGGTGGTAAGGAATGTAGTATACCTTAGCTTTCGGCTTCGCAGCCTCCTTCGTACCAAATGTTTCAGTAAACGCCTTCTCGACGGCGTTCTTAACTTCCAGAGGATTCACCCAACGAAGAGCTGGGCTGGCCTTAACTCCACTAATGACGGAACCAAGGTTATGCCAGCCAGCAACGGAATTCTCGCGAATGTAACTCGTGACTGCGTCATGGAGCTCTTCAGAAGTAATGCTGAAGCCTGTAACATTTGATCGGCACCGCGATCTTATATCATGATGATCGTATCTCACCGACACCACACTCTGTATCAAACTCGAGCTCGTTAATAGGCGCTTTAAATTTCTCTAGGTACTTGACAGCAGCTGTACATAATAATCGGTCACTGGCAAACACAGACGTCGCATAACAGAACTCACCATTGACCTGATCAACGGATTTGAGCTTGCCCTGCAAGATTGCCCTGATGGCGAAGGCTTGTTCGTCAGGTTCTACAGATTCCGTCTTAGCTAGCTGACCAGCAAGTGCGGTTATGACGGTGGCCTGCTTTTCATCGAGGCGAGCTTCGGCAAGATCGTATGAAACAATCAGATTGCGAAGAACATTGGCGCTTTTGGCGTTCTTTGCCGCTTCTGCTGCTTTGGCCTGGGAGAGACCTATAGACTTGAAGAGGGGGATGGAAGTGTCTGATGCCGTAGGATCGGACTCGGACTTGGTAGGAGCCATTGGTGGGTGATGAGTACGTGAGTCCTAGGGTTCGGGGAATTAGGGTTCCTGCTCTAATTGACCGGTAAATTAGCATGAACAGATCAGTGACTCGAACTTTTCGTAAATAGTTAATTTGCAATAAGCTATACTTATAGGGCCAGCTAACTAGTGGCAACACAGGGCAACACCCGCTACCTGTTTCGGCGTTCGGGTTTTTCGTACAAACTACGTGTGCAAAGGCATTTTCTCAAGCACGAAAGACTTTTTCCTTCATCAAATCCAACGTTATGGGACCACGCAATAAGTGCATCAAGGGCTTACGCACGATGATTTTGCGCAATGAACTTAAAACACAAATTTGAAGATTGGCGACCTCTTGGCTCGTATCAGGAGAACCATGCAAAGGAACTATGGATCCTGATATCATTGTCCTCATTGACAACACTGTCAGAGCACAACTCATTGCTGAGATGACATCATGAGAACAAGCTGAGTGAGAATCCGTACAAAGTGTATTTACCCCTCGATACGTGGTCGATAATCCTATCCAACAACTGATCTTTCGTACCCACAAAACACAAACCGTGCCAAGACGTTATGGCTTCCAAAGGGGGCTTGTACATATGCTCTGTCTTAGACACACTCTCATATGCGCCTCGGCTGCGAAAAATATCGAGAATACTGATAGCTTTTTGCCTGGGATGTCACGGTGCTTCTTGATGACGAGTGCACTCTAAATTGCTACAACAGGCTACAACGCAATAAACAAAAGGTCAATTCGTCCAATATGAACTCGACTCAATCCGAAGATGTGCCAAAGCCTGCAGCGACCTCACGACACTTCATCCCAATCAAAACATCACAATCAAGACTGCGCGAAACCTCGAACTCAATGTCGGTCGTGACGCGTGAGTGCACGGCCATCATAGGAAGCCGTGAGAATCTCAGAGAACCGAGAATCGGGCGCTGAATGGCTGAGATCATGAGCAACTGAAGTGGCTACAAGACAACGATCGAAGATAACAGAAACAGGCAAACAGCCGATGAACGAAGTCATGATGGTAAGAGCGCAAGAGGGGTGTAAACAAGCGATGTGCAGGCGAGTCGGACCTAAAGGCAGTGTGGACCGATCGATTCAAGGCGATAAAGAAAGGGGCGACGAAATCGAGGGACTCATTCCCTAAAGGTAGCGGGAATTTGATTATCTATAGGCGCTAGCTCTATAGGTAACGTATCTGATTTAGTGGGCTATGAGCTCCCCGACCTCACCCACAAGCTGTCGTTGTGGTGAACCGTCTGGCTTTTTCCCAACTATACGAATCTCCATCTTCCTGGTCGCAATTTCGTTTACAAACTTGTCTACGTTACCATCTATGAATGCCTCTGACAATTCTACAATCCTGTCCATCACTATGCGAGCAGGTCCCCGAGATACAAGCGGAAGGAGAGAAAAATCCGAGAATGATTCATGCTGTGAGCGTACTACAACAAGCGCAAGTCAGATAAACACCTGCATGGTCGATGTAAATCGAATGCGAACAAACTCACAGATGGTCAGTATTCTCCGTTTCTCAGGCTCCCAAGCTTGCACCACGCCGATCAATCGTGCAAAATGATCCTTCCATAGGCTGAATTTTTCAGAGTTAATGACAAGTAACTGAGGCAAATCATCTCCTGGTCCTTGAGGTGGGCGTGGGCCAGGAGAAGGAATCGGTTCTAGCCAAGGATCCAAGATCAAGGCTTTATGAACAGGAATGGGTGCGGAGACGCCAGCAGGAGGATCTGTAGAAAGGATTGTGAACTGCACAACTGGTGTAAGTCGCTGCACATTTTGTAAATATGCCTTACTTGCAACAGTAGCACCACCGAATGAATGTCCAGCAAGGAGGACGTCTTTTTCGCATTCGACTGCCTTGGTATCGACGTCGCTTAACCACGAAGACCAGTCAATGAATCCCTCGTCTATGGGCCGTAAGCCATGGCTTGAACCTTTGTATCCATCTTGAATAAATTGTTTAAAACTATAGAATGCAAGGTATATCTCATATCGCCTAAAAGTCAGCTGTTGCTGTCGAAAATTAATCATCGTTTTTTCCTCATTCAAAGTCCAACTTTGGGGAAATCACTCAGTTCTAACTTTCTCAAGGAAATAATAAAAATAAATGCATACATCAGGTCCTCTTCTTTGACGTAGAGTCCGGGTCCGGTAGTCGATGAAATGAATGCGTGACCCGAGCCATCACGGTGCTGGATGGCTAGAACCACTCGTCCCGAGGATGCAAGACGAGTGCACACTTGACTGCAACACAGTAATTATCTTAATTTCGCAATGCAGAAGATAGAGAAATACCTGTAAGCTGTTCGACTACCGCCCAGACCGTGTGAGAATATTACAAGAGGCCAACTTGAAGGACAAGTTTCAGATCTGTCCTGAGTATGCTCTGGAGATGCAGTGGGGCGCTGCCTCAAAAGAGGGGCATTTGGATAGACTGGGATCTAATAGCGCGGCCTGGGTTAGCCATGGTATTTAGCTCTGTTACTAACATGCGCACTTTCAACAGGCGACCGTAGAGATATACGATAGGCCATAAAAACCAGGTGGAAATCCCTGTAAAGGCGTTCAATCACATTCTCCTATACAATGTAAGCCATAAGACCTGCCTGAATAATGTGCATACCCATGTAGAGATGCTTGCAGCGGACTAGAAACGTGAGCTTGACTCGCTGGCAGCGTAACTCCGATACTGACCGAAGAAGCCAGTCCAGGCCTTTCTTGATATTTCTGCCCTTTATGTCCGCAGGATAATAGGCAGTGAATATGACTTCATCGAGTTGTAAAGCAGGTTTCACAGAAGGTCCGCCGTCACTGTGACTGTTTCTGCGTATCTTCGCAGTGCCCAGCACTTTCGTGGATACGGGAAGTTTGAAGGTAGTCGCCCCTACCGAAAAACGTCCACAGGAGTCCGGCAGAAAAAGCATGAGTAATACACCCAGCGCTCAACGGTATATGTCACGGTAGTACTACTTCATCGCTAAGAGCTTCCACGATGCTTACGATGAAATTACGCTTCCCATTATGGTAACAAAGTTTTCAACCCCCTTCGTACAGCCTATGTAAGGATTTTGATTTCATCCATCGACTCATCCCAACCACTCAACCAGCTTGATGTCGACCCAGCCTCTACTTCAGCGCACAGCTTCAAAGCGCATCGCACTCCCAGTGCGCGTAGAACCAAAGGTCTCGTTCGCCAATGAGCGCACTTTCTTATCATGGCTCCACTTCACGGTTGTCCTTGGTGGCCTTGCGGTGGGGCTGCTGAACTTCGGTGACAAGGTGCGTTACCTAGTTGCTTTTGGTTATCGGGCTTGTTCTAACCGTTTGACCGACATAGGTTGGGAGGATTAGTGCAGCGATGTTCTCTGTCGTTGGTGAGTACACATTGTACTAAACATTTCGGTCGCACGGTTTTCATTGGCTGGTTGAAGCCATGGCAGTCATGATATATGCGCTGTATATATATCATTGGAGGGCTGCTTCTATCCGCAAGGGAGGGCGCGGACCTTACGACGACCGACTTGGACCCGTAAGTTCTCGGCAAACCTTTGTATCGTCTAGCTAAACGATTTAAAACCAGACCATTCTATGCTCCGCACTCCTCAGTCAGTCTAGTTTTAATTCCATCAGTTGTGATATAGCCTGATTCCCCCACAGTTGCTATCATCGTCAATTTTGTGTTGCGGTTCACACAGACGTGAAAATACGGTGCTTCCGATGGTGCTCGATCTATGGAATGAGATTCAGAGGTTTATATCAAATTTATTTTTGTCTCTACAAGCAAACACGAATTGGTTTTTTATCATGTATCGACGTAGCATGTGCACATCGTCAGCTACGCTTTTGTCTCTTACCAACTCGCGTGGATGCTGAAGTGCCGATGGACGACACGGACATCGATCGGCGTGACTGAGCCCAGGATTTAGATAGGCACCGATGATATTTGAGAAAAAGCAACGAACCTGCTTGCGCCCTCGACCGCTTCGTATGCTCAGTATACTTTGTGCTCTACCATCAATCTCACCCTCGGCATCGGCATCGGCGTCAGCATCAGCATCAATGTCCGCTCCCGCACCTGCGCCTCCGTCAACTTCCATCGGTGTTCCTTCCTTGCCAGTCTTCCTCTGCGCCTTCACTTGCCCTCCCGAGTCTTATTCGCAACACTCGAATATCTTGTTCTACACGATCTACGACCTTCTTCGTGTCAATCAAAGCAGTAGTCGCTTCGATGAGCGACTCTAGTCGTGCACAATTTTCACGGGTAGGCATGACCAAGCGTGTATGGTTGATGCCCAGCTCAGTAAGAGTCTGGGTGACCTTGGGTAATAGCGCTGCCTTCGGTGCGGGAAGCTTGAACGAGCGAAGGTGCACAGGGGTATGAGTGATTTTCGTTGTCGATGACGCGGGAGGTTCAACCCTGACAATGCAATGTTGCGCATCTAAAGCAGGACAATGAACTTCGCGCTTGGCATCTCGTAGTGAACGACGTACCATAAGCTACTGACTTCGCTGAATGAGGCCTCTTTGGCGGCGGAGGGCCTAGAGAAATAATATTTGATGGTGTGGAAGGTACATCAATTTCATTTGCATTCTTCTTTCTCTTTTTGAATCCTTCCGCAGATAGGGCAGAAAGCCCGTCTTCTTCAGCGACTATGTCAGGTAGTCCGGAGTCAATACCAAGCAACGTCCGGAGAAGTTCATCGCGCTCTTTCTTGAATTTGCGTTCGTTTTGTTCCAACCGTTTCAATTCGACGAACAGGGCTTCTTCCTCAGCAATTTCCTCGGGCGTACGGTCTTCGAGGCTGGCGATATAGTCTTTCCGCATTCTCTCGCGGTCTGAAACACAAGTACTATTAGATCCCTCACCACGGAATCATAGGAATCACGGACCTTTGTCAAACTGATAACTGTTGAGAAGCTGAGCTTTACTCGCCTCATCCCCTGCCCAAGGTCTATTCCGAATGAGTTTTCGGCAAACGCTGTAGTATCGGTCCTTGAGATCCTGCTGAAAGTCAGTGCCGTGCAACTGCAGAGGCTGTTATGCTTTACTTCAAGAGAGCGTGTGGGGCCGTCTGGTGGAGGCTCATAGCGGTCATGTACTACATACCACCGTGTATCGTACTCTCGCACGACGTTAAATAGATTATCAGTCTCCTCCTTCGTCCAATCTTTATCTGTAAAGAAGGTAAGTGGTGCAGGAATATCGAGAAATTAACTTGCCTTCGAGGAAACGAATGTATTCCTCTTGTGAGTAGGTATATGATTGAGATTGCACATTATACTTTGTAAAGGAGTATTCTGTGCGTGCAAATTTTAGTATTTATATAGTGTTGGTCAGATGGCCCACACCTGCATCTGGATCATCACCTGCCTTAACCCAATGTCCCAGCTGCAATGAATCGGTGCGTCCAGCATTCCTAAATGGTCTCCATTCCCTACATGCGCCATGTCAATGGGCACGCGTAGGGGGTGTAACAGGAGACTTACCACTTCACCTTTCCACCCGACCCGAAATTTGGCTTCTGCTTCAGACGTGGTTTAGCCAAATGAGCTACCAGAGAAGGTGCGGAGGGTCCAATAAGTGCATAGAGCTCTCGAGAAATGCCCTCAGGTTTCTTCGTGACCTGCCCTTGAGATTTTCGAGGAGCTGGTGTAGTGGAATGAACTGGTGTTGAAGAGCTTGGTAAAGATAAGGCGCTGCGTATGTCGGACGCTGAGACTGCCATGATTTCACAAGAGTTTGTAGACTTGACGGGTCTTACTGCAAGAATTGGTTTTCTATAAAAGGAAGGCAAGGCAATTTCTTATGGTAGAACGAGCGCTAACTTATGGAACTCAAAATTTTGACACAGTAGAGCAGGACCTGAGTTGTAGCTAGACAGACCAACTCTGTAGTAAGCTGCTACTGAACGAGCTGGGGAACCCCCAGTTGTTCTTGCTTTGTTCACCAGAAGGTAGGCACACGGGTAAGATACATGTGGTCTCAAAATTGTGTCACAAAACCTTCTGTTCCATGATTATGTTAATCAAGGTATACAACGAGTAAACCGACACAACCAAAAAATGAAGACATTTGATAAGACACGGAGGAAGGAAGGAGAGTTATATTTTACCTTGTAGAGATATACTAGGAAACACACAACCCACCGCAGAATTGATGCCCAATAGACGGCGATTACCTGCCAGCCATCATTCTCAGTCTGTCAGGATGCATACCGCCTGGTCCCGCATTGGGATCATTTTGATTTGGTGGGGGTGGGCTACCGCCCGGTGGCCCAAAGTTACCATGTGGCGGGAAGGGTGGCATACTGCCACCAGGCCCGCCACCATTAGGGCCATTTGGAGGGAATGGAGGACCTAATATTTTGTTTGCTTAATCCCAAACTTTCAATGATGCGAAGAGATGGACTTACCGCCTGGGAAACCGCCAGGAGGACCCATTGCTGCGGGAGGGGGCATACCATCACTAGGAGGGAAAGGTGGTATGGTACCAGGTGGTCCCATCATGCCCGGGGGCGGGAAGGGTCCTGGGGGGAAAGGCGGACGAGCTGAAAAGCAATTCAGTTTTGGGGTAAGAGGACAATTGGGTCGGATACCCACGCGGAAATGCTCCGGGAGGACCACCGAAGCCCATGGGAGGTCCTGGAAACGGTGGTGGGGGTGCGCCTAGGTGATGAGGGCCAAACCCAAACCCTCCAGGAGGAGGGCCGCCTCCGCTCTCGTACGCTGCAGTGATCTGATCGATGATACTCTGTGCTTTGTCATGGCCAAGCGCTGAAATCATGCCTCAATAACCTGTCAGTGTGAGAACGCGATGCTCACTCACATGCATAGTAGTCTCGGACGTTTGCTAGGTGATTTCTTCCGCTGTTATGAGCTTTGCGCACTACGTGATGCTTCAGAACCGAAATCTAGTTATTAGCAATAAAGTAACTCACCTGAAGCAGAGTCGTGAGTGAGAAAAACATCACAGTAGTCACAATAGTGTTTCTACACTGCGATTAGTAGTTATTGCACAAGATAGAATGATACAACGTACAGGCATGACTGGGTCACTACTAGTACTGTTGTTGGCGAAAGAAGGAGTTGGGTATGTACAAGCTGTCTGAGTTCGAAAGATAACTTACTGCTTACCTCATCTCACCTACACTTCAATGGATCCTTCATCGTCGGGCATCCAGGAGCCTTTCGACCTCATCAGATTATCCCTCAGCGAACGTGTTTTCGTGAAGTTACGGGGAGATCGCGAGTTGACTGGCGTACTTCATGTTCGTCGACTTGGTGTATTTCATCAGCTCGCACGTACTGAATTATTTTGGTTTACAGGCTTACGATGGTCATATGAACCTTATTCTGAGTGATGTTGAAGAGACCATCATGATCGTAGACCCCATCGAAGGAGGTATAGATGGACACGGAACCGTCAAAGTAAGTCTCAAGCTTGATGCTGAGCAACGAGGCATTAGTTACGACTTTGTAGGTGGCCAAGAGAAAAATGGAGATGTTGTTCGTTCGGGGAGATGGCGTTATCCTGGTATGCGAATTTTATAGACAACTCTTGACTAGTAACTGACTAGACGGTAGGTGTCACCACCATCGCGGACTTGAATATCTCAGGACGTTGTAGGCGTCGTAGATCAGTACTTTCTCTGCCAGTATATTTTTCGGCAGCAATCCCCTTGCATGTATCTCCAAAGCGTCTCACACACGTCCTTGTAATAATTGGATGGTAAGAAGTAAAAATGCATTTAATACGTAGTTCTGATCGAAGAGGACGTAATACATGAAACGATTCATTCCAAGATACAATACTCCTACACCTAGGTCGCAGCTATTACAAGTCCAGAAGGGTTGATTTCATTGACCTCAGTTGGCACTCCTTGAGAGGCAGTATTGGGAGAGTTAAGGTTCATGGTAACCGGAGGTGAAGGTCCAGGCTGGTCTGCTGCAAGATCCTGATCTGAATCTGGAGCTACTGCGCCAGAAGGCCAAGTATCAGGGTCTCTGAGCCAACCAGCATGGATGACTTTAATCTTAGACACGCAAGAAAGTAGAAGTAAGATGGTAACAGATAATTTTGAGATGAGGCGGAACTTACTACGAGAGTTAGGGGAAGGCTACGTTTCAAACGACCACCATTTACAAGACCCTTCCAGACCTTCTCAATTCCATCCTTCCAAGCTTGTTCATTATTGACGGCACCTGGCTCACTAAGAAGTTGCTCTAATCTCTGACGAGACGAGGATGGAGGAGAGCGGCGATGGACTTTTGTAGGAGTGAGCCAGAGAGCCCGACGGGCGGCATAATGAGCTGGACCAGAAGGGGGAAATTCAGGGTTGGATATTAGAGATGAGCTGGTTGATCTGTTTGGGGATGGCAGTGGAGTATCCTTTGGGCGACTACGGGCATCACGGGAATTGAATTTTCCTGCAATTTTGAAAAAACGGGAATTGGGGGGAACAGGGGGAGCTGGGCGTTGTATGTTAGTGGTATTAGAGACAAATTTGTCTAGCTTGTTGGGTATCATGAAAGAGCGACAAGTCCTTGGTCGGCTAGGCCAGGCTTGCTTAGGCACGCATTCAACACAAGGACTTTACGCGTATATACAAAGTACTAAAATTAGTCATAATACAAAATTGGAAATTAATTCCCATATAACTCGTCAGCAAAGGCTACCGGGCTCGGACTGCCTGAGACTTGCCTCCTCAGTTACGAGCCCAGGTATGCCATCCGCTAGGACTTCAAGGGTATTTTACCGCTTGAATTCGCCATCACAGTCTACTACTTCTCTTTCAGAGAATGAAGATGACGATATAAACAAATCTTTGTTTTTTGGTGGTCCAGTTTCCTCTGTTGTATCACCCGCTCAATGGGCTTCTCGCCTACATCACTCCGCAGATGGAGCAATCCATTCATCACACTCTCCCATGTCCCAAGTTCCCCCAGAGGTCCTCATTCATATCCTCAAACACTTACACACTCCCAGAGATCTCTATCATTCATTATTAGTTTCGCGCTCTTGGTGCGAATGTTCCGTCGAGCTTCTGTGGCACCGCCCTGCCTTCACAAGACTTTCCACCCTCGTGAAAATGATGAGGGTACTTAGCCGAGGCGACCAGACTTTTACTTATAGTCGATTCATTCGCCGTCTCAACTTCCTCTTCCTCGGTGCCGACCTTACCGACGCCTTGTTCTGCCGCTTAGCGCAGTGCGACCACCTGGAACGCTTGACACTCGTGAATTGTAACTCTATCTCCGAAGATGCCCTTCTTCGCGTACTACCTTGCCTCCCAAACCTGGTCGCTATTGATCTCTCAGGAGTCATTGAAACTTCTGATCAAATCATCATTGGCCTGGCATCAGCCGCCAGGCGCCTACAAGGCATCAATCTCGCAGGATGTAGACAGGTTACCGACGCTGGCGTGTATGCCCTAGCTTCTAGCTGTCCCCTTCTCCGTCGCGTCAAACTCAGTGGCGTTGATCAAGTCACGGACGGTCCTGTTTCAGCTCTTGCCAAGTCTTGCCCCCTCCTTTTGGAGATTGACTTGAATAATTGCAAACGCATTACAGACATCTCTATCCGCGACATATGGACCTACTCTACGCATATGCGTGAAATGAGGTTGTCCCAGTGCGTCGAGCTCACCGATGCCGCCTTCCCGGCGCCAGTCAAGCCTCAGGTGATTCCACGGAATAACCCTTTCCCAGCCGCCCCCCTGAGCCAGGATGATGGGCTTCCACCTTTGTTTATCCCAAGGCCCTTAGACCATCTTCGGATGCTCGATCTGACCGGCTGCGCCCTTATCACGGATGATGCTGTAGACGGGATAATTTCCCATGCCTCGAAAATTCGGAACCTCGTTCTCTCAAAATGCATCCAATTGACGGATAGGACTGTAGAGAATATTTGTGTTCTCGGCAAGCATCTGCACTATTTGCATCTCGGACATGCAGCCAACATCACGGACCGCTCGATTAAAACACTTGCACGGTGCTGCACCCGCTTACGTTACGTTGACTTTGCAAGTACGTCCTCTTCTCCTTCGCAGTCCAATATAATTTAATTACATACAACAGACTGTGTTCTTCTCACTGACATGTCCGTCTTCGAGCTCTCCAGCTTACCCAAGCTCAGAAGAATTGGTCTTGTGCGCGTCAGCAATCTGACAGACGAGGCAATATACGCTCTTGCTGAGCGATACAGCACTCTAGAACGCATTCATCTTTCCTACTGTGATCAAATATCGGTCATGGCTGTTCACTTCCTACTGCAAAAGCTCCACAAGCTCACTCATCTGAGCTTGACGGGTATCCCTTCTTTCAGAAAACCCGAATTGCAGCAGTTCTGTCGTCAACCTCCACAGGTCAGTGGCGCAGATGCTCATGCCTAATCAGTTGTTGATAGTCCTTTAGGAGTTCAATATGAGCCAAAGAATGGCCTTTTGTGTCTACTCGGGCAGCGGCGTTGCTAAACTGAGAAGCTTCTTGACGGACTTATTCAATACGATCACGGAAGATATGAACGCTGACGATGATGAAACGGAGTACGACGACGACTTTGACGAAGGATTTGTTGAAGGTGCTATGGATGCTGATATGGAGGGTGGAATGGATGGTGATGTTGACGAAGATTTCATGCACGATAGAAGATATAACTTCCACCATACGCCTCAGCCAGCTTCCTCCACCCTCCGCATGCACCATCACCCAGAAATCATCACTCCTGTCTTGCAGCACCCCGAGCTTACAATGCAGCGTGATATGACCTTGCGACCAGGACATGTCTCCATTGCGTCATCTCCAGCCGTGTTCTCTGCTAACAGTCAATCGGCGCCTGCACCATATGCTCTTAATCCGCAACCCGTAGCGGAAGCGTCCAATCCCGTTATGAGACGTCCTCGCTTTGGTTACCAGCCCGTCATTGAGATTTCCACTTCCCCCCCTCAGAGCGACGTTGCATCCAATCGCAGTACTGGCACACAATCGAATGGAGCGGGGTTTTTCCGCACATACCAAGAACCATCATCGTCTTCTGGTAGAAGTAATGGCGCTTTAACGCCCGATTACAACTTTGCAGAGATAGGTCATGGCCGGGGCGCAGAACATGATAATATCGACCACATCGGTCCACCACCTCATCAGTTGGCAAGACATAGTTTTACGTCAACCGCGTCATTTAATGCCGCTGCAGGGCCTTCGGCCCAGGGCATCACCCAAGTGATGCACTCTGCGAATTTTGATTTTCGCCACGGGCAGAACCCCGAACGTCATACTTTAATGATGGAACAAGCAAAGATGACTAACAACTACTATCCTACCCCTTCTACCGGATCTTCCGACCGTCTCGTGCCATGGCCACCCATGCGCACTGAGCCCTTGTACGATGTCCCGTCGCACAACAGCCAAGAGTTACAAGCATCTGTTCAGGCTGCTCTCAGCCCTCCGTCAGACCCCCGTGACACTGAAGGAAGAGGAAGAAGTGTCAGGAGAAGCTTTCGAAACACCTTCCACGCTGCTGAGCATTTTTTCTTCGGCCGCGGGTCGACTTCGAATGGGCAGGTCCCTGAGTCAAGTGTCCCAAACCCTTGGGCCCCAGGAAATGTAAATAGCACCGGCGATGCAGCTGGGAATGGCGGTCAGCCTCGCTAAATGAGTGCTGAGTAGCCCAACGTCCGTGTCCGCAGTAAGTAGACCCACAAGTTCATAGCAAGCATGGACATTACACATGTTCTTCCCCCCAAACACATTACGCAACCTTTTTTGTTGTAACTTCAAACTCGGAATATTTATAACCATTACGCCAGTTATTGTTGTTCTTTTGCCTGTATCGTTTACCACTAGTGCTGTCGTGTAGGTTTTATGGTACTTATAGTGTTTATGTAGAGGCAATCAGAGTTGTTCCTGGGTTAAGAGGTGTGGGTAGTTACTAGTTAGCTCTCACGATCTCAACCAAGTCACACTCAACTACTGGCACTCGCAAAAGCAGGGTTGTCGAAACCTGCCCTACCCTGCTACGCTGTCGGGAAGCTGAGGCAAGCACATTCTAAGTTCCAACATGAATATTCGTGCAGTTAGGGTAAGCTGGCAACCTCTTAAGACTCATAAGCTGCTCATTTTCACCAGGTCGAAGATCTTGCAGGTATGCAAGACTGCAACCTGCACAACCTGCCCGAGAACTATACGATGAAATACTGTTGGTTTCTTTCGCTTCATTTCTTCAGATCAGAGATTGACAAAATCGGCGACCAGATCTATATCACGCATTATCCTGGCCTTCGCTTTCATATGTGGCGGAGGACCACAACGGACGGATTGTTGGTTATATTCTGGCAAAAATGTGTGTCAAACGTTTTCGCAGCTGAACTGTATTCTAATTGAATCGCAGGGAAGAAGTTGATGAGCAAGAAGGACAATCTGCAATTAATCATGTTCCTCATGGGCATGTCACCTCGATATCTGTCATGAGATCATACCGCCGACTCGGTCTGGCTAAAAAATTGATGCTCCAATCACGTAAATTTACTCTTTGTCCGGGCTAGAACAGGCATTGACATGTTCTTTTATTTCAGAGGAGGCGATGAGCAGCATCTACCGCGCGGCATTCGTGTCTCTCCATGTCCGTAAGTCGAATCGTGCAGCACTAGGTCTGTATCGCGACACACTCGGGTTTACCGTCAAGAATATCGAGGAAAAGTACTGTAAGTCCCTGGACCGCTTTGTCCTCTAGTCATTTGACCGCGTGTTCTTTAGATGCCGACGGAGAAGACGCGTACGCGATGCAGCTCACGTTCGAGCACTAATGCGAAGGAAACTGTGGGGCAGACTGATAGTTTACAGCTATATATTTGACACTTAACGAATTACTGTCGCTCTTGTTGGCTACGGTTTTGCGTCGCTCTCCCCCTGATCAGGTAGCGTCTCTTCCATTGCAGCAGCTGCTTCAACATCCTTCTGAGCCTCAGTATCGTCACTCTCAATAATTCCTCTGGCTGACATGACAGCTTCCCGAATGATCTTTGCCGTATCGAGCCCTAACTGGTAGTAGCCGTCGTTAAATCTTGGATTGAACATATTGGTATGCGCTTGAACTTCATCTGCAGCCTGATGATTTCTTGCGGGAAGGAAATGCGCAGCTATAGGAGATGTTCGCTGAGGAAGGATGACGAACGTCCTCGGCGACGAGAATGAAGGTGGAGCTGGTGGAAGTAAGGTGTAAAATCTGGAATGAACTAAAAGTCAAGGCACCCAGTGATTCTCGCTCTGGTGGACGTACGAGTGGAATGTGACCCCAAGATGTACTTGTACATCAACCAAATCTCGCATACGTTTTCGCAACGCTTCCTCATCCCAGAGGTTGCGAACGTAATTCATGTGATCAGTAGCCCAGCTGTATCCAGAACCAATGTCGTCTCGGCGGTAATATGCTGTTCCAGCGGCTGCGCCAGCCACTAGCGCTCCACCAACAGCATACGCTGCAGGTGCCCACTTTGCCCAACCACTTTCCTCAGTTGGGGCCGCTGCTATTGCAAGAGGGGGTTGCCCAGAGACGGTCGATGATGCTCCTTTCTTGCCAAACAATGAGAACACATCTGAAACAACAGTGCGGGCTGCACCAGCGTATTCTACAGCCTTGGTTGCACTATTCTTGAATACAGTGGGGTGAAGACCAAGGTACTTCAAAAGTTTAGCGGCAGTAGGAAAACATCAGTTGACAGTTAACCAACTCACGGGAGTGTCGAATGCTATGCACGCGATTATGTTCGGCCACAGTGGAGCGTTTTTATCAGGTCTGGAATTCACAAACGCAAGTAGAGCGTCAGCAGCAAGTAACCCTCCCATGCTGAATGACTTTGATCGATCACGTTACAACCATCATGCTTGAATTCCTGCTCACCTATGGCCACATAGTACAACTCTGGTTTTCCCGGCTCCGCCCCCTTGACCATCCGCGACTTCTCTTTGTACGGTCAGAGTAGTTAGCCAGTCAGCAAAGTGTTCTACCGCGGCGTTCTGAAGGGGAGTCTTCATCTGCGTGCAAAGTTGAGGTGATCATCGCGCACCAATTGTCCTTTGGTCTGCACAGCTCATAGTCAGCAGCCTAAACGGCGACATGAAGAGAATGCCCTAACCTCGTATGCGGGGAACACTATACATTCCACTTTGAGGTTCTCTATGACTTCTGTCAGGACATGCTCTAGCCTTGAGGGGAAGTTCTTGAATGTCGTATCAGTTCCCTTGAATCTACGCATTGTTAATTGGGGGGCATTCCAACTTGCAATGTTTACACTAACCCATGAATGAAGACGATGAGAAGGAGGTCAGTAGGAAGCTGTTTGATTACCGCCAGACTATCTGCGCTCTTGTCTTCTGACGGCGAATCTCCCGAGCTCATGCTTGCGAATGATTGAGTATACCAAGTGTTGGCTTTTTAGTGGTTAATTATGAAATGGGCGGGTAGCGAGCGAACGGTGGTAGATGGAAATGTAAATCTCAGCCTATTGAACTCGTGTCGTAATGGAATAACCATGTACCTAGAAATGTAACTAATAATGGGTCAGTAAAGTAACTTGTCTAGTATGGATGATAACTCACATAGATCTCGGTCTATAGATATTCGCTCGTCGTCGTATGTCCTTTATCACATACTACGTTACCGTTACGCTAATACAAGTTTACCGGGCCCGTATGTACCTGTATAGACGACTGCACAGTCTCGGACTCATTTATGTACCCAAAAAGCTCAAGGAAAGTTAGTGAGAGGGCTCGAGATATTCTAGTCCGGACTTCAAAGTTGTGTTAATATTCACTGGATAAAGTCTGTATCTGAGTATTCGATGATCGAACTTGCGCACTGCGCTGCCGCAAAGTCGCCATTAATTCTAATATTGATTATGGCCGTGGACCCTACCTCTAATCAAGAAACTTCAGGCGCAGGTGCCTCATACAGCAAGCCCAGTGGCAGGAAAGAGATAGAAGAAACTAATCTGAGAGAAGGCTCGGGAGATTGAAGATGAGATGGAGACTTGGACAGAATGTACCACAGGGAGTAAAATGACAGGGTAAATAGTTCAAATCGAGGTGCAGGTGTGTTCTGTAACTCAAGGTCAAGGGCAAGTGAGTGGTGATGGACTTCGTCATGGGCCAAACAAAGAGTTTCGTATATGCAAGCCGAAGAACGAACCTCGAGTCAGATACCCAAACGGAGAGGGGTATTGTATGTGTAAACCGGTGACTCGAGGGCTGAGTCAACGAATGAAAGTTTGACTGGCGTCGTGAATTGATTGACGAATTCTGTGATACAATGTGGATCAGCAAAAGAGAGAGAAACCGACCTCATTTTGAGCGAACTACCGCATGACATCAAGCTTTATCAAAATGTTGTTATGAACCACAAATCGTACACGAGCAAGGCGCTCGTACAAACAAAATCACGGCTCACGCCCTCTGTGGAGTGCCAGTGACATGATTAATTCCCTGTAGCGAAAGCAGCATAAGTATGGTCGTCGCGAAAATGACTGCGGAGACCCTTACGATTATGTAAGGGTTGCCAGCAATGACCATTCCAATTTCGTGAATAGAATATTTATTTTTGATTATACTTACGACGACCCAGACAGACATAGAACGCAATGTAGATGAAAGTATTGGGCCATACTGAAATCTGTATGACGTCTAGATCAGGATCACAACACCGAGCCACTTATAATGTGTTACATACATAGTAAATGAAGGACACGCAAACGCTGATGAGCAGACCATTACTGATGGTAAGAGGAATCAGCTTATCCGGCACGGTATCAGGCCTCCGGAAACCAGTGCAAAGAACGCGCAGAGGTAGGCAGCGATAAGGATATCTCCGGCAGCTGCAACAGCATTTACAGACATTAACGCCCTTTGAGCGTCACGAGTTCGATGAAGACTGTCAACTTGATGCTAAAGGGGTAGATGTATTACCCGAGCTGCCTGATATTTTGGACGTGATTAACGCTCTTGCAACGTAAGCTTTGATATCACATATTAGTTGACTGATATTGATATCGAAGGGGGCACGTACTCACTGACAAATTCGGCAATATGACAAGGGACATAGTTACAACCATGCTCTCGTTGCTTACTGCGTGGAATCGGCGACCGTGCACTGGCGGAAACCACACATACATATATAGACATGCATGGGGAGCGATAGAAGCTGTATGGGCGATCAATATTCAATACGAATGGATCGATTTAGAAAGCCCTTTGAATGATCATGAGCGCTGTGAAGCCATTGAACAGAATTTCGACCTGTGATGCAAATGAACACTTAGACGGAAACCATGAGCCACCGTCATGCAACTCACAACTGGACTCCACGTGTCCGAGGTCACTAATGATGTCGAAATCGGTGATGGAGCATGCATAGGCTTTCATCTGGAGTTTAGGCCGCAAACATACAGCACACTCACCTGCGGGCGTAATCAAAACTTGATGCATAGAATCTGACATGCAGCGCCAACCTAAAGGAAACAGATGATATATCAGTCATCCCTACGTAAATATACTGAAAACTTGATGCGCCCACGAATCCGAAGAATATCAGGTAAAGTAGTAAGTAGTAAGTCCCAGTTCTGCACACATTGCAAGTGAGTTTGTGATTGTGAGCTTCTGGCGGGAGAAAAACAGCACGAGAGCATGCCTCCGTAGAGCCTGCAACCTGAGAGTTTCAATAGACAGACTATTCGACAAAGAACCCTTACATTGCGGGGACCACAACCCCAATCGAGAGCGCTCTAAATATGGACAATAAGTGATGTACTCGTAAGGGGTATACGTACGTGTTATCCAAAGCACCCATGGCAGAGACGCGTGTATAGTTTGGATGAAGATCCTGGGATGGGGGACGATTGGATGTTCCATCATAAATACAAGAACAATCTTCTTTCCATGACTAGAATGTGAAAGCATCTAAATGTGGAATATCAAGAACGTGTCACACTTAGAGTTCGAAACACCGAAGCAACAATTGATAGGGACCATAGCCGCATCTGATGCAGCTTATAGGGGTATCGCGTAAGATGTGACAGTGTTGCAAGACCTCCGAATGCGGAACATCAGACTCACAAAGGCATTGCACGCCAAGCAGCAATAATAAGGGCGTTGAGTTGTACCCCAAATTGTCTGGTGCATTTGTAGACTCGCGGATGTGAGATGAAATGAAGTGAGGTCATGTTGTCTTTGTCGATCTACGCTGTTATGCAAAACATGATGAACATCTCATGTCGAGTACCGTCGGATACTCCGTGATCGAACGGGATTGCTCAAGAATACTCATGTCGTATACCTAACACACGATCAGCGTCGAGACCAGAACGGGAACCAAGAGCGTTTATGACTCACCACTCGTGTTAACGTTCTAATCACACCACCTTGGGGTAGCCGTGGTCACAGTTGCCTGGAACAGCATGAATGATTTCTAGTATAGGAGCGCAGATACAGTACTGTATAGAATGAGATTGCAACGGCACAGCCCTTCATGGTGGACACAATTCTGAGCTACCGTTATCTGTGCTCAAGCGCTTAGATTGTAAAAATTGGTTATACAAAGATGATACACTTGCAACAAGTCCAAACTAAAACGAGCACTAGATGATCTAGGAGGATGTTAACAAAACCACACAATACACCTCAACTTTGTGAAAGCTCGTATGACTGGCTCTGGTATGGTGCTTGTGTCTGAAGCACTAGGGAATGGGATTGTGTAGAGTTCTGCGAAAGGCTCGAATTGGAAGTCATCTGAGAGTCTTGCGACAATTGGAAAGGTCCAAATGCTGATTTTGATGCAGTGTCTTTGGGCAATGGCGAAATATGGAGCGTGCCAGAACGGAAGTGTCTTGCTCTATCATTTCGGGTCACAACGGGAGAGCTGCGATGTTCTATGCGCTCAACGTCCTCCCTTTCGGCCGGCGGAGAGAGCTGCCTAGGCCGGTTAGCAGGAGTGTGTTCAGGTTCAGAGTCAGGCCACTGAAGATCAGCGTCAGCCACGTCCACAATCATGCCCGTAATGATGGTGGCTGGATCGTCGGAGGTGGACAATGTTGCACCTTCTGCTGCACCATTGTGAACCGTCTCTGGTGCTTGGATGCTCTGGATGCTAACATCCGCTACATCCTCCCGTAGGAGCTGTCGCTCTACTGCATCTTGCGATGAGCTTGACGAATCAGTGCGAGGACGATGCAGAGACATATTGAGGGCCTGAGCAATCTCGCTGAGTCTACTGTGTCGCCGATCAAAGGAGTCGATTTGAGCGGCAATATTAGGGCGGAATGAGAGCGTGCTGAGGTCTGGTGATTGCGGAATAGACGCAATAGATGAGGTGTCAGCCGGTGATGACAACTGAGCAAAAGATGGGAAATCGCGTCCTCTGATAGGAGCGGCCTGCAGAGCAGCAGGGGGTTTATGCAAATTGATTCTGTGCACTGCAGGCAGTGGCGGTGTTTTCTCCGGCGGGAGAAAGGAAGATGATTGATGGGAGGGAGGAGGCGTTGAAGAGGGTACGCTCAGAATTCGCGATGAGGCGAATGGCTGAGAACCCGACGAGCCTTGATCCGTAAAATTGGCACTTGACAAATGTGATCTACCTATGTACAGAAAGGCAAAATTTGTAAGTTGGTTGTTGGAAAACACGCAAAATACGTGTATCTCAGAACAGGTAAATGACATCAGGGAGACGCACTGTTGGAAAGGGGCACTGGCACCGAGCTGCCCGATGACTCGGTCATGCTTTGAGCCTCCGCTGCATCCTGCTTTCTCATGCGCACAATTTCCTTTTTGCTCATCGGTTGAAGTTGCCAGATATGATCATGCCTGACATGAGAAGCAAGCTCGTCAACGGTTGAAAAGGTGAGTCTACACCAGTCCCAACAACAGAAGAATGTTCGTGGTGGAGAAGGTTGTGGATGAAGTGAATCTGATTGAATCATTGCAAACCTAAGCTATGCGAATAGATTGTGCAATATTTATGTGTTCACCAATGTGCAGCAGGTTAAGACGTGAAGTTGTTTATCTCTGTTTAATTCAGAAGCCTCTACTCGCGCTGTCTTGACACTAAACGGACGTAAACGTCTGTGTAAGTAGCTTTCAAGTAGCTCAAGCTATCCCTGACGTCAACATGCAATCCGGTTTTCAAGATTCTGACATTTTATCTTATCTCGCCCTTCCTCAGGACTATAATCCTCTTCCAAGTGTCGATCCTATCGAGTTTTTGAAAAGACATTTACATGAGCTACCTCCCAACATCATACAGCGATTCTCACTCGTCACAACACCAAAACAACGAACAACGATTACTGAGATACGTAATCGAAGACTGAAATTTACTGAATCAAGACCGCGGTCTCTGAGCTTCGCAGTTGCCCGAAATACCTGGCCAACACTGTGGCAGGGCAGAGAACGACGAGGACAAGAAGAAGGGAAGGAGGAGCAGGAATGGGCAAAAATGAATTTCCTAGGTGGTTCAGAACAACAGGTGGGCAACCTGGCCAAGCTACTCGGCGACATGGAGGAGGAACGGGAAGCGGAGAGAGTACGATTTATCCAGAGAACGCAGGCGAACGATGATTTTGTCCCGGAAGAGGAAAGTGACAGTGAAGACGAAAATGATTCAGAATATCCTGAAATTCAAGAACCTGAATCTCCACAAGAGGCTCAGGCGTTATTTGAAAGAATCATAAGAGAACGATTCATATATGGCTTGCTTGAAGTGAGTCATGTAGTTTTGCATGAAAAGCCAACTCGAACAAATTTCTTGTCAGGGAGCAGATTATGATTCAGTTGACTGGGATGAGTGGCTTGATGTAGATGATGATAGAAATGCAGAAGAGCGGTGGTTTGACGATGATTGACGGACATCAGATATATTTAGTAGATTCTCGGTATTATCCCGCCGGGATGCTGCTCCAGTAGGACCAGAGCTCCGGATGCTGAATCTTTTTGCTTGCCCTCATCCATCTCGTCGGCCCACCCTAAAGCACCTAAAGCATGGCTGCCCAGATTCATCAAACCCCGAGTCTTTCATCCGATATTCAGCGAGCGCTGCAACAAGCCGTCGGCGAAGTCAATAATGCATTTACGCAATCCCAGGACAACCAGTCGAAAAAGAAACGCGTTCGTAACGATTCAACCGGTGGAGTCTCAGTAGACGGCTCGCAGAAGAGACAGAAGCGAAAGAAAATTTGTACTGACGATGTGAATGCATCAACTGTTCAAGTCAATGAGCAAAGTGTCGAGATGGAGAAAGATAAAAAGAATAAAAAGAAGAAGACCGACAAAGGGAAGGCCAAGGAGGTCGTACAGAACACTGTTGACACTCTTAGTCCTCAGTTGGTGGAAGATGCACCAGAGACCCATCCAACGAGCTCAGTCGATTTTCTGAATGCTGTTGTTGCTGCTGCATCTGCTACAGCAGACTCGCAGCACTTGGATGTTTCACCGTACCAGGCACATTCTTCTTACCAGGATCATCATATCATGCCAAATCTACAGCATAATCACTCCTCACCTCCTTACATGACGTATCCTCCCATAAATTTCCCCTTTCCCCCTCCAGCACATCCTTACGGTCAGTCTTCATCGCACTCTGCAAATCTTCTTCCCAACTTGGGGTTCCCCGACGTCCAGTTGGCGTCAAATGACGAGATTCTTCGTGCATTGCAAGAGCTGGATATGTCCAAACTTGCCGGGGTATTGAAGACATTGGGTGATGCCGCCGCCGCAGCCAATGTACCTCTTGGTGTTCCTCCAGGGTTTATTCCACATTTGCCTAGTCATTCTAACATGCATCCACAACCCCCACCTCAACCGATGGGACAACCACCTTCTACATCGGGAGCAATCCTGAATACTGCTCCCAAGTCGACCAAGACGACCCACAAACGTGTTTTGGACATGAGCCTTCCGGGGCCCGAACATGGCAATCCAGATCATGCTCACATGTTAGCTAACAAGTGGATGAACGCAACAAAGCTGGCCGAGATGGTTAAAACACAAGGCAATTGACTTCCAAAGGCCGTGAACCATCGCTAATTCTTTACAATAGGCCTCGTTTACAAGAAGGGCAAATTTTCTGCAATTGAAGAAGAACAACTCCGGGCCGCTATCGAAACTTTTAAAGCGGTGCGCTATTCATGATACTTGTCGACACGAATACTCAACATTGCAGATGACAGGGTCGAGGTCTTACAGACGATCAGCTCCAGGACATTATTTTCCAGAAGAATGAGAAAGGCAAAGACAATGCGTTTTGGTCGGAAATTAGTGGGTTTCCTTCTGTATGAAATGCCGGTCTAATGTTAAGATCTCGATTAGCTTCCGCTCTCGCTCTACGCCCTATTATTGCCGTTTACCACCACGTTCGTAGGGCATTCCATCCCAAGAAGCAGCAAGGCAAATGGATGCCCGAAGAAGATGCAGTGCTGAAACAGTATGTCATTTCCGCCCTCTTCGTTCATTAACATCTCATACGCTGTCTATCAGAGCCGTTGCAGACCTTGGTCAACAATGGGAAAAAGTCAGTGAGATTGTAGGTCGAATGTCCTCCGATTGTCGTGACCGTTATCGCAATCACATCGCCAATCGCGAAGTCCGGGTGACAGGGGCATGGACAAAGGAAGAAGAACAGGAGTTGACGGCAATTGTCACGGAGATGACGATCCAACAGGGCAAGGACTTTGATAACGATGTCTTCTGGGGCAAAGTGAGTGATAGAATGGGGAATAGGCGCGGCAGACAACAATGTCGAATCAAATGGTCAGCGCCTTTGATATGCGATATCTATAAATTCGACTTTTCTTGCAGGACAGATTCGCTGAGTAAAACTGTCAAAAATGAAGGGCAAAAACCACGATGGAGCGCTCAAGATGCCTATATATTGGTCCATAAGTACGGCGGTAGTCTGCTGTCGGTTTCTATATGCTTATTTGTTTTAACAGGGTTGACTCCATGAACGTTAGGGACGATACTGAGATCGACTGGAAGACACTGCCTGATTCAGATTGGAATTTATGGAGTGCTCATTCACTCCAACGACGCTGGTTGACGATGAAGAGAGGAATCAAGGGGTACGAAGACATGACCCACCAAGGTTCGTTCTTCAAGGACTACAAGTGATTGTTGCTTATCTTACCTGTAGAAATCATGGATATCCTACGAGTCAAGAAAGCTCACCTTCCTCCCGCTTCGGCAGCACGTAAACGAAAAGTCATCAGCGCAGCAAACATTGATGAGCCGGCGGAACCAGAGCCTGGAGACGCGGGGCCAAGTGGTACACAAGAAGGTGCATCTGATAGCCAAGATAGAGATGCTGATGGGTCAACCGATGATTCGGATGCTTGATTTTATTGCTATAGTTATAAACACCAACATACAGTTATTGTTACCATAATGCTTCTCAACAAGTTCTGACTTCGAGCCAACTCTTGACAAATTTGAGACTTTACATTGATATTTTGTCGGTCAAACAACTCCTAGAAGACCGGCACTTCCTCTCATCCCCCTTCCTCTCGCAGCAGCAAAGCTGATGCACACGCAACTGAGCAGAAAGCCGGCGAACCTTGCAAGCTCGCTCAATACAAGCACAGCAAAAATTGATGAACGTCTTTACCTGAAAAATGCGACACGAGATATGGACCTCTCCTCGTGGGGCGTGCGCGACGATGTGAATATGGAGCGCAATACAGCTGGTGTGACTGGGAAGCGACTAGATGGATTAGGTGGTGGCGGCTGTAGTGGTTGCTGGTTTGACAGCCTCGTCGCCGTAATGGTCGACGAGCTCCGCGAGCTGGTAGAGGTCATTGCTCAATCACGTAGTTTTCCAAGTCGGGTAACGCCGAAGTCTGCGTTCCAGATGGAAGTTTGTGTTGGCCGGGTATGGACAAGTAGACGCCCCCGGTGGCCCAAACAATCATCACACAGTTCACGACAAAAGACAACGACAGAGGTTTTCATGGCTATGCTGGCGCTCCACTAGCATCCTGATTGTTAGAACCCTCCTTCCGCGCGCGCGTGTACACCTCAAACTCTTCTATCGCTATCTCAAACGCATTATGAATAGCCCAGATGTTGAGGACATGAAGAGGATCGTCGATCGGCTCCCCCAAACAGATTCAGAACGCCGAATCGTTCGTCACTTGGTCATTCGCGACCCCAATTGCGGGGTAAGTGACGAATGGGTTGCCCCAGAGATGATTTTCTGTCGTCATTTGGAGTCGGTAGTGCTCTCTGGGGTGGCGGATACGTCTGACAAGACTATTGTCCATCTCGCACGTGAAAACTGCAATATACAAGGTCTTGACCTTACTGGGTGCAAGTACGTCACTGACGTGAGCATCATGGAATTGGTCGCGAAAACGCCTCCTTTGCAGTGGCTGCAGCTCAGCGGGGTAGTACTCACTGATGCTTCAGTCTCAGCAATCGCTAAGACCTTCCCGAAGCTTGTGGAATTGGAGCTGAACGACCAGCCGCTCATGACGGCTGTGTCTGTTCGCGACATTTGGTCATATTCTAGAAAACTTCGCACTTTGATGTTGGCCCGCTCTCCTCAGTTAACCGATAGTGCGCTGCCTTCGCCGATCAAAACCCTCATTCCTCAGCCTTCTGGGGAGAAGCCGTTACCAGCTCATCCTCATACCTGGCTTGATCAGCTTCCACCCCTAATCCTACGACATACCGCAATCGATCTTCGTGTGCTAGATCTGAGTCACTGCCCGAAGCTGACCGATGCGAGCGTCGAAGGCATCGTGGCACATGCTCCATTGCTCCGGTCACTTGCATTGGCCGGCTGTCCTAATCTTACTGACAAGGCTGTTGAAAGCATATCCAAACTTGGCCTTCACCTCGGCAACCTTACCCTTGCACATTGCCCGCAAATCACCGACAATGGAATTGTGTCCTTGGCGCGATCATGTACCGAGCTTCGATCTGTTGACTTGGCATGTAAGTGTTGATCTTGTTGAGCATCCAATCGTATTGCATGCTGACGCAAAGCTATAGTCTGCCGACAGTTAACTGATATGGCTGTATTTGAATTAGCTAGCCTAGAACGGATTCACCGCCTTGTTCTTGTCCGTGTACCAAAGCTGACCGACAACGCTGTCTATTTCCTTGCGGACCATACCCCTTCATTGGAGCGATTGCACCTTTCATATTGCGACCGCATCACACTCAAGTCGTTACATCACCTAGTCCGAACTTGCAATCACCTTGTGCACCTTACTGCGACTGGCGTACCTGGTGCAAGGCGGACCGGCGTCGGGCGGTTTTCTGACCCGCCTCCTGCGGTATGTCCCAAACCATTGGTACCTATGACGTAGATTCTTATCATCGTGCCAACCCCAGGATCTGGACCCCGATCAGAAGTCGGTTTTCCGTGCCTTTAGTGGTCCGAATATAGCGGCGCTGCGCAAGTTCCTCGACAAGGAGAAACTGAGACGCGAACAAGCGGAGGCTCAGAACATCCCATTTGTGCCCCGATCGGATGATAGCATGGATCTATATTAGGGGGGAACGTTGTGAGCTGGCGGTCGATCTTCAGGACTTCAAGCTTCAGGGTTGCGCTACCATACCTTATGTGTCCATTTTATTCATCGTGTCGACGACTTACTCACCTCGCATACTTCACGTGGTATCACACTTGACGTGCTGTTGTGCTTCTACTATGCCTTGACACTATTTCTATAATGATAACGCCAATCGCGTTGCAGTCAACGTGGTTCTTCTGTTCTTCTGAATCTCAGGGGGCCGGTACACCTGAATTCTTACTAGTAGCGCGCGGAGATAAGTCACTGCGGAAACGAGAATGGAGCTCCACTGTAATCCGAGGGTGTTTAGGTGTACAACCCGACGTGGTACAGACGTAAGACCTAAACTGAAGTCGACGTGGACGAAATTCACTGCGGAAATGAAATTGCAGCTCCACTAGTGGTGGCGCGAACAAATTACCACATGGCCAAGCGTTGTACATGTATGGTTATTAACCCGAGACCAACCCGAGAAGAATATTGCTGCAGATATGATGCTGGTAGACTCGGTAATCTAATTATAAGACGCAGTGCCTCAGTCACTCGTCATCTGGCTGCCATCAATCACTGGCCCGAATTTCATTGTTGCGGTCGCTAAACTTCACTAACCGGTGTTCTTCCAACCACCCACGTTTTGTCTTCTTCGACGTCGCAAATTCGTAATTGGTTGGGAAACACTGAAACACCGCACGCACCGTTCTCCCAGCCAAGTGAAAACCTACCGGCTACCCGCTCGTTGTTGCTAACAGGTGAGTGCCGCCGGGGACGGCCTCATGTCGCATCATCCGATCATGGGTGATTAATCTGAATCAATTCGAAACCTTCCCCTGAGATTCGTGCGCGCTCTTTGCATCCAAGGTGGGAGGATATGAACCAGATAGATTTCTAGTTCGGTTGCCAACCAACTTCTAGTTCTGTAGTTTGACATATATTATTATATTTATACATATCGCACAGCATCGCTCTAAAAGACTACTTGCGAATTCAGAAATCAATGCACGTGGACGTACGCGTCTGGTGGTCGCGGACCGCAAATAAAGTTTAATCTCCGCTTATGGATCTTGGAGAGCTCTCTGACGTATCGGTCTTTTTATACATATACACACCCATTAGTATTTGGCCTACATCATCTCCAACTAATAATTGCATCATCTCCACTACTTTCGTTCGCAACGCCCCATTAATCCTTTCATTCTTAATTCCGAACCCCTCGCAGTGCTCACTAACAGGGCAACGACCCCAACCAAAAGTGTCAGTTGTTGGGCAGGTATATGCTCGTCGGGGTCGTGTCGCCCTCTACAACCATTGCAATTAATTGCCAAATTCGCTTTCACTGTCACGTTAAATTGGCAGCGCAGTCGCTGCAGGTCGTCTCGAACGTACTCACTGAGTTGTGTCTGGCGGGCAGCCAAGAGGCTCCCTAAGGTCTGTCATCCGTGTTCAACACTCTAGGGCTTTCTCTTTGGCGTAATTTCTTACATATTCTTATGTACTATCGCAGACCCTTTTGACGAATGGAGAATGGCTCTCCCGTAGCGCATTTAGCTCCCTCATCTCGGACGCGCACGACATCTCGACGCCCGCGACCGCGTACCCCTTCATCACCCATCTCCTTGCTGGAACGCCGGACAGCGAACGCGACTGTTTTCACTTCTGAGCATCTCATGTCCTTTTCAGTCGATACATCTTCCATACACGAGATTTCCTCTGCAGTCGTGTCTCGTTCTACTCGGCAGTCACCACAGTTTTCCCAGCAGTTTGTGCCTCTCACACCCATCATCGCATCTCCGTTGAGCACCCCCGCGGCGAGCATGACAACCAACGTTACCTTTAGCCTGAACTCCGACACGGATGATGAAAGGGATGGAAAATTTGCACGCAGCGAGTCTGCTGCAGACGTAGAGTTGACTATTCCAACCCCAACTTGGATGGCCACACCTCCAACACCACCTCCAAAATATGCCCATATATCTTCAACCTCTGTGTCCTCGCGACCACACTCGTCTTTCGTGACTGCCTCCGCCTCTTTCCCGGACCCTACGTTTGCCAGCATATCTGAACAGTCCCCGGAGCTGACTGTGAAGCGTCGAGCGTCACTTCCTCCAACATCTGCTGTGAAACCCTTACCCGTCATTCCTCCCGCTGCACCGCCTTTGGCATTGACACCTCTACGTGACAATCCCGTCAAGCAAGGGACAATATCATCCGGAAGTCCGTTACGTGTGAGTATCGGTGAACACAGTGAGGAACGATCACGTCGAAACGGCAAATCAGCAGCACATCAGAAGAAACCATTGTTTCACATGCTGCAGGATGAATCAGATAAGGAGGATGACGGCAAGCTCAAGAAGTTGAATGGCCATCATAAGAATCCAGCTGAGGAGTCAAGCTCGGAAGCTGCCGATCATCCGCTTCAGGGAAAGGATGATGATCTTGTAGGAAGCAAGGATGACGTGAGAAAATGTCATGCACTCTTGGAGTTGCTCTCCACGGAAGTCGGATATCTTTTCGATCTTAAGGTTCTTGTTACAGTGAGTCGATCGATCCGGATTAGCCAATTCTCCAGATTTTGATCGTCGCACGTTTCATCAGGTGTACCTTAGGCTTCTGCCCGGTCTGACGACTCGTCCACCACATCCCCCCTCTTCTAGCCTTGGGATGTCCCATTTCTCCCGTTCCGCCTCTCCTGCCTTCAACCCACCTTCATCGAACCCCGCTACTCGCACACAATCTGTTTACCACCTGTCGGCCCCCGTGCCATTCTCTCCCTGCGAAAACCTCCTCCCTGTGGTCAGTGGTCCACCAGCGCTGGTTGCTGTAACGAAGGAAAAGTCTCCAATGCGGCGCGTATTCTCCCCCGCTGACCTTGGCTTGATAACTCGTAATATGGAGGACATTCTGAAGTTTCATGAACAATTAGTTTGTGAACTAAGGGCACTCGTTTCCCCTCTCGGCTTTCCGATGATTCTCGATGGGGCTAGTGGCGGCGTGACGATCATGCAGAAGGAATATACCCGCAATTTGGAGACATTACACTTAGCACTTGATGCAGTTGCCACAAAATTCATTGAACGGGTAGGTGCGATGCGATGCTTCGTGTCCCACAGTACTGAGTCTCCTTTAGGCACATGAATTTCATTTGTACCAATCGTTCTGTTCCGGACATCCTGAAGCGTTCGACCTTGTCCGAAAAGTCCAACAGGAGTTCCCAGCTGAATGGGAGACGTTCGAGCAATCATGTGCCACCATAGCTGCTGAAATGCGCATCAATGGCTCGCTTCACTCTATCACCGACAAAGAAGCTGAAGATGACGATGGCGCAGACGGTACTCTCAGTGAAAACGAGTTGATCGCAAGAAGGCGACGGCATTCGCTTTCATCATTGGACGCGCCTAGTTATCGGCAGAGTATTTCCCGCGTCAGCTCTAACGCCAACCTTAAGGCATCTATAGCCAGTACGTCTGAAAGTGGGCACTCAGATCGGGGGCAAACTGGCATGAAGTCGAAGCTCGCATTCATGGATTACCTCATCAAACCTGTTCAACGTATCTGTCGTTATCCCTTACTCCTCGATCAACTCCTCGATCATCCACGAAGTGCAAGCGGCAGCGGTGAGTCAAGCTCTGTGTCTAACGCGGAAAGCGGATCGCGCGATGTGGAGGTAAATTCGGTGCAAAGTGCGCTGAATGTCATGCGGGCCGTAGCCAGCTCCGTGGATGAAGCACGACGCCAGCAGGATTTAGCAATCAAGTCCTCCCTCATTACCTCACGGATATTGCAGGGACTAGCCCTAGTAACGGCATCTTACACTAGACCTGCATCGCACAATCTTTCTTTCGGTTTCCTGTCGTCCCTAGGCCCTTGCCATCTCGCGGGATCATTGGATGTGATCCACTACCCCAGTCTCAATGCCAGTAGCAACGGCACAGTCAAAGCCAAGTATCTCGGGGCTTTCTTGTACCCTGGGGGTTACATCATTCTTGCCAAAGTTCATAAAGTGAGGACGTACGAGCCGAAACACTGGTTTTCCTTGGCAGGGTTTGACCTAGTCGACTCGACGAACGACGAAGGTATGTAGGTTTCAGCTTGTGAATACACAACGTTTAATACCACCTTCGCTAGCCCTATTGCCGAGTTGGTTTCGCCTTTCTGGGCGAGGTCACATTTTCGAATTCGCAGCGTCTTGTCGCCGTGAGAAGGATGTCTGGAAGGCTGCTATTCATCATGCCCTCGAACTTCCTGCTGCATGGACGAGTGAACCGATATGCAGTTTTAGAGGTGACTCTAAAGGGGATTTCGTGTTGTCGCTGCTAGAAGATACGCCATACGAAGTGATCAGCCCTTTGCCCACTATCCAGTCTATTCCCGAGCTGGATAATGAAGCAGCATCTAGCAGAGACGAGAACCACTCACTCTCTGCCCACTCCGATCCACCGAGGTCGGGTCGGGCGTCCTACAAAACCGACCCATCTCAGAAATCTGATTCTGGTCATCAGCTCGGTCCTAGCCGTCGCTCATCCACCACATCCAATAGGACTTATCTTACCATGCTGTCAGAGTCGGATACAATTCATCTTGTACGCGCCACTGCCCCCGCACGTGAACAGGTCGATCGTGGCCTCCTTGATGTGTTCTCGGAGAGCTGTCTCTCCGCTCGCTGCTATGCGCATACCCATGAAGAAGAACTTTTTGAAGCATCGAAGGTGTCGCGGTCGTTCTCAAGGTCAAGCTCAGGATTGACCATGGCTGGTGCTATGAGTGTGGCTGCAAAGAATCGTCTGACCAAGCGGGAGAGTGTGCTTGTCCCCAGGCGAAAGAGTTACATAGATGTTGGCGACATCCCTGCTGTACCTACCATCCCACCAGTCAAGCTGGCCAAACGCCGCCAACCAACGAAACTCAAGCTCGTTGCCGTTTCAAGGACTGCGTCTCTGGACGACGAAGTGAAACTGGATGGTGCCCCAGAGTCGCCTTCCCCTATGTCACAGTGTTCTTCTGTGTCCATTTCTACTCCAGGGAGCCCTATCGTCCCTGGGTCACTATCTGCACCCACCTCGGTGCTGTCAGGTGTGGCTCCTCGACCAGATCTTACAGCCCGGAAGGAAGCCTTCACGCCCAAACGAAGCCGCTCTATGGTCGAGAATGTCCGAGTCCTCTTCTCGCGCTCTACATCGCCAATGCTTCCCCTGTCATATCAACCATCCGATTCGAGTAGTGCATCAACTACACCAAGCCTACTCAAGTGGTGGTCGAAAGGGACGCTTCGAAGAAGGGTACAAAGTGCGCCCGATGTCCCACTCGAGGAACTTCCCTCAGATGCATCGACCAAGTCTCTCAGTAATCCACTTCCAAACTTTCACCCTTCTTTGGCGTCCGCGGATCGTCCGATGTCACAACCTGATTTGATGTGCTTAAGTCAGTTTCCACATTCTGCCCCTGATTCGTCTGCTGGGGATTTCGGGGTTGTAGTGTCAACTCCAGTGCGATTGAGGACGCTGTTTGGGTCGCCCAGTCTCCGCCGCCGCTCGACCACTGCAGCCTCACTTTCATCATCCCCACTGGCAGGTAGCCAGGAGGGAGGATTTACTCCACGCACTGTGCGCATGCGTCGCAATCTTTCGTTTTTATCACGACTCACCCCCATGGCACCGGATACTGTTATGCAGAATTCATGATCATAAAACCACACCCTCGGGCTACATACCATAATTGACTGACTTCATTATTGTACTACTATTCATCGTCGCATATCTTATTTTTTACCAGCATCAGTTCATACAATCCCCTTTATTTCATTCTTTTCATTGTCCCATGTCATTATGGTCGCCATATATCACGACATACTGCACACGTAGGAATACAGGTGTTTTTTTAACCCTTAAGAGCCAGTTTTAAAACTTGACGCGTGCACGTGATCAAACCTAGTCAGTCACGTGTGGACGCGCCGCATTGTTCGCTTAGTGCTATGTTCGTTTACTTGAGCCTTGTGTCTTTTAATCATCTCTTCATGAATATCTTTAATCTATGGATTTAAACAGCTCTCCTCGTAAGCAGATTCCATTAGCACGTGGGGATGAGACACCTCGTAAACCTTCTGCTCCATCTCTGACCAGACGGGTCTTCTATTGCGGGGTCGTGGTTGAGGGTTGTGATAGTGGCAGAAGGTTGCCCGAAGGTGAGTGGTACTGACGAATACTGAAGAGTACAATCTGATTGGTGTAGATGTCCAAGATCTGGTTCTATCTTTAGGAGACCCTTGGTTGAGTCAGAATGATAGCCACATTCTGCCTTCCGCAACAGACACATCGTTCTCAGAACACCACCAGCCCGTGAGTGGTACATGCTAACCTTTGTCTACAAAGGCGAGACGCTTCGCTTGCTCATACTCAGATGTGGTCTCCTTCATGTCTTAGGACGGTTTGCAGCGTAAACGCGCGCTCACAGATTCGACGGCTCTAACTGACGTGGTTAACGAACTCGTCAATACTGAACGATCGTACGTCAAGAGACTTCAAATACTGAAGAACGACTATGCAGACCCGCTTCGACAATTCTCCCGCAACAAGAACACCGCAATCTTGCCTGCATATGAGGCTAAAACATTATTTGGCAATATCGACAATTTACTCCCAGTTAATGAGGCGTTCCTACTGGATCTCGAGAAGATGGTCGCACCTGATGGTCCTGAAACAGTTGGAGGTGTCGGGGATGTTGCCCTACGACATTTCAAAGATCTACGGGGGTTTGAGCACTATAAACAGTACTACGTCAAGCGAGAGGAGGCCCAGTCAATATTTGAACGCGAGATGATGAAGAAATCGTCCGGTTTCGCCGCATACATTGACGTAAGTGTTGATGCGACCCTTTTGGGGGTGCTAACTAGACTATTTGCTTCTAGCGGATCAAGTATTCGAACGCCGATGCCAGGAATCGTGTTGGTCTGCGGGAGTTACTCATGGACCCTGTTCAGCGGATTCCGCGATATACGTTACTCTTTCGCACTATGATGAAGTATATGGCGTCCGGAGATCCACAGCGCGCCAAATTGATAGAAGCCGATGATATCGCTAGCAAGATCGCTCTTGCAGAAACAGACGAACAAACCAAGCGAGCAGCAATTATGCATTGCCTCAACGCAACAGTGGATGGTTTTCCCCCTGGCTTGATTTCAATTTCACGACGATTCATTGATTGCATTGATGTCGATGATATTGTGCAAGATGGCACAGCATCTGCATCTACCTCCGTCTCTAGCCTCGCTCTCAATGTGCTGCATTGTACGCTATTTCTTTTCGACGACAAGTTGATGATCGTCAAGCGACCTGGTAATGGCGAGAAAAGTGGTCGTTCGTTAGCTGGATTGGACGACCTTGACAGACTGGCGAAGACTGGCGGTTTACCACTGCGCATGAAGAAAAGTGGCTTGAGCTGCAAAGGTGTCATTGATTTACCCGACATCGTTGCTGCTGACGTTGGTGGTGCTGGTGAGTTATCATATGATTGCTACCTTCAGTTTTTGTCATTCTTTCAGACTTTCACGTGTATATCGAGAATCCACCTCAAGACCAAAGTGATCGTTGGTCCGGTCGCTCGTTTCGTTGTCTTTCTGTTGTCTTCCCTCCTGCACCAGCAAACCTCGACCCTACTCGGACTACCAACGAGAAGGACCGGTTTCTTGAGAATTTATGGAATGCTCAAGCAAAATATAGGACCAAGTCAGGACAATCAGTTGTCCTGTGCGCTGATGAGCGTGAAGTAGAGTCGAGAGGAGGAAAAGTTACTATGGCTCGCACCTACTTCAATGTATACCAACGAACAGCCTTTTTGCAAGAGCCCAAAAAGGTGTGTTTCATTTTTGTGCGCTGACCATTATATTTACATTGCGGACGCGTGCAGACTAAGATTGTCATGCATATAGACACATTGGGGACCGCGGACCCCATTCCATTCGGAATAAGCGGACCTCCATATGTGGTGGTCAGAATACAACCTATGGCGGGGGAGATTTCGCGATATACCGTTACCTCAAGCGATCCGTCTGATGAATCGGAGGAAGACATTGTTCAAACTGCAAGGATACCAGGTCGCATCGTCCAAACAAGTCCGTACCTAATTCTTGCTTTCCTTTTGTGATGATTGAGAATTGTATAGTCCATCAATACGGCCTGTTCAAGTTCAAAACTAGCAATGACTCCCGTCCTGCTACCCCAACCGCGAGCTCAAGGTCTCGGGCACATATATTTAGCCTGGACGTGATCTCGAGAAATCTATTCAACGCCATACCAGGTTCTTCCAAGGGTGATTTCTTCAGTGGTTCCATAAATAGTCATCGCCGGTCGAAGTCATCTACTAGTCGCTCATCTATCTACACCCAAACAACAACAACTACAGGCGACGGAAGTTTGACCAAGTTCTCTCGTCGATCCAATTCGACGGCTACTGCTCCAACTTCTTTGGCAGACGACGACTCTCTCTATGCCACCAAATCTTCGAGTTCGCGCAAAAAATTGGTCAAAAGAAGTCGTTCACCGGGCACTTGTCGTTCCTCTCCATTGTCCCGGCAGGCCTCTCCGTCACGAGATAGTTCCAGGATATCATTCTATAGCGATGGAGAGAAAGAGTTACCAGTTCGACAGGACCCATCTGACCAAGATTTATCACTGCGTCTAGAACTCGCGCGACGCAACAGCCAGAATCAGCACGGAAAGCAGGCCGCGAAACCTTCGTTGGATAGGTCAGCAGAAGACACCATTTATGAAGGTAGGACAAAATGTGGTATTGGATTTTGCTGGCCTCATCGATACAATGTAGATGATCCACCTCGGTCTTTACGTCCCACCTCTCGAGCCTCTACAGCAGCAAGTCAGCGATCGACGACTCCTCGTCTCACGTCAACATCTCCAGGTAGAGGAACAGGGCGGCCTCGTTCTCGATTTGGTCCTCGTAGCATCTCCCCATTGCCACCGAGGAGTCCGACCAGTACTCCACCCGATCTTCCATCCATGGATGATGAGCTTGCGCTGGAAGCCCATATTGCATTGGAAGACCACATAGACTCTTTCCAAGACGATTCATCTTCCATTGAGGATGATGCTCCATCTCCATTACCACGCAGTAGACGTCAACCATTCGTTACGAGTGGTAATATGGATTCCACGCCGAGACAGTCCAGCTCAACAACAGGCAGCGTGGAGCCACTCTCAATCAAAAAGAAGCCATCTACCAGATCTAGTACATATACTCCAAGCCGTAAATCATACACGAGAATTTCCCCGCTGTCCAAGAGCACGGCGAGGATCGTGTCTCCCCGCAAAGTTTCACCTCAAATTCGAATCGCGCGTGTAGCCCACGTTCCTCATTCTCCCCAAGTTGACCATGCAGACGAACTGTTGCGAATCTCCCTATCTACCAAAGATGACGTACGTAAAACACATCTGTCAATTTGTCAATGATTTCATAGACAACATATAGGTTGAGTCATCACATCGTGTCATCAAACGGATGAAATTGGACCTACAGGAGATTCGAGCTAGTGATGACATGGCGAGTCTCGACGAATCACGGAAGTGCTCTTCTCCTGATAAGTCGCTTGCTCGCACCCCACAGCGACCAATTCCCCAGCCCATTGTACGTGAATCTATCGCTATTCACAAATTTCACGCTGCGACTGATATTTGTGGATTTAGACCAGGGAAGCACAGCAACGACTAGACGAGATGAGACAATTGATCAGTAAACGCCAGCAGGAGGGCACCCCTTTCAGTCGACCACGAAGTTTTGTGACAGAACTATCTACGCCTGCACCACCTGCAACGCTGGGTACATCGAACATCAGCCTGTTGAGCGAGTCCGTTGCTGATGCTGACAAGCTCCTGGCTTCTGCTTTGTCAAGCCATGAGACATTGCACCAGAACCTTACGCAAGTGGTGTCTGATTTCAAGGAGGTACGAAAGGACAACAACTCTCGAAGTCATGACTCACCTTTTCCGCATAGAAACTATCGGACTTGGAGAAAGCTCGAGTGGAACTTCAGAACACGAAACGTCAATGCGAACTTGTGAAGAGTCTTCTTGCAGATGCTACAGCAGAGAAGGAGATCATGTACGAGGTCTGTGTCCCGCATTATAATCGAATCCTAGGAGCTCATCAATATCCCAGGCGTTCAACGAAGAGCTAGATGCTATGTATAACGACGCACATCTCCCGGATGACGAAGCATGGACCAACATGACAACTGATCTTCGCGAGTCGAAGGAATCGCAGAATGCACTAAGAAAGGAGAACTCGCAAGTGTCATGCTTTCCGTTCCATTGATCCTCGACTGAATTTTGTTTCCTATAGACATTTGAAAAGGAGGCTAGCTGAGGTCGAATCTGAAAAAGAAGAGTGCGTATTCGTTTCACTTCGGAACATTCGACACAAACCAACTGCTTCAATTCCAGATGGGGTGCATTGCTGCGGGCACACGGACTTATCCCTTAGCTCAGGGACTATCTTATTTATCTTTTAGCATTCGCTTGTATATTGTTATCATCTCTGCACGCTCACATGTAATTCTGATCATCTCATATCTAGCAAACGTACAGTCTGAAAATGTGTGCCAATCCGATAAATTCGACTTAGCGTCACTCATATACCAGGATGTCGCAGTTGTCCATTAGAGTGACATTGTTAGCTCGAATTAACGCGTCCATGGTCTATCACTATATCACTTCCAAGCGGAATAAAGTTGATGAATCATGATTATAGGTCGGTGCATACCGTGAGAGCGTTGGAGCGGTGATTTCTGAGAATTCCTGACATAAGAACACGTGATGAATGGTTATTGAGCAGGGCATGGTATTATTGAAAAGATGGCTTGTGATGGTGCGCAATCATGAGACGCCTACAAAGGCCACCGCCCAATCCCATCGTGAGTGCTGCCAGTATGTCCATAGCTAAAGTCAATGATACGAAGGTTGGGTAGTGAGACGATCTAAGTATGTGAGAATACAATTTTCAAAATTGAATTCACATTAGCGACGCACCTGTATGTTGAGGGAGTAATTGCACTTTCGATCGAAATAACTTTCACCATACCAATGGGGCCGATCATACAGTGGGATAAGTGTGCCATCGACGAGGCACCAGCCATCACGCCATGCCTTGCAGGAGTGCTTTTCGACCCATGTTTTTGCCTCTTCTTTCTCTTCTAGAGTAGGAAAACGTACTGCCTTGTCCATAAATGAACGACGCAGGATTGCTGTCATTACTCGCTTTGTATTTAGCGAGACAGTTCCATGACCTCCAGCTGCCCACCGTGCGACCTGTGACTGGCTAGCTGCATTACCATTGTGTCCAAACCTATAGAGGGTGATTGCCAATTGCTCTTCGACTGGCTGCTGTGGGTTGTTTGAGTTATTGAAGAACACTGTATCGTCCTTTATCTTTTCAACAATTTTGTCGAATGTGTCTGGATTGACCCGCAGGATTTCCTGAAACTCATCAGGCCGTTCGACTTTAAGGACTTCGAGGATATGTGGTAGCTGAGAGGGGGCTTTCGGGATAGGCTTGTTGCGTGCAGCATCATAACGACGAGCATATATGGCCCTGGTATGTGCACCTGACATATTGTGATAGCCTTGAGTTAGCATGTTCAGCCTCGTCATCAGCATCATCACTCAAATCCCAATCAGACTCGGACTCGGAGTCATCACTGCTTGACATATTGGCAGCAGAGCTTTCAGTAGAGGTATCGTCGTCTGAACTCTTTGACAGTGTACTTTCCGAGTCTGAGCCTGACAAACTTCCCCCAGAGCTAACTGGGGTACTGTCCGACTCCATGTCAGATGGCTGCATCAGTAAACTACAACTTTCTCACAGAGGTCACACACATGGGGCCTCACAACAGTAAGTCACGAGGCTCCACAGTTCACACAGGCTCACAGTTCATAGCGACACAACAATTACAGTCGCTCATAGCTAAACAAGACTCACAGTTAAACAGGGCCAAGGTCATAATCTAGTACTATAAAGTTGTTTGACTTGAGGCTCAGCCGGACTCGAACAAAAGTGTGACAAGAATTGATTCGGAACATATGGCTCAAAGCTACATAGCATAACTATGGAAATACCAAATATATAGACAAGGACAACATAACACAAAATGATGATACAAGACCTCGAATAATCAATCAAGAATTATTCCAGAACGTCGCCCATGTAAACCTTCCAAGTGTGAAGCATTAGAATCAACAATATTGCAAGAGAAAGGACACACGTACCACGCAAACTTGATGGACCTTGTTCTTGTGATGGATGACTGGGAGGGATGTGGGACCAACCGTGGTCTCTAAAAACAACTCTCATACATCCCAGCCCAATATCTGTCTGATCTATCATCTTCTCGGCTGCTGCTGCACAGACTCTGAGCAGGCTCGCAAACACCTCATTTTCCCGTATCACGCAGTCTGCAAGCTCTTTCTGAGCGAGGAAGACATCGCGCTTGGCTCTTGCAAGATCCAGCACAAGGCTTGCCTCGGTGTTAGTTGGTTCATGGACTCCGGGCTATTCCAATATAAGGTGTGATGAAAAATGGCGGAAATGACGACTCGGATGGACTCACAATTGAATTTACAGCTTCAAGAATTTCGTATAGGTCACATATACCACGAGGTGCTCCCTCATTGTATTCGTTATTGGAGCGAGAGGAATCATCAGGGCAGGAAGCAAGTGCTGACAGTGATCGCAAAGTAGCGATATTAAACTTGAGTGATGAGGATGACATGTCAGTATCTGGAAAATGCCTGAATTCAAATCTGATTTTGTTTCGCTAAGTCCGCGACTCAGAGATATCAATATCAGCAGCCTGAGCGCCATGGCACTAGTTCCAAGTCATTGCCCATCGTGCGGAAAGCAATTCAAGGACCATACCTCCGTCGCTCGTCATATGAGCCAACCTCGTTCTGGGTGTAATAGCTGGCTAGACGACTTAATCCAACTCAACTCCATCTTGCCATCTAGTACGGAACATGATCCCATGGTGGTGGACGACATCAATGACCCTCAAGTAGATGCGAGTTCCTATGATTTTTGGAGTCAAGGAGAGGATTTGGACTCTGAAGGTGGAACTCGGGATGAGGACAGTGAGGTCAAAGCAACCGACTACTTTCCGGAGCCCCCGCTGGCTTTCGAAGAGGGTTACACATTTTTAAGCTTATTCGATGCTGACGAAAACAGTATATATCGCAAAACAAATCTCTACTATCCATTCAGTGGTAGGAGGGAATGGCGACTTGCCGCGTGGCTTCTGCGTTCGGGCTTAAGCATGGAGAAAATAAATTCCTTTCTAGCGCTAGAGATGGTCAGTGTTTGATTTAATATTGCAATGATCACTTCTCTGAGACAGTACTTAGATCGATGACCTACCTTTATCCTTCCATTCAGCAAAAGAGCTACGTGGTCGAGCTGAATCGCTGCCTAGCAGTCCGCGTTGGAAGTCCCAGGTCATTCAAATGTTGCATCCCACAAAGTCTCCGGCTGTTCTTTACTGGCGGGATCCTCTTGAATGTATCGCTACGATATTCAACCATCCTTTATTTCGCAATTGTCTCGACTACACATCTCGCAAGGAGTATAGCACAACGCAGAGGCACTCTCGGATATATACCGAATGGATGATGGGTGATCATGCCTGGGAGATGCAGGTATGTATTAGTCCCTCTTGAAGTCATCATCTCATTTGTTCTTGAAGTCAGCGCTTCCCCATGGTGCAACTCTCCTCGGAACTATTCTATCGTTGGACAAGACATGCATTACTGCATTGTCAGGCGATCGTGTCGCGCACCCTCTCCTCATCAGCCTCGCCAACATCTACATGACCACGCGGCTCAAATCATCCTCCAACGCTTTCCTTCTCACTGCCCTACTACCGGTCACAAAATTTGTTCACAAAAACAAACGAATGAGAGGCGTGTTGCAGGATCGGCTCGTTCACAATTGCTTGAACATCGTACTCGAACCGTTGAAGCTCGCTGCTCGAAATGGCGTGATGATGTCAGATCCTATGGGTCGCAGTCGTTACTGCTTTACTATGCTTGCTAGCTATATTGCTGACACCCCCGAGGCAATGATGCTGGCATGCGTTGGTGGAAAGACATCTCCAGTGACGATAGCAATGTACAAACAATTCGGGGATCCCTTCCAGCACGAACCCCGGACTCGAGCAAAAACTCTTGAGCAATTGAAAATCGTGCGCTCACGCGCTTGTCCAGATGATCTCGAAGCATTTTTCCGTGAGGCGCAGAAGTTTCGCCTAAATGGCATGGATGAACCATTTTGGTGGGACTGGTTACTAGCAGAACCGTCCCGGTTTTTTACACCCGAATCGCTTCACCACATTCACAAGGAGTTTTGGGACCATGATGCGCAATGGATTATCCTTGCAGTGGGAAAGTCTGAAATAGATTTTCGTTTTTCAATCATTCAGCCCACTACTGGTTATCGGCACTTTCATACAGGTATCTCAAAACTTAAGCAGGTTACAGGCCGTTGTCACCTGAGACGTCCAGCGGTCAATTATCGCGGTCAGCACGGATGCAGCACCTCCCGGTGTTGTTGTTGCTGTACACGCACTCATGCACTTTCGATATCTTGTGCAGTCGCCGTCTATTGATGATAGGGATCTTACTCGTATCACAGCCGCACTGGACGAGTTCCATGTGAACAAGCACGCGATCATTGCTGCTGGTGTCCGCCAGGGCAAAGGTGGTAAAGTTATCGACAACTGGCATATTCCAAAACTCGAACTTATGCAGAGTATTGTCCCTAGTATCCGCAACTCCGGCATCATTGCACAGTGGTCTGCAGATGTCACTGAACATGCGCACATCACCGAGGTCAAAGACCCTGCAAGGTCCAGCAACAACAACAATTATGACCCACAAATCTGTCGTTACCTTGATCGCGCTGATAAATGCAATCGATTTGACCTCGCCACAAGCCTGTTAGATCACTCGGAGGACACGGGAGTTGTTGGGGAGGAATTTGTCGAGGAGGATGACGAAATCGATTATTACATGGATGTCATTCCCACAGAGCTACCATCCCCAACTCGAAGACCTGGACAGCCTCGTCCTATCACGGATTACTTTTCAATCGCCAAAATACTCCAACAGAAGGAAGTTGGATCGGTACCTGTCCCACTTCGTTCTTTTGTCGTCGGACGCACTGCTCTTCATCTCGCTTACGATCCATCCATCAAGAACACCACTGTCGATGAAGTTGCGATCATGTTCGGCCTTCCTGACTTGCGACCTGCTATTGCTGATTTTCTTTACCGTGAAGCGACCTACGGTAGTCACATTCACTCGATAGGTGGTCCTAGAAGGGCTGCGCATGACGCCGAGCTCCCGTTTGACAAAGTTCAAGTGTGGTTTAAAGTTCGTTTGCAGGAGACTGAGTTTCACGATCCTCATATCATTCGACCCGCTCAAACACTTAATTGCGCACCGCCTAGTGACCCTTGGACATTAGGTCATTATGATACAGTTATCATTCAGACCAGCTCAGGGCACTCCTGGCCTGCCAGCGGCCTTTCAGGTACATTCTTTCTGTTTTTCATGGTAATCTTCACTAAGCCAAATAATGATCCCCTGCAGGGCACTCCATTGCGCAAATTAGGCTCGTCATTCGCCCTGTTGGCAAAAGCAAGACACGATGGGCATGGGACAATCAGTACTTAACTTACGTCCAACATTTTGATATTTCCAGTGAACGCAATCCGACCACTCAATTGCACACAGTGAAAAGAGCAAAACGCTCTAATGGTACACGGATGGGTGACATCATTCCAGTCTCTCAGTTTAAAGCGCCTGTCCATCTCATTCCTCGTTTTGGTACTACTGCAGACATGCGTCTCACGGCGTACAATAGCATGGAACACGCCACGGAGTTTTGGCTGAATTATTTTTGGGACAAACATACCTTTTTTGCACTATCCGAGTAGTACTTGCACCAAGTCTATACTTGATATGCACCATTTTCGTAGGCTAAAAGATATACTTATGTACTTCAGTATTCCGTTGTTGAATGTCATTGTTGCTCTTACCTGGCACTAGCTTGAAATCATGGCACCCGCAGAACACAGTAAAACTGTAGACTTTGGGATGAAGTTAGCATCGCTGATGTCGGCTCCTCGCATCAGTGATGTGCCTACGCTGGATAAACTCACCGATCTCGAGCTTAATCACTTAATCGTTGAAGAAGAAGAACCAGCCGATGCTGAGCAGCCTCTCAGCTATATGTTATCACGGATTTTTAGGACATTCACCCTTGAAGTCCCAGACGTCACAGAGCTCCAGGTTCCATTACATAAAATTCGTTATCGTGACTCCAGACTACACGATAAATTTGCTCACCTCGATGAACAGTCCATGGTTCCCTTGTATGACGACGTCAACTGTAGATGGAACTGGGCCCTTCCAAAGTGCACACCGTGAATCTGGCATTGATCAACTACCCGATCTTGAAGAGGATGGAGACGGAGAAGAGAATAGCGGGGGAAACTTGGAGTTTGGGAGTGGGGAGAGCCCATTAACTCAACACCCTCCGGGGGTCAGCACTACTGGCAATGACAGCCCCAAACCACACACATTGGAAGATATCTTCTCGGCATTCTTTAACATCACATGTGCTGCTGTTGCCCAGAAGAAGCGAACAGAAGTTATGGAGGCAAACAGCGGAGCAGTCGTTCGCACTTGGAGTGCACGCAACTCTGTGCGCCCTGTGAAGGATCAAGAAGTCATGCGGAAGCCTGACCTTGCGTTGTTGGACGACGTGGAGGCTCGCTGGGATACCATTAAAGCAGTTTGTGAGTTGACGTCGCAAGTTTACACACCCACAGGCACAATTGGAAAGACGATCGACAACAAGGCTTACCTTCTACTGAGACGCCAACCTTGGAGGCATTTTGTCTTACTTTGCTCCCTTACCAATGGATATCGCGAACTGCGAGTCCACATGTACGACCATGCAGGTGGTGTCATGACGCCTCCTATCCATATCGACAATGCTCCAAATCATTACCTGCAAATCTTATCCAGCGTCGTCTTCGGTAGTCTTGAGTGTATTGGGTATGATCCTTCCATCAGTATATTTACGAAGACGCTTCGCCCCGCTCAACTCGAAGATCCAACTTCTCGCCCTTCTACGAACAGACCACCCGCACAAGGTCCCCAGGCAGGAAGTCTGATCGCAGGCACTGCAACACCCGAGTCTGCCTTGGGGACAGACTCAAACACGGAGATGTCGGATGAGGAAAGCCTCCCCATAGACCCCCCTCAGTTAGAAATACCCCAAGATCCCCTTCATGCCACTTTTTCAACCCCGATCGGCAGGATCATAGTCAATGACCATGCATATGATATTCTCGAACTCATATTCTCGAGTCAGGGGCTCGTTGGGCGCGGTACCGTGTGCTATTTAGCCAGGAGGAATGGTAAAGAATACATCATCAAGGATCATTGGGTCCTTGGGGGTAAAGATGTTGCGTTGAACGAGGTTAAAATGCTGGGGGAGATGCGAGGGGTCCGTGGCGTGCCAGAACTGGTCGAGTATTGGCTTGTCGAGATCGCGCCCAATGAGGTTGACGAAATGATGAACTATCGATACAAGGTTTTTGGAAGTATCAGAGGCACCTCTCGTACGCATGTTCGTTTGGTTTTGAAACCTCACGCACGACCTTTGCATGCATTCCGGACAAGAGTAGAGCTGGTGAGCGCTCTTCGGGACATCGTCAAAAGTATGTATTTGTTTATGTCTGATCCGCTCTGTGTTCTAATGACATGTTTCTCAGTTCAACAGACAGCGGTCGAGGAACGTGGAATTCTTCACCGTGATTGTAGTGTCAATAATGCTATGATCGAGGATGATGGCAATGGTACCAACGGACTCCTGATTGATTGGGAATTCGCGGTGCATATCCATGCTGGCCAAAAATACGTTATCGGTGGGATGGTCAGTACTAGTTATTCTCTACAAGAATTCATGCTCACAGTGAATGTTAGGGCACATTGCCTTTCATGTCACGTTCACTTCTGTGGCAGCTTTCAGAGGCTGTTGGCGACCCTGCAACATCTGCTCGCAGCTGGAAGGTGAAGGTTGCCATGTCTTCCCTTACAAAACCGCCCCCCCTCATCCTACATCACTACCATGACGATTTGGAGTCGCTTTTTTACGTCTTGGTGTGCATCTGCATTGAATTCAGGGGTCCTCTTGGAGTTAGATGTGATCTCTCAGCTGATAGGAGTCAAGAATGGCTACCGCATCTATGGTCCGCCAGCACGTTACAAGTTGGCGGCGATGTGAAGACTTCGTTTTTTTTTCACCCAAATGCGCACAAACTGCAGAAACAATTCCACCCCTACTTCAAGACACTACTCCCACTCGCAACGGAATGGTACCACCTGATCAGGAACAAAGGACAGTCAAATGCAGTAACTTTCCAGGAGGTCCTCAATCTGTTGGATACACATCTTGCCAAGCTTCCGAAGGATGAGCCTTCCCCCGAGCTTCTGTTCGCAAGGAAGGTTATTGCAGCGCTGCCGAAAAAGAGACAGGCCAGTGACTTTGAGGAGGGTGATCGGGTTGATCATCATCTCGACCAACCATCCCAACCATCAATTACTGAACGTCCTAACCAGATTCCTGGTCGGATGGGCTGGACAATGGAAGTTATGCCCCAGTCCAAACATAACAGAACTACATAATTTACTACAGTCGTCGTCACCTTCATCCATACTAGAGTAATACCCCCTCCCATGTATACCGTTTTGACATTGAAATATTCTCACGAGTCATAATATCTCACGCCCGGCCCTAACTTGATACACTCACTACACACGTTTACTCCCAGCCTATCGACTGACTGACTCCTCATATGAGACTCTTGGACTCGGCTAGCTTCTCATCAACCCCATTCGCGACCCCCGGGCTGCGCTGTATTACATTTGGTGTGCTTCAAGTTGTCCAATGACGTATTTACTTATAGTTATTTTCAAGCGCTTTTCAAGCTGCGATGGCGGATTATATTTAAAAGTGAGTATCAGTAAGTTATAGGTCCAGTGGCTCACTTCTCCCCCTTCGCTAGTCATGCCTGGAAGCCCTAAGAAAAAGAGAACGAAGCGCAAAGCTACGGACTCTGATCTCAAGGTGCTTGAAGGGCAAACAGCTCTAGCAAAGAGAGCGCGTGCTCGGGCTAATGCACCATCTGCATCAATTCTCGATCAAGGAGCTGATTCACAGCCTCCTCGACGATCAGGATGCCCAGGCGCAGGGACAGGAGGTAGGGGAGCTCAACTGGAGAAACTGGGCGATATCTTGCATGCTCCAGTGCGGATCAGCCAATCCAAGGGTGCCACCTCCCTTGATCCGAACACTCCTGCAAACCCTCTCGCTCCTGAACCGACTCGCAAGGGTCGCGGGAGTCGTTCCAAGGTATCTTTTCTCTTTGTTCGTGTTCAACAATACTAAAGAGACATAGAAGAAACAACCCCCTCCGCCATATAGCCCTTCGGTGGAACCAGACACCACGACTCTGAAATCACGCTCGAAGAAAAACAAGGTGAGTTTCTACTGTGTGAACGATCACGTATTAATTCATATATGCAGGATACTGTTGTTTCTGCTCCGAGCTTCGAACTCAACCATCAGCCAATTTTTTTGCAGTGGGAAGCTGGGGGACGATACAGATTTTTGCCACCGATTGTCCCTGCCGGTACAGAGCCAGATCTTCAAGCATTGAACAACTCCTTTGTGGCCACAGCCAAGAAGGCGCACGCCCTGCCCGATTCCCATTCTTCTTTAAGTCAAACTTGTGTTACTGCTCTTAACATATCCCAACCTCAGGTTCCTGTCACTACTCATAGCGTCCAAGATCCTATACTTTCCGGGACCAATTCATCTGCGATGCTACCGGATGTGAACTTTTACCGAAACTTAGATCCTGCCCTCCGGCTGCCTGTACCGCAAAGTATAGAATCTGAACAGTCTGACACATCAAAAGATGATTCATCTGGCTTGGATGAAAGTAGCGGGGACGAGCAAATTGGTTGGGGAGAAGTTCACAGGCGTCATAGTACACACCCTGGTAAGTCGCTGCCTATTTACGTTCAGGTTGAGCTGAACAGCGACAGGTTTTCTGAGAGAATGCTCACCACCTCAACCTCGGGTAGTCACCGCTCTCCCAACAGATTTCGAATTTCAGCACTCTCGTGATGAAGGTGATGAAGCAGCTGAAAACATTTTGGGAGTTGTTGATGATTTGAGTGAGGATTCGAGCGATGATGGTACAGCGATGAATCAAAAGAGTGCCCCCCAGGTATAAGTCTACTACTCTTTTGGAGTATGCTAATCTGTTGTTCAAGCCGAACGACATTTTGAAGCTTCATCACGAAAGAAACGGTCACCCCCGACTTCCTGATCCTGCTCTCCTGGAGCTTCTCCATGTTGCTGAGGTCGATACCTCCAACCCAAAGGCGAAACGGAAACGGAAGCGGACATCGAAACATAAATCGAAGGTGGTCGATGGATCCGACGATGAAGGGCCAAAGGCCACCCAGCTGGGTTGGTATGGTCCACGCTGGAAGAGTTTTCTCGAGGACGCGAAGGCGGAGTGTCATACTCAGCAGGCATTGGAGAACCCTTTCCCAAGCCTTGTTCATGATCTGCCAGTTTCAATCACAGAGTCTCTCTCAGCCTCTCTTGTGCAATGGCTAAAAAACGGCCAACAAGTTGACGCTGGTAAGCTACTATTTCTCTCCAGATATTCTACTGACTCAGGGTATCCACCAGGTGTGTGGCCCGCTCATAAGCCTGACATGGCGAGACTGGTGCGTATATCCATTTTGTAGTGCGCTTCATATCTTATTTGTTTTTTAGCTGTATGATGACTTGGCAACTTGGCGATCTGATCTCAAAAAAATCGTCATCTCCGTTACGCCTTCAGCATACAGTCTTTCCCCGCCAGTTGACATTCCCGCTCAAGAGCGTGCAGCTTGGGTTGAGGTCGCCGCCGCAGAATTACTGGCCGATGGTAGATTTCTCCGCCATGGAGTCGACGAATTGGGGAAAACCAAGAACTTTGCTCACCCTGCGCTTCTTCAGGCCATCATTCTTTTTTACTATACTGGGTCTTATCGCATTGCTCATAGGCGACCAGCCATTTTTCGGAAGGAGGTTCCATTAAAATGCCTAGCTCTCGTTTGCACCGCGGTACGTCCAGGATATTGACATTTCAACATTCTGACACATTACTTTCAGTTTCATTACGTCTTCCAGGGCCTCAAGAAAAACGGCAATGGCAAGTCTTATTCAAAATTTACCTCGAAGGAGTATGAGTAGTGCCTCCGAAGTCCGGTTCGGTCAGGTTCATGGCCCTATGTCTGCAAACCCTGAACTTGACCATTGGTCAGGTTCAGGCATGGTGGCCGAACCTTGGACCGGACGCCTTCGAACGCGTTCGGAAGGGTTCAGTTCAGGTTCAGAACACGTTCGAACTCTCGAACCGTTGTTTAAATTGCAAAAAAAATTAAAATTGACAAAAAATGAGAACAAAACCTGCTAGTACGAATAACTACTAAAACTCTTCCTCGACGACAACGCAGTTATCGTAAGGAGCAGCAAACTCAGCCTGGGATGTTGCAGAAATGTGGCCTTGACGGTATGCGCTCTTGAGCAACTGGAGAGCCTCGAATGTTGCTGGCTGCAAACAGCTGCGACGTGCGGTCCCAGTAATGCCGCCGCTTGAAAATGCACGCTCGGATGCAACTGCGGATCCCTGGATGGCAAGGTAATCCTTCGCGATGCGGGAGATGGTCGGGTACTGGATAGAATGGTGCTTGAAAAGTTTTTTGATGATATTAGTATGCAAACAACATAAATTAAACAATAAGACGTACCCCCCACCAGCCCACTACGTTGTCGACATCCTCAAGGGGTGCATCTAGGTAGTCCTCAAGTTCTTGACAAGGCCTTCGTGTAGTTGTGTCGTTCATGACACGCGATTTGACAGAGCTGCGCATCCAACTATGGCCATATGATCCTTGGCGAGTGAGCGAAGATGGGACGGTGACAGATGGCTCTGCAGGAGCCTGTGAGACAGTACTGCAATGATGATATATAATGCCAGAACAGCAGTGTGGTGAATCAAAAGTGCGGACAGTATGTCCTGAAATAAATGGCATTAGAAGTTAGCAACGACAAACAGTGAACGTGTTGTGAACGTACCGGCACCTTGATAAGTCGCATTGCTGAAGAGACCAAGAGAAGAACACGGATGAGGGCAATGTAGTTACTGCAAGTAGGCTAGAAGGGGGGGAAGACAGTAAAGCGACGGGCAAGCACAATGCTTAAACAGAAAACCTTACCAAAAACATGAGGCTTCGTTGCCGGTTTGAGAATCTAAGTTGGATAAAAATACATCAGGTTCAAACCGGTCCGGACGCGTCTGGACCGGTTCACGTGCTCCAGGAAAATACCGGACCTCGGACCTATTAGGGGGTTCGGTCCAGCAGAAATACCGGACCTGTGACTGAACCAATGGTCCAGTCCGCAAAGGTTCGAGTTCGAACCTAGGTTCGGGACCGGACTTCGGAGGCACTAAGTATGAGTCCATCTATCATTCGATGCTTGAGCTACTTGATGCTGTCATGAAAGACCCATATCACGGTCCGAAGCTGGTGCAGCAACTCCGTGAATGGGCCAAGATTGGATGGTAAGGAGGCTTTTACATAGTGTTCAATACTGATGAATTTATTCAGGGCAGAAACATCGAAACTCGACGGCATTGACACATCCAAACATTGCCACCTGCGCGTCCAACTCGATTGAGTTCTCCCGTCTCCTGGCAGTGTCAATCGTCACACATCATATTCTTGCGCATATACTTTTACCTTTTTGCTCGTTGTCTGCTAGTATCGTGTTTCGCGCTGATTGAATTTATCGTCGTTTGTTTGCTACTATTGTACCCGAGTCGAGTGAGCTTCTGAGTCATTTGTGAGTATCTGCGCGAGCATGGACAGATCTGTACAAGACAAGACAGAAAAATGAGCTACTGTACCCGAGCCGAGTGAACTTCTGAGTGGTTTGTGAATATCTGCATGAACATGGACAGATCTGTACAAACAGACAGAAAAATGATGATATTCAAGACCTATTTGGTCCTCACTAGGCAGGTTTGTGAGGGTCTGTGCAGAGGTTGACAGAAAAAGCTCTACTGTAGTGAACTAGCTAGAAGGGACCAAGCTGTGCACATGGCGCACTGTCCAGATCTGGACAGAGCCCAGTGATTTACTGATGTGTGAAGAGCTTTCTGAGCTTGAAGATGGAAGATGAGGAGACTCGCTAGCATATCCAGCAGCTTGTAAAGCACGCCGACTGCGGGCAGTGCGTCGGCGAGCACGTTTGAGTTTATTGATGCGATACTTGATGAAGTTCCTCAGCAGGTTCTGGGCGCGTTTTTGACGTGGAGTGAAGCGGGGCATGATGCAGTATGGTGTCTGCTCTGACAGTGAATTATTTATAATTATAATTGATCAGTGCATCGTATCAGAATCGTACATCAGAATCTCGAAGTGAAACGGGGGTAGTCAAAGCTGGCGCTGATTCACAGTTTTGAATCGGTGTTAGAATCGGCGAAAATCGTAAATTTGAATCGTGGCAAAATCGCCAACTCTGACTCTCCCTAATAATTGTTGCACTCCTTTGTCTCACTTGTTTTTCGGCATTAAATTCAGTACGACCGAAGTTCTAAGCTAAGTAGTTAAGACGAGATGAGACATCACTGATGCAGCTGGGCAGAGTCGGGGACTGGCGGTTAACCACCGTTACGATTAGATAGCTCGAATGTTATACGCGTCCATGGTCTATCACTATATCACTGTCAACCACATCCACAACCAACTATCTGATCTCACTACAACGCACCGTAAGCTTATAATTATTACTATTGGAACTCTTAACAAGTCCCTGTCGATTAGTGGTTAAATCGCCACGTTGTGGAACTCACAATACCGTGGCGCCGCAGGTTCAATTCCTGCCAGGGACATGTTTTTTCCAACGAAGAGAATGTCATTGAACTACTAGAAAATGATTTTTTTTCTCATCTGTTATAACATAACACCTATGACAGCACGACGAGGACTTTCATCGTTCAACTTGACGTTCCTCGGAACCGCTTCCGCGCAACCGTCCTTAACCCGAAATCATTCTGCACTTGCTCTCCGATTGAATAGCGATGTCTGGTTGTTCGACTGTGGTGAAGCTACGCAGCACCAAATCCAAAGATCTAAAGTGAAGATGGGTAAGATTGAAAAGATCTTTATTACTCATACCCATGGTATGTCGTTGTTAATTTCAACATTGCTTTCCCAGCCGACATTCACTGGCTGATAGGGGATCATATATTTGGTTTACTGCCCCTCTTGGCAAGTATGCTGAACGGTGCCGGAGGAACAGCGGATGGAGTAGAGGATCCTCGTCTGCACATGGTCCAGGACTTATTGGGTGTTTGTACATTTGCCGCACTATTATGTTGCCACTGATTGAGGCTTTCATCAGCCCATCGAAATTTACGGGCCCTTTGGAACCAGGGCATATGTCCGCAATGGCCTCAAGTATACACATACCCTCCTAGGCGCGCCTTACGTCGTTCACGAATTGCGGTTACCTTCTGACCCATTAGATGGAGACCACACCTCTCTAGCCCTTCATGCGTCCGAATCTCCAAACGGCCGTAACATTCTACAAACAAACGGTGTTTGGTCAGACGTGTATCACGACGCCATTGTTTCAGTTTCTGCGGCTCCCATTTTACACTCCGTGCCGTGCGTTGGTTATGTTGTAACAGAGGCACCTATACCCGGAAAAATGGAACCTGCGAAGTACATACCACATCTTAAGCGTACCAAGACGCCGATGTCCGTTATGAGCCGCCTTCAACAGGGAGAGAGCATTGAACTCTCAGATGGCACAGTGTTACAAGGCCCTCTCAAGAGGCCCGGACGTAAACTTGTCATTCTTGGAGACACATATGATCCATCACCAATAGCCGAATTGGCTTCATCTGCGGACTTGCTGATACACGAAGCAACAAATGCCCATTTGCCAGCCTTGGACTCACATACCAAAGCTGAAGACACATTTGAGAGCGTCGAGGCACGCACAAAATCCAGAGGGCACTCTACTCCTCAGATGGCTGGTGCTTTCGCGGCACGGATCAGAGCGAGACATTTAGTACTCAATCATTTCTCGGCCAGATACCCGGGGAACGACGATGTTGATCCAACGGCAAAGACAATTATGGAGGGCATTGCACGTTTAGCTGAAGAGCATCATAGCGGGAAAATTACATGTGCGAGGGATTTTATGAGTTTTGACGTGGATGTACCACAGGAACACGCATAAAATAAGTAGCAATGCACATTCAATCATCTGGTGGGTCAGATAATGCGCTGCTTGCATCGCTTGCTTCTCCTTCTTCCAATTCTTCTCGGGCTTTTTTCGCCTTCACCTTTGGATCTTCTGCAACCTCTCCCATCTCTATGTCGTCATCTTCTTCTGGAGGTCGTAGTGACGAGGGTGTATGCGAACTGGGTGCGAATTCATTGACAGTGGGATTGAGTTTCGATGAGAGCGATGTGCCAATGGGCTGGTCATCCTCCCCATCTTCCTTCTCTTCAGCCACCTCGCCCGTCTCCTTCTCATCTTCATCCAATCCTTCATCCACTATTTGTGAGCTGTCACGCATGTTAGGCAAATTGTCATCGGCTTCTGTGCCGTCTGGGGCTGGCGTAGCAGCAGGGGTCCCTAAACCTGATGTAGCAGATTCTTTGTCTTTGCCCATAAGGCGAAGAGAGCTCAAGTCCATGACAATACTGTCCAAAGCAGTTTTCTGGCCCCTTATGATTCGGTCCTGAGTCTCGTGTTCCGCGTTAATAGCAGCCATGTCATTTTCAAGCGACCGTATCGCCCTGAATATTATTGAGAAATATACCAGAACATTCTGAACATGACCCACTGCTCAAGCTCCTCGCGACTTGGGAGAGTGTTGATCTTCTCGGCAATTGTGTCGTATTCGACCTTTCGCTTGCGTTCCATGTGTGCATGCTCCAGTGCGACTTTCAGCTCCTCAATTTGACTACGCAGAGCATCATGTTCCTTCTCTGCGTATTCATTCCTCAGGCGTCCACTTCCATGCGAAGCTCAATGAACTCACCAATCTTCTCCCGCTCCCGCTGATATTCCTCCACTTGTCTCCGCTCGGCTTCGCATACCATCATGCTCTTTTTAAGAGCTAGTTCAAAGGACGATAGCTCGATTAAGAATGCCTCCCGTGCATCCTCGACTGTTCCAGAAGAACTAGGTGGCACAAGGAGATGGTGTACTAAGGAGGCGTAGTTGTGAAACTTCTTGACCACCCGCCGAAGTGGTCGTTCGTCGTTCGTAATACGCGTGTGTATGATAGCATCTGTTAAAAGCGCGTTGCTTGTCTATTAACATAGGGATCCAGCTTTTAGTATGATTGATTCATGCCTTCTTCTTCAGCAGTTAATGGTGGAATTGGTTGTGATAACTCTGGCACGGTTGATTCTGGGACTGCCATGAACGTTAGCCGTAATACTCTAACACGCGGGAGTCGGGGAGTGAGATCTGATATTTGAGACTTGGATGCGAATGGATTGAAATTCCGTCATGTTACATCAAGGGCTAAATTGTGACTATATTTGGGACAAGGACAACTATTCCTTGAACATTGTGCAATGCGGACGAAAATGTAACAATTGTATTGTATTCGAAAATACCAAAAAATGCAAGAGATCATGCAAACGGACAACATAAATAAGTTAACCCCATTCATCTGGCACAAACGGGGTGACTAGATCATAAATCTCTTCGTTACCTCCTCGTCCTCTTGGAGTTTTTCCGCGGTTGATAACGCGTTTAAACATCCCACCCAGACTTCGAGAGGTATCAGAAAAGTCTGTACTGATCGGCCTCCCGTTGTCTCTGGGATAGCAAGAGTCGATATTTAGAGCAAGCCTCCGAAGGCCACTGGAGCTATCGTGAGCGGCCTTCCTGGAGGCCTGGACAGCTGATTGTAAGTACATTGCGAGGTTGGGAAAGTTGATTGGAAGTGTAGGGTATGGAGTGGAAGTCGCGGGAACCACATAGTATTTTGCCATTGGCGAATCAGCCCCATCACGGAGGAGCTGCGGTAGTGGTGAAAGAGTATAAGAGTAAGGAAGTACGGTTACATCGCCATTGGTATACTTATGCGAGTTTGTGACTGATGGAGGTACTGGCATGTCAGTCGTCAAATAGATAACTGTTCGCCATTCCGAAGCAGAGTGATGGATCTGCAGTGCTGGTCAGCTTTGGTACTCCGCTAGACAGCCATCCTTACCTTGACAAACTGAATTACGGTTCTCAACTTCAGCTCATCATCTTTTGCAACAGTAAGAGCTTCTATGGTGGGCTCGACGCGAGTCCCACTCAATCGCGCCATTAGCTTCAACAGGTGACGCCAGGAGGGTGACTGAATGTGAAATATTGGTGCCTTCCCGTATGGTAATGTTATAATATTGGGCATGGCCTCTCCCATAGGTGACAATATTGTGGAGATTGATGGTGGTTTAAAGCCCATTGCTGCAAAGTATTCAATGAGACGAAGAAGAGCTCACGACGACAATACTCACAGACACCCATCAACATATCTGGTTCAACATACTGGTTGGCGGTCAGTATTGGCGGGGATCGAGCGACAAAATCAGTCCCCTCATCACCCTCTTCCTCTTGGGTGTCTTCGTCAACTGAATCCAATATATCTGGGTGAGATGGGAAGCTGAAGGAAAGAGGTGGACTCGTTGATGCAGTTTGGACCGACATTGCAGGGGTGAAGAGCGAGTGGATTTGTTCACTTGATGAAGATCGACCACTCAAAGAACTACTCTCGGAGTTTGCGACAGACGACTTGCGTGGAAGTGGCTGTCTGGGTGATGGTAAAAGAGGTTCCATGCTCAGATTCTGCTGTGGCGATGACATTGGATGTGAAGATACAGGATTTGGACCCGGCAAGGGACGAATGTAATCACTTGAGCTCGATCGACGGAACTCGACGGATGTAGAAGACATGGTGGATGTTCCAGCAGTACCACAGCCAGCGTTCATTGATAAATCGTTCGGTTTCAAAATGGTCGAGACAGTATTGTTATGTGATGGTTGTGTTGGAGTGAAGTTTTCTCGACTCGAGATAGTGGCATCAGTTGCGGATTGTATTGATTCTTGACTTTCCTTGCCCGACTCATAGACAGATTTTTCATCGAAGGAACTCTCGGATGTGGAGGGTGTAATCATGTGCAGAAAGCTTGTGCCTTCTGGGAATTGTTGATGATTCTGGGGGCTGAGGTGGACGTTTTCGAGAGAAACAGGTATGAAAGATGTCGAGGGTTCACCCGAAGAATCCTGATGTCCGTCGAAGATGTTATCAGACACAATCTTGCTGTAACTGTTGGCGAAGGTACGTGATTCTTCCAACGCCTTCATCAAATCTGCTTCTTCCTGAGCGAGAATGTCATCCTCCCGCTGACGCGCCTCTGACTCAGATAACGCTAGCGCTAGTGCGATATCTTTGTCATCAGTGAGAGATTCTTCACTGAACATCGGTCGGCTAGATGGCCCTGCAATAGGACCAGGAATGGACTGTGGATAGAGCGGGTTGCGCTGTGAGGAAGCAGTAGTTGTCATTGGTGGTTTCGGAGGAATAGGTGGTCGTGGAATGGTATGGATAAGAGGTGCCGTAATTCCGATTGGTTTCTGGGGTACGGGAGGCGATGTTGAGGAGGGATGCTGCCTAGGATAGAAGTAATCGCCATAAAATGACGTATGTGGTGGGGATGCAAGAAATGAGGTGGGAGAATTGTATAGAAGTGCAGTTTGTTGTTGCTGAAGACCAGTATCACTGGCGGAAGGCCGTCGACCAGGGGTCAAACTCGCAGGAATATTATGTCTCGTCTGGATACTGGAATTGGCCGCGAGAGATTGGGATTGAAACGGTGAACCTGGCAATGTTGTATAGCGGGTTCGAGGTGAAGGTGCTCGTCCGTTACTAGTAGATGTCAAACTGAGGGATGGGGAGTGATGAGGAATCCACGATGCTGCACCATCATCATCATGCTCGTTAACGCCGCCATATCAAATAAATTGGAACTTTGCTCACATTGTTGATTGTAATGCATCCCAAACCCCCTTCACTCATAAAGTTTTAGCTGTTTACAGGTTTCCGAGTCAGCGGCTAGTAGCTGCGCTGATCCGAGTATCAGCCAGCCAATTTTCCTGTGGTAGCCTAAAAGGGCCTTTGCAGAACAACTGCTGCGAAGGGTATCTGGAATCAACCTGGGAGGTTAGAGCGAGCAAAGAGACTGAATGCACACAGAAGGATGAGTCTGGTGTGAGAGAACACGCGGAAAAGTCATTGAGCGCGCTCGAACTCAGTTCACGCTTAGGACTCGCATCTTCGGACATATTGGGCGCGGTCTCCTATAAACGCTCAAGCTCAAGCCCTGGTCTAAGCTGTGCGTCACATCGAGTACCTGAATAATGTGCCTCTACTTCTGTCGGACAGTACTACTCTTGGCATAATTCCTGGATAAATGTCATTGGCAGCAAGATCAATCCAGAACAAAATCCAGATATACAAGCCAAGGCAGTACTTTAACAGTCTAGCGTACAAAATGCAAAGGGACAAATGAATGGTGTAAACATGTATGCTGGGTAAGTGCTTGTGTAGAGTCAAAGACAAAGAATATGCATAGGACGGAATAATTGCAGTAAAAAAGATAACGAAACGACACGGAGACCGATGCAACGTGAAACGCGAGAGCGTAAAAAGGTCATGATACATGAGATGCAGTGACTTTTGCGGAAAGGCCTTGTACAGCCGAAGTCTTGAATCCAAGTCTCCGCATGACGGCCAGAAGATCAGCCCTCTGCACGGGTTTAGTGAGTGAGGCAGTAAATAAGCTGCTGTCGTTCGTGTCTGCAGCGCTGTAGGCACTGACAGCAACCATAGGTGTGTTGGAATTCCTGCCATTAGTTGTCTTGATGTATCGAGCAGCACCCTCACCATCAACTACAAGTTGCGACAAACATCAGGAAACAGGCACACTAGACTGAGTGCATCACGTACCGACTGGCATGTGTAAATCCATGAGGATACAGTCAAATTCTATGAGAAATTAGACCATAAAACCACGACGCGAGTATCAAGCCTACTTACTGATATCACCCATGGCAACGCTCATGGCCTCTGACCCATCCGCAACCACGACTACGCGGCAACCAAGACGTATGAGAAGCGTCTCCAGTATTTTGGCGGTTATTGGGTTGTCCTCGGCGAGTAGACAAGTCACCGCACGGTCGGTGGGATCGGGCCCTTTCTTCAAGTCGATCGAGTGAACCGATGAAGGAGGCGTGTCGAACTGACTCGAACTTTGCCCCGCCGACGAGGGCCAGTGATCAGAGCCAGAACCTTCGCCAACACTACTGGAAACAGACGCCTTGCGCAAACGGCTTGGCATCGTGTTCCTCCGCTCCACGCCATCCAGATGGTTAAGTTTGAAACGCTCCAATGCTCCAAATTCAGACGGCTTGCGCGCGTGACTGCCGCTGCTACTCCCGGGTGTCGAAGGAGGCATACTTGCTCGTGAAGGAGATGAAGCTATGGATGAAGTGGACGTTGATGGTGAGGGAGGACCCTGAGAAAATGACTTCTGATCTAGAGCTGTCACTACACTGGGCGGCTTCTTGAACCTCTGCGAGGTGCTCTTCCTCCTGCTATGTGAGCCTACCGGGTCGGACAAGGTATGCGTCATCGGGGCAAGTTGGTCTGTCTTCAATTTGCGAATAACATCGTCATTCGCTTGTTTTAAGACCGGTAAGTTCTTGAAACTGAACGACCCAAAATCGTCACTAGCAGGCGACGGGGCTGCATCACGACTGCCCAGCAGTGGTATAGGCTGTGCTGGGGGAGGCAGTGTGAGCGACGGGCTATCCATAGGGTTTGAGATAGCGATATCCTCTTCGTGGAATAACTGAGGTATTGCCCCACGCGGATCGAAGTAATCGGTCGATTCAGGATCAGAAACTTGAGGAATGAATGCCGCCTCTGTAGACGTCACCTTGTCCCACTCTATGCCTTCAAAGAAAGGATGCCCCTTAATTTCATCTGCGCCACCAGCCCCGAGACGAGCGGATGGGTCTATACGCATCAGCCGTTGCATGAAGTCACGAGCTTCGTCGGAGAACTCCACCCAGTCCTCGTGCCATTCGATGTGTCCAGAAAGGATATTCTCAAAAACCTTCTCTGGCGTCTCCGCATGGAAGGGGGGAATGCCGTATAAAAATTCGTAAGTTATGACACCAAGAGCCCACTGTGCGGTAGACAGCTTAGCAACGTGGACGCACAAGGCAACGATAAGGCACTAACCCAGTCCACTGCAGCATCATCTCCACGAAGGCCAAGAATGGTTTCTGGAGCAAGGTAATCTGGCGTACCAACAAACTTCTGCTCCCCCGGGGGTGTGTGACCACCCGAGTACGAGCGCAAGTCGGTGGTCAATTCCGTGGCAAACGATTGCAGAGGACTTTCACCAGCCCTGCTTCGGCGTGAATGATGATTGTATATAGATTCGGAACCAGATTCGCTTGCGTCATCTGTGGAAAGCTGATGAGGCGAAATTCCTTGTCGTGGCACTGGATGTGTTCCCTGGTTAAAGTACGAACCTCCGCCAATCATTTCGGTTGAAAGTAAGGGTGATGAAAGAAAGCCAGAGTCAATTGAAGGTGGTCGCGAACGTGAATCATATCTTGTGCGATGTCTGGTACCCATGCCCATGGGTTCGCGCGTTTGACGACCAAGGAGACCAATCCTACTCAAACCGAAATCAGTGAGTTTCAAGTGACCGTGCTGGTCGATGAGAAGGTTGTCAGGCTTCAAGTCACTGCAAAAATGATAAGCATGCGGCTTCTGCACATTTTGTAGAACTTACCGGTGAACAACGCCACGCTGGTGGAGATACTCAAGCCCCAGTACAACTTCAGCAATGTATTGCTTCGTCCACTCTTCGGGAAGCGAGCCCAAAGACTTGATGAGAGCGGCACAATCGCCACCATTCAGATACTCCATAACCAGATACAAGTTTTCCTTGCTCTGGAATGTGAAGTACAATTTGGCAACGAACGGTGACTCGGCCTGCTTCATAAGAATCATGCGCTCCGCCTTGACATTCGTGATTTGGTTCTTCGCAATCATATCGGCCTTTTTCAGAACCTTAATAGCGTAATAGTCTCCAGTCGCCTTCTTCTTCGCAAGGAAGACAGATCCAAAGGCTCCTTTGCTGATAGGCTTGATGATGTCAAAGTCTTTGATAGAAGTCGGAGTCGATCGTGATAATGGAGCTGCAGACGATTGGCGAGGAGATAGAGGGACATTTGATACTGAAGGACTAAATATGGGATTCACTGTAGAATGACGGCGATGCCCGCGTCGTGTAGCAGTGGGCGCATCTCGAGGGGATATGCTGGGTGACAGGGGCGGGGTGACCAAAAGCCGCGGTTCCAGAAGGTTGCTGGCCGAACGTCGTGTTCTAACGGTAGCATTCCCAGGTAGACTGTCGTTGAGGTCCATGTATGGAGGCTGATCGTCGGGAGATGGTGATGCCGTGATTGGGGCAGCCAAAGCAAGAGGCGAAGATATGGATGATGGCGTGGACGACCTTGTGGGCATCTTGTTGATGATTTGCCACGCTGGAGGAGCAAACTGAGGTACAGGAGCAGAAACGGAGGCGCGACTAGCATTTAGGGTAGCAATCAATATAGGAGACGCGGAA